TACTACTACTACTACTACTACTACTACTACTACTACTACTACTACTACTACTACTACTACTACTACTACTACTACTACTACTACTACTACTACTATTACTACTACTATTATTATTATTGTTGTTGTTGTTTTTGTTTTTGTTTTTGTTTATGTTATATTGGGTGTGTGCGCTTGGGTTGGTTTGGTTGGCGTGGTTTGATTCGGGTTGTTTGGTTGCTTGGATGATGAGGGAGGTTGAGTGCGGTTATATGGTTGTGCGGTTGTGTGGACATTCTTCTTGTTCGGTTCAGTCCAGTGCAGTTCGGTTTCTTCTCTATTTCCGGTCTCGTTTTGTCGTTGGTGTCGCGGACACGGGCACGGGCATGCAGACGGAGAAGCTTGTGCTTATACGTACGTACGCGTAGGTAGGTAGGTAAGTTAGTAGGTAGGTAGGGAGGGAGGGTAGTATAGGTATCTATATATACATCTACACGCACGCATACGAGTAGATGTTCCGGCAATCGGTTTGTGTATTTTTACTAGGCGTGCATGCGTACGTGCGTGCGTGTGTACGTGGACGTTAGTGAGCTGCGAGCTGCGTGTTGGCTCTGTCACTGTCACTGGCTCTGTTATTGTTGCTGCTACTGACGTGGGCGTTGGGATTAGCTGGCGCGCGTTGTACCTACTGTACTGTAGGGTTAGGTTGAGAGTGAGGTCGAGGGTGTGGTTTTAGTGTGTATAAATTATTAATAATAAGAAGAAGGTGAAGAAGAAGAAGAAGAAGAAGAAGAAGAAGAAGAAGAAGAAGAAGAAGAAGAAGAAGAGGAAGAGATATAGAAAGGATAAAGACACTGCTTATCATTATACACGCCATAGCACACTACATAGCACATGCGGGTGCGTTCAGTGCAATACCTATATCCCACCACAGTAGTACATGTATAAGCAGCTACTAGCGTATACATGCCTAAGTGTACGTATATTATATCTAAATAGCTAGTACTAACCCGCCCGTTCTTAGCGTAATAGGTATAGTATATTCTATTCTGTAAATCTAGTCCGTCTATCCGCGCTTCGTTAAGCCTTTACGTGCTGTGCTTTGTGGGCCGAGGTGTCGTGATCGAAGACGTACTATAATGGAATCGGGGTGTGGCTTGGTTGAAAACGAGATATGTGCATTTATCATATATATGTGTGTGAGGAGGATAGAGCGAAGGGGTAGTACTGCTAGTGCTGCAGGTGCTGATGTTAGTGGTGATGGTGCTCGGCGTATTTAGGTTATGAAGACGTGCGCGTGTGGGTGGGGGTGGTGGGCTGCACTTCTTTCATACATACTCATACTCACCACCATCATATTATCAGCAACGAAACGCAAATGGTCATTCACGCACTGTATACTCACTTACCCGTTTTCCTGTGCATTTTGTGTTTCCCACATACTGTTCTTTTCAGATACCGTTTTGTGTAGAGTGTGATCAGCTGCGGATGTTGGTTAGGTGGGATCATGGGTCGGTGCTGAGAGGAGAGGAAAAAAGGGGGTGGGGGTTTGGGTCTGTGCTGTCTCTGGCCTTTCTAGGACCTATGCGCGCCAGTATATCACTGTGTTACGTTGAGTGGTGAAGAGGGGGCGAAGGAAGGGAGGAGGGGGTGTAGTTTGTTTTGGTAGCTGAGATTTAGCGTTCACTGTTAGTTGAATGACTGTGGAAAGCTGGTGTTGTTGTGCGTGTTCAAGGCTGCTGTTTCGTTTGGTCTGTTGTACATTTTAGTTTGTTAGATAAGTGGATTGTGGACTTGTGATTGAAATTCTTCTTTATGTTTTGATGAAGTGAGTCGTTTAGTGTCTGTCCTCTCCTTTGAGAGCTTGGGGGATTGTTTAGTGCTTCACTGATGATGTTAACTATACAATACCGAGCTAGAAAGTGAGCAGAGGGATTGTCTTGCTGCTGGTCAAGGGCTTACGGAAGATACTTCGAGAGTCTTTATTTAACTAAGCATAATTTCTCACTGTTACTTGCAACAACTGGAAAGAACATTCCAACAAAACCTCTTACTGGTCCCAAACGGATGGAAGAGGCATCGACGTTACTATTTCCAAAGCCGAAAAGAGAGCGTTCATGTGTCTACCGTAAAGTAAGCCCATATGCTTAATCATTAAACTTAAGTGGTTATGACAAGCATACATAAACAGTGATGATGGCGGTTATCCACTCTCACCACCGGAGATGAGCATTTTTTTACATTCTAATTTCTAGAACCCATGTGGACGCACTTTTCCATCTTGAAAACACTGCCTAAACCGGAGCGCAGCTGCACCTGCGAAGGACCGTACTGGCCCTTGTCAAGCCTTCGTAGGGCAAGTTGAAGTGACGTGATAGTGTTGTCGGAGTGTGGTTAGAAGGTGCTTTGTCGTGGGGAGGGGTTTATAACGACGTTCGAGCTAGTTAGCGTCTTTCGACGGTTGAAAGGCTTCAGAGGCGGTTATCGCTATCTTCTGTATAGTGGGTTGCACGCCCTTGCTGCTGTAGAGAGAAGTGTTGGAAAGGAATGACATTAGAAGGAATTCGGAGTGTGCTCCAGTATATGGCCGAGTGTCTATACAAACACCGACCGCGTCTCTTCGCCTCTTTGTAAGACTACCTCATGGGTGACGGTAGAACACGTTAACGGAATACAATCACCGATGCAAGGTTCATCGAAAGCAGTACGGAACAGGACTTATTAATTTGTAGCGCAGCTACACAACCTAACCCATCCACTACCAACAGCACCAATCCATCCCACCTCAACCCAACAGACAGACACGCCGCAAAGCCTAAACTTAACATAACGTCAGCCTCGCTGCCACCACCGAGATGCGAAACGCAAAAGACGCAAAAAAGCAGGAATGCAGCAATGCAAACTTCCTTTTAGAGTTTTAATGCACAATTTAATCAAGAAAGATCATATGGGGTTGAAACATATTATAATAAGGCATACTCATCATTGGAAGAGCGTGACGGACCGAAGTCCAGATCCAAGAATCGGGAAAAAAAAAAAAAAAGTGTACAAACTTACCACTCCATCATCAACCGCCGCCGCCGCCACGGGCTCACCAATCCGTCCGCACCTGGCACCCGGCACCACCGCTTCGCTTCTAAGCGGGAGTCTCATCATAAAAGACCCCGCAAAGCAGAAAGCAGGAGCAATGCAGGCGCAGGCAAACAGGCTAACGAGCCAGCGGCAACAGCAGCAGTAGCCGGAGCGCGCGAACGCGGCGGCCTCGACAACGCCAAACGGCGTTGCGGTGGAAGTCGTGAGGGTGTGTAGCGTGTTGTAGAGGACGCCGGCGTGGCAGACCACGGACGTTGGGACCGGCGCTGGTTTTTCCGTCGTCTTGTGACGAGGTAACCCTACGCGGCACGCGCGGGTGGGCCCGCTGCGCTCTTACTCCGCTGTCCGCTCCGGACGGAGGGCTTGGCGGCGGATGGACCTCGTCCCGCTCGTCCTATCCGTACTCTCCATCAGCACGGCATAGTCCTCGATAACTTGCCTTTTAGACCATTTTGCCCGCCTACATGGTTATACGACATAGTTTCACACTCTTCCACTTCCGCACGCTTATACGCTTACAGGACGCTCTCGCGCTCTTGTATATCTCTATCTTTACACCCTTCCAGTTGCCTTCATACCCTCGTTCTTCGCAAGTACAACCATACCCTCGCGCAAATTTATATTCATAAACATACAGCAACTACTGATCGCAGTCCTATATCCTGTCGCAACCACCTAAAGAGCGCATACGATGCATACCAGAATCTCCTCAACAGCTAGTTGAGGGGTAAGCACGTAATCGCCGCCAACACGAATACGACAACCCCAGACCCTTTCTCAAGCACGGACAGCTCGTTTCAGATAAACAGTATATAGCAGAAAATAGACAGGCCATTATAACTACGACTACGGAACTGTCATATTGTATACATCGCCAAGAACAAAACGTGTGTAGGTAACAAACCGACTAACTCCAAGCTCGTCAACCAGCAGGGGGCATTGGTATACAAGACTAAACCAAAGAAATATCTTCACTCTCTCTCCTATCTCTCAACAACAACATCATCATCATACATCACCCATCCTCACCAGCACACTAGTGCACTAGTACACTAGCAGGCCATACTAATACTCGCCCGGCTTCCCTCCAATACCACTGGACGTCGTACTGCCCGTTCCAGCATGGGGAATACCGCTCGCAGGAGCCGCACTCAAAGGCGTCGAGCCCGCCGGCTCCGCCGTCATTGCCTGACCCGTAATCCCCTGCGTCTGCAGCGGCGCAGGCTGCTGCTTCTCCTCGGCGGGCGTCATGGGCGCGCTGCCCGGGTTCGTGTACGTACCGCTCGCCTGGCGGCTCTCAGCCGGCGAGATGGGCATCTCGCTCGTCGCGTGGCTGGTGCACGACTTGATAACCTCGTGCCACTTCTGCGCGTCGGCCGGCGTGTGCGCCTTAAACGCAAACTCGTGCGTCATGGAGAAGGCGTTGCCCACCTTGCCCTTGGACACGTCTTTGCCCTTGACGTTAAATTTCTGTCCGTCGACAGCGCCGATGATGCAGTCTGGCAGGTAGAGCGAAATGTCGGGCTCAGGCTCCTTCTGGAAGTCGTCGTCCGTCTTGAACTCGTGCAGGAACTTGGAGGGCGTAACGGCGTAGTAGGCGGTGTCGTAGCGACGAAGCATCTTGCCCTTCCGGTCTAGCGATCCGGCAATCATGGGTTGCGTCGCGCGGTGGCTCTGATTCGGGAACACAATGTTCAGAACGTTGCGGGGCGGCGCGTTCGGGTCGACGAGAATCTCCCTGTTGCGCTGGATAAAGCCGTCCCACTCAAAGTTCTTTGGAACGCATGCCGCCGTGCCGACAATGTCATCGTACATGGCCTTGGTTTGGTCGGCCTGCGTATTCATAATCTGCGTGAACTGACCCAGACCCTGCTGCATGACTTCAATGACATGCGCCTCGAACTGGGCAAAGTTGCCCTGGACAGCCAACAGGTCTTGGCGGTTGTTGTTCTCCTCAATGACCTGCTTGTTGAGGTGGTGCCTGACGCTACGCTGCAGGATGTACGGGTCTTGGTCGGCCGTCAACCTGCCGCTTTGAGAGTCAAAGACAGCTGAGTGCTGTCCGAGCGCCTCAATGTGCTTCTGGGTGACAGCGCGGGCCTTGTCGACAGCCTTGCCAGTCTTTCCGGCGCCCTTCAACAGCTCCTTGCTCTTGTTCTTAATCTCAGCATGGAGGCGCTCGAATACGGGCAAGACCTGGCCCTTGAGCGTCTTGGCGGTCTGGTAGTGGGTGTTGGAGATTCCCTGAAAGCATCAGTAATGGCCCCCATTTCTAGAACTGGATTCGCATTACCTGAGTGTTGGTGCGGATGTTGTCGAACATTCCCGCAATACCCCCAAGGTTTTGATCGAAATGATGGGCCTCCCTCAATGGGGAGGAAACGGTCTGGGACAGTGTGAGCTATGCGTGTCCGCCTATTCCGGAGCCACGGTATGCGCACCTTCAAGACCTTCTCGTATTCCTTGCCATGGCTGTGCGACAGCTTCTCGGTCGCGGTGATGTAGTCCTCAAGGTAACCGCACGCGTGCTTCCAGGCCTGGAGGCGCTCCTGGAAGAGCTTGATGACCTGTCAAAGCGCACTCGGTCAGCGCGCGGTATCCCGTGGGCGATAGCGCGCGACTCATACCTCACTCGTGTCCTCATCGGGGATGGCATCGGCCTCGCCGTTGGTGGCCGTCGTGTTGCTGCGCGTGGGCAGTTGGGACTGGGTGGGGCTGGCCATGATTAATGCGATAGAAACGATAGCTATGCGCAGGGAAGAATGTGGACTGCGGCTTTAAGGTGGTGGGCAGAGAGAGCGGGCGAAAGCGTCGTGGTGCCAGTAGCGAACCACGGAGGGGGCGCTTGGCGTGACCGGGTCCAAAAGAGAAGAAGTAGCTAGACTCGAGGATCAGGGGCGCATGCAATATAGAGCGGGAGGAGGGCGGCCGCGTAACAAATGGGGAAAGTAGCAAAACGTTGAAACAACAGCACGCGCATAAACGAAGTCGGCTTTTATGAGAATCGCGCGTTACTCTTGCGACAACCGGCCCATGGGGACCCTGATGTGATTTTCTCCCGCGCGTGCCCAGATCAATGAGCTGCGGGATCACTGCAGGGGACCCTCAACGTCATCGTGCAGGGATCACGCTTCTTTATCGCCGTCGCGCAACCACGCGGTCCCCAGCCACATACGGACGTGGAGAGAGAGAACCCGCCGTGTTTGGTGTGTTTACATGCGAGACACGTTGCCCTCAACCCCCGCCATGACAACACCAGATGGTGGCGTCCACTACCAACCTCCAGCTTGCGCTAGCCATCGCCAGGTGGGGTCGGAGCGAGGGAAGCAAGCCACGATCGCCGCTGTCAAGTGTCATCACTCTGATGGCTTTTTTCTTGTTGTCAAATCCAAATCCAACGTCACGTCGAAAGCAGATCCATGAAAGCTTGCTTAGGTAGGTTCTTCATTCGTCACTGATTAGGGAGGCACTACTACTCTACGTAACTGTGGGCGCGAGCCCAACAATGCAAAAATGCTGTCTGATGTCGGAGGTGGGTATCTTCCGCGCCAGGCTCCCAGTCTATACCTATCAACAAACACCGTAAACCCCTCCCATCCGTCTATGTAGTCATTTGAAATAAAAACGTTATTACTTTTCATCTTCTGGAGAGCGCCGTCTGCCTCTCATCTTGATTATCGTGTGCTGTAGGCCGGCGCAAGGCTTCTGTTAAACGCCGTGTTTCTTTCCGTCTCCTCGGTCAGAGTTGCGAGACTGCCGGTTGGAGAGGGTGTGCTGTTTCTGCTGCGCATGTGCGCTACACTAGGGCGCTGCAGATCGTGGTTTGGGCTCGATGGCCTGCTTGTTGCAATGGCGTACGAGGGTAGATCCTCGCTGATGGGCGTTCGTACGGGCGTTCTCACCGCAGTATTGTAGCTGGGAATGCGGGAGAGGGTTTCCATGTCATAATCGTATTGGTTGTCGTCCATTGGACCAAAGTAATCATTGACAACCGAGCCTCTCCGGGAATGGTTGTTGCTGTTATGAGACACACGACCACTGGAGGTCTGGGAATCGTCTCCAAGAGGACTATTCGGTCCCGATGGCTGGATCGGGTGGTGCGGCGTGTTCGTGCCGGAGGAGTGTCGCGATGAGTTTCTCGAGAAGTAGCTGCTCGGTCTCGGTGAAGAGCCGTTTTGCGAGATACTCAGTCGCGTCAAACGAGAGTGCAGCTGGCTGGCCGATGCCCCGTTCCCGGCAACGCCGTCGATCGAAGAAGGTAGGGAAGAAGGAAGGTCATCCACCGAGTTCCTGCGACTTTGGGTGTAGAACGGGGTAGCGTATCCACTCTGGAGCGGAGACCCGTTCCATCCACCGGGAGTCCTATAGCCACTTGGGTCGATGCCACTGTACATCTGGTCGAGCTGGTGATCGGCGTACGTCGGCGGTGCGGCTTGGGTAGCCTCAGCGTGCATGGCTCTTTCGATTAGCTCACCAGAAGCTGCCTGGGAGACTTGTTGATCGTCGCCCACGGGAAGGTTTGGTGAGATGAACAACACGCAGTTGTTTTTGACCAAGAGCTGCGCAGTGTTAGCAGCTGATATTTCCAAAAGAGCGTGCACCTTACCTGACTCGTGTGGCCTTCTGGGTTGTGAAGGTTCACATAAAGCTTGATTTTGTGGTCTATCCTGATAAAATCGGTTTCCACGTTTTGCCGACATTTCTTCAAAGACTTCGGGAATGGCAGAGTGAGCGAAAACTTGTAAGACTCGTCGAATGGGTTGTCCTCGTCCGCCTCTGTCATTCTTTGTTCGGCATCGTCTGGCATCTGGAATTCTTCCTTTGCCACGATTGCATCCCACGAATGAGGAATATTGCGTTCTCCTTGAATGGCATTCAATACGACGTGTTCGTGAAGCTCCATCTTTATCGCACCGATGGTGACGCCTTTCCGGAGGGGAATGAGCTGGAAATCCGCGGTTGCTTGGGTGCCGAAAATGAAATTCGTTTGAGGAATCGTGATTTTGTAGCAGACCTTGTCTGCCCACACATCTTCGTTCGTCTAAAAGCAAGTCAGCTGGGAATGGATCCAGATATCGTAGAACCGGACGTACCTGCTCCATTGCAGCATCTGACAAGATTTCGGACGCCAATGTCCTGATGATCCGTATGTGCTTGTCCGCATACAAGGCCTTAGCCATCATGCCCCGATCAAGAGTCGCGCGAAGGTTGTAGACAATGTAGCTGCCAGCCAAACCCTCCACGCTCTCGGGGAGTGATCCCTTGAGCGAAAACTTGAAGTTCCATTCGTGGACGCCGGGTCCCATGTGGTGTACAGTCTTTTTGCTGCCTCCGCTTGCGGGGTAAAGCAGCTGAGACTCCCTCAAGAATTCATCCTTGTAGACAATCTGCTGAGGGTTTACAGCGTTCGTGAGCCAACTGGTAAAAGCTCCTCGTTAGCTGCATGACCTTCAACCAACGCCGGAAAAATTTGTGTGTACGTACGACACCTTCCGCGTGCCTAGCAGCTGAAGCTTGATGTAGCGAATCGGAATGGAATCATGGTTGGTCAAGACCAGCTTTCCCGAGAGGTCGACAGGTTCGGCGTTGTGCGCGTCGCCCTGGAAAACGACAAAGGGCGAGTCCGGTCTGTGTAAGGCAGGTCAGCCACAGCTGCAGTCAAGACGCGGCTCGGGAGCGGCCGAAGGTAGCACCACAGACGGCTCCGCGTAAGGCTGAGCTTCGCAGGACGTGTAGGGAGGGCGAGTCAGGCGTATGCGGCGCCGATCGGCGTCTAGTGCAGTGAAAATGGTCGTACCTGATCTCGAGGACGGGCTTGTGTTTGCTGCCGCCAAAGACCTTTGGTGTCTGGACCATGGTTGCCGGGGGGGATTATGCCAGAGCAAGCTCTGGCGGGAGGAGCCAATGGCGGGAGGATTGCGAGCTATGGGGGCGATACGGGATGTGAGAGAGGCGATCGACCGGCAGTGACGGCGAGGAGGATGGAGGTTAAAGTAATTGGAGCGGAAAAAGTCCGTGAGACAGGCGTCGCGATCATGCGACAGCCAGCGGCGATGCTGCAGAAGCACAGTCGAGGCCTGGTTACAGAGATGCCTTTTGCGATATGACAGGCCCTTCTTGGTGGGTAATGTTTTGCGCTCCGAGACAAAGAAGGTATGCCGATAGCGGGTCTGATTCGCCAGGGCGGGTGACGTGATATGTGATTGACGGTGGCCAGGGAGGTGCGACGACGCAGAATGCAGGCAGATGCAGAGCCAGCTCGGCGCGGGAGAGCGGCGATAGACCTACTACTTCAAGGTTGGGGATAATTGATGCTGTCTCGACCGGCCCGTCTGGCCTCTGTGATGACTCGGGCTTCACGGGCACAAAGCGGCCCCCTCTGCCCTGCAAATAGCGCGGCGGCTGTGAAGAGGGACCCTCTCGGGCCTGGCGATGACGTTAGGACGGACAAAGCTTGAGGGAAAAACTTATCTGCCCGAACGCGCCACAACAGGGCGACGCAGATAGGCTGGCCTCGAGCCGTAAATTCGCGACGTGCCCGAGGAGACGCCGCAAGCAGCGGGCGCATGTGAAGGCTGGGCGAGAAAAAACAAAGCCAGCGCACGCCCAACGGATCGTGTCGCGGCCCGTTGTGCATCTCGATAGGTATCCACCAAGGTACCGACAGCTGCCAGGCAACGCGTACACCGTCGTATCGCGCATGTGCATGAGGCGAACCGTTTCATCACCCTCTCCCGCTGCCTACTTTGCCCTCGCTCACCGCGCTGCTGGGCTCCGTCGAACCATCGAATGATCACGCAACCACTATAATCCGTACTTTGACATTTGACATTGAGATTGCTGCTCTGCTCCTCTCTACAGGCTGCTCCCCGTCAACGACGGCGCCGACTCGCTCCCTTGAGCCCCTTCCGCGCCCTCCTTCGGCCGATCCCACGTGCGGATATGGCCTGGATAGACTGGTCAGCTTAGATCTACACGGACACCGGCAGCGGGCTCGGGTTCCTGCACAAGGGTGGGCCGCTTCGGGCCCAACGACGCTAGCCGGGCAAATCAACGCAGATAGGCGCTCGCACTCACCGTTGTCGCAAGAGGTTAATATACAATCCTCTTCAAAGGCTAGCCAGCGTAGGGGGTGGTCGTCAACCGACTTGGCCTGCAGCCTCATGTTAGCTCCGGCCTTCGGCCTCGGCGAGCGGGAGGATTACCAGCACCGGTGGCAACATTGCCGTACGCGCCCGCGGTTCTACCGGGTGCACCGTTAACTCGCCCTCTGCACTGCCCGAGGTCAAGTTTGAGTCCGATCGGAGCCGACTCGTCGAGCTATCTGCCCGTGTTCGCGCCGGCGGGAGATGCGACGAGATGCTCCCTCGCTGCTGGACCGATGCCTGTGACAGGTTGAAACGCATCAGCAAAGGCCCACTGCCGTCGCAGGAATTGTGGAACCGGCATACCGCTCGCGGTCGATGAAGCATTCCAACACTGAAGTCCCATAACAGGAGCCTGCAATCCTCCCCGACACTGCCAAATCTGTAGTTGCGATCGTCGCACCGCCACGGATCGAATGCCACCGCCGTCACCCACGAGTTGTGCCCCTGGCATCGTGCTACCAGCATGCTATCTTCTAACGACCATATCGACACGAGATCGTCTTGCCCGCCAGTGACAATGTATCTCCCATCTGGCGACCAACAGACGCACATCAATCCGCCGTAGTAACTGCTAAAGACGTCGAGAAGCCTGCGATCCCGTTAGCCATCATCGGCAGGAGGTGGCGGTGGATCGACAGACTGTTCTTGAAGATAGTCAATTATTCGCAGGGTCCCATCTTCTGACACTACGGCCAGATGCCTGTTGTCTGGCGAGAATGCAAATGCATTAATCTTTGAATTCGAGACCTTCCACACCGAGAGCGGGTTGTTCTTCTGGTTCCTCGACTGGATTGACTTTCTGATCTGAAGATACCGACTCTGCCCGTTCTCGCTGGGGGATTTGTCGCTAACGGAGCCCGTGTCCTCGGGGACGAACGGAGAATCCTCCTTTTCCTTATCGTAGACGATCAACGTCCCGTCCATATGAGCGGCAAGGAACAAGCTATCCGAATTGGGTAACCATCGTATCTCAGAGACGGCGCTCTTATTGATGACTCCCTGTCAGAGTATTAGTGCTGAATTACGATAGGGGTCTGATTGCGCGTAAATCGACTGCACTCCTTGGAAGGCTCGCCCGGATGACCCCAGCAGCAGAAGACCCTTTCCTGGAAGGATTCGGACGCTTCCTCGTCTGTATGGTGCAATTTGCCTTCAACGCAGGGGCGCGAGGGCTTATGTCGCCTTTTCTTCGGACGGAGCTCCTCGCCGCGGAGTCGGTGTTTTCACGCAAGATGACTTGCGAGCCTTACATTCTTGTTGAGACGGGCGTACTTCTGAGACATTGGTTCGTACCATATAATGTCCCCTGTAGAAAACCCCATAACTATATCAAGGTGGTTGTTCGTCTTGGTCACGAGGTTGACATCGTGGCAAAGGGCATGCGCTTTGGTGAACAATATCTTGGTCAAATGCTCTTCCTGCCAGCAATCAGCATGTGCGATGAATTCCGCGGACTGACGTCCAACCTTGTTTGGTGCCGACAAGTCTAACCACTGCAGTGCCCTGTTGACGTTCGCAAAGGCGAGAAGTCCGTCAGCGTTACGCTCCTGTAGTCGTTTGGCTACATTTTCATGAGGAATAACCCTCGACACGAAAGAAGAGTTGCTCTTGATGATATTGTTCTTCGGTTTTCGCCGCTTTAGGGGATCTTTCGCCTCTTTCCCGTTCGATGCGCCCAGGGCCGGGTTCCCTTCGCCAAAGGTTGGCGTCGCTTGATATCCAAAACCATTGCTCCTGTTGTACGGTAAACTAAATTCACTCCCTGCGCTTTGCGATTCTTGTGGGCTTTCTTGTATGCTGGGTGGCATGCCCGACCTCGTGCTGTTTATCGTGCCTGATCGCTGCAGTCGCGGAGAAGGTCGCGGCGAAAGGACGGTGACAGAGAGCTTCGTCCCCGTTGCCGGCGGAGAGGGAGTCGTCGCTAGTGGGTTTGGATTATGGACAGGCGCTTCGGAAGGGTGAGGAGGGGGCGTCGCCAGATGAAGGCTATCCCGGAGGACGTATGTACCTAAAGCCGTGAGGCTCCGCGTTGTTTGTTTTGGGTGGGGGCACGCTACCTTCGCCAACGATTAGTTGGTATTCCGGGCCGGTCGGTTTGTTGAGGACGTTGTTCGTCTCGATGACGGCCTGGCCCGGCATACCCAGGCCATACTGGCCGCTTGGGTATCTGACAGGAGGTCAGCGGAAGTTGGGGGCCGAGGAGAGGAAGACGGCTTGGGGCCCAAGGCTCACCGTGGAGGAGGGGGTAGCAGCAAGGCAGTTAGCATGGCGCAATACTGGTGGTTACGAAGAGTTGGGGGTGCCAATTGGAGCTCTCGGATCAGCGAGGGCTGAGATAGCTGGACTTACAACGAACATGGCGCAACGACGCAGGAAGCCTTGTGCACAGGCGGGCCGATCACTAGTCCTCACAACTCAACTAACTACCGGCAGCTCCGGGCGACCATTGGAACAAGGGCGATTCTCGAGCGATGATGTCGCAACGGAGGTCGCGGTATGTGGGGGAGATGTGGATGTGCATGCGCCGCACTGCCTGCACTGGCCGCAGGCTGGAACGGCTAAATGCCTGATGACGGGCGTGACGGGCGTGACGGGCTAGTTTGCTATGGCGTTCCGGTAAGGCAGGCGCATGGCGACGAGGAAGCTGATGCCGAACCATGGATAGAGGCTAAGGAAGCGTGCGCGATCCGATACTGCTTTACCTCCATTCGCAGTAACATGTTTGACAGCGACCGGAGTCCCATGGACCTGGTAACGAGTCACGCTAAACGTACTCGTAGGTAGGGACTGGGGGAAGAGCATGATTCGTCACCATGGATGGGTTGCTGTTGTTCTGCCGAGCTTCCATTGCGGAGCACCTGCGCGCCGCCGAACCACACGTCAGGACGTCTTCGATGATGCGCCTACAACATGGCTACCGTCCGCATTTGTGTGTGTGGTGACGAGGGCACAGGTGCGTGATCCCGCTCTTGAATATCTTGCTCATGCTGACACCTGCCTGCAGGAAAAAGCTCTCTCATAACCTCGCTCGTCAAGGATGTCTTCGTTCCAAAGATCCAGAGCGTCCTCCCGCCTGTGACGCTGCCACCGACCCTGGGAACGCCGGAAAATGTCACCACGACCATCGTCGACACGTCGGCTCTACCGCAGGAACGAGACAAGCTGCGCAAAGAACTGCGCAAGTCGAACGTGATACTGCTGGTGTATTCGGACCACTACAGCTATGAGCGGGTTGCCCTGTTCTGGATGCCGTATTTCAGATCGCTGGGCGTCAATGTGCCCGTGGTGCTGTGCGCGAACAAGTCAGACCTCCAAACAAGTGGGAATACTGCACAAGTTGTGTCTGACGAGATGTTGCCGGTCATGAACGAGTTCAAGGAGATTGACTCGTGTATCCGGACCAGCGCCAAAGAGCATCACAACATCAACGAGGTCTTCTTCCTTTGCCAAAAGGCAGTCACGCACCCCATCGCACCCCTCTACGATTCCAAGGAAGGTGCCTTGAAGCCGGCTACGACTGCGGCTTTGCGCCGCATATTCTACCTTTGCGACAAGGATCAGGATGGCTATCTGAACGACAAAGAGCTGCACGACTTCCAGAAAAAATGCTTCGACAAGCCGCTGTCCGAAGATGATCTGACGAACATCAAGCGGTCAATTCAGAAGTGGGCCCCTGAGTCTGCTAGCGAACAGGGGATAGATGAGAGGGGTTTTTTGTTGCTGCACAAAATCTTCGCAGAAAAGGGGCGTCACGAAACCATTTGGATTATTCTTCGGAAGTTCCAATACACGGACAGCCTCAGCCTCAAAGACACCTTTCTTCACCCGAGGTTCGACGTCCCGCAATACTCTTCTGCGGAACTCAGCCCCGCAGGTTACCGCTTTTTCGTAGACCTGTTCCTTCTTCATGACAAGGACAACGATGGCGGCTTAAACGATTCCGAACTCGCTGCGCTCTTTGCTCCGACGCCTGGGCTGCCGGCTTCGTGGGTTGACTCAGCGTTTCCGTCCTGCACTGTACGCAACGAAGCAGGATATATCACATTACAGGGCTGGCTCGCCCAATGGAGCATGACCACGTTCGAGGAGCCCAAGACGGCCTTGGAATACCTTGCTTATCTCGGGTTTGAAAGCTCGGACCGCGGTGGCACGACTGCAGCGTTGAAGGTCACAAAAGCGCGCAAACGCCGTAATAAGCCGGGCAGAGTTGAGCGAAATGTGTTTCTCTGCTACGTGCTGGGTGCAGGTGGCAGCGGCAAGAGCTCACTGTTGAATGCCTTTCTCAACAGGCCTTTCAGTCCGATGCACCACCCGACTATCAAGCCACGATCGGCGGTCAACAGCGTAGAGCTTCAAGGCGGCAAGCAATGCTACCTCATTCTCGAGGAGCTTGGAGAGCTAGAACCCGCCATTTTGGAAAACCAAGCCAAGCTCGACGCTTGTGACCTCTTGTGCTACACGTACGACTCCAGCGACCCTGATAGCTTTGACTATATAGTCGAGCTCCGCAAGAAGTATCCCCAATTGGACGGCATGCCGGCCGTCTACACGGCACTCAAAGCCGATCAGGACAAGGCGATGCAGCGCAGCGAGCAACAGCCGGATGAGTATACCAGTGCACTGAACATGGCGGCGCCTCTGCACGTCAGCGTTCGATGGAACACGATTTCGGAGTTTTTCGTCCATGTGAGTTACTGCGCCGAAGAGGGTGGACTTGGAGCAGCCGGCTAACACCAGGTTGCAAGCTTGCCGAGTCGGCGACGCATCCGTCGACGGCGTTCCCCAAGTCGGACGACGAACCGATGGACAATACCAGCCTGTACCTGGCGCTGGGGGCGACGGTGTGCGCGGCGGCGGCGTTTGTGTTTATATGGAAGAAGAACGCGTCTGGACATGAGTGAGCGGGGCGCCACAGATGGAATGGCTTGGCTAGCGGTGGAGGGATTTCGTGGGGTGGCGGTCATGACACGAGCAGCCATCATGAAGAACATGTAGCATTACTTTTTGCGGTGCCTGGCGTATTTGTGGGACGTGAGACAGCCATCCCCTGAGAGCACAGGCGCGTGGTGGTCAGCTCCGGAGCGCGCGGCTGGATGCATGGCGCCTAATGCAGAGTGCGGAGGATCTCTGCAAGCAGCAGGTTTGGACGCGACTCAGAGTGACAGCCTCCACGCCCATGGAACCCTGGGCCGAGGGGTTTGCGGGGAGAGCGGCCCAATCCAAGACGGGCGGGCTGACATGAGGGTGCCATGTGTGCAGTTGGCCTTGTGAACGGGGGCTGCGCGCCGCCGCCGCAATAATAAGGGCCAGCATGGCGCCGGGCCGGCCAGCGCAGTCGTGGAGTTTATGCGCCGCGTCTGAGCTCGTCCATTTCCCGTTTCCGCAGCCCAAGGAGATCGCGGGCAGCAGCACAACTCGTGAACCTCTCTCCATCCCTCGCACCATAGCTAGCCCTCGACTGCCTCCCACCCGGCCTCTCTTGACGGGACGAGGCATGACACGCTGTTGCCACCACGCTTGCCCCGATCGATGAGAAGCGCCTGCCTGTGAGTCTGTCGCGGAACCCTCGTTGCGACGAGGATCTGCATTCCTCGAGCAGCAATGCAGGTAGGCTTCCCCGTTCTCCCGCCTGATGCGCTGCCAATGCAGGCCCCAGATTACACCGCAGCCCCCAGACCCGAAGCCGGGCCGCTGTGTTCAGGACAAGTCTCAAGTCACATCATCTCCCAGGCGCTCTCCTCTGCCACCTAAAGCTAACCACCGCCGACCGCTTCGAGCAGGCCACCGAGCGAGCCCAAGAGCTGGAGCGCGTCTACCAGGCCCGACGCGGCCATGCTCCGCAAATCTCCATCAGCGACGACAGCCATCACGTCACCGAGGCCATTGGCGACATGTACGGAGACGGCGAGTACTCTCACGCCCGGCGCGACTCGAGACCCTTGAGCTTCGTCAGTTCACCTACCGGCGAAACCTTCGAGTCCAGCCCGTCCTACTTCGCCGCCGCGAAGACGCCGCCGCGAAACAACTCCCACGAACGCACCACCTCCAGCGAACACGGCGCGAATGGATCACCCAAGACGTCGTCGACGCCGCCACGCAGTCCCAAGTCGCCGCCCAACCTCAACCGGCAGAGTTCGGACATGGCGAGCCAGAAATTTGAATTCCAAGACATAGATTACCAGTCGAGCCCCACCACCATCGCCCAGGAGCTGAGCAATTTGCAAGCCATAAGACGCATGTCGATGGACGTCAACGGTTCCGATCCCGATCTTCCATCCTTTGCCAGCAATTCCTCCCCAATACCGGCCGCCGCGCCCGCCCATTCGGCCGATGACGATGACCCATCTCGCATGTTTTGGGTCCCGGCTAGGGTTCATCCTGAACTCGAACCGAAAGCATTCAAAACGTTTATCGAAGAAAAGGTTCACACCCACAGGCGTAGATCCGGTGGATCGGAGGATTCGTTTTTGTCTACGGAAGGATTGAGCCACCAGGGCTCGAGCGGGGGACTACGGAGGAAGAAGTCAATGTTGTCCAAACAGGTCGATGGACCAAATGGTTACACCGATGGCGCAGAAAGGTTAGGAAGGAAGAGATCGCAGAATGGCGGAAATGCCCATTCACCCACTCTGCATCAGTTGGAAAGCCTAGCTGAAGACCCGACGACGATGGTGCGGCGCTTAAGTTTGCACGAATCTCAAGACTCTGGGATCGAGATGCCCACCGCTGATGACATACCAATCCTGCCTATCAAACCAGGACAGAGCCTGAAGCGTTCGACGAGGACAAACTACCGGCGCGGAAGTCTTCGGAAGGGAGAGCGCGTGCCGTACAGTCGAAGGTTGGCTGGCAAACACAGCGTCGATATCGAGTCCGATGAATCTCCGGCTTCTTCGCCTGGCGTTACTTCACCTGATGAAATGAGCTGGCCGCAGATGGGAATCTCCAGAGTCAAGACCGATCCAGTTCCGCCGAAACCCGAAGCACCGGACAACTTCTCACGGCCCAACAGAGTACGTTCACCGCCTCCGCATAGCCCAATCTCACATCCAGAGGGAGCACATCATGCCGGACCGCATCATTCTGAAGCACATCATGCCTGGGCACACCCTGCGGGCGCCACAGAGCCGAAGGCAGAAGGGCACCCGCAAAAGCAAAAGTCGTTCCATTCTCGCATTGCATCCAACGGCCGAACTACTGCGCCACTGCCGGGTTATGCTCCGCCCCAACCTCAGGTGCAGCCTCAGGCGCAGCCTCAAGCGCAGCCTCAAGCGCAGCCTCAAGCGCAGCCTCAAGCGCAGCCTCAGGCGGTTCCTCACATTGTCGAGACACCTCCCCCTGCCGAATCAACACCCCCACCACCAGTGCCCCCTCAACATCCGGAGCGCAAATCTTCCAGAGAACGACCACCGATGCCCGCCGCTCAAACGGCGCCTTCCGGTTACAGCACGCCGCCGAAGATCCATACGCCGCGCGGGTCCAGCCGTTCTCAGTCGCGCCAAGCTCAGGCTAAGCAGCCAAAGCAAACGCTGGATGACATGGCTTCGCATCCGAGTGCCATTCCAGGCCATACAAGCGCGACCACAACTGATTCACTTTCAATCATCCCGACATTTGACGACGGCAGGAAGTCAGACAAGGAATCAAGAGACGATGATGACAATTCTGAAGGTGGTCCAAGAAAAACAAGTTGGGGTACCTGGTTCTCTCGGAAAGAACGTGAAAAGGCGAAAGAAGAGGAGAGGGAAAGGGAGAGAGCTGGCAAGGACGAGAAAGACGTGGAGAGGAAGAGATCGAAATCAAAGCTCACGAAGGCGCCCGACAAGTCCCACGAAAAGTCTCATTCTCACGACAAGTCCCACGACAACACCCGCCTTGACGTATTGCAGACATCAATTGATGAAGGCAAGGGACGTGAAAGCGTCGTGCTTGACCGAAACAGCGTCAAACTCGACGAGGAGCGCGCGAAGACGAGTAGTCGGAAAACTTCTAGCGAGAAGAAGGAGAAGGAGGGCATCTTCTCGTCGATCTTTGGAGGCAGTAAGAAAAAGGGCGATCGCGAGTCTTCGGGCAGGAAAACGAGCACCCAGCGCGGTCTTTCGCCAGAACCACCACCACGGGTACTCAAGCCAGATATCGACTATAACTGGACGCGATTTTCCCTGCTTGAGGAGCGCGCCATCTACCGTATGGCTCACATCAAGCTTGCGAACCCGCGGCGTGAACTCCTGTCTCAGGTGTTGCTGAGCAACTTTATGTATTCGTACCTGGCCAAGGTCCAGCAGATGCACCCACACATTCAGATTGGACAGAATGCAGCTCAGAAACAGCAACAGCGACAAGCTCAGGAACAGAAGAAAAAGGAAGAGGAACAGCGACGCCGCGAGCAGCAGCAACAGCAGCAGCAGCAGCAGCAGCAACCTGACGAGTTTACGCAATACCAGCAATACCAGGCCGTAAGTCGCGCATGAATCCAATCATACTGACCGCCATGACCCTAACCAGGCAAACAGCAGCAAACACGTCCCGACGGTCAAGACCCAGTTTCTAATGCCTCTGACGGCACTTCATCCGCGTACGTTGACCGCACCAATACCCAGTCCGGGTTAGAAAACGGCAATCCTGCTAGTTCCGACAGCCGCACATCACAACAATCCTATGCTTCCTACTCGTCACAACAACCCTACACTCCGCCAAAGCATCAGCACAGCAAGTCTAACGGCTATAGCGTCTCCAGCGGCCAGAGTTACATGGGTCATCGATCGAAGAATTCGTATTACTCGCAACACGGCTACGAAGAAGACGAGGACCGAGGGGAAGATCACGACATGTGGTAGGCACGCCAAACAACTACCGCGCCCCTTCTCTCCCGGGTACCAGTGTCTCACACTCGCAGAAAACATCAACTTCGCAGCTTCAGATCAAGGCGTTCCATGGATGGTTTCCACAGCAGGAAGCATTATGTTTGGTGAAGGGAATTCAATGTCATTTATGATGCATGGCGACGGGGAGTGTGTGTTGAGCGTGTGTTGTGTGTGTTTAGGATGATGGCTCCGGATACCAGGGCATGGAGGGGAAAAGGTACCAGTGAAGAGGGAATTTTCCCGGATCAGCGTACGCGAGGCAATCACTCTACTGGACATGCTCTAATACTAATCGCTTCTTTTCTAAAGCGCTAGAGTTTTTAGAGAATAGGGCCACGCTTTTGTGGTTAAATCAAAGTCGCTGCAATTTTGGAAGAACACGATATCAGAGTTTTGGTCGGGACATCATGTGGGTTATGTCTTTTGTCTATTAGTTTCTATCAACTGTGGTAGCGACGTTATAGAACCACAACACCTCTACGCACTCCACAAGATGTAGTATATAATCCTCTACCTATCCTCTCTACTTAACAACAAGAACCACTCCGTTATATATCTACCACAAAGCACTTCAGCGAGGTTGCAGCAGTGGAAAAACCAACTTCGTGAGCACGACCCCGTCGAACTCTATCGCGCATTCTAAGCCCGCTGTCCACTAACAGAACTTAGCCACACAATAAATACTCTATCAAATTTACAGCCACCACCACAAAACAAACAACAACACCAAAAATGCCAGACCTCGAAAGCCAACTCCACGCACTCGGCGTAGTGCATCGACCCGCAGCGCGCGCAGTGATCCACAACCTCAGCACCGCGGGCCTGGTGTTCGTGGTCCTGGGCACCTACGTCATGGTGTTGGTGGGCGAGGGCACGCCTGCAGAGCTGTTTGCGGCGCATGGGTGGACCATCTTCAATGGCGTTGCCGCGCTGTCGCTGGTGCTTTTGGGCACGATTCCAAGGCTGTGGTAGGTGCTGTGGGGGTGTGTTTTGGGGTGCGTTTTCTGGGCTTGTGGTTCGTTTGCTGGGTTTGCAATAGTGGTTCTTGGTGGGCTGGTCTTGGGTGCGCGTTTGGGTGGGTGGAGTGGGCTTGGACATGCATGCTCGGGATGGGCGGTGCGAGTGTGCATGTGTATGGGTTGGGGAGGGGGAGATGGAGATGCTACTGTGGGGGCGTGGCTGGTCATTGATGCACTGATACACACATACGCCTGCCTCATCGCCCTTGCTCCCGCGCGGCAGTGTACATGAACCCAGATGATTGACAGATCGATGTGCCGCGCGTGAACTCTACATATCACAGGACCTGATCGCCATGGCAGCTGGGTTTTGGGTGTGCAGGGGTGGAGGGGCGGAAAGACGGTGTTCGCATGGGACCGGGCTCGGGGCTGTTTTTCTTTTCTTTTTCTTTTGCGGCGGATAAGGCAGTAACGTGCTGCTATTTATAAAGCTGATTGGTATTGCTGTCGGCGTTGCCGCTGATGTTGGTACTTATGCGGGGAGGCGGGCTGTGTAATGTTGTGCAAGGTAAACGGTGGTGGTGGAAGTGAGTGATAGATGGTCCTTTTAGAAATGGCTAATGATGCCTTTTTGTATATAGAGTAGATAGTATAGTTTATAGACGATTAGATAGAAATAAACTTACTCTTTCCCGCTCCTCTCGACTTCATCGCAGCTCGTACACTGAATCGGCCAGTCACGTCCGCTTGCTTGCAGTCCCACGTGCCGACCCAGGACGACCCAGGATCAGCTTGTCTATCACGAAATCCCAAGGCAGTGTCACAGTTCCTGCGACAGATCATAGTGTTTGGGCGATCGCAAGCAGTGATCGGAATTGCGTCAAGCTGCTCCGCAACGGCACAGCGGAGGTGTCGCGGAGCTCCGCTAGGTACCTACACCCACACGGGCGGATCTTGCCCGGATCGATCAGCAAGTCAGTCTCACGTTAACGTCAGCAGCGCGAACGTCATGGATGCCTGCGCCGTGACACCTCAATCCTGGCACGCGTTGCACGAGCGCACAAGCGGATCGGGCGGGGCAGCTGCCTGGTGGTGGGGGAGACACGGAGGGGAAGCTCTGATTACACACATACTTATATGTACAGTACACGCTCGTGCGCGTATGCGTGGTAGTCACCAGCCTCGTCCCGAAAAAAACGACACTGTTCCCTCGTCGCTGTCTTAGTTCTCAGCAGACCTGCACCCCCACCACCAAAGCCTCCACCCCCACGAAAACAGCAACCATGTCCACTGTCGCACCCGCCTTCCCACTCAACCCTACCACCACCACCGAGAATGCAGCCACCGCCGCCCTCATCTCCGCCCTCAACATGACGGCGCACCCCGAGGGTGGTTATTTCGTTGAGACGGATCGCGATTCGTTGCGCGTGCCGAACCCTTTGAAGGACTCTTCCGGCGATACCCGTTCTGCAAGCACGACAATCTTCTACCTCCTCACCGCGCAGCGCAGTGTGGGAAGGTGGCACAGGAACAAGGCGAGGACGGTGCATACGCTGCATAAAGGGCGGGGACGGTATGTTATTATTCATGCGGACGAGGTGGGCGAGGGGAAAACAGGCAGGGCGAGGGTTGAGACGTTTGTTGTGGGCCAGGACGTGAGTAAGGGGGAACGTCTGCAGTGGATTGTGGAGGGGGGAAAGTATAAGACCAGTTTTTTGTTGCCAGATGAGGAGACGGGAGAGGAGAGTAAGGAGGGGCTGCTTATAAGTGAGGTATGTAGTTTGGATGTTGGTCTGGGGTCAATTTTGCTGACTGCGAGTACAGACGGTTGTTCCTGGGTTTGAGTTTGAGGATCATGACTTCTTGAGGCCGGAGAGACTGCGGCAGCTTGTGACTCCGGAGCAGGCAGAGGAGCTTGCGTGGATGTTGAGGAAGGAATGAGTGGTGAATGCAAGGGAAGCATGTTGACTGAAGCTGCATTGTTCTATATTTGCAAACAGAGCGGCATCTCTCGCGCGGTTAAAATCAATGGAGATATAAAATAAAATAAATCGAGGGCAGCTCATTGGCAGGCTTATCGATAAGACCAATGACGCGCCGACCTTGGTTCGCAGTCGGTTCCCTTGGTTGGTGGGGCGGTTGCCCGACAGTCAGAAGTCAACCTACCCGCCTACAAAATCACCTTCGCGCCCGCGCTACTCCCAATCCCACGATTTACTGCTGCGCACTCATACACACAGAGTCCACTGCTAGCGATCCACTACTACCAACTCGCACACCCACTTGCATACCTCCACTGCGCGAACATGTCCGGCCACCGCAGAGTCAAAGACATCGCCTACGATGACGATGATGTCGATGACTACAGTGACGAATACGCCGATGAGGGCGAAGAAGAAATGACTGAGGAGGACAAGGAGCAAATGCGCGCCGGAAAGGCCAAGGTCAGGGAAGCTTTGGGAGCCGACTATACGACCTCCGTCTCGGACAAGGCCATCGAAGAGTCGCTGTGGCACTACTACTACGACATCGCAAAGACTGTAACATATCTGAAGAGTAGGAACTGCATAAACAGGAATGGAGAGCTTGCGAAAACTAATGCGCGTTCCAGACCAGCATAAGCCGGCGCAGCCTAAGATGGCCAAGCAGCCCTCGAGATTCGACCAGGCGGCAGGCGCGGCGGCGAAGGCCCAACCCAAGAAGGGAGGAGGTGAGTACCACGATTCTTCCTCCCACGCATCACCCCCCATCGGCTGTCCCTCTGTTCCGGAATCCTGCCATATTCAGGCCGCAGCCGCGGTGCTTCAAGAATCTACAAGACAAGTGTCTAAGCCGGAGCATCATTCAGACTCGCCAATCGCTTTTCCGCTCCCCATGTTCCTACCACCTCGGGAAATGCCTCGTCCTACGGCAGACTTCTTCAGCGACACGCCTTGGCTCAACGTCCCCTCCCATCGTCTCGGGTGTATATCAGTGGACCCTATATATCCACGCGGGCGCCTTCTGGGAGGGTCTTCCAAGCCCTCAAAACTTGCCGCGCTAGCTGCAGCCCGTAAAAAGAAGCAAGAGGAGGCGAAAGCGAATTCTGCAGCCCCTGAAGGACAAACCGCCCAGCAACCGGACCGCGCAGTACAGCTACTCGACCGATTGGGCAACAAGGCAAAGACGGAGGCCAAACCAGCTGAAAACCAATCTTCCGAAGCTACGACTACAACCATTTCGGATAAAACAAATGGGTCAGAAGCATTTGCTCCAAAGGCACCAGCCATACCCCTTCCAATCCGAAAAAGAAAAGGCTCCAGCCCCAGCCCCCCTCGCGAGGAAAAAATCGAACCCGCCCCGGAGCCAGAACCAAAGAGGCAGAAGTTCCGAGTTGAAGATTTGAAGGCTCCGCCATCTGCTTTTGCCGTAGGCTTCCTGGGACTGAATGGATCGGAACAGAGAGGACAGCCAAAGCCGCAGTCTCAGCTCCCGCAACGGTTCTACCCGTGGGGACCGGAATATGTGAAAGCTAAAATAAACCCCTTTGCAGACCCCAGTCCAGATGATGTCGTTCTAGCTGCGCAGTCCAAGGCCACCAAAAAGCAAACCCCGGCAGCAAAGGCCGCCGAAAAGGATAAACCTAACGGCATAACGAAGGGCGTGTCAGAACTGACTGTCGAAGAAACTCCGCGCATCAAGCACAAGAACCTGAACGTGCTAGAGGAGTTCGAGAAATCTACGATAAAAAATGCTGCTAATTTCGTAGTGATTGGTAAGGGGCCCGGAAGAAGAGAGTACATTACAAAATCCAGGTTGACCCCCGAACAGGTCACGTTGATCACGGAAAAAGCACATTGATGGGCCGGCTTCTGTACGATCTGAAGGTCGTCGATCAGAGATCCATCGACAAGCTGCGCAAAGAAGCGCAGAACATTGGCAAGTCCTCGTTTGCTCTGGCCTGGGTCATGGACGAGACTTCCGAGGAACGCTCACGCGGCGTCACTGTCGACATTGCCACAAACTCTTTTGAAACGGAAAAGACGCGCTACACCATCCTGGACGCACCTGGCCACAAAGACTTTGTGCCGAACATGATCGCCGGTGCAAGTCAGGCTGACTTTGCCGTGCTGGTCATCGATGCTGGTACCAACAGCTTCGAGTCCGGCCTACGCGGCCAGACGAAAGAACACGCTCTCCTCGCCCGGAGCATAGGGGTGCAGCGCCTTATCGTCGCGGTCAACAAGATGGACTCGGCTTCCTGGTCACAAGAGCGCTTCGAAGAGATATCGCAGCAAATGTCGGCGTTCCTGACCACCGCCGGCTTCCAAACCAAGAACATTGCCTTCGTGCCCTGTGCCGGCCTTACGGGCGAAAACATCGTGACGCCCGTGGCCAAGGACCTCGCGCCGTGGTACACGGGCAAGACGCTGGTCGAAGAGCTCGACGCCTCAGAGCCGAGCAAGCGCGCGATCGAAAAGCCTCTCCGCATGACAGTCGCGGACATCTTCCGCGGCGGCGTCACGAACCCGCTATCCATCTCCGGCCGGCTCGACGCCGGCAGCCTCCAAGTCGGCGACCACATTGTGGCGATGCCGGCAGGCGAGACGGCCTTCATCAAAGGCATCGAGGTGGACCACGAGTCCGTCGACTGGGCCGTGGCGGGCCAGATCGCTACCCTGCACCTCACCGACATTGACGCGATACACCTGCGCCTCGGCGACATAGTATGCACGCCCTCGGCGCCCATCAAGAACATCTCGCGCTTTGAGGCGAAGATCCTGGCTTTTGAGCACGTGACGCCTATGCATGTGGATGTGCTGCGGGCGCGGCTGAACGTGCCTGCGCGCGTGGCGCAGCTGGTCGCGCTGCTGGATAAGTCGAGTGGTGAGACGAAGAAGCGTAAGCCTAGGGTTGTGCAGCCGGGGGCTGTGGCTAGGGTTGTGGTCGAGATGGTTGGCGGCAAGGTGCCGTTGGAGGAGGGCGTCAGGGTCGTGCTGAGGTGTGAGGGGGCGACGGTGGCGGCGGGGTTGGTCGAGAAGGTGGGGTGAGGAGTAGGGGGGAGGAGGACTAGGTGTTGCTGTTGGTGTTGGTAGTGGTGGCGATTGGAGATAGGGGAGTGTGTGGCTAGGCTAGCTAGATGGCTTGCTGGAATGGTATTTTATATTTGTTCATTTATCTGTTGGTATGTGTCGGATACACTGGACGGGATATGTGTGCGCGTGGAGTGTTGCTTGATAAATCCATTCACGGGTGTTGGTTCTGCGCTTAATACGTGGAGCAATTTATCATTCTTGTACCTAGCAGAAGCGCAGTGTGTGCATAGAAATACATCTATGACGGGTGTGAAAGTGATGTGATGCGCTAGACGTGCTGAGGAAAGCAAAGAAACAAGCCGAGCTGAGCAAGAGAGCTGCCACGTAAGATTCCAGGACCCACCTACAATGAAGAAAAGAAAAGAAGACGCAAACGCAAGAACCGGCACGAGGATGCATGTCACCTACAGACCTAGCGCGATACGAAACCGTGCAAAGTGGTATCTCAAACATTTACATCGCATTGGTATGCCCGCGCGTTCACGTCGAAGCGACGCAACGCTTTCTCTAGACCTTGACGGTGAGCATGGGTATCAAGAGCTACCCGTAGACACTCTATAATCAAGGGGCAAAAGGCCTTGCAACCACCCATTAGCATCCTTTCTATTGCAACGGCAGAAGGGATACTTGAAATGCCAAGCCCATGAGATTTCGCCATGACTCCGTTCGCCAGTTTCGTTAAGTAGAGATGATCAAGGTTCCTCCTCGCCCACCTGGTAGACGTGGCGGCTGCGCGTAGGGTCCTTGCGCATCTGTTGGCCGGAGCCGGTAAAGCCGACTGTCGAGCCGTTAGCAGCTGTGAAACAGAAACGAAACATGAAAACTGACCTCTCGCGTTGACGCTAGCTCCGGTGCGGAACATGCTGTCCTTCTTCTTGCCCTTGGTCATTGCGTTGAACTGCTGCCACTTGTTCTTGTTTGTTTCGAGCTCCTTGGTTGCCTTGACCTTGCGCGGAATCTTGGCCGGCTTCGGCGGCCCGTCGCTGACCTTGCTCGGCTCCTTCTTCGCTTGGCTGGCGAGCTCTGGGTTGATGTTCGCTGCAGCTGAGATGACGCCCGCAGTGGCAGGAGCGGTGGGAGTTGTGGGCGTGACTGGTGAGCCATCAGCTTTGCGCTTCTTGGATTCGTTAGAGATTGGCTTGATCTCATGGCCCTCAAGGCGTTCGGTCTCAGAGTACTGAGTGAACTTTATGTGGTACATGGGTGAGGTTGAGGAGCCGGTAATGCTCAGAATCTTGGCAGGGTAGAAACCCTTGTCGCCAGACTTCCATTTTGCCAGGACGACATCATTGACCTTGTAGGCGACAGCGGGAGCAGCCTCATCTTCGGAGGGAGTAGGCGCAGGCTTGCGGTAGGCGGGGTGGTTCTCCTTGGACCACTTTTCCTTGGGCGGCGACGGGGGAGCTGGAGCGCCGGCCCTCTCTTCGGCAAGGAGAGCGTCGAACTCGGCTATGCCCGCTTCGAGCTCGGTCTTCAGGTTGAGAATCTCTGCATTATCCGGATCAAGTTCGAGCTTGGCGTTGGTCTCCTCGAGCTACGTGAGCGAAATTTAGCAGCGGCGCGCTGCGGGACGCGAGATGGAACTGACCTGGCGGGTGAAGTCCCTGAGGGTTTCCGCGAGCTCATCATGAGCGCTACTCATCCTGTTCAGTACCGGATATGGGGGGGCGGTGCTTTAAGTCGTCGGCACACGTTACCAGTTCCTAGGTGTGTTGGTGGTGGTGATGATGGTGGGTTGACGTGAAGCGGGCGCGACTTGACATGTCAAGGTACGGGCTCGGCGATAAGATGTTCGTGGACGAATGAATGGGCCTAGACGCTCACGTGACTGCACGGGTGATTCGCGGGTGAGTGACAAGACTCGGGCGGGGAGCAGCGAGCGGGCGTGCGGGCGTGCTAGGCCGCGGTAATATTTTTCAATACCAACAATATATTTCCACACTATGACTAAAACAGGTAAAAGATTGTCACCTTGTGGTTGGGTTTTCGGCCAGCCCACGCAGCCCTGGCCCTTTCATACGATAGAGTCAGCATTTACCGGTTACATGACACGCTCAATGGTGCGTGCCTGCCAGCGGCCGCCGCCCGCCGCGCGCCTGCCGGCCGGCTGCCATGGCATCCATCAGCATGCCGTCAAGACTTCCCACGCCCGCCAAACGTGCCCGCGTGTTCCTGGGCTAGGATAGCCCTGGGCGCACGCCTACTCGCCCGCTCGCCCGCACTTCTAATCCTGCTGCAGTGTTTCTTCAGCCCTAGGGTGGATTGGTAATCAGTCCGAAGTACACCCTCTTCCATGAGCTTCGCGCGCCGCTGCGCTCCTTAGCAGGGCCCAGCCTCATCCACCAATCCTGAGCCTTTGCAGCCCACGCCGCCCCGCTGCCCCAAACCACGAACCCCCGGTCGCGCCTCCTCTTGTGATCCAGAGCCGTCCAATCTGATCTGACACGCCCACGCCCTTCCGATTCCACCCCTTCCTGAACCACGACAACTACTTCATCATTCCGCACCATCCGCACCACCCACATCGTTATCGCCAGTCGCCACCTTCGAGTACGTCTAGACGACGTGGGGTTGTGGTTTTAAGGTCCTGGAACAAAGCCCGGAGGTACGCCGCCCAGGCAGCGAAGCCTAGACTCGTCGCTTGTGACTCTATCGTCTTCCTCCCCACCTAGACCCCCCCCATACCCTCCCAATACCCGCGCCCAGCCTTTTGATCGTTTTGCGGATCTTCTCCTCGACTGCGCGGTAGAGTCAGGGTGCTGACAGGCCATGAAGCAACCTAGACAGATCCGCTGTCGTAACTACCGGTCCCTTTGAATGCACTGCCGCTTTGACACGTACACCGCAATCAATCGCGCGAACCCCTCCTCCCGTCCCCCCGAATCGGCTCCCGCATCGGTCATCACTATAGCTTGATTGCGCCTCTTGGAGATGGCGGGCACGACGAACAACAACCAATTCAACTCGCATATGTATCTCTCGCCGAATCAGCAGGACCTCTTGTTGGCCGCGCTCAACTCAAACAATCCGAACAACCCAAACCCGAACAATCCGTCCGCAAAACCCACCAACTACAAGCGCTCCGATAGCGGTTCCCAGCAGCAGTTCCCACTCGACGGAATGGATCCCGCCTTCTTCACGTCGCCCCAACAGGGCAATGTGTCCGACTTTGGTAACTTTGGGCTTGAGGAAAGCCCTTATATAGACTTTCTCGATCCCGATGCTCCTTTCGATTTCGATCCGAACGACACCAGCGATCTTTTGATCGGCAGTCTTCCCGGTGATCAGCAGCAATCCGCTGACGGAGAAACGGAGAATCACAACAAGAGAAAGAGCCCGGATGAAAACAATGAAAAGAGTCCTGATGATGAAAACGATGAAGATGAGGAAGGAAGCGCCAAGCGCCGGGAAGGTGATGACAAGGTTGCTAAGAAGCCCGGCCGGAAGCCGTTGACTTCAGAGCCATCAACCGTGAGTAATTATGAGTATTCGCGTGTTACTGTACTGATAATATAAAGAAACGCAAAGCTCAGAACCGGGCTGCACAGCGGGCATTCCGAGAGCGCAAAGAGAAGCATTTGAAGGATCTGGAAACCAAGGTCACGGAACTGGAGAAGGCATCGGACGCCGCCAACCATGAGAACGGCCTTCTCCGTGCTCAAGTAGAGAGACTGCAGACAGAACTCCGCGAATACCGAAAGCGTCTGTCGGCCAACAGCACGGGCGTCTCTCGAGCTCCGGCTGCGGCCACTGGATACCCATCTTTACTCACCCACACGTCTCCCGGAGCGAACAACTTTCAGTTTGAATTCCCGCGCTTTGGAGCACTTCCTGGCTCGCAGATATTCCCCAACGGCGCAACGAATGGCAACAAGGGCAGCCCAGCATCAACAATGTCGCCCACGGCGAAGACGCCCACCAGCAATCTTGCCCAACAAAACAATGCTGGGCGCGGCATCAGCCCTAACACACATGGAGTTCGCTCACCTACCGACAAGACCAGCCCAGCCCAGGACGGTACTGGCTTTTTCGGTCCGGTCGATAATGTCAACAAGGGCTCTTCCGCAAGGGGGAGCACCTCTAGCTCTACGGGCCAGTCTCGCGTTTTCCAGTTCAACAGCAACTCCGCGTCCACTAACGACTCCCCATCCGTTTCTTCCTCGTCTCATTACGGTTCAAATTCATCGTGCGGCACTTCGCCCGAGCCCAACCACTATTCGCCTAGCACTGAGAAGGCAGTGGATACCAATGGAGAGAACTACACTTGTCACGCTACCACCGAAGGTGAGATCACCTTCTGCGAGAAGTTGAACATGGCCTGTGGCAACCCTCGCAACCCAGTCCCTCGTGCGATGTCTCAATCTGACGGCACCCCAGCTCCGTCAGCTGCATTGACAAGCCCGAACAATCACGACTTCGGGCTTGACTGGCTGGCTAATCAAAACGACAACCAATTCAACCCCACCCTGTTTGGTGACTACCGCGAATCGCAAGCCGCAGTTGTCGGCGACGGGGACTTCACCGGAGGGTTCTTCAGCGATGCGTTCCCGACGACCGATTTTGGAAGCCCATTCAACTTTGGCGAGAACACGCCGTCAGTGCAAAAGACGAACCCGTTGGACCTGGTCGAAAAGATCCAGGACGGAGGCGAAGACGAGGTCGTCCCTGGCGAAGACCCGTCTCAATTGCTCAGCTGCCATAAGATCTGGTACGTGACGTCAGCCTCTCGGAGATTTGGCGATTTGCTGACACCGACGTTTCACAGGGATAAACTGCAAAGCCGACCGGATTTCAAGGACGGCAGCATCGACATTGACGGGCTGTGCACGGAGCTCCGCGCCAAAGCACGGTGTTCGGAGAGCGGGGTTGTGGTTGACACCAAGGACGTCGAGGCGGCGCTCAAGAGGCTTCCGGAGCACCAGAACTGATGTCGGAACGGGAGCACTTCCACGATCAATGTGTATCATAACGACTACTTCTGGGCATTACATCACCTTATCGGCGCTTCGGCTTGCTCACGGCCGCTCCCCCTTTTTCGGCCTACCCGCTAGTGGTTTTTATATGGGCTGGGGGGAGGTCAGGTCTGGTCTGGACTCACTGGGGAACAAACACGATTGCTCGACTTCCCGGACAACGGGGGACACGTGTAGGGACGGCGCGCGGGTCTTATTTTTTTTTTTTTCAATCGTTTTCGTTTTTTATATCGAGGCGGCCACAGCCTCTGAATTGCTCTTCTTCTTCCTCTACTTCTGATTTTTCGTTGCGTTTTGTTCTTCGGTTGACGATGATGACGACGCCTTGATCTTTAAGCAAAGCTGGCACGTGCGCTCATGCTTACGCTCACTCGCTTTTCTTGCGCTCGCGCCCACTAAAGAGTAATAAAGACCAAGTTGCAGGCGCTTCTGGGCGGCGACGTCGTTATTGTGAGGGGCGCGAAGAGGGCCGTTGTTCCTGCTGCTTCGATTGCTTCGATTACTTCTTCATCTGCTGTGGAGTCTGACAGGAGTTTTTCCCGCTCTCCACTTCTTTTCTTTTTTCTTTTCTTTTCTTTTACTTTTTCTTTTCACTGGTTGTTCTGGCACGACTGAGCTGCGCGGGCGCGACGTCCATGTCTCGGATTGGGGCAAAAGTGCGGCGAAAGTGCGGCGACGGCGGCGGGTTTCAAGGAGTTTTTTTTGGGGGGGTTTGGGAGGGGTTCGTTTGTCTTTTTTCGAGGTGCTGAAGAGGTGGTAAACTACCTACAGTGCTACAGTACGTAGGAGTGGTTAGGTAACTACCTATGTACCTACCTAGTCCCTGCTCAATTGATTAGTTTGCTCTTGTGTTTGCTACTGCTGCCGTGTGTGTGTGCGCGTATACGCCTAACTAGGATGGTCTGTGGTTGTAGCCTTTCCTGTCTCTCGCTCGATGGATGCTGCGTGTTGCTTGATGGTGACGGACTTTACTACATATGCCTATTGCTTTCTGAAGATGAGTTCGGAGTATTTATATGTACATAGGTATTTACACAACGAATGGAGACGGGTCGGGCTAGAAGAGATCTAGAGCAGCGAGGGTATACCGGATAAAGAGGAAACATAACCGCATTACTTCGCCTCCTCAGCAGCAGCAGGAGCAGCATCCTTCCACTCAGTCCTCCCCAAGCGCACGATATCGGCCTGAGCGAGTTCCCAAACGCCGTCCTCCCGCTCGCCCCTCGCACACAACAAGCCGGCATGCACGGCGGCGCGCGCAATGACCAGCGCGTCCTGGGCCCAAAAGTCCTTCAGGCCGTTCGCAAACGCGCCCGCCAGCCCCGCGACCTTGCGCACGACAAACTCGGCGGGCCGGCTGTCCTCGCGCGCGCCGACGATGAGGCCGGGGCGCAGGATGACGCAGTGCGCGAAGCCGAGCGCCTTGACGCGGTCCTCGAGCTCGCCTTTCATGCGCGTGTAGGGGAAGATCGAGGCGGCGCTCGCTTGCGCCGTCGAGACGAGCACGTACGTCGTGATGCCGGCGGCCTTGGCGGCGGTCGCCAGCGCCAGGTTCAGCTCGTAGTCGATTTGGCGCTGGGCGTCGAGCGAGCCGGCTTGTGCCCGTGTGGTGCCGAGCGCGGAGACGAAGATGCTGGATGCCGGTGCGGGATTGGGGATGTGCGTGGGCCAGGTTGGTGGCGCGGCGGATTCGTGCTCGGCGTCTGCGGGGAGGGTGGACAGGCGAGGGGAGCTGTGTGGGAGGGGGCGCCGCGTGAAGGCGTGCGTGTGGGCGATTTCGGGGCGCGCGATTAGGGTGGAGAGGATGTTGGAGCCCTGGGGTGCGTGAGTATGTGATGTGTGGGGTGGGAGGAGCGGCGTACGACGAGGCCGGTGCTTCCGGCGAGGAAGGCGGTGGTGGTGGTGGACATGTTGGTGGTTGGTGGTTGGTGAGGTCAAAACCGGGCGGGCCGGAGACAGTGTGATGGATCGGAGCTTAAGCTTGCCCGCAGCTGCTCCCCCTCCCTTGCCTCGCCGATCATGATGCTCCCGCGGCGATACACCCGCCTGTCGCGCCTGCCAAGGACGCTACTGTTCGACCTGCTGCCAGCGCTACTGCTGCTCTGGTCCATCGTCGAAGTCATCAGCATCCGGCGCGCCCTGCAAGCCTCGGACGCCGCAGCTTCGCAAGCCGCCCACGCCTTCCAGCCGGGGGAGAAGGTCTTCATCTCGAGCATCCACCTGCACGACGAGCCGCTCCTACGCGCGCACTGGAACACGGCCGTGTTCGAGCTGGCGCAGGCCCTCGGCCCGGCCAACGTCTTCGTCAGCATCTACGAGAGCAACAGCTACGACGACACCAAGGGCGCCCTGCGCGAGCTCGACGACAACCTCCGCCGCATCGGCGCCCGCACCAACATCGTGCTGGACACGGCCACGCGCGAGCAGGAGCTCCGCCGCGACGACGCCGCCGATGGCTGGGTCAGGACCCCCGAGGGCAAGCGCGAGGTCCGCCGGATCTCGTACCTCGCCCGTCTGCGCAACCGCACGCTGCAGCCGCTTGCGGACCTCGAGAAGCAGGGCTTCCGCTTCGATAAGGTCGTCTTCCTCAACGACGTCGTCTTCACCGTATACGCTCCCCCCCCACACACACACACGCACACGCACGCACTAACAAACCCAATCAATCCCAGGCACACGACGTGCTCAAGCTCCTCGCCACGCACTCCGGCCACTACGCCGCAGCCTGCGCGCTAGACTTCAAAGCCCCGCCAACCTTCTACGACACGTTCGCCCTGCGCGACCTAGCGGGGCATCCCCCGCTGCACCCCACGTTCCCGTACTTCGCGGCGCCCGCCTCGCGCAGGGCGCTCAAGGCCGGCGCCCCCGCCCCCGTGCGCAGCTGCTGGAACGGGCTGCTAGCCATGGACGCGGCGCCGTTCTACACGAAGCTGGCACCCTTGCGCTTCCGGGCGCTGCCCGACGCGCTCGCGTCGACCCACCTCGAGGCGTCCGAGTGCTGCCTCGTGCACGCAGACAACCCGTACAGCGGTGCGCACGGCGTCTTCGTGAACCCGGCCGTGCGCGTCGCGTACAACAAGGTGGCGTACGACGGCGTCAATCCCGCGCCTGGGGGCGGCGGGGCGTGGGTCTCGCTGTGGCGGCTGTGGCAGGGCGTCTGGGCCAACAGGGGCATGCGCGTGCTGGGACTGTTGGATCGCACAAGGGCGCACGCGGAGATGGTGGTCGGGGAGCGGGTGAGGGCGTGGGAGAAGCGCATGCGCAAGTCGGAGCCCGGCGCGTTTTGCTCGGTCGATGAGATGCAGGTGCTGCGTATGGATGGGTGGGCGCATGTTTGATCCGACCTTAATCTTGGTTGGGTGCGTTGCTCGAGCACGCTATGCTATGCTATGCTATGCGCTGATCCGCGGCGGTTTGGGGAGAGGGTGCCGTGAGTGCGTGAGGAGTCGTTGTGCGTCACGACTGTGTCTGTGACTGGGTCTGGGACTAGGTGCCGTTGCTGGGCGTAGGTAGGTAGTAGGTACGGCCTATGTGGCCTAGTGGGGGTTCCGTGGTCAGAGGCGGCCTGTGCTGCTGCGGAGGGGGGTACATAAAGCTGCGCGCGTGCGCGAGCTCTCTTGCTTCTGTATTATATCTTGCTATTTATTTTTGCTATTTATTTTTGCTATTTATTTTGCTATTTATTTTGCTATTTATTTTGCTATTTATTTTTGCTATTTACGCTGCTATTTACTTTGCTATCTTGCTATTTACCTGCCATTTACACTGCCATTTACACTGTTATCTACTTCGCTATCTATATTACTATCTACGCTGCTACTTACTTGCTATCTACTTTACTATCTACACTGCTATCTATCTACTATCTACCTCACCATCTACATCACATCTATCCTTACATCTACTTACTTACTTACTTTATATCTATCTACCTTTCCTATTTATTACTCTTATCTATCTCCTTTGTTTGCCATATAAGACTATATATCCCCGCCATTTACCCCCCCGATCTACTCGCCTATCTCTGCTATTTATGCCCCTGCCCCATGATGAAGTGTCGTTTTTCGTCTTTGCTTTTCTCTGTTTTGTTTTATGTTTGTTTTGTTTTGTTTGTGTTTGGGGCTTGGGCGTTGGGTGTTTGGGTTTGTCGGTGGCGGTGGTGGTGATACGTTCTTCTAGGTAGAGCCTGTCAATCTGACTTGGTGTTCTCGTGCCTTGTGCCTTGTTGTGCCTTTTCGTCGCGAAATCTTGGGATGTGCTCTCGTGGTTTGAGATATCTACACCGTGTGTATCTTGACAGGCCGAGCTGGTCCTATATGGTTTCGGGGGGCTGCGGCGGAGTGCTGCATGCGTCATGTAGGGAGCCGTAGGTATGTAGTATGTAGTATGTAGTACTCGATGCTACAAGGTAGAAAGAAGTACGATATGGTTACGATACACGCACGGCTCCGTGTCTGCGGATCGCGCCACTAGAACGGCAGTCTGCAGCAAGTCTGTTCCGAGCCTGAACCCGGTGTTCGTGTTCTTGATCTAGGCCGTGTCACTGAATCTGTACATCGTCTCGTCTAGAGATCGCTGTCGCGGCGGCACTGCGTGCATGTTGTGCTGTTACGTTGCGTTGCACGACAGGAGGGAGTGTATTTGTTAGATACGAAGGAGTAGTCTGCAGGGCGTGTGTAGAGGAGGCTTGGTGTCTACTATCACAGGACTAATAATGACCTAGCAGTGGTTAAAGAACAAAAGAAAGAAAGAAAGCTCGCGTCTTAGCTTCCTAGGCGCCAAACCCACTTCCGCCTCACCCACTCATTCACCAACAGCAGTAGCAAGCAAGTAGGTTAAAAATATAACTTTGTATGTCTTGTCTTGTCCTATACTCCTTCTTCCCCTTCTTCCCCGTCTTCTCCGTCTTCTCCGTCTTCGTCTTCGTCCCCTTCCCATGCTCTCCCCGTGGTATTTACAAAACAGATTACGATATAAGCAATAATAAACAATAGAAGCCGCCAACGCCCACGAGGATGCCTTGTCCATCAACATAGGAAAACCGAATTAAGCCGGCAGCGGGAGTGGCGGAGAGGCAGGAGGCAGAGGTAGAGGCGGGAGGAGGCAGAGGAGGCGTCAAAGGAACGAGACGAGAGGAGAGGAGAAGCAGCAGCAACACTGCGCTACATCTCACTCATCCTGCCCATCAAGCCAACGACCTCATGCGCGTCCCTCTCAGCCCTAACCATCCTCCTCTTAACCTCCAAAACATCGGGTTCAACCCTCACCGGCAGCAGAGCGGGCCTCGCCCTCTTGTCGCCAAACCCGTCGACGGCAATCACAAGCGGTTTGAACAGTCAGATGCCGGTGCGCTTGAGCACGTACGCGGCCGCAATCGGCCAGCCCAGGATGCCCGTCGCCAGCGGCACGTACCACGAGGCGGTGCGCCAGAGCTTGGAGGCGTAGAAGCCCGGGTTCGGGCGGTGCGCCGCCATGGTCGTCGGGTAGCGGCCGACGGGGTGCGGCTCGTGGAGCAGGCGAGAGGCCATGCGGCTGAAGGCGCGGATGGGCGAGGCGCGGAAGGACATTTTTGTTGGTTGGTTTTGGTTGGTGGTTTGAGAGAGGAGGTTGGTTGGTTGGTTTTTGGTTTTTGGGTTTTGGTTTGGTTGGTGGAGAGGAGTGCTGGTCTCTTTTGTACAGTGAAGAGAGGAGAGTCGAGTCTAGAGGAAGAAGCTCTGTCGAACTGAATGATCTGTCTTGCTGATGAAGATGAGGCATAACCAAACGCGGCGACACGCTCCAATAAATACCTACAACCATCCTCTCAGCCCAACCCCAACTCCCGCGCCGCAAGGCCGCAGGCAGAACTCGCGCAGCCCATCCCATCCATCCAACATGACGATTCTCGCGCATCACGCCAGCGCGCGCAGGCACCCAAGAGCCGCAAGCGCGCTAAAACCCAGGCGCAGTCAGCCTGGGCGGGCGATCCCCACGCCGCACGCACCCGCATCACACGACCGGCCCTGCCCTTTCCCCGGACTGCGAGCGCAGCCCGGGAATGATGCGCGGCAGGGGCGTCGGTGACAGGGCGCCGGGCCTGTCCGGGACACCAAAAACGGAACCGCACTAGTGCGTGCCCGGTGCAAGCGTGCAAGTATGGGGACAAGGGGCCGCAGGGCTGGCCGAGGCTGGCCCATGCGCCACGGATTGCCATTTGCGCGTGGCGAGCTGGTGGGCTGATGCTCGGGCCTGCACCGCGAGACCGTGGCCTGACACGGCCTCCTGGTGGTGTGCTGCTGCTGAGGGGAAGGGGAGGGGATGCTCTCGTCACTCACACTGGGGGCCAAACGAACTGGTCGGATCTGGCCGATGGACGAATGAACGAATGTGCGTTTCTTGCCTTTGGCTTTGGTGCTTCGCGACACGTGCACGCGTGCGGAACCGTGGTTCGATGCAACGGCTTGCGGCTTCGATCGCATCGTGGGCGCCCGATCCCGATGCCGTGGTTCGTTGTTGCGTTGCGTTGCGGTGTGTTGTGTTGGTTGGAGCCTTGCGTGCCTTGCGTCGTTGCCGCTGTGCTGCTGTGCTGCTGCGCTGCGGCTGCGGCTGTCGTGCTCTCCTGCTGTGTCACGCCATCGGTTTTGTGACTCTGTTGCAGATTGTTTGTGCGATGGGGAGATGGATGCGTACATGGGCGGTTGAGAGTCTTCACGACGACGACGACAAAGGTGCTGCTGCTGCTGCTGCTGCTGCTGCTGGACGAGCATATGCTGCTCTTTCTCTCTGCCATTCCTAGCTAGTCGTCGCTACCTATGCGTGTCTTCTCGCCCTGCTGCTTATACTGTCGAACGTCGACGTCCCATTGTCGCAGAACCACGCCTCTTCTATCCACTAACCCCATCTTCAGCAACCCTTCTAACCAGACACTCACCCTGCCTTGTCCAGGCAGTTGGACCAACCAGACCCCTCTCACGCTACCCCCGACGAAACAAACAATCAGACCCCAGATCGACCGTCCTCCCGCACGCCTCCCGACGGATAGGATATGGGGAACCATGGTCCATATATCTGCAACGCGACGGCGGCCGGGCGCCAACACCAGCGCCAGGCTCGCGGGTTCCCAGCAGCGGGCACTTCCAGTCCCACAGTGTCGCCATCCCCGAGCCCATTAAGCTTATTAGCCCGTCCCGTCCCCAGAAAACACTCTGTCGTTGGGTCCTCTGCAATCAATCTGGCGTACCTATGGCGCCATGGCCACCCCTACGCCAGATCGAATTTCCTCGTCGAGGCGAGCGCACCCGGTTTTCTCAGACGACGCCAAACACCACGTCGCCAGATCCTCGCCAGATGTTGTTCGACTCTCGCCTGAAACAGCACCGCCACGGGCCACACCCACTCACAACTCATCCAAACCCACGCGTGCGTACGCTCGGCCAGCGCCCAGTGGCGACGGCCCGTCTCTGCACACCCGCCAAACATCCATGCTGCGTTCCCGCTCCCGCTGTTGTGGACAGGGCCCCCCTCATTTCTTGAAGCCCTTGTCCAGCTTCGCAAGCGCCGCCGCCTTCTCCGCATCCACGCGCGCCCCTTGCACCTGCGCCGGCAGGTCCCGCATCACCTGCTGCATGAGCTGCTCCAGGTTCGGCGGCTCGCCGGGCTTGCCTGACCCGATTTTCGGGAGCGCTGGCTTGCCCGCTGCCGCTGCCGCTGCCGCTGCAGCCCCGACCCCCGCTGCGTCGGCCGCCGCCTGCACAGCCGCAGCGGCTGCCTTCGCACTGGCCGCTGCTGAGGCTGGTGCGTCCTTGCGCCGAAGTCCGACCTGGCCACGCTGGTCCCAGAACGTCTCGTAGCCGTGGTGGTCAAGCACCTCGTGCGGCACGACGCCTTTGGGCTCCAGTTCGCGGATGAGCTCCTGGTTCTCCTTGTTGCCCTCGAGCAGGAAGCGCAGACACATGATGGCGTGCTCCTTAATGTACGGGTTGTGTTCGTCGTACTGACAGCAGTTGAGGATGGCTTCAATGCCCGCGTGCGTGCGCACCTGGTCTTGCACCTTGCGGCATTTCCACACCAGTGACGTGAGCACCAGCACAGTGAGCTTCTTGAGGTTTCGCCATTCAAAATCGGATGGCTCGTCAGCGGGCTCGTCCACATAAGCACTATTGGACGGGGCGGGCAAGAAAGGTTCTGACGGAATCGCGGCGGCCGTCGAGCTGATGGATGGTGCAGTGACGTCGTACGGACGCTCAACTGCCACGGGTGCGGGGCTCTGTGGTTGCACAGGGCTTGGCGCTGGTGGTGGGTTCTGCGGACGGGGCTCCATGCCGGCGGGGGGCCTCTTAGCCAAGAGCGTGCCCTTCGGAATAGCAGCATCGAGTTCCTTCAGCAGAGTGACCAGCTCGCTGGTAATCTCCCAGTCTGCCATCATCTTCTTCCATACGTCGTGTTCGGTGAGAATAGCAAAGAACTCGAGGTACTGGTAGACTCCCTCGTACATGCGCTCCATGTCCCAAAGATTGAGCGGGAAGTCCTCGGGATGCGCGTGTCCAGCCCTGATTTGTCCCTGCAGGAAGATGAGAGCGCAGGTCTGAGGGATGATGTGCCGGCGGAATTCGGTGAATAGGAAGTTGACCATGTGCACATCGACCTTTAGCGGGTACGTTGGTGCTGCGTCTTTGCTGACATTCTGCGCCAGCGTTTGGCGGGACTTGAAGATGTTGGTGAGCAGCTTCATGATGACCGCCTGCGCTGGAGAGATGATGTCCTTGGACCTAAGGAGAGATTTACTTGGTTAGTCGGTAGGGTTCTGACAAAGCAGGATGATTAACTCACTCTCGGAAGGCATGGTAGGAGAACGGCATCAGGCCGTTCATAAGAATCGCCTCCATGATCTTGACCATGAACTTAAAGTAAAGCTCCTCCTCGCGGAGATCCCACGCCGCAACGAAGATCAGCAGCTCGCGCAGAAGGTTTCTGCCGTTGTCCTGAGCCAACAACAGGTGGCAGCGAACGGTGTGCATGTTCTTGATGGCAGCCAGTTCCTCTGAACTGGTACCGTAACCAGGCGTGCCATCTGCGGGAGGGACAATGCCTGACATGATGATCATAGGCAATACCTCGATCTCGGAGGGGCCCAAGATCAGCGGCACGTCAGTGAGCAGACCACGACCATCGTCTCCCGGCACGACAAAGTCCTCGTCCTCGCTGTCCTCTTCTTCGCTGACTTCGTCGCCCATGTCCTCGGCAGGCTCCGTTGCATTCGGCGATGCTGGCGATTGGATAGGCGAAGCAGGCGAGACCTCGGAAGCCCCCTGCGGGACACGCTCCGGAAATGTCTCGAGGCGCTTCATCAAATCATCTTTGCCATCTTGCAGTATTCCTGCACCGTAGTCGGCCGAGTAGGTCATGCGAAAGTCCGATTCGCTAGCTGGGGGCGGCTCTGGCACTTCCGCGCTAAGTGGAATGTAGTTGTTGTTGACGTCTCTCAGCGGCAAAGCCGGATAGTTTTTCAAGATGTCGCTTGCCGTAAACTGTGGTTGGACAGTGGGTGGAGTGGTGGTCTTGGATGATGGTGCCAGCATTGCCTTCTTCATCCGATCTACCTCCATTTGCAGTTGGTTGATGCTTGCCGCGAGCGCGGCTACATTCTCTTCATTTGAAGCATTCGGATCAGGGCCGGATTTGATCGATTTTGCGGTTGAAATTTCCTGGCGGTATTTGGCGATGAGGTCCGTGTAAAGGGTATGCCACTCGTCCCGTTGCTCCTGCGGCATCTCTTGCCACCTCTTCTTGCATTCCGTAGCAATCTCGGTAGCGCCCGCTTTCTCGCCTCTCGCAGTAAGATCGCGCTTGACTTCCATTCCGATTTTGCCAATGTATAACAGGAAAGGCGAGGATGCGGGTTGTTGAGAGCCAGGCGGGAACGAGAAATTCTCGCCGAAGAGCGTCTTATCCACAGCAGGCGGCCATACTTCCGACCTGCCACTCGGGTCGCGGGGGTATTGTCTGAGCATTCCATCCGGAGAGCTGTCGAAAAGCTCCACCCAAAGCATGAGTTTCCGGCGCTCGTTTCGGGCCACGAGGTTGTTGAGGAACTGCAGGCACGTAATGAGGAGCTTCTTGTCTATAGAGACTAGTCAGCGACCGCTACAGAGCGCAAGTGCGTGTAGACTTGTACTCACAGGAATTGACAACATCCTGCCACTTGTGTTCGTCCGAGGTTCCCGCATCACCGTCGAAGCCTCGCGCGGTGACTTTTACACACACGCTGATGAGCTTGAAGACTTCCTGGTCAAACTGCGACTTTGCTGCCAGGTCCTGCGCTGTTTCTCCCGTTGTGAGGGCGTTTCGGCCGATTGAAACGAGGTCGTTCAGACGCTCCAGGTCCTTCATGAGGCTACCGTAGTTCGCCGCGATCAACGTGCCGGACGCGCCTTCGAACTCAGGTGCCGCGGGGTCCGCCGGGGCAAACGAGCGCTTCTCGAGAGACGGAACGGCATTCTCGAGGAGTTCACAAAGATCGCTCCACATTTTCGAACAGTTGCCGATTGATTTGCTGCCAAGGACAGTCAGTTCAACGCCGATCACAGGCAGAAGGCGAGAGCTGGTGGTAGGCGCAGGACGTACCGCACTTCAGGCTCCTTGATGGTGCGGCGCAACATCTTCTTGCAAACTTCGCCGAGCATACTCATCATCTCCACCTTGATATATCCGGGCGACTTGAAATGGACGATCCATGGCTGGAGGACGAGGCGCAATTGCGTGGTGTACGGATCGGCCTGTGGCGGCGGCGCGTCCTCGAAGACGTCGTCCATGTTGTTGACGACCATGTAGCGTTCTGGAGCTTCGAAGGAAGGACTGATGGCCTCGGTGGCCTCCGGAGGGCTTGTCGCGCTCATGGCGGTAGGTGGCGATGATTTTCCGCCGCGGACGCCGCCGGGAACTTTTGGATCTCAGCCCTACGACTTGGCGCACAGGGCAGGTGCGGGGTGCGATATCTGACTAAGAACTTGACGTGAAACTTCACCTCCCTCTGAGGCTCTGACGGAACATCTAACTAATCAGCTACTCGTTTAAGGTGAAAGCACCTCGTGTGTAAATCCCTGGAAAGCAGACCTAGGTCAACTAAGAGTAAGCCGCGTCTGTCTCGCACCTGCGGATGTAGAGATACCGGCCTGTACCTATAGCAGATGCCAGTTTTCAACCGCATAAGACTTATTCGTTACCTATCGTGATCGTAGTCTTGTGGAAACGCAAAGTGGCCTTCATGCAGTCGTGAAGAGGCTATTTATTTGAGCTAGGCAGAGCTGCTCATGCGGCCACGATTAACCAGACCAGGGTCAGACTTTCGCGCTATCTCCACCCTATCACATCATCACCACCTTGTATGGGATATACGTAAGTAGCACCAGACATCGCATCAAGACTTAAGACAGCTAGAACAACTGTCTGTTAAGCATCTATACACGGCTTTAGTTGTACTTTTCTAATTAAACAGTCGCCTTGCCATTGTCATCCCCACCTCCATCTATCTCTCATATCCGCCTCTCTACCTATCAAACAAACCCCCATCTATACCCTTTCAAACTGCTTTCTCTCCCATTTCAACCAGGTCATCCTCCAACATGTCTTCCACCGCCAAACCCAAATCAGAACACATAACACCACGCATCATCATCCACGGCGGCGCAGGCAACATAACCCGCCACACCCTCTCCAGCATCGACTATCAAGACTACCGCACAGCCCTCCACGACATCCTCATAAAATCATACACGCGGCTTCTCGCGCCCAGAGCCACAGCCCTGGACGTGGCCACGCACGCCGTGACGCTCTTCGAAAACAACGCGCTTTTCAACGCAGCCCACGGCGCCGTCTTCACGCGCGCGGGCACCAACGAACTCGAAGCCTCCGTCATGGTGTCTCGCGGGCACCACAAGCGCGGCGCAGGCTGCATGCTAATCAAGCACGTCAAGAACCCCATTTTGCTCGCCAAGGAACTGCTCCTCCGGGGCGACGCAGTCGACGATGGCGGCGCAGGCGCGCACTGCCAGCTCGCGGGGGCGGAGGTCGAGAAGCTCGCTCGGGCATGGGGCCTCGACATGGTGGAGCAAGAGTACTTCTTCACGCAACGGCGATGGAAGGAGCATTTGCGAGGGCTGGAGCGCGAAAAGGCGCCTCCTACCCCCACAAACACTTATGACAACGACGACAAGACTACACTCCTCACGGCGCCAGCATCCACGTCCACCGATCCTACATACGACCCCACGCGCTACCTCCCACAAGGCACCGTCGGCGCCGTCGTCCTCGACTCCTCCGGCACCATCTGCGCCGCCACCTCCACCGGCGGCCTAACCAACAAGCTCCCAGGCCGCATTGGCGACACGCCCACCCTAGGCGCCGGGTTCTGGGCTGAGGAATGGACGGAGCCCCTTCCCCCACGCATGCTCTACCAGCCACAACAGCAGCAGCAGCAGCAGCAGCAGCAACCACCACCAACCCCGCTGGACAAGCTCTCCCGCGGTGACCTCGCCAGCATGCTCACAGACTGCATCCCCACACTCACACCACCCCAATCCACCCCTCCAGCCCCAAAACCCCAGCCCCGGCACCACGCCCTCGGCATCTCCGGCACCGGCAACGGCGACTCCTTCCTGCGCACCAGTGCCGCCCGCACCGCAGCCGCGCAATCGCGCTTCGCAACCCCGAACCTCCCCCTCTCCGCCGCCATCGAAAGCATGGCCGGCCCCGGCGGCGAGCTCCAACGCAGCGCCGGCGACCGTTGGAACGACCCCAGCTCAGGCGAGGGCCAGGGCGGCATGATCGGCATCGAGCTCGTCGACGGCGTCGGTGAAGTGTGCTGGGATTTGAACTGCGGCGGCATGTTTCGTGCGTGGGTGGATGAGGAAGGCCGGGCAAGGGTTGCTGTTTATGCTGATGAGGAAGGGGATTAGATGCTACGAACATATTTGATCCAAGGCTTATATCTGCACTTTGTGATTTTGATAATAATAATCATCATCATCAAAATTTTAGAGTTTGTGGCGATGATCATCATCGTCACGCAGAGAGTTGAGTTGATGGTGATGATCATCACCAAAATCGCAAAAAGCATAATTGAACCTTGGGTTGGCTTACTTTCCCATTGATTTTGGATACCGGTGGTATACGCCCTCAAGTATCCAAAAATAAAGGTTCCCGTACACAGCCTGACCACCCACATCATCACTCGCTTCAATTGTCTGAGCAGCTGCCGTGCGTGCATATCTATCCTAGCCCCGCTATTATCACACACAGCATCGCCACCCACATCGCATCATGTCACGTCGCAAGCCCAGCCCAGCTCTCGTCCATGCGCATGCGTATTCGTCTTTCTTGATCTAAAAGCGAGTCTATCGGATATGTATATACGTGCAGCACGCGCAGGCGTGCCCACGAGAAGGATAAGAAGAAAAGGATAAAGATAAAAATAGGGAGGAGGAAGCACTAGAGCGGAGAAGAAGAATAAGAAGATGATGAAGAAGAAGCAGAAGCATGAGAAAGACGGTAGAGCAGAGCAGGCAAGCGCACGCATTCTTCCAACCCAGAAAATGAGACGCAGAAGACAGAACCAGAAGGCGAAAGCCCAATCCTCGTGCTCGAATAAATGCAAACAAGCGTTCCGATGCGTGCGTGACTCCTACACCCAACCCACTTCACCACAACCACCTCCTCCCTCCTCCTCTTCCCACAATCTCCGCTCTTCTCACGCTCTCGTCGCATCCGCAGACGCTCTATGCTGCTGCTGCTGATGCTGCTGCTGCCTCCCCACGAAATCCTGCTTCCCACCGCGGGGACGATGATGATGGCGTCCACCACCACCACCACCACCACCACGAGGTGCCGTCGGCGCAGAACCCGACGCCGGAGGCGGAACAGGAGCTGTATTTTCGACGCCCGCTGCCGCTGGTGCAGCAGGAGCGGCATTTTCCTTCAGCGTTGCAGACTTCTTGCCGTCCCGCTGCTGCTGCGGTTTCGGCGTCTTGCCATGCGGTTTAGACTTGGGCTTAGCATTGGCAGGCCTGCCGTCCTTGTCCTTGTCTCTACCGCCCTTCTCGCCCTCCTGTTTCTGCCTGCCTGCGCTCTCCGCTCCCGCACCAGCAGCATTAGGAGCAGCAGCCGCACCAGCAGCGCTCTTCTTCGCACCCTTGCCCGCACCGCCAGCAGCAGCAGCACCACCACCAGCCCCGCCCTTCGCGCTCTTCCCCGCGCCCTTCCCCCTCCCAGAACCCTTCTGGGCCTTCTGCGACGCGCGCGCCTCCTCCTCCATCACCCGCCTGCTCTCCTTGTCCCACCACTCCTGGAACTCCTGCTCCTGCTGTATCTCCTGCAAGCTGCGCTTGGCGGCCGCCTCCTTGATGACGTCTTTCTCGGCCTGCTGCTGCGAGAGGATGTCCGCCATCGACAGCTGCAGCGACGCTTCGGCGCGTTGCTCCTGCTGGATATGCCGGATCGACTGCGGCGTTGCGGCCGCGGTGCTCTGGCTGATGGCGAAGCCTTTGCCCGAGGCGGGCCGGGGAGTTGTTGCTGAGGACTCGTTCGCTTGTTGTGGAGAGGGTGCGGGACGTCCGCTGAGTTTGCGTGCGGGCACCGCTGAGGCTGTGGATGCGGAGGGGGATGCCTGCGCTGCGTTGATAGCCGGAGTGGACTGCGCTGGCGATGCTGGTATAGTGGCTTTTTGCTTTGCGGTCGGGCCGTTGTTGGCAATGGTTTGGCGCATAGTGAGGGCCGGTGCACTTGTCGTACGACTCGCCGGACTGGGGGACAGTGCAGGTGGAGACGTCAAGATGTCCTTGAGCGCGACCTGGGCACTTGGAGAGCGCGTCTGCCAAGGTGACGCAGGCTTCGATTCGTTGGCTAGGCTCGCGACAGCTCGGGCTTGGGCCTGGGCTTGAGCTTCTTGCTGCGCTTGCTGTAGCTTCTTGCGCTCTTTCTGCGAAAGCTTTGTGATACTGGATGAGCCGCTGGCCTTTTCCTCTTTCTTGGCCTCTGCGGAAAGAGCCAATGAGATGGCCGAAGGTTTGTCTGATGACGTCTGAGCCTGAGCCATGATGTCCTTCATATCTAGCTTGGTTGATTGTAATGGCGCAGCACCCCAAGGCTTGTCCGCAGTTCTGTTAATGGGAGCCGCCTTCGCAGCCAACGATGAAGCCTCGAGCGTGTTTGGTGTGGCCGAGGAAGGGCTGATGAACGTAGGCTCTAGACTTGCTGTTTTGTTGTCTTGCCAAGGGCTGGCAGGAGACTTAGGGTTAAGAGAAAACGCCTTGACAGGGCCGCCGCTCTGCGGTTCATCGAGCTCGAGGTCGATATCGTCGATGCCGGTATCGTCTCCATCCTCATCCATATCAAACATGAGGTCGGCAGCAGACTGCTTCCCTTTCAGAGGAGTGAGTGAAGGGCTGGCAGCTCCCGCTTTGACGTCTTTGCCCGATCTTCGCGCCTTCTGCTGCATAGGTGACCTCTCGTCGAAGCTGCCAGCCCGCAGCGAGGTAGACATCCGAGCATCCGCATCCGCGTACTTGCCTTGCAGAACTATTGAATCAATCTTGGCCTGCCTGCCGCGATCAATGCGTTCAGCAAGCTCCGGATACTTCTCCAACAGCAATGCTTCGCTTCGTCCACTTCTCGCGAAAGGAAGGCATGCCAACTGGTTCTCGCGAACCACTTGATCAAGCTCGAACAACAAATCTTCATCCAACTCGTCAAGGATTCTGCCACATTCAGTTAGCATTAAAATTCCACGGAGATGCTATACCACATACCCGTTTTGCAAGACAGCCTCGAGGCTTAGGCAGATGTACTCGAGCGCCGCGTCCTTGAACTCGGTAACAGAACATGCGGAAATCGCATTTAACATTTGGCAGACGTTGCGCACGTTGACGTAGCGACCAATTACTTGCTGACAAACTTGAGAGAGTCTGTCAAGCATAAGCTCATTAGCAACAGACATGACGTCCAAGATGTGATCCAAGAAATCACTTAGAGCAAGGAAATCTCCAAGGTTGTCCGATACAAAGTCGTCGAAGATCTCGTCACCGGAGTCCGCGTAAAGATGCCGAAGAACAAGTTTGAAGATGTCCACCTGGATATGCTTCAGGTCGATTCTAATGGTATCCTCGGATTCGGTGCGTCTTCCGGCTAACCATAGGCCGGCAGCGCGACCCTTGAACATGCCCTCGAAGAAGGGACACCGTTGGACCATGAGACTGCTGTGCACAGGGAGTTCTCCATCGGCAAGTTCGAGGATGATATCGGCATCGTCAAAGAAGGTGGAATCTTTGATAGCCAGCTCCATATCAGTTGTCAGGCAGCGCCTGGGTCTGACCATTTGGCGTACCGCAGGTTCAAGCTGCTTCAATTCAAGCCGCGAAGAAATCTTCATAAGCTCCGTCCGAATTTGACGGTACCGGAACGCCAACTGAGGATACTGCCGCGTGTAATGCCAAAAGTCGACGACGTTATCGGTGTAGATGTATAAAACAAGGTCAAACAAGGTCAGTACATCCATACCCTGAAGCATGACGACAGTCTGGCCACGATCGTCCTGTTCAAGAGACAGAGCCTCTGATACACTGAAGCTACCATGTTGGCGTAGCTCCGCTAGGCCTTGCCGCATGATTTTGCTGCGACCGGCAAATAACCACTGGTGCACCGGTACGCGTACATCGGAGACGGTTGACCCTATCACCATGTCGTAGGTGCTATCACTGTCGTCTACATATGTGCGAAGCATGCTTGTTAGCTCCTGCTCAAAATCCTTCGACTCAAGCGCGCGCTTTGTGATCCGCTGTATCTCGGTAGGTTTTGTCCAGAAGGCTGGCAGCGGTTCTTCATCCTCAGAGTCCTCCCCGTACTGTGCCCAACCCTTCAATGGTAAAAGTGGATAGACATCGTCCCACAGCATAGGCGAGTCGACAACGATTTGACTCTTCGTGACATCGCAGTCTTTTCTGACTGCCGCATACGCTCCAAATGCTGAGGCCCTCACAGCCGTCACACGAGTGAGACCAGGCACCCTGGAAAACTTGTAGTCTTTTGGCTTGTAGTCACCAGTCCCAGCGGCGGAGGCATCCTTGATCTTTGTCCGTTTTACTCTACGCCATACGCTGCCCGCTTCAGTCGTCAAGATGATGGATCCGTCCTGATCAACATCAACATCACGGGCGGCCATGTAACCCTTCTTGAGCGACCATATGCGGTAGGGCTGAGAAAGTGCTCCGCGAATCTTGCTTGGATTCGTTGTTGACGTTGTCTTGTCCTGGCCCGACTCAGTCCTCTTGCTCACTGCGACTGTGAATACCTCGCCTGCACTTGACATGGCGCAAATGGTGTCGCCTCCCGAAGTGATTTTGCAAATCCTGTTCGGGGTCGTGTCATACTTGGTCGTCAGGAAACTGGACTTGAGGAAGTAGTTCGTGAAACCGTCCAGAGGAAAAGACAACTTTGCGTAGCCATAATTGGCAAATACCCAGACCTCGTGATTCTCGAGCAAACAGACCGTGGCGCGGTCGATAGCGTTGACCGAGGCTATCGGGGATGAGAAAAGCGAGGCTGCAACGTTACGTGGAGTAATTTGCATTTCCAGAGAACGAGCATCTGAATCCACGATACCGAGCTGGCCTTCATTCTTACCAAAAGTATAGAGGGCTGTCGCGGTGTGAGCGACGGAATGTATCCGAGAGGCAGCAATCCCAACGACAACTTCCCTCTTCAGGGGTCCGAATATTTGACGTGGCAATGTTTGAATGGGATCCTCGTCATTTGAACCAGTCTTTGGTAAGCTGTATCCCAGCTGACCAAAGCCGTTGTTGCCCCAGGAAAAGATTTCTCCCTCGTCCGACAAAGCCAAGGAGTGATTCTGGCCTAAGGCAACAGTGAGGACTTTCTTTCCTGTCAACGCTCCTCCCTCCAGACAGGCGAATTGGAAATTAGTCCTTTCATGGCCCAGACCAAGCCGGCCACCAGGACCATGACCACACATGTACAGATTAGATTCAGGGTCAGTCGTTAAGACTGCAGTGTGGAGTTTTGACATCTGAACATCCTGAATGATGAGGGGGGTGCTCCGAATGAAAGTCGGCAGGGCCGATACCTCTACGCTCTGGGAAGACGCTATTTGTGAAAAGTCACCAAGCGAAGCATCAATTGCCATCCAAGCGTGATGCTTCTGCTCAAGGTGCTCGCGGTAGAACCTTCGAAGGAGATGATCCGGCCTCCGTAGAATGACACGCTCAGGATACTGTCGATCGTCCTCATCGCCAAAACCCAGCGTGACATTCCTGTTGCTTCCAAACGTGAAAAGCTCGTCTCCCTTAATGTCTGTGATCGGCGACAGTTTCCTTCGTGTGTGCCTCTCTTCACCATCACCCGGATCATCGTAGTCGAAATCGTCTTCGGCCTCTGCTTCGTCCGCGCTTTTCTCATTGCCCTCTGGCCGCAGTGTTCGGTCCTTGATTGTCGTGGCAAAAACGTCCAGTGGACCATTGCCTTCCTTGTCCTTGATCTTTATCAATCCTCCAGCGCCTTGTACTACGCCACCGACACCATGACCTAAAGCGTCCTGAACGTCTCGGTCGATTATAGAGCGCGCAATGGATACATTGCCGAAGTAGAATGCTCGGTGGAGGGCGGTCCATCCGTTTTCAAGGTCTTGTGCGTAGAGGTCCGTCAGAGGGTGCTCGAGGAGGGCTGTGGCAAAGGCGAAGGCGGTCTCGGAGGTCGAGGTGGCGGCGTGGTGGAGGATTGTCAGGCCATTCGCGTCCTTGAAATTGATGTCTGCCCGGGTCAGCGTGACCGCAGACCTTGGAGTTCCGCCAAAACGAGGCCTGGGTAGCACTGTAGGGGAAGTCCCAAGGCTGCCGGGGCTCCCTATGAAGGCACCCGGGTTGTTCTGCGCGCCGGTGGTAATCCTTTGCGCGCCAGGTCGCGCGCTATAGGTGGCACCCTCCAGCAACTGTCGAAAGCCATCGACATCATCTTCGAGGTAGTATTTCCAGAGAAAGCCGCTCATGTGCTGTGGAGGAATCGGAGACGTCCCTATTGCTCCGTGAAGTGCACCTCGCTATGACTGCGAAGAGTCAAAGCGTTTTTAAAGGCGCGCTTTCTGCGAAGCTTAGGAAGACTCCGAGGAGGAGAAAAGTCGCGGGGCGTAAGGAATGGCCCAGCGATGGATGAGAGATAGGTGGCGAGAGCCGCGTAGGCGGGATAGCTGTCAGAGTACTCGAGTAGCAAGAATCGCGTGTGCTGTCGATGAGGATAGGTCGGCGGAGGTTTCGCGCTTGTCTGAAGAGCTATGCGACTGTGTGTCGAAGAGTGAGAAGGATAGCGGGTGGCGAAAGTGCGGCGTGGGCGCGGGCGTGTCGATGACGGAGGAGAGCGCGGGACCGCGGAGAGATTAGGCGAGCAGATAAAACCCCCGGAATGCACAAGACACACTTGAGGTTTGTTGGGGATGACGGTCGTATGTATACTCGAGTACCCTGACGGCTATCTCAGGCGCGCTTGTCTCATTACGATGCCTTTGTCGACTTCATTCTTGGTTATGTGTTTGCCGCAACCGATAGGCGTCGAGCGTTCCCACACGTGCACCATGTGCCCCCACTGCGCTTTGGGATTCGGTGGCATTGTCCTGCTGACTCTGGCACTGGACTTCTGGAGCCATCTTCAACTTGTCGTTGGCAAACACCATGAGGGGTTCCGCAGGGCCGGTCTGCGATCTCGACTACCCTGCCACCTCCTTGCGCGCGGGGTAAGTCATCCCGTCACATCTACCCGGAACAAAGATGAAACATCCACCCTCTGGAATTTCAAATTCGATATTATCGCTAAAGTACATAATACTATTGTGGCTTAAGACTTAAAGAGTAGCGAGAGTCGTAGCGTCATAACCTGTGCTGCTCGACAGGAGATTATCCCGAAAGAAAATCCAAGATCGCTCACATCAGGACAAGACTAACAACGAGCGCCATCGCCAGAGACCCCATGGCAATCGTAGTAGATGCAGCTGCGTTACCTTGAACCGAGGTAGCCCTAGCACTGGCAGCAGTGCCTGAACCCGATGCCTCTGTATCATTGCCGGTAGCTTGCGCAACGCGAATGCCGTATGTGACTCCGGTCACTGTGCTGCCACTGACAGTGCTAGTATAGGTGCTTGTTGCGGTCGTCGTAGCAGTGCAAGCCGTCCAAGCCGTCCAAGGCGCATTGGTTTTCCATCCGTCTGCGGTCCAGCCCTCCCAGGTAGATCCGGGACAGCCTTTGGACTCCCACCTGAAATTTAAGTTAATAAACAGGTATATCTGTAGGTAGATGGATTTACATACCATGAAGTCCAGGCACCTGAAGTCCAGTTTCCAGAGCTACCCCAGGGGCCCCAGGCACCGCCGAAAGGTCCACCATGGCTACGGCCTCCCCGGGGACCGTCAGTTGTCCATGGACCGGAACCACTGCTCCACTTAGTCGTCCAAGATGGATCTGCGCCCTGGCTCCCAGGTCCGTGGCCCCAGGACCCTCCGGTCCACCCAGTCGGTGCACCGGGAAGACCTGTTGAAACCGCGGAGACCCACGAACTCCAATCCGAGGTTCCCCAGGAGGTTCCACTCCAAGATGTTGGCCAGGATTTCCCTCCAGAGGTCGCGGAGAACTTCGCCTCGGGGCTAGCAGTTACAGTGCTTCCGGCGTCCGCGCACAGCTGGGCAATAGCTTGATATGAAGCTTTTTGTCAGGCATGTCAGCGATCCAAGGTACCATCGCATGTCAGAATAAATTTGGCCTTACCATCTTTGTCTGCGTCATTGCAATCAGATGAAGAGCTGATGCAGGAATTGACCTTATCAAGAGCAGTGTTGTTGTTGCAAAGGCATTTCCAGCCGTCTTTCCAAGTGCAGCCGGAGCCGTCCCAGTCATTCATACAGCCATGCTAGGAGAGAACGTCAGCGCTTAGGTTCAATTGTGCCTCGAAGGCGGTGATATACATACTGCGCAACCTGGAGACCGTGCAGCAATGACAGAAGAGATGGTAAGTGCTGACACGGCAGCAAACAAAATTTGGGCTCTCATGATGAGTTGCGACCGATTGCAAATGCTGTGCTATGATGGTGGAATGGTTTTCCGGTCAACTTGTGGAGGTTAGATATTTAAGGAAGGCCATGCAGCTTTCATATAATAAGACCCTTAACCATTTTACGCGTCCCAGGCGACGTCATGAGCAATCGGTACGCCGAAGGAGAGTGAAAGTTGGCACTGCAAGCGCTGGGGCTGACGCGTTCCGCCGATTATGAGTGTCAGCATCTTGCCTCGCGGCGAGGCTCTTGCTTGCGTGTGCTGGCGGAGTCGGCGGTGATCATCAGCCTTATGATCTCAGCACGATTGGAGCATCTTGTTCCGGAGTTGGAGAGGGGAGCCGAGGACCAGAAGCGAGCCCGGAATCTGCGGAGAGCGACACGAAGAACTGAAACTTTTGCGAGGAAGATGCTCTGAGCTGCTCATGCAGATGGACTCTACGCTGCCAGGGAGCGACGTGGCTTGGTGTGTTGACGCGCGTGTCTGTCTTTAGTGGCTTGAAGTTAATGCCAACGCCCACGAGGAGAGTGCCTTCGGCCGAGCTCAGAACCAGGGTTAATCATGACTGAATTTCCTTTTGCGTAACAAAGGGAGCAGTTCGGAGTCATGTGCACACGGCTCCTGTCCTTGTTGCTTAGTCGCGGTAGATGGTAAATGTTCTTCCGGAAGTTGTTGCATGCTTCGAATAAGTTACACAGGTTGTACAGCTCGAACGGCTGGCAGCTGCGGTCGTCAGGATCACACGATGAAATGAGAAGACTGAAAACATTGGAGTTCAGTTGGAGAATGCTCGTTAATGGCTTCTGGAAAACCTTTAAGAAGACTCAATAGTTTGGTGGTGCCAGCTACTTCTATACGAACCGAGCTCTTTTAAGTTTGAACAAGGTATGTCTGCCGAGACCCAGGTTAGCTGTCTTAATTGACCAACCATGGCCTAAGATTTAGTCACTCTTCGTCATAAGGGAACAAGTATGAAAAGCAGTTATAGGATTACATTTTCTAGATTGGGAAATCATCATGGCCCATTAAAATCCGGACTCCCGCCAACTTCTTAGCTGCTATCAAGTATTCAGGCAAGTAACTCTTTTGATACCAGCTCACTTCCCCTAGCAATGTTCTCTCCAAGCTCTGAGATTGCGATGTTGCTCAGAAGGTCGAAGATGCTAACATTTGCACGTATCTCTCTGAAAATCCAGTTGCGAATCTCGACAGCGACAAGTGAGTCGACGCCATACGCGTTCACTGGCTTCGATGTATCCATGTCTTCGACAGGCATCATCAAGCTTCTGGCCAATTTCGTAGCCAGTGCAGCGATAATGATGTTTCTCGCTTCCATCAAGCTTCCAGCTGCCGGAAGGGCAGTGCGTAAGGATGGCAGTGAAGTATCCGAAAAGGATTCGTCAGAAACGACATCTATCTTTCGCATGTAGGCAAAACGGTTGTCCTGTTAGTAAGTTAGTATATAAAATTTAGAATAAAGATTATTAGTTCTTTACGTGATTCCACATCGGCTCGTCTATGCGATTGTGCTGTAGCATCCCACCGGTGCTAATCCCTACCATTACCTCTGGATGTACTACGGACAAGCCTGTACTGTAACCTGTAATGGCATTTGCCACAAGGGCATGAAGCTCCTATATGTTTGTCAGTGACTTGACCAGTATTTAAAGCACGTTGCCGTAACTAAGACATGGTTAGGCAGAACAAAAGGTACACTTACCTCTTCCGAAATCGTCAGAACCCCCATTCTCTTCAACATCTGCATCAAATCATCTTTGCCTGCCACAAATCCGAGCCCAACAGTAATTGTGAGGTCTAGCGCAACTGCTTTTAACCCCAAAGCACGTCGGTGCTGACACAGGGCCACTTGAAAAGCGTTTCCGGCGGCGTAGTTAGCTTGGCCACGGGTTCCAGATATCCCAGCAACTGAAGAGAACATGACGAAGAAGTCAAGGTCCGGTGGTAACAACTTATGCAGATTCCAGCTTCCCAGAATCTTTGGATTGGTTGCAGTGAGGTAATCAGCATGCGACATGCTTTCGAAAAGAACATCCTAATATAAATTAGAGCCGGTTAGTGATATATGGCTTAGAGAGGCACAGAGGATTGACAAACCTTGAGTGCCATGGCGCTGTTGATGACACCCCTGATTGGTGGCATCTCGTCGTGAGCCATCTGGGCCAGTGTCATTTTCAAGGACTTTTCCTGCGAAATATCGCATCGATACACTCGCACGACCGCTCCATCACTCCTCAGTTCTTCGCAGAATTTGCTATCCTTCTCCGAAGCAATGCCGGAGCGAGACATGGCAGCAAGGTTTCTTGCTCCATGTTTGACCAGCATTCGCATAACACTTTGCCCTATACCACCCAGCCCGCCCACTATGATGTACGTAGCGGTGGGCTCCAGACGCAATGGATGCTCGTTCAATGGCATTATAGGGACCATGGCATCTTTGTTCAATTTCAGGATGGTTTTACTCTTGCAATCTCCATCTGAAGCTTGGCGGAATGCTCCCTCAAGATCAGAACAAGGGAACACGTTGAGCGGAGGAGGGCTGAATGTTGATTCAAAGGTTGTTTGAAGGCCGTGGAGCAGCGACGCACATAACGCAGGGTTGCGAGTCCAAATGTTCTCCAAGTCCACGAAACTGATAGTGACGTTGCGGTCTTTGAAATCAAAAACAGGAGCTGACTGCCTGGCTTGTCTAGTTTTGTAGACTTGCAAGAAGCGACCAACTGGGTATTTGTTAGCTTACTTATAGCGTAGGTGGTCTTGAGGTATCTTACAATGGGTGACGCATTCTGTTGCTCTTTGGAGAGCACTTCCGGTGACGGAGCTAAATACCACGTCCACTCCTCGCCCGTTTGTTATTTGCTTGATAGAAGATGTGAAATATGATGGGCGGCTGTCGAGAATATGGTCTTCGGGAATGCATTGCTTGGTGCGAAGCAATTCACGTTCCTCTTCAACTTCTGTTGTTGCGAAGATTTCTGCTCCACATTGTCTGGCAAGCCGTACTGCTGCTTGACCCAATCCATTTGCTGCATCGAGTACAAGTATCGTGTCAATCCCTTGAAGCCGCGCGACGACGTTGAGCGCATAGTGAGCAGTGGCATAATCCACCGGTAGAGAAGCAGCAACTTCGAAAGATATTGAATCCGGAATCGGCTGGACCATCTCTTGAGGGACGCACAAAGTGCTTCGGTATGCGCCGCGGCACAAAGCCATCACCCTATCTCCAATATTGATTCTGTCGACATTAGAGCCAATGCGACTAACCACGCCGGCAAATCCAAAACCGAGTTCCGCAGTTGAGGTTTGTCCTATAACCGTGAGAGCATCCTGTAAGCTCACATCATTCGCTTCAACGCGGACCTCTACTTTGTTCTCTGTGAGTTGTTCTGGACGTTCCCCATGAACAAAGTGCAAGCTCTTTAGATCTCCAACTGTGCCAACGACAAGATCCAGAGGCGTCTCCCGGGTACCGTATTTCTCTAGCACAGGAGGAGCTGTGCCACATTGCTGAAGTACCGCTTTGTTCATTTTCTTGTACTCTATTATCCGCGGAATATAGATTACGCCACGGCGTTCTGCGAATTCATATTCTTCCACCTTTGTCTTCGAACCAAAAATGGCAGTGAAGGTTCTGGCGATAGCTTTTGCACAGACCAAGGGATCTGACTTTTTCGTAGAAAGGTCAAGGGTGTGCAAGGCAAGACCGGAATCTTCTGAGCGTGCAGATCTGAAGACGCCCATCACTGGAGCAAGACCTGGCCTGGGAGTCTCAAGTTGGGCGCCCTTCGTAACCCATAAAAGCCCGCCCGAAGTTCGGAGCAGTTTTTGAAAAAGCGTAAAGTCCTTCTCGGAGCAACCGTGTAGGAATATGTTCTCAACCTCAAGTAGTGAAATGCAGAGCTTTTGACCCCCGATATCGGATACAGCCTCCTCTAGCGACGCTACTCGCCAATGTATGTTGAAGGAAGAAAGCTGCCGCATCAACTTTATTGCTATAATTCCGATACTGTTTGGATTATGTACTGAGTCGATGATAAGCACTTCTTTGTTGACTATCCCCTCAGCTTGGGCGGTAGATACGACCAACTGGGATAGAAAGCCAGCAACATCAGTGTCGGTTGTGCTGCTGTTCGAATCCGCTGCTAGCTGAAAGTCTATGCCACTGAAATCATTGTGTCGCAGAAGTTTGTCTAAACCACTAGTTCTATAGAAAGGCAGTTGACAGTCTCGTGATCTCTTGTAGGCGGCGTTCGTTGAGAGACTCAGCTCGATAGGAGATGTTTTGCGTTTTCTGATTGGGATTTCACCACTGGGGGATGACTGTTCCATTTCATAGTCCATCTTCTCTGGGTTGATCTTTGGACCTGATGAGATAGTGGATTCGTGCGTCTCCAATGTCTCTGTAAGCAGAAGCCGGCCTCCAATCCGCAAAAGCCTCCTTATCTTCTGGAATACTTCTGTTGTATCACTCGCATCGAGGAAACCCAATGGCATAAGAACAACGTCATAAGCTCCATCGTTAAAGTTCTGGCTTGCGAGATCCATGTTGAAATCGAGATTTTTGAAGCTCACGGACTTCCAATGACTGAGGCCTTCGGACGCATAACTGAGGGCTTTGTGGTTACTCGATGTCCACACATAACGAGAAAAGCGGGGTGTGTTGCCTTCTGAGCCACATAGTTTCCGCAGAATGTTGTCAGCCATGTGGATTGGACCACCCCCTATTTCGAGAATGGCGGCCTCGGGGTTGTTATGTCCAACTAGATCGAAAAAGTCGACAACTTTATCGACCGGTGTTCGCTTCCGGTCCAAGAAGTCTTTGAGCTGCTCGGGAGTGAGCAAAGTGACATCTTCCTTCCACCGGAAACCGCTGCAAATCTTTGATCTCATCCTGGCAAAGTTCGCGGAGTCAGCGTCACCCACTTGTGCGCTTGTCAAGGACGTGAAACCAACGCCTTCCAACACCACCTTTGGGCCGCTCATTTGCGAGTCAGTCATCACAATCGTGCCCATTGTACTCCGCAGGCCACTTGTGGACACTTCGGTGTAGCCCTGGAATTTGGATCCGGCACCTTTGGGAACATCGGCGGCGACAAAGCAGTATTTTATAGATGTCGGTACCATAGCATCCGAAGCTGACATCACAACAGTTTGGAACATTGAATCTAAACATGCTGGGTGGATCAGATGAGCGTGCTCATAAGACATTGGCATAACTGCGGCCGTGTTTGGAATGCTGATGGATGAACAAGTGAGAAGACCGTCTGTCCTAAGCTCTGTTATGTTTCTGAAGAGCCGCCCGTATTCAAGACCAGCTTTCTCGAACTTTTCGTACAGGCTGTTAGGTGCCAATTCAGTCCTACAGTCTGCGGAAGCTTTGGATAATGTTCCTTTTTGGATCGACCAGTTGGCGGAAGCCTCATTATTGTCGTCATACAGGATGGACAAAGCTCCAGTGCAATTTTCTCGCCATGCTTCATCCTGAATGCGGGACGAAATGGCAAAGTTGTACCTTTTAGCACCTTTATCTTCGAATCCCGTCTCTGGAAGGATCCGTAGTTTGGTCTCTAAACCATGATGTGCATTTGGAATGACCATAGCTGTTCCGATTTTCACGTCGTGGAGTTCATACCCGGTCGCAGGGGAATCATCGCTTTCGAATTGCCTGGCAGCTTCGAGGACCATGGTAATCATCCCAGCGCCTGGATAGAGAATCGTGTTTTGGACGCGATGATCGCAAACCCATGGAAGTTCCTTGACCCGGATAATGTTCCGCCAACGGTGATCCAAATTTGTTGAATCTGGGGTCGGCCCACCTAGCAAATCGAGTCGTGGGTACTTCCGAAAGCGATAAGCCTTGCTAGCGCGTGCTTCATGCCAGTATGTTTTTGAATGATTCCAAGGGTAGCTTGGGAGATCTTTCAGGAGACGTAGGGACTCATCAACCGCATCGGAGAGCCTCTTCAAGGCGACCGGGAAGCCTTTCGACCATAGATCGCCGGCCATGCTGAGAGCTGTTTCTTTCGCATTTTTGCCCCTTTGTAATACAGAGGTGTACAGAGGAGCTCCGGCTTGGATCGAGGCAGCGATTTGCGCGATATAGCCTCTCAGAACGTTGTGTGGGCCCAATTCCACAATCGCATCGGGTTTGCAAGAGTGTTCTCTCAGAAGTCTTTGCATGGCTGGATAAAACTGTACAGGCGAGACCAAGTTTTGAGCCCAATAGTTGGGCGTCCCAAATTCTTGAGTTGTGACTCTTTTGCCATATACAGTGGAGAAGATCCTAGGGAGTTTTGAGAATGTCGTTTGGGGTGCGATTCCCTTCAGAGACTTTAAGTACTCTGATTCAATGCGCTTCATGTGAGAAGAGTGGTAGGCATGGTCGACGAGGAGCCGCTTGGATGATATATCTTGCGAAGTGAGAATTGCTATGGCTTCCTCAATGGCAGAAGCATCACCAGAAAGAGTGATCTGCCTTGGTCCATTTAAGCAAGCCACCACGAGCTTGCCTTGGGTTACTTTGGCGATCTCCGCTTCCGCTTCTTCTCGGGATAGGTTAACTGCGAGCATGGCCCCTGATGAACCATCATTCCCATGATAAGCAGTGCTACAAAGACGCCCGCGATGGTACGCAACAATCAAAGCGTCCTTGTGGCTGAGAACTCCAGCTGCATATGCCGCCGCGATTTCTCCAGATGAATGTCCTACAACCGTAGTGGGCTTGATGTTCCAGGTTTGAAGCAAGTCGACTGTTGCCAGTTGTAAAGCAGTACAGAGTGGCTGAGCGTATTGCGCATCATTCACTCTTGTCTCTTCTTTGCTTTTTATGAAAAGCTCGTCGACAATGGACCATTCAGCCCCAATTGAGGACATGTGAGCATCAGCTTGCTGCAAACTTCGTCGAAACGCATCGTAGCTGTAAAGCTCACGCCCCATGGCATGCCATTGCGCGCCTTGGCCAGTGAATACGAATGTCAGGCTTGGAGAGTCCAAAGATCTGCAAGGTTCTCGGACATCCTTTTGAAGCTTGTGAAGTAGCTCCTCTAGTGATCCAGCAACGATAGTAGATCTCCAAGGGAATATTGATCTTCTATGACACAGCGTGTAGGATAAATCCCTCACAAAACTCTGAGAATCGGCCGTGGTTTCTGTTTTGCTAGATAAGTATTCCGATTGTGCTTTGAGTGTTCTAGAGACACCGTTAGACTCTGGAGATGACCAGATGAACAAACGCGGCTGCTCATTTGTTGTCACTGTGCCAGGAAAGTCGATCATCTCAAAACCCGAACTCGATCCCGATCCAGACCGACTGGAAGGTGTAGAATTTGCGTGATGTTGCCCAAGGAAGCTTTCGGTTGAGTCTAGGATTATGTGGGCACTTTCCCCGCCAAACCCGAAGCAATTGACGCTGGCTCTGCGGACTCCATTGCTAGAAGGCCAGGGTGTGAGCTTTTGTGGTATCTTGATCCTGAACTCATCAAGGTTGTTGTCTGGGTGCGCCTTTTCGAACCACAGGTTTTGAGGTATGACTCCGTTTTCGAGGCACAGTATTGTCTTCAGTATCCCAGCGAGCCCTGCGCACCCTTCTAGATGACCAATGTTCGTCTTAACAGAGCCTACAAGCATTGGCTCTGCCACAGTGCGGCAGTGGCCAAACGCTTTCGCGATCGCTCGAAGCTCTGCGGCATCACCCGCGCTTGTGCCAGTACCGTGGGCTTCGAAGTACCTGGTTTGATCCAAAGGCAAGCGGGCTTTCTGGTATGCCGATCGGATCAACCTAACCTGGGCTTCTGTACTGGGAAGCGTGATTCCGGGGGTTCTTCCGTCTTGATTGACTGCGCTGCCGCGGACTACGGCGCGAATGTTGTCGTTGTCACGGATGGCATCGCTCAGAGGCTTCAGAACAAGCACTGAAAATCCCTCTCCGCGCGCATATCCGTTCGCACGATGGTCGAAGGAATAACATTTGCTGTCTGGGCTGAGGAACTGTGTTAATGTTAGGGCAAACAATTCATACATAGCCAACCTATCATGTAAGAGACATACGTTGAAGCTAACCATTGATACCATCGGGTCAGGCGATAAGAGGGCTCCTACTCCACCAGCAAGCGCCTGTGAAAGATGCATCAGCTGTAAACGTCGGGCAAACACATTGAGGATGCTCACGATTTTTGCCTCCCCAGTTCGTAGACTTTCACAAGCATGGTGAAATGCAACTGTCGATCCACTACATCCCGTATCGATGGTGACACTGGAGCTGCGCAAGTCGAAAAACCAAGAGATTCTGTTAGCAAGTAGCGCACTACTATGGCCAGTGGCACCATAGCCGGGTTGATCCTCTGAGTCATAAGCACTGATCTGCTGGTAGTCCTTCATGAAAGTTCCGACATAACATGAAGTCTCGGTACCCGCGATTTCTGATATAGGAATTCCAGCTAAATTGTAGGAAATAAGTTAGCGTTGAGGCCAATATAACAAAAATAGGAGCCGTTCTACCATTTTCAATGCTCTCGTAGGCTGTTTCCAGAAGTAAGCGCTGTTGTGGGTCGGTACATACAGCTTCCTCTGCTGTCATGGAAAAGAACTAGGTAACCCACATGTTAGATGAGGCCTGTTGTTGATATCGCTATGATCTTACTGGTGCATCAAACGCAGCAATGTCCTCTTTAAGAAAATAGCCTCCACGGACATTGATCTATTTTAATTAGTAGGCGTAGTGAAGAAGTTGTGTACCAAAAAGTTAACATACAGCGCCCTGCCTCGCCGGGCTAGGATGGTAAAAAGCATCAATGTTGAAACGGTCCTTCGGGATTTCAGTGAGGGCAGTCCGCGCATTGCATATAAAATTCCAGAATTCAGTGGGAGAAGTGGCATCGCCTGGGAAGCGGCATGCCAGGCCAACAACCGCTATTGGAAGCGGTTCGTGGTAGTTACGACGACTCGAGTTTGTTTTAGCGTCGGCCATGTTGATGGACCATTGAGAAAAAGGTAAGCATGGAGGTCAAAGACTTCGATAGCAACGAATCTGTGCTTCAACCGTGTGTCTTATGCGCTCGAAATGAAAATGAAAAAATGCTTTCTGCAGGAAGACAGTGCCTCAGCGGAGGACCAGAGGAGCAGTGTTTGTGAAACCACTTTTAACTTCTGAGTAAGGCCGGGTAAGATTTGAGATACCCACCTCAAACTGGGTTTATGGATGTCGTTAGCCGGCGCTAGTTCATAGTGGAACCCCTCATGGGTGGTGGTTCACCACATGCATACAAACCTTGGATCAAGTTTCCAAACAAAAACAAAACAATTCTCAACCCCTGGTGCTTACAGCATACAAACCAGCTACTGCAGCAGTCAGCACAGCCTAATGCAGCCAGCTGCAGGCACACACATCCCCAGGTAGCTCTCTCATTGTCAAACCCGACCGATGCTGCCCTTGTTGATAACAGCCATTATTTAGGCGTCAGACGTCAGATGCGTACAAAACGACGTCGTTTAGTTAGCGTCGTTTTTGGTGTTTGCTTTAGTTTCTGACGGTATTTGTGCGTCAGTATTGACTCGATCTAATAATGGTTCCCTATGATAGTTGATCCGATACGCTGTTAGACAGCAAAGTGCTATTTCGCGTGCTGCTAGACTTCAACTAACTACCAACTCACCAAACTGGCGCCATATTGGGACAAAAAAAACTTACAGCATCCTGTTGATAGTTGTTATTACGTATAGACGGTGCGTTATACGTAATCAACGTCTGGTATGGGGTGAGGGGCAGTGGCGTTATAAACCTTGTCCGGAATCTCGGAAGAAAGCTCCCCACATCCGTATGCCAGTTGCCTCAGACTGGCGCTGCCGGTGGAGACTGGAACATGGCCGCTGTATGCCGTAGGTATAAGCAATCCTTTTGCAGGGATGGTTTACCCACCCTTGACCGCTTGTTAAATCAGCTCTATTTTGTATCCGAAGTACTCCTGTGGTGGTTATGAATAGCCTAACACAACACGTCTGTGGTTAAGTAAAAACAAGTTATACCCCTATGCAGGTGCGATATCATGTGGCATGGGCAAATTTTATCGGGAGCCCGGCTTGAAGTCATAAGACGGGACGGGACGATCATCCAGCAACCAGTTAGTATGTTGATACTTCAAACTCAAATAACAGCACGGACAGCTACGTCGACCAGCCATTTAGATCACCGGCAAAAGCTGCAGTAGTAGACGGGTGTCAACAGGCAAACTGAGCCATACAACCTGGTGCCGATTCCCGTCGGATACCTCGTTTGTATTTCCAATAGAGCAAGGCCTCCTTCTCAAAAGGGTATTTGTTGTGTTGGCATGCACCGCGTATAAAAGTCCTTGGCGCAATGTAGACATTTCTCTCTGGGTGGTCGCATCTTGATCGCTTGGAGCTGAATCCCCGTGTCTCTCCGGAGACTAAAAGAGTATACTGTTCGGTGTATGAGTACTATCCTGGAGAAGATCGCACCAAATCTAGCAGTTGCTGTGCTTACAAACTTCAGAATAAGACCAATAAGGGTTCAAACTTACGAACGCGGAGTACTTCCCATACCAAGGATCTCGAACTCAATTACCTTGCGATGATCAAGTCATTCACTCTAGCAGTGCCTTCGCTCCAATCCATGTCTTGAGTAGATGCGATTGGATAGCTCTTGATCTATGAAAGAAGTGATCATCTGGACGCGCATTCAGCTTATCTGTTGGCATGCATCATCCCGCCCCAACCAAAATCCGAGTCGAATGAAGAGCGCTAGGCATGAACTGGATGCCTAAAGCGGAGTGTAAGCGCCGAGGGATCATTGCTTACATACGTTGAGTGCAAAAAGATGTGGCTGCGGTGAGACACCCTTTCCGAGATCTAAACCCGCTCATGGCACATGAGCATCCTACCTTGCTAGTACCAAATGCACATGCGCCATCAATTCTGCAACAGCTTCGTATTGCTGCTCGCTGACTGCACGGTCTTGCATCCATTGTGGCTTGGAAGCTTGACGCTTACCCGATTTTGATGGTAGTCCGCGGCAGATGCCGATAGAGGGACGAGGGTTTTTAGTCTGAGTAGCTATTTGGACCCGCACTTCAGCATCAAGAAAATGGATATTCGTAAATTGATCATGTTTTTAAGAGCTGTCGCTCCCCAACTTTGCGGAGATCGCGCAATGAGGCCATCGATTAGTTTCTTTGGAGAGAGAACGCCAGCACCGATGGCCCTACCTTCCCTTCTTGCAAAACTCGTGTCGATACAGCCATCCCAGCACCAATTAACGCCATCGCTATCGTACAACCCAATGAAGCTTGGCGAGGAAGCCATATATTGAGGGGCTTATGCTTATGCCCCGGCTTTGCTGATATCCCTCATCAATTCGTGCATGCCTTCTTTGAGAGACTGATTGTGTGCCATGACAAAGAACAACTCGTCCTTGACTGGAGTGAAGACCTTTCTTACCCAGCCATCTTCGTTTTGAGAGGCATTCATGGCAACGTCTCCATCAGTTTCGCTCTGTTGACCGAAGTCATCAAGTCGCTTTGCGAGATTGCGCAACACCATCATGGATGCCCCAGATAGACTCTGGGCAACACTGCGTTCGTCAAGCGCGGTGTTATGCCACTTGATGTCCGGACCTGAGTCTCCTTTCGTGCCATCCCTTGCACCCAAGCTATCGGGTCTACCGCTACTGAGTAACGTGTAACTGTTTGGCTGAAAGTGAGGAATTTGCGGCTGCGCATTGATCTTCGGTGCCGTTGGAGAACCAGAAGACTGATTATGTTGATTTCGCAGTTGAGCCTTTTCAGAGCTGTCCGGAAGATGCGTCTGCACGTGCATACCAACCTCAAAAGCAGTGGGTGTGGCGTTAGAGTTGACAAAATGCCGACAGCCACCCCAGCGACAGTCATATTTACGGCCAGTTGCACTAGCCGTGCTGCCTTCCGACTTGACGCCATTGGTTTCTGGTTCGTCCAACTGCCACTTTCCGTCTGAATCCTTAGACAAACCCATGTGGACTGATAGGACGTGTTCCCACATCTGCTTTGACTCCTTTGCGAATTCTCCACAAACTTCTCCGTTAGCCTGAGATCCCGCAGGGAATGTTGGTGGCGAGAGCCATTGACACTTGATGAATGGCCGATTCCTCAAGTCGACTGGAACAGATCGAGGTCTAATGCCCTTGATCGTGTATTTTTGTACTCCACCAGCAGTGATGACCTGAGCAGACGCTGAGGGGAACGTGGTTGACACATTAGTGATGAAGTCCTTGGCAGCCATCAAGGGCTTTGGAGGCTTCGTTGCTTGAGGAGCCGGCGGAGCGGAGCTTCCAGGTGTTGAAGGAAGCGAGGAAGCTTGATTTTGGGCAGTAAGTGTTTGGATGGGGGCCTGGAATGCTGCGTTGTAGGCTGTCCAGAGAGCGATCTGAGTGATTTCGCCGGTTGAATCTTCCTCAAAACATGTTTTGAGCCTATATTGGTATGAGTTATCTGTAAGTGCTTTGAATAGGTGAGTACATACCATTGAGAGCTACGATCAGGTTCATCGAGTGCAACGAGCTGTTCAATGATGGCAAATGCTAGTTTTGGGGCAGTCTCCGGAGTTGGTGACGGAGGCTTTGCAGCCGATTTGGATTGCATGGGTGTTCTCATGGTCTGCGCGTTGTAGAGCAAGAGTCTGACGAGGTGTTTCACCATCGACTCTACGTCAACATTTTGTGTCAGCGCTTCGACGTTCTCAGCACTGCCAGTGTAGAGGTACAAGAAGTCTAAGCAGGCTTCACGCATATGTTCATCCTCGACAAGCAGCCAGTCGCAGATATGTTGAATGATGCGGACCGGAACATTCTTGAGCTCATAACGAGGGTCAGCATTCATGGCGATGCGAGACAAAGCCCGCAATGCGGTGATAATAGTACCACGATCCGTTGAGTCAACTTGCGCCAGGAGGGTTTGGTAAAGATGGTGGTCTGAATCCAAGATCCAATACCTGGTCAGTTGTTCCGCGATTTCCAATGCGTAGTGCTTGAGTTCTTTAACTGTCGACCGTGGCGGCAAAGTGAGAGCGATGGTGATGAAATCTTGAATAAGATATTGCTGGGACACGTATTGCGCGTTGGCATCCAGCATGACCAGATTCCGCATGACGAGACCGGCTTCATTAATCCGTCCGAGCGCCTCGCTGAACTCCCTCGGTTGCACCTCGTCGGCAAAATCTAAGATTGGATGCGAGCGTATTTTCTGGAGCAAGTTTGCGGTGCCACTTATGGCATTGAGTGTGTCGTTCCTTTCCAATGCTTCATCCTCGGAGTAACAAACATCCCAATGGACACCGTAAAACAAAGTGCTGACTTCTAATAGTCGTGCAATCAGAGCCTCGGCCAGACCAGGAAACCCATCGAATCGGTATTTGTCGCCCCGCTCATGCGAGATTTTGACAAGATGATGGAGAGCGTAGGCCTGCTCCTCCACGCTGCCGGATTGAAGTGCCAGAAGAGCGCGGATGTAGATGTTGGGGCCAGTAAATCCAGTGCCTGGAAGCATCATGCCCTTGTTCTGCGGAAGGCTCCTAGAGCCTCTACTTGCCAGCCTGTTCCTTAGATTGCGGAAATGCTCCGGATTATTACTCGGCGTTACTACCGGTTTGACATTGGAGGGGACCACAGGTTTCGGCTCATAGTTGGCGATTATGCTCATGATGTTACCACCAGAGTAAAGTCCGTTCGACTGTCCATACATGTTTGATGAGCCGGGAGTGGGAGAGTTGTGTTGGCCGGCCGAACGCGTTTGTCTGGAGGAAGATACTTCGGGCTGGAAGAGAACCCGTTGAGGCGGTGCCTGACGCAGGGCTGTTAAAAGTCAGTGGCTAGCGTTGGGGAAATGCAGTCGCGAAGGGATATGGCTGCAGGTCGACGAGGGCTGAGACCCAACCTCTCACTCACCCCTAGTTATCCTGCCACCTGTACTACCGGGCTCATCAACGTCCATCTTGTCTCCCTTTGGTGTTTTTTGCAGCTCGTCTTCCGAGTCGTCGCTTTCCTTGTCTTCACCGTTTGCCAGGTTTTCCAGTTCGCGATTCGAGGGCCCGAGGAAGTTCTCTCTCGTGCGATTGAGCAAGTCGCCTCCCTTGGCAGACACGTCTTCTAAAATATCTTTTGGTGGTGGTTCCCTGTGATGGAAATTGCTAATCTCGTATGCGCTGCTTCGTGTCAGTCGTGTTTGACAGTGACGAGCTGGGAAAAGCGGCGTACGCAAGATTCTTGTAATACGCGGTTTTCACAAGGAACGCTTGCGTCGTAGCATTAGAGCTCTGGCCAAAGAATTCTCCTGCTACCCTACGCCAGGCGAGTTTGTTGTTCTTCGTATCTGACACCCTGTCGTACCCTCCCTCGGCAGTAACCCGCTTGTAGAGCCTCAGCAGATCAATGTGTCTTGGGCCGACTCTGGGCTCCCGGTCGAAAACGGTGCTGGGCTGACGTTAGGCGCGCGGTAGCAGCTTAGTCCCAGCAGCAAGCATACCCTCTCTTCTTGTGGTATTCCTCGAGCTTTTGCAGAAAGTCGTCGTATTCGTCGGTACGCTCGATGGAAGGTTCGCGCGGTTTGGATGGTGCCATTCTTGTCGGGCACAGGCAAGTGGTCTGTCGCAGGCCGTCACGCGTTTTTCGACGACGCGTTCATCAAGAAGGGCGAAGAGGCGCGCTCGTGCGTCGGCGGGGAAGATGCGCTCGCGACGTGGAATGGGGACTATGATGCGGTTCGCGCTTTGCGATGCGACGCCCTCCAGAGCTTGAAACGCGTTTGGCGACCTTTCCTGTTGCGGCTTAGCTCACTTTCCGCCCGGCCACCTGCGGGGCTGCCGGCGCATCACTCTCATCTCTCCACACTAAGGTACAGACAAGACTGACCACCACAACGTTACCTAGCGTTGACCGGAAGCTTCGGGCCGTCGAAACTATTCATCGATATATGCAACTAGATTGCGCAGGTCGCCATAGAGAGACGAAGCTTGTAACCGGTCACCCTGCCTGCCTATACGGAGTACCTACACGCCCATGAACTCACTCATTAGCCTTCCGCTCCTCAAATACTCATATGCCACAAATGTGCGCACCGACAGCATCTTGTGGAACCATGTCTTCCAAAACTTGGTTGTCACATTCGATAACTTTCGCGCCGGCAACAACGCAGCCCTGGTGATGAAGGTGGTGCAAGGATCCGAGCTTCTGGTATGGGCCAGATGCATATTTGCTCCTGCACTCATCATTCGCTCTAACAAATCCAGGAACATGTTAGCATACATGACCTGATTAATAGCTCGAAAGAATTCATCGCCACCGCAAAGAGGTCTGGCATAGAAGTACGCGCTGAGCAGCTTCCCATCTCTTTGTTGGTGCGCTGTCCTCTGTTGGCAATCAGATACAACAGACCAGACGGACAGGTACAGTTGCTTGACAAGATTTCAACGAAGCTGCTAAGTTGTAGTACAGATAAGAAGATTGCAACTGAAGTTTTGCTCTGACACAGACTTTCAAACGGCGCACACTTTGTTCTCTGATCTTGGTTGCTATATTACAGACAAGCCTTCGCAGGGGCCGACAGTGGCTGGCAGCAACTCACGCCCGAATTCATCGTATTATGTCACCCCTCAACCTTCATCTTCGCCTCCAAGAGTTCACACTTCGCATCCACTAGTATCGGAGAGCCGACTTAGCACCGAACAGTTCCTTGCGCAACCTTTCTTTAGGCCAACTAGTCTCCCTCAACAGGGCATTTTTACTGATGCTTTTGAATCAAACCATTTCCACCAAGAGCGCTCCATGGATAGACAGACTGACGGTTTAACTCGGTTCCCAGCAACAGGTCCTCTGTTCTTTAATACTTCTAGTCACCCACAAAGACCAAGCACGGAGTCTTTAACGATGCAGGCGCAACCGGTGAGTCGCCAGCTGGATACGATTAGTGAAATTGAGAATACTCGACCTTCAACTGCTCCAGTGAATCGAGAGTATGATCTGCTCTCAATGATTCCTCCTAGAAGAGAGCTCCCGTTCTTGAGACCAGCTTCTGCACCAAAGTCAAGTGTTACCCAGAAGCATACTCAAGGAGCGAACAGGCCGAGCAGCTCAACTACAGAGCTACAGAAGAGTCGGTCCAATAGCCTTAGACGCGCAGCTCTTCAGAACACAGGTTCCACCGCAAATTTGGCTCCGCTACCGCCCCCAAATTTTGCTACAGAAAGTTCGGCGTCGTCTGGCAAGCAGCTGAATGCTTTGAAAAACGGCCGTCGCCAGAAGACCGGAAAGCCCGTGCCTTCATTGCACACATCTAATTCTTCATCCAGTCCATATTTTTCGATGCCTGACATTCAGTCAAATTCCGAGACACCAGGAAGCACTTCACCTGGCCACATTTCAACCGATCATGCTGATAGATCGACGCTTTCGAGTGCTGGCAAAGATGTTGTCGATCGCGTAAGCTCGATGATCATGGGTGGACGAAATAGCCGTGAGCATGGCGATATCAGAACGTATGCGACGCTGCCGGATGATAACAGAATCAACATCCTCGACGAGTTCTTTGCCGAATGTATCGCTGACGATGACTTCCTCACTCTCTGCGAAGACGTCAACTCATGCTGGCGCCGCATCGGGCTAGGTCTCCCATGATATGCAGACTGCGTTCCTGGACGCACAAGGGCCAGGATCTCCTGAAAAGCGACGAAAAACGTTGCCAAGGCTGTGGTGATTCAGAAACGTGGAATGATGCAAGTGAGATCAACGCTCGGCCCCAAAGTTACACAAGATTGCTCTGTGCTTCTTATCGAGATCTCGACGTTTGTTAAAAGGAAGGTGGAAATGTAGCGACTCAATTGCTTAGGTTGTTTGTTTCTTTAAAAGTTAGTCTAGGCTTAGCTATTAGTAGACTTCCGTAGCGAATATTGCTGAACGATAGAACAAAAAAGCTTCGAGGTCGTCCAAACGCGTCGAGAGGCAAGGAACCGGGGTGGTGGAACTATCTAATCTTCGCCTGCAAGGGAGTCTTGGCTACCAGAAGCGGGCATATAAGGACAGGGAAAAAATGTTCCCACATGCCCATCAAGAATCAACACTCTTTTGAAGCTTTCCTCAACATCACTTCGAAAGGCCGCAAGCGGAGATGAGCTTGTTAACGAAAATGGATGGCGTGGGAGCCTCACGGGGCCCCCAGACGCTCTTTCCCTTACACCTGCTTCCCTACAATCATTCTGTGTCACCTGCTACCCACTCTGGCCACTTTACTATGGACGATTTGCCATCATGGGCCACTCCGCTCGCAAACCTAATCCTCCTCCAAGTCATCCTCGTATCTGCTCTCGCATTTCCTTCATCATGGCGGCTCACTGCGCTCCTCGTCTCCTTCCATCTAGCCTGCCAATTCCAGCTTTCCGTCTCAGAGGTTTTCGAGAACCGCTCCCTAGGTTCTTGCGCGACAGCTTCGATGTGGCTACAGCTCCTCAACGCCAGCGACCTGCTCTTCTTTCATCCGGTGTCTTTTGAAGATGAAGGCAGAGCCCGTCTTTCCAAAGCAGAGCACCCCGCGAGCATTTCGGCGTCTCTCACTCGCGCCCGCCAGCAGGTCGAGTGGGCGCTGAGTAGGCTGTTCAATCTCCGTCATATCGGCACACGCACGCAAGTCAAGAACGTGCCAGCTTTCTCCCGCGCCAACGAGGACTACGTCCCCTCACGCACACGCTTCCTTCTGCGCCGTATCTTCACAGTGGCTGTCGCCTATCTTGTCGTTGACCTCATCAGCAGTCAACCGCCACCGCCAGACTTGGATGCTGCTTTTTCGCCCCACAAGCAGTATGTCTTTTCTCGATTCACTGAAATCACTGGGGAAGAAGTCTTGGGAAGATTTCTGGGTACGCTTGCTTTTTGGCTCTCTCTCGCGTCACTCATTCAGTTGCTCTACAACGTCCCGGCCATTGTGGCTGTTGCCACCGGAATTAGTGAGCCGGAAAGTTGGCCGCCTTTGACGGAGTGGATGTCAGAAGGATGGAATTTGCGGCGGTTCTGGGGGTAAGTGACATTTTGCCAGTACATCTTTCGTTCTATATCCTCATCAATTTCCCATATACCAAGCCTGTTTATTCTGCTATCATTTCAATTTTCTCAGTCAATTGCCTCTATAGTCAAAACACCCCCACATCCTCAAGCGCAAGAATTAAAAGCAATCCAAGCAAACCACCCACTGACAATCTTTTCCACACAGCCTAGCCTGGCATCAATGCCTCCGCCAGCCTCTCACCACCCACGCGACCTATCTCGTCTCCCTGCTCAGCCCCACCGGGCTCTCGGAATCATGGCCCCTCCTACCTCGCTACGCACGCCTGCTCGCGACTTTCGCGCTCTCAGGCCTCCTTCACTGCGCAGCCGAGCACGCGGCGCTGATCCCATCCGCCGAGGCCGGCGCCCTGCGCTACTTCATCATGCAGGGCGTGGGCATTATGGTGGAAGACGCGGTTGCGGGGCTGTGGCAACGGCAGCAGAGGCAAGAAGACTGCGTAGAAAAAGGTGAAAGTGAGGGTGAGGGAGGGAAGGAGGTGCGTATGTGGGTCAAGGCAGCGGGCTGGGCGTGGGTCGTGCTGTGGCAGGTGTGGACGACGCCGGGCTGGAGCTGGCCGTTCGCCAGGCATGCACGACCGGGAGTGGATCGCATGGTGCCGGGGTCAGTCATCAGGCTGCTGGCTGCTGGGGCATGATCTGCGGGAACGAAAAAGGACGGCGCATGTACCTAGCGAATGGAGGTGGTCAGGCGGACAGAGGCAAGTGTTCTAGTGACCAGAGAATGGGGAAGAGAAAGCACTGGAGCAGCGTCCCAAGTCCGGTGTCAAGCAAGGGCAGGCAGAGGGTGGATGTCTCAGTTGCTTCTCCCTTTCTTCTCACCCGATTCCTTCCTTCCTCAACCGGGGCAGTCTGCGCGCGGGCGCTGTGGAAAACTGATAGATAGATCTACTACATGTGTGGCATGCAGATGCAGATTCCAGATCTGCCATCCAGGCTTTTTTCAATCGGGCTTCCTGTCCATGACCACCTCCTCATGTAGTTAAAACAAAAGTTTGTGGCAGTTCCAATATATTATTGTACTCATGAGACACTGTCTCAGCAGAATTTGAGTGGATTTCAGTGTAGTTAGCATGTCGTGTCTACATTGGGGAATGGGGATGGACGTATCCAACCCATACGCCGAACTGAGAGCAGACAAAGGAGACTGCTACCTCAACCCTCTATGTAGCAAGCACACGCGGCAAGAAAGCTCCGGCCACCAGATCGAATCTAAGAATAGGCAGAGCGGCAGCCCCCGTCCAACCAAGCCTCAAGCCCTTCCCCCATCCATCCGCACCTGCATTAGCACCTCCCCGCCCGTTCGTTCGACACGTGGTTGCCTACATGCATACATACCTAGGTACATCATACCTACATACACACATATATCATACATACATACAAGGCCTCTGCCCTACGTCCCACAGGCAGGCAGGCAGGCAGGCAGGCAGGCAGGCAAGCCCGCCGCACCGCACCGCACTGCTCACTTGTGCCATACGAGTGAGTGCATGCGTCCTTATCGCCCGAGCGAGTCTGGACCGCTCGATGGCGATCGATTCATTCATGCACGACCATGGAGCACTGGGCGTGCCACGAGGGTGAGCAAGGAAGGTGGGGAGGCCGGAGGGGAGACAACGCTCGTCCAACCTACCACCACCACCACCACGACTACGCATCCGCCTTTGCCTTTGCCTTACGTAGTATGTATGTATGTAAGAGTCGGTTCAACATGCTTCGATCCATTCCGTCGTCTATGTCAGTCTATCCACAACGTGCGAGCCCCGCCCCCCTATTCAAAATATAAAAAAACGACAAGACAGACACTCACTCACTCCTAGCTAGTGAGCCACCCAGTCAGTCAGTCAGTCAACCAGTCCACCGTTTGTCCGAGCAGCGTGACACGCCCGCGCACGCCACGCCACGCGACACCCTTGCCTGCGCGCCAGTGTCCTGCGTGCGTAACCCGCCAGCATGCCATGCCACGCCACGGCGTGCCGCACGACGCCCAGCAGCGTGGGCGCGCGCGCGCGCGTTCGTACCACAGTGCCGACCCCTCGCCGCCCTTGCTTCCGCACCCCCCATCGTCACACAGACGCGCCCTTGCCCTCACTTCATCGGGCTGCCAAACATGGCCGTCCCACCACCACTACTACCGTTCGCGCCACCAAACGCCGTGCCGGGCCTCCGAATCGGCGTCGACGCGCCGGTGCCGGGCTCGGGCGTGTCGCCTCTGCCCTGCGCGGCGGCCGCGGCGGCAGCAGCAGCGGGGTTGATGGCGCGCGCGCCCGGCACCTTGAACCCGACTTCCCAGCCGCGCTTGTAGATGTCGCGGACCATGTCGTCGCACACGGGGCGGCCTTCGGCCTCTTCGACCTGCGCCCAGTGCTTCCAGAGCTTGAGCGCTGTGCGCGCGTCTTCCACGCTGTCGTGCGTCGCCGTCTGGATGTCTTCTTCCAGCACGATCCACGCGAGGAAGCGCAGTGACAGCTTGCGCTGCCGTGCTGGGATGTAGTACAGGTCGACGGTGTCGACGACTTGGCCTTTGGGGACGTGGATGTTGATTGTGCGGAAGTCTTTGGGCAGGCCATGCCCGATGAAGACGCAGCCGAGGTTGAGCAGCAGCCAGAGTTTCTTGTATGCGACTTTGAGCCCGACGAGCGCGTGCTTGCTGGTTGAGCGGTCTAGGTCCCCGGGCGAGATTCCCGAGAAGAGGGTTAGGTAGTCGACGATGGGCTCGGTGATGGCGATGTAGTCATCGATGAATGGCTTTCCTTCGTCGGCGCCGTCGCCGCGGAGGACGGACACGCGCGCGAGACCAAGCCGTGAAGGCCGTATCGTCTCACGCTGCCCGGAAGCGCTGATTTCGATTTCTTCGCGCTGCAGCGACACGAATTCCGCGTCGATGGCGACGGGCCACCCTGGCTTGATGTGCTCGCTAGTGCTCAAAGGGACATAGTCTGTGCTGTCGCTCTCTGGAGCAGGTCCCCATTGTCTGTACAAAAGCGAAGTATCCAAATGGTCTTTCCAAGTGTCATCGATTCGATGGCTTGCCTTGGCGATCTCAAAAGTAAGGACCGATGGTAACTTCCAGTTTGGTTCAAAGCGGAGTGCCTCCTCTTTCGCAACCGGGCGTACCAAAAAGTCATTGAACAAATGCCACTGACTCTCGGTTTGGTTTTCCTCTCGCGACGAGGGCGATACATTGATCATTGAAACCAGATGCGACTTCTGGTTCTCGCCGCTATTAATATCAGCTACGACACCGATGAGGTCGTATACCTGGATGTCGTAGAAATTTCGTTTAAGGTGGTGCTCGAGGTCTTGGCCCTCGTAGCAGTAGAACTGCCCAGTGTTGACGATGATTCCGATTTTTTCCGGTAACCAACCCGGAGTCGCCCACAGCTGTTTAGCCTCGTGGCTGAGAATCGCCGTGTTAATCATCATAATCGGAGGAATATTTTGGATCGTCTTCCGCGCCGCAAGCTGCTGATAACGCTTGCATCTGTCGCACCAACCTCGATTCTGGTCTTGACGCTCGACGCTAGCCTTCAATATCTGGGAAAAGGTAGGGCGCGGAGCTCGCATCGGGTTCTTCATGCTGTTCTTCGGCGGATATACCAGCTCGTGCACGTATGTTGCCCCTGGTCTTCGTGTTTCATTGTTGCACTGCGCGCAGCGAATGTTTGCAACAGCGGCTGTCGTCAGCGCATGATCAAGGTGACTGACTCCCGGAGACATCTGCCTGAAGTCTGCCGTGAGTTTGTCAAGCAAAAAGCGGTTGAGCCCTTGAATCATGGTGGTCAGGGCATTGTTCGGCGAGTGTTCTTCGACAAGCCCAAGAGATGCAGCATTGGAAAGACCACTGAAGGTCTTCAAAAAGTTTGTAGCTTGGCAGTTCTGGCCTTGTGCTTTCTCCAGCATGTCTATAAGGAAACCAAGCTCGCAGAGCAAGCAGTTCTCAAACAAGCAGGAAGTAGCGGCGTGATGTAACGCCAAATTTCGAATAATAGGTGTGAATCGGAGGAGCTGGAGGAGTGGGTTTGCGTATGAGTTGGCAATATGTGTTTCAAGACCAGAATACTCAGTCTTGTTGTAGTACCTTTTTATGATCAGTGCTGAACGACAAAACTTATAGCAAGACTTACTTGAAATCAAAATCATCGACACCGAACTTGCTATACTTGATTTCAACATTCCGATACATGACTGGGACATCTTTTTTAGTCGAGCCATCAAGCATCATGTCAGTTAATGCTTCAAGCGTCTCGCTCATCCGACGCTCTGGCTGAGAATTCACGCCACCGTCTCTAGCTTTCTCGCTGAGGAATTTTGGTGCCATGAGAGCGTCGGCACCCTTTCCGGGCAGACGCGTTTCCTGGACCTGGTTCCTACGGAGTTTGCGAATATTGGGCGCCCAGTGGCCAATGTCTGTCCGTTTCATGGCAGCTTGTACTGCTGCATCGACCTTGGGCGGTGGTGCCCCTACCTCGAACACCAGATGATTCGGCCACACGGAAAGCAGTGTATCTCTATAATACGGCATGCCAACGGTGCTAAGAGGCCTACAATCGGTTAGAACTCCCACAACACATATGCGAAAAACTTACGTCTCCATAGACCAATCCACTTTCGGAGCAGGGATAGGATGGTCTGGGAACTCGGATGGTTGTGCCTGGTCTGTAAATCTGATCTTGGTCGGGGAGCCCCAAACCCGAATCGAACACAGAGAATCGGTCAATGCAATTGCCTCTCCCGAAGGAGCCATCTCGAGCTGCGTTAGATAACTGTCAAAAAGGTTGACCTGGCGCACATTAGCCGTATTGGGGTTCATTAGGTCCACCACTTGCAGCTGCCCTGACTGAGAAGCCACAATGCTCGTCGTGGACATCCTAGGATGCATCCGAACAAAGGCGGCTCCCACATGGAAAGGTATCGGTGGCAATGGTACCAGAAGTTTGAGGTCGTATACATAGACAAATGGATCAAGGACAAGGTTATTTAGCTGACGGCGGGAGAACCCGCAGGTCACCAAGAAGTCCGCCTTGGCATCCATGTCGTTGATCCATTCCTTGTGAGCCTGCCATGTTTTGATAACCTTGTAGTTGAGCGGGTCGATAATATGGACCTGACCAGAGTTCGTCGCAGCAGCGATGTATTGCCCACCCTTTTTCATCAAGGTGTAGTTGCTCTCGGCTGGAAGCTTCGTCCCAACGTCGGTTAGCCAAAACAGACACTCGGGAGCGATATAAGGTCCTCACAGTCTCCGTGATTGTCCCTTTCTCAACATCAATCCTGAACATGGTATTCTGGCAGCCTGCCACCAAGATCTCGTGGACGCCCTTGGACGTGAAACTCATGCATCGTAGTTCTTTGAACTCGTCGTGCCTGGGCACAACGTCAGCCTAGTGTTCTCCATACACCTTCCCACCATCATCAAGTTTGTAGGTATGTCCGTACGTGAGGTGCCATTGCGTCAGGCCGCGTCGCGACGCCAGGTGCACGCTGCGTACGGAAAGGGACAGGACGCCCTTGTCGCAGAAGAGGAACTGCTTGACGCCGCCGTCGGCCGCGGCGTGCGCCTTGTACGAGGTGTATCGCTGCAGTTCAGGGCCGAAGAAGGAGCATACGCGACCCTTGGAGTCCCCAGCGTTAGATCAGCCGTCATTGATCCCGCGCCCCGACCGCGCAGACGCACTCACAAAGTCGTTGCCGGCCCAGACGAGATCCTGATGCGTATCGAAGGCGACGACCGTCGCTGGCGTTGGGAGCGCATGTGGGCCTGGCGGAGGCAGAGGGATTTGGCTCAGCTGTGACAATGTCCGTCAGCGCCGTTGGCCTGCACATCAAAGGGAGCGACGAGCGCAATCGTGCTGCGACTCTCCTATAGGGCTCACCTCGTCCCAGTCCGCCTCCATCTTGTCAGAATGCTAGCTACGTTGCGCCTGGAGGCTTGGGAATCATGGTCTGACGTGGTCTCATGGGGTAGATGGGAGCTTGGGGTCGCACGTTTGTATCGGAGCGCGAAGTGGTGGACGCGACTACAGGACAAGCTACTGTGACGACAGACAGGGATCAAGCTGGCCTTTGGCGGCTTGTCTTCGGTTAACCTCTCACGCCTCAGCGACCCGGTCATTCCTACAACTATATTTGCGCAGAAATATACAAAAAATTGCGAGAATAAATTTTTAAGCTTCACTGCGAGCATTATATTATTTTATCTACAGAGTACGCACGTCATGGGATGCATCGCGATTTGTTTGTCGGCGGTTTGTAGTATCGATGTCAAACTTAAAAGGACTGTATGTATACTTAGTCCACTGCCTAATCTTAAAGAAACCTTAATTTTAAATAGCTGTCGTCACACTCATCACATGCATACAGACAATCATATATCTTAAAATATCATTTCATTTGCATTGGTATTGGTATTCGATCCGTCCGCGCGAGCCTTTTCAACTATACAGCCACGCGCAACCAAAGAAAAAGGAAACGCTTCGCAAAAAAAGCAGAAGGCAGAGGGGTGTCCGTATTCACATGCCTCCGAAAGGGACAAAAAAATCAATCTGGGCCATTACACCGAGAATCCGCAAGGAAAGTCATTCAAACCCGTCTAAACAGCAGGCCCAGCCTTGATGACCTCGGGCGTCGCCTGGTCGCTGTACTTGTTGAAGTTCTCCGCGAACAGCTTGCCGAGCTTCGTCACCTCGCCCTTGAAGTCCGCCGAGCCGGTCCAGCTCTTGGCCGGGTTGAGCAGCTCGTCGGGGACGTTCGGGCACGACTTGGGCACCGACAGGTTGAAGGTCTCGTACGTCTCGTACTCGGCCTTGGCGAGCTCACCGGAGTGAATGGCGTCCAGGATGGCACGAGTGTACTTGAGCGGGCAACGCTTGCCGCCGGTGGTGGCGCCAGCGCCGACCCAGCCGGTGTTGAGCAGCCACGCGTTGGCGTTGTGCGTAGCAATCTTCTCCGCCAGCATCTTGGCGTAGCGCATGGGGTGCAGCGCCAGGAAGGGCTGCGCGAAGCAAGAGGAGAAAGTCGCCTGGGGCTCAGTGACTCCTTGCTCAGTACCAGCCATCTTGGAGGTGTAACCAGAGATGAAGTGGTACATGGTCTGCTCGGTGTTGAGCTTGGAGATGGGAGGCAGAACACCGCGGGCGTCGCAAGTCAGGAGAATGATGTTCGTGGGGTGGCTGGTAGACAGGCAGGGAAGCTTGGCGTTCTCGATGTACTCGATGGGGTACGCGCAGCGCGTGTTCTCGGTCAGGGTAGAGTCATCGTAGTCAACCTCACGGGTAATGGGGTCGAAGACGACGTTCTCCAGGATGGAGCCGAACTTGATGGCGTTGAAAATGTCGGGCTCCTTCTCGGCAGACAGACCAATGGTCTTAGCATAGCAGCCACCCTCGATGTTGAAGACACCAGTGTCGCTCCAGCAGTGCTCGTCGTCACCGATCAGAGCACGCTTGGGGTCCGCCGACAGGGTGGTCTTGCCGGTACCGGAAAGACCAAAGAAGACAGTGACGTCGCCGTTCTGACCCTCGTTGGCCGAGGAGTGCAGAGTCAAGACGTTGTGCTTGACGGGCATCTCGTAGAACAGAACAGTGAAGACACCCTTCTTCATCTCACCGGCGTACTCGGTACCCAGGATAACCATTTCCTTCTCGGCAAAGTTGATGGAGACGGAAGTCGACGAGGTCATACCGGTGGTGAACCTGTTGGCAGGGAAAGCACCAGCGTTGTAGATGACATAGTCGGGGTGGAAGTGCTCAAGCTCCTCTCTCGAGGGACGGATAAGCATGTTGCGCATGAAGAGGGCATGGTAGGCACGGGCGCAGACGACACGCACGCGGATCCTGTAGCGCTCGTCCCAGCCGGCGAAACCATCGACGACATAGATGCGGTTCCTGGTGTTCAGGTAGTCGACAGCACGTTCTCTGTTGATGCGCCAGACCTGTGAGAGATGAAAGTCAGCAACTGAAGTGCGAGCACGTGCTGCATGGCCTAAAGGAGTCCAGGCCAGCCACAGCCGAGGGCCAAGGAACTTCGCGTCGACGGAAGTGGGGAAGCGAGGCGCCCCCATGCACATCGCTGCCGACAAGGGCCAACCGCAATCATCACGATTACCATGACGTCGGCCGCGCTCACTTGCCGGATGCGAAGATTGTGGGGTAATGCACGCGATGCCATGCCAAGGAGAGTTAGGGTACGTACGTCAGGAGTCATTGGCTTGTTCACAGGTCCCCACCAGATCTCTTTCTGCGAACCAGGCTCTTCCACAATACGCTTGTCCGAGGGAGAGCGGCCAGTTTTCGCGCCTGAGTATGCCGACAGAGCGCCCGACGAAGTGATGGCCGAGCCAGTTTCGTAGACGAGAGCATCTTCGTACAGTGCAGCAACCGAGGGGTTGGCAATCTGTGTCGGCGCTGTTAGCTTGTGAACTATCAATGCAGGAACCGGTGAAACATACAATTGCCACGCGGTCGTAGTCAATGTGCGCCTTATCGTGGAGCTCCTCCTCAATCTCGGTGTGCTCGGCGTGAGCGCTGAACGACAAAAGTCAGTACAGGGCAACCATTTCAACAGGAGTTCATGGAAACGTACGCAATACCACCGGGATGGAGAGCGGTCTTGTTGACAGTGTTGGAAACCATTTTGAGAGAAGTAGAGTGGAAGTTGTTCTTCTGCTGCTTGGAGATTTGCTGGCGAGCGAAGTCTTCGGCGAGGGGACCGGGGGATGCGGTTCTAACAGGCGGGGTCGTGTGTCCTTTAAGAGTGGAAGCCATGGCTGATGCTGAATTGATGGTCGAGGAGCTCGTGCCTTCAAAACACTTAAAAAGACTACCCCCGGACAGTGCAAGGGCCGGCTGTGATGGACGTGATTGGCAGGCAGATGGGGAATGAAGCCCAGTTACGTTGCCGAGGCGTGTTCCGCACGGGCAGAGTCGGACCAAAGGGCTGAAGTGGTCGGGAGGCGTCGGAGCAAGACAATGATACCAACGTCGATGGAGGCAGAGCGGAGGAGGCGGGGCCCTAAGCGAGGTTAAAAGCATATCCAGAGTGCCAGCATCGGCGCCTCTGGCGGCTAGGGCCGAGTGGTGGTAACGAACTGTTACGTTTGCCAACGACCGTGTGACGAACCACGATGTCTCGCTGCCACATCGAAACGCATTGCGCCCCAGAAGGGCATGAATGACGAAAGAAAGCCAGAGTTGTGGTGGGTGGAGCATGCTTGCATGGAGCAGCGGGAGAGCAGTCTCGCCCAGATCGCTATGCCCCGCATCCGCGAGCGGCAGGGGCACCGCCGGCCGCTCTCTCGGTCTCCCGCAATGACGGCGCCCCAGGCTCTCGGTGACGAAAAAACCACTCTTCACCCGGTCCTTTCCGCCGCCCAAAGGACCAACGGGATCCCGCCTTGGCCAGGTGCTTGGCGCAATGCTTGACCGTTTCCCCGTGGGACAAAAACCAGCTCTTGTGCTACTCTACTCGAGCACACCCCCTCGCATCACGGGTGAAGTCTTTCGCTGTGGATGAACGTATTCACGCCCGGGTAAAGACATACACGCCTCTACTCCTGCCCCGAAAATGTGTTTCGCTTTCTGCTGCAACAAAATGCAGGGGCCAGAGCCTTCTTTCCGATACATTTTCGCGCCCGCTGCGTAATTCGGGCCCTGGCATTTGCGCCCATCCAACACCCCTGCATCCCCACGCGGCCTTCCCCACACCTCCCATCACAATCATCCTGCACCCCTGCCCGATGCGGCAATCGACGATATTTGCACAGGCCAATCGCATCCGCTGAACTGGTCAAAATCCCCCTAGCCCCGTGTCTAGCCGCCCTCAGGCCTGCTCCCCTTCCTGTTTCCTCCGACTCTCCTTCTTCGTCTTGCGAGCCTGCGGGCTGAAGAATCCCTTGATCTTCCGTCCTCCCTGCAAATACAACCACGAGCAGACGTACACGATAAAGAAATTAAACACAATGTACGCCCAGAAAATCCCAAAATTCCGCCACGTGTGCGAATGGTAGACATTAAAGCTGGCCGCCTGCGCTAGTCGTTAGCTCTCTGCACACCAAACTGCCGCGACAGGTAAAGCTCCCGAGAGTGAGCTGCGAGAGGGTTCGGGTGCATGTGCGGGGAGGTGCGTTCCCGCGACGACATGTGCATATCACAGAACCCGACCTTCCCCGACCCCGGTCTGAAACCCTCCGAGGCGGAGGCCAAGAGACGTTGGGCGGAAACGCCAAGATAAGTGGGGGTGGGGGGTTGATGAACTTACGAATTGATCGCCATCTGCATATTGACAAAAGCCACAGGTGCCGTCAGATGTGTTCTGGAGCTTTCCACCCGCTTGTGCGATATACGGCCCGGCATAGCTTTCGCAGGTTTGTCCGGGCGGAGGGTAAAACTTCGCAAGTTCTGAGCTATCGCAATTGACTGGAATGCCATGGGTAAGAAGGCCGAGGAAAGCTTCCAGCAAGTAATGAAACGGCGTGAGCCAATACATCCACGATTTCCAGAAGTAGGGTAAAGCAATGTACGGCACGACAACGCCGCAAAAGCTCACAACGAACAGGAAAAACATGGGTACCAACAATGAAGCCAGGAGTTCGTTCGGCGAGAAGGAAGCAATGGCTTGCCCGAACCCAAGGTAAAACAACTCAAACACCATGACGAAGAGCCAGACGCTGGCAGACGTATAGGTATCGCGTGGAAAATGCGGCGGCCAATACCACGCCGCCCAGTACAGTGTACCGGCAACCAGGCGGTAAGGTATCTCCGAGAGGATGGCACCAGTAACGAAAGCAAACCAGGAGTATATCTTCGCGTTGGACTCGCGCGATTCGAATATTTTTCGGGCCTCCAAGTACCGTGGCTGCAGCTGCTGGATGAGGGGAGGAGAAATCGTCAAGGTCATAAAACTGGAAAACAGCCGGGACTGGAAATCAATCTGGCTGTTACCCAAATCCCAGAATGTGAACGCGTTGAAGAGGCCCGTGAAAATATGCAACATGAACATGCCGACAACGTACTGAGGGGTTCTCCACATGGCCGTGAAGCTCCGGACGACCACGGTTATTGTCTGCGTCATCAGCGGCATGGCATACTCTCTGTCATCCTTAACAGACTCTTTCGTGCTCCTGCTGCGACGGTCCTTGGCCAATTGTTGAATCTCTCTGGTCAACTCATCGTTTTCAGGCGACTTCTCCCAGACATCACCCCAGTCCTGGCCTTTGTAGTCAGGGTTTCCAGCACCGATAGTCTCCAACATATGCTCGGCTGGGTTGCTCTGTGGAGGACACCTCTTCCCGCCGTTGCGTTCAAGGTAATTCAAGAGTTTCTTGCTGTCATGGCCGAGCTCGCCGAAGTATACCATCCTGCCGCCGGATTTGAGGAGTAAAAGTTGGTCGAAGTGTTCGAAGAGAACAGAACTCGGCTGATGGATCGTGCAAAGGATTGCCTGACCGGCGTCGGCGAGCTTGCGGAGGAAGCGCACAATGTTGAAAGCTGCGCCGGAATCCAATCCAGATGTTGGCTCGTCCAGGAACATCAAGAGCTCAGGTTTACTTTTTTTAAAGAAACTTGTTAGCTTGTGGGAAGGTATAGGAGGTCTAGATGTGTAAACTTACCTGGCAAGCTCAACGCCAATGGTTACTCGTTTGCGCTGTTCCTGGTTCAGACCAGATCCAGTCTTTCCAATCGTGGCTCCAGCGATTTCTCGCATTTCCAAGAGATCAATGACGGTCTCGACATATTCGTACTTCTCCTTCAAAGAAACTTCCTTCGGTTGCCGTAACTTTGCTGAGAAACGGAGTGCTTCTCTCACCGTCGAGGTGGATTCGTGGATGTCCATCTGCTCAGCGAAACCAGTACTTCTCTGGAAGGAGTGAGGGAGTGGTTTTCCATCAACAAGGAAATCGCCTGTGATAACACCAAACCGAATGCGTTGCGCTAAAGTATTGAGTAGAGTCGTTTTGCCCGCGCCAGAAGCTCCCATCAGTGCAGTTAGTTTCCCCGGCTTCACGTAACCTTGAACATTTTGCAGCAGCTTCCGCTCCCCATTCTCATACGGGATAGTATAAGTGACGTTCTGCCAAGTGAAGATGGTGTCGTTTTTGGCAACTCCTTTCATATTTGTCTTCTCGTCTTCCGATGAGGTGGCGTCTCTCGATTGATCGGTTCCTGCGGCTTGTTCTTTTCCAGTTTCCTCGTCCCTGGGTTGGTTGCCTGTTTCCATGGCGGTCTTGACGGCTGATGGTGCCTGACCTCTTTTGTAAATAGTAACACTCCCTCCTCCTTTGTTTGGTTTTTGTCGCTCCATCCCTACGGCAGTGAGAAAGATAAAGAAAAACCACATTCCGCAAATAATTCCGAAATTTCTCCAAAGATGAGAACGAGAATAGGTGTAAGCGACAGAGATGTAGTCGGCGCCACTGACGGTCGTCGACCCCGGTCTGCTTCCTTGGAGGGAACAAGCTTGGTACTCCGGAGTCGCACCAGGAACGCCGAAAGGTATTAAGTATGGAGGCTCGCAAATGATGTCCAGATTGTAAAACTCATTTGACATCAATCCTTCGAATCCGTACTGGACCGGATTGATCCATCGAATCCAAGAAAACCAGGGATGCATCTTCTTTGTCGGAATTAAGTATCCTGAGTATACGACCAAGGCTTGTATCGCGACACCAGTGATACGTGTTGCGACATCCAACGACCCGACAAGTGCTCCAATAGCACGGAAAAAACTATACATGGTGGAGGTTAAAACGTAGAGGAATAGAAGGGAGATAAAAAACTGCGAAGCCGTCCTCTGCAAATTGCTCATGAAGTATACTACCACATCGAATATGGTAACCTGAATTAGAATTAATGGAACATCGCAGACAGCTTGAGCGATAGCATATGCCGCTGGCCGGTAGAATGAGAACGACTTGTGCTTGAGGAGGATGGGCCGACTCTCAAAGGAGGCTGTGAGTTCTGCCAGAGCCAGCAGGGCATTAAACAAAAGTGCAAAGAAAAGTACACCGCCACGGGTGAATACACCGGAGCTGGTCTTGGGCTGATTATAGAACAAGCTTCCTACGATCAGAGCTTGAAAGAGGATGCCGCCCCATTTGCCGACCAGTGATTGTTTGTCTCCAATCATCACCAGGAACTGGCGTTTGGTGCAAGCAGCAATCTGTTGGGGAAAAGAAATGGTGTAGTTCTTCTTCTTGGTGGCTTTGGTTTGAGACTGGCGGCGTTCCTCAACCAATCGTTGAGTCTCCTGTTCGAACTCCTCGATCTCTCGAAGGTTCTCCTTGTGCCGCTCGCTCTTCAGGAAGGCTTCTCCGAACTGTTCAGGAGATCTTGGAATACGGTTCTCCCAGCCTTCTCTGATGTGCCGTTCGTTCTCATCCGTGACGGAAGTCAAGAAATCGGCGCTCGTCCATCGTTTGGGTTGATGGAATCCCAGGGATTTGAAGTACTCCGTTGCGGTGTCGATGGGACCGAAGTAACAGCATTTACCTTCATGGATGACAATGACCTTGTCGAAAAGATTGTACAAACTCTCTCCCGCTTGGTAGAGCGCGACGGATGTGGAGACGCGAGCCATGTTTGTCAACGATCGCAAGCTTTGCGCATATTCGAGCGCTGTAGATGAGTCCAATCCTTTCGTGCTATTATCCCAGCACTGAACAGAGGCCTTTGTGATCATGGCCTCTGCAATGCTGACACGCTTCTTTTCTCCACCAGAGACACCCCGTACGAACTCATTTCCAACTTTCGTATTCATAGTATGTTCAATCCAGAACAACTTGCTGACGACACGGAGAAATTCTTTGACATAGTCCGATTTGGACTCGCCTTCTTTTCTCGAGTCTTTTCCAGGTGTTTTTGTCTTGAGAGCGAATTGGAGCGTATTTTTCACTTTGAGTGTAGCGTAGTGCAAGTCGTCCTCCGGCGTGTAAATTATTTCACTGCGATACTTATTGGCCATTTCTTTGGCAGACGTCCCACCATATAGGACATCCCCATCAATGGCTTCATAACCGAATCGTTGATTTCCGAGGACCTTAAGGAATGTAGAGCAACCAGCACCGGGTCTTCCAAGAACCAGAAGCATTTCTGCAGGCTTTATGCATCCGGAAAAGTTGTCAAGAATGGTCCTGATGGGAGGTTTGCCAGCTGCTTGTCTGGGACCTCTGGTGAGAAGGTTCTTCAGAAACCGGGGTAGAGCCAAAAACAAATCTCCATTTGTAGGCTGGAGAGCAGCACCAAGACCCATACCCTTAACAGTGAGGCCTTTGAACACCACACCAAGGTGTCTTGTCTTTTCCTCTTCGGAAGACTGCTGGCGGGACTGTCCGAACATACGAGACATCAGGCGATTTATTTCCTCCTGTTCTTCATCGTGACCTGAGGCCGCCGTCGAAATTGATCCTTGCCGACCGGATTGGTCGGTGCGACGACGAGACAGGACCTTGAAGAGGTCTTCTTCAGTCATCGCCCTGCTCGGATTCGGCTTCTTTGCAGGTTGGCTTGGCGCCGACTTGATTGGCGCAAAGCCTCCTTCTTTGTCTTCTTCATCGTCTGAAGCTGATTCTTCCATCTCTCTTTTGTCTTCCTCTGCATCAGCGTCGAGTGCTGCCGATTGGGCTGTATGTTGCTCTGTTGGCGTAGGAACGGCTGTGGTAACCTCAGACCGTAGAGTATGTCCTGGTATCAATCAGTATGTGTACAACAAGGTCTGACGCATGCAATATATCGAGAAATATAAACACAAGGAGATGCGCGTAATTGAAACCATCACTGTGAAAAAGGCAGCATACCGTGGCCTTGGTCCTGGGCATTTGTAACCACATTTAGTCCAGAGGCTCTTCCGACATTAGTTGTGGATGGTTGCCGTGCCGAACCAAGATATGATTGCTGGCGAAGGTTAGACGCTGGCGTTTCTGGCCAAGCGCCTGGAAGTTCTTCGATATGTGGCGTGGGCCGCTCTGAGTAGTCGCCTTCCATGGTTGGAGTGGCTTGCTAGTTCAGAATGCCGTGTTCAAGTAGGCATGACAAGCGGAAAAACGCGAAAGGAGAGGCAGAAAGACTATGTATTCGGCGAACAGCGCTGACGTGTAAGATTAGAAAGCAAACCTAACGGAAGCTAATTGCACGGCGCCGAGAAGGCGCGAGAGATCCGAATTGCGAAAGAGCTGGTCATGGGGGTGGGTGTTGTTGGCAACCCAGTTCTCCAATTGCTGCTAGAAGTCTATTGCGTCATTGACTTCAAATCCGCCCAATGGAACAAAGGAAAGAATCCTTCGGAGCTCGGGCCTTTGTGCTTTTCCGACCGAGATCCATGACTATCCGAAGCCACCGATGATGTCGTTCGCTAGCTTGTCTATATCGGGCATAGAGAGCGATTTAACCACCCATCACTTTCTCTACCATGCGGCACGTAGAAGCACCATGTCGTCTGCAGCCTGGAACATATAAGTACAGTCAAGACTCGTTATAACGTTCGCGCTAATCAGCATATTTTGGCCTGTAAAAAGGCGTTCAGCGGTATGTCAGGCTAGGTATTGTGTAGCCATTTACACGTTATACAAAGGAAGATGTTGTAAACAGCCAGAACCAATTACAACACTTAAACCGGTCAGGAACTTCCGATGGTCATGAAGACGTTCATAGGTATACCAGGCTAGGGTTTGCATAGCCTTAGGCACACCCTAAGCGTTATAAAAGAGAAACACTACGAAGAGTCAATGCTAAGAGAGAATGGATTGTAAACGTCTTTTTGACGATCGGAAACTGCTGAGAAACTCAGACGTTTAACCAATTCTTCTGCAAAGCTTCTGCCTCATTGCCCCCAATGTACAACCAAGCATGCCTTAAGCTTACCGTTTGGATTCATCGTTAAGGTCATTAAGATATGTGCATAACCCGATCTTCACGACTTGTCTACGGCCTCAGCTGCCACCTCCCCAATGACAGGTTTCAGCAATTGTGGTACAATCTGCGCCGCGTCTCCCTGGAAGAACCAATCGCCCTCTGCAACCGCATCAGTCCGCTCCATATTGACGACCGCAACTCGAGCGCCCTTGCGGCGAACCCGTTCGACGTAGCCGGCAGCAGGATAAACGGATGAAGAGGTGCCAATGACCAGAATCAAATCGATCTTCTTCGACTTGGTAATGAACTCGTCGATATTCGAGATGGTTTTTTGTGGGAGCAATTCTCCAAACCATACTACACCAGGTCGGAGCAACCCCTTCTTGCATTTCGGACAGTGAGGAAGATCGCGGTAGCTTAGCTCAGGAAGCTGGACCTTTTCGTCGGATATGTCTAATTCCTTTGCCGCTGTGCCCTGCTCTTTCTCCTGCAATGCGTCCGACACCGCTTTCCTTGCATTGTTGCTCGTCGGATCAGACTCGTCCACTGGCATGGCAAGAGCAGGAACGACAGGGTCTTTGAAATTATTCTCTTCCTTGTAATCGCAGAAGAATTCCGAGCATTTTAAATCAAAAAGGTTTCCATGTATGAGGTGTAGATTTGCTTGCGGGTGGCCGGCCCGCTGCGACAAACCTGAACGACTATCAGCTCCAGCCGAGGGAAACAGAGCTGATTGAGGATGTCAATGTACCGTCGACGTTCTGGCTCAGGGTCAAAAAGTTATCTTTCTTCTCTGCCAGAGCCGCCAGGGCATAATGGGCGGGATTAGGCTTGGCCTTGAGAGCCATGTGCCTGCGGTAAGAGTAGAATTGCCACACCAGTCCCGGGTCGGCGGAGAAGGCCTGAGGGGTTGCGAGAGTCATGGCATCATGTGAGCGCCAGAGACCTCCAGCGCCACGGAAGGTGGGAAGGCCAGAGGATGCAGAGAGACCAGCTCCTAAAAGAGCGAGAATGCGGTCCGACGACTGAAGATGCTTGTGGAAAGAAGCGAGGTCTGCGGCAGGAATGGCCGGCATCGAGGCCGTCGAGGCCATTCTGATGAGAGAACTGAAGGCGGGAATATTGAATAGTCACTTGGTGTATGTTGTTAGCTTATTTATGGACGACGGGCAGGCAGCAGGAGACAGTAAGGTTAGATAGGCAGCAGCTGGCGGGCGCGCAATGCAGTCCCCTCTTGCGGTGATCTACGTCAGAAGTGCTCCGGCGAATCAGCGTGCGGCTGTCGATAACCATCACCTTCAACTCGCGCCCGCTCCCGCTCACGGCCGAAGTGCTCCACACCCGTCGCCAACATGAGGACAGCTCTGCGCGCCTTGCGCATTGTCGGCAGGGCTCCAGCTCGCCCATGCTTCCGCCAAACCCGCCATTGGAGCAGCACGCCCGTCAAGCGCGAGCTCGTCTCTGCCGCAGAGCTGCACTTTGGCCAGCCGCTGCATGAGACCCACCCACACCTGCTCAAGCCCGGCGAAGGTACCCAACACCCTTCGCACTTTATATACACCAGACCAATGCTGACGAGACTTTCCTGGCAGTCACTCCCGGCATCAGCGCACTCGAATACGCCAACCGTCGCTCCGCCCTCGCCCGTTTGCTTCCTCCGAAAAGCGCCGCAATCATTCCCGCTTCCGACACCAAATACCGCTCCGGTGCTGTGTTCTACAAGTTCCACCAAGATGCCGACTTCTTCTATCTGACCGGTACGGGCTAGCTTTATGGGCGACGCGGCTGCTGGTTGCTAAGCGTATAATGTAGGCTTTGACGAGCCTGAGGCTTTGGCTATAATAGGTACCTGATCTTGGGAGAAGAAGAGCTAGGGCTCCCGGGCTGATTCAACGTAGAGAAGACTGGTCCCGAAGACGAGCACCTATTTCATCTCTATGTACGGCCAAAGGACCCTAGAGCGGAGTTGTGGGACGGAGCCCGCTCAGGTGTCCAGGCTGCACTGGACGTTTTCAATGCGGATGAAGTAAGCAGCCAGTCTAGCATGCGGAACTTGTGCCCTGACAAGATGCAACCTCGTAGGCTGGAAACATCAAGGACATAGGAAAGATCATTCCGGAAGTCATCCGTCGTTCCGAGCACATCTACACCGAGCTTCCCGGCAAACTCGACCACAGATCACCAATTACTCGATACCTAAGTGGAACTATGTACATGGGCGACAATGGCTTCCCTAAGGCCTTGAAGGGCGTCAAGCCGTCTGCAGTCAAATCTTTGCGTCCACTGCTGAACGACCTCCGCATGTTCAAGAGCGAAGCTGAAATTAGCAACATGAGGATAGCTGGACAGGCGTCAGGAAGAGCTTTCTCCCACGCCATGAGCAACCGCTTCGCCACTGAGAGAGAACTGCATGCGCACATGGATTATGGCTTTCAAATGCTGGGCTGTGACGGCATTGCTTACGTGCCAGTTGTTGCTGGAGGCGAGAATGCTCTTCGCATCCACTACGTTCGCAACGACAATGTATTGAAGTATATTTTCCGAACCTGTCTTTGTGTCACAAATAAGCTGTCTAACTCCATGGTTGTAGTGACGGCGAGATGGTGCTCGTGGACGCTGGCGGAGTAAGCAAAGCCCTCACCTATCCTACCTATCCTTCTACTCGTTCTGACAATCTCTAGCAATATGGCGGATACATAACCGACATCACGCGCACCTGGCCTATCAACGGCAAGTTCACACCAGCGCAAAAAGACATGTACGAGATGATCTTGAAGGTGCAACGGTCATGCGTGTCACTCTGCCGCGAAGACTCGCAAATGACGCTCGACCAACTGCACCACATTGCCGCGAGCAACATCCGCGACGGGCTACAACAGCTCGGCTTCAACATGACGGGCGATGTATGTCTACCTCCACTCCCCACCCTTCTTTCCTACCCCCACTCCTCAGCCACACCACAGCACGCCATCCCCATCTAAAACTAACCCACTCCCTTTCCAGGCCCTCGAGACCCTCTTCCCCCACCACCTAGGCCACTACATCGGCCTCGACGTGCACGACTCGCCAGGCTCGCCGCGCAGCCGCCCCCTCAAAGCCGGCCAGTGCATCACGATCGAGCCGGGCGTGTACGTGCCGGACGACGAGCGCTGGCCAGCCCACTTCCGCGGCATGGGCATCCGCATCGAGGACAGTGTAGCGATACGCGAGGAGAGCCCGTTTGTGCTTACCACGGAAGCGGTGAAGGAGATTATGGATATTGAGGCGTTGGGCAAGAAGCATTAGGGGACGCGTGTGGTTGGTGTGGGATACCTTTGTATAGCAAGTGAGTTTGTGAGCATGGTTTGGTGCGCTTTGCGGGTATTGGAAAGTTGCGTGCTTGGCGATGGCTCGTGGTGGTTGTGGATGTACTTGCAGCTGTGTCCTTGATCTTACCTTTCCCCCAAATCAGCTATTGGACTGGACGTCGCCTGCCCATCATGCACTTCACGCCATCTCTCAAGTTCATCCTCTATAACATGTTGACTTCCCGGCACTGCAAGTCCCAGTCCTGCCACCCACGGCTCAGAGACAACTGAGAGAGGACAAGCTCATTCTGAGAATGGCTGGGAGATATAATTCCGCCGGGAACCTCAACTATACGTCTAAGAACGTGGTGGAGACCCATATCTGATCCCTCCTCTAAAATGCTTAAGACGGCGAAGGGGAAATTCAATCTCCGATATCACTATCACGCCCAACACACTTTCACGAGAAGATGTAAGAATAGTTTCCATGTCGTGTTGGAGTACTCATTGGGGAGATGTGGAGGGTAGCTTCGTAAAGAGAGGAATGGCTTCTAAGGGGGATGTAAGTAACATCTACATATGGAATTGAATCACTTTTTCTAAATATGTAGGTATAATCTTCCTATGGGGTCGAATCACTCCAAATACTTCTGAATACATACTTTCTTATAGGGCTGAATGCGTTTGAATGGGTGATGCAGTTTCATTCCTCATTATACTTCCCAGCTTCGGAAAATTGACAGGCCTTCTTGTTGGTTGCATGTAGAGCTCATGTTTCATTGACGACTTGATGGGCCTAACAATGGTAAAGTGACCGGCACGCTCGAGAGAGTATCAAATAGATCGTAATCGGCATCATAAAATTACTTTCTCATCTAGTTCTCGTCTGGTTCTTACTCCAACTAGGTATATCTAATGCAAGCGCTAAAATCTCCATCCCAAACTCAGCACGCTATGCAACTCCTACTTCCTTTTACAGCTTCTGCTTCTGCTCCTGCGCCTGCTTGTTCTTCTTTCCGCGGCCGCCAAAGCCCCACCTGATCTGGTTTGCAAGCTGAATCTCGCAGTCCAGATCCTCAGCCCAGGACCAGACAAGGCCGGGGTTCTTCTGGAACATGCGGCCCGCCATGGCGACGTCGAGGTTGCCCTCCTCGAGCAGGCTGTTCGCCTGCTTGCCTGTCGTAATGCTGCCCACCGTGCTGACGAGCAGCTTGTCGCCCACGGCCGTCTTGACCGTGTTCGCGAATGGCGCCTGGTATCCCGGTCCGCCCTTGATCTGCTGCTTCTCGTGCAGACCGCCAGAGCTGACGTCGAGCAGGTCGACGCCGCGGGCGGCGACGAGCTCAGCCAGCTTGGCCGTCTGCTCGACCGTCCAGGACTCGTCCTTCAGGTCCGTCTCCTCGAGCCAGTCGGTCGCGGATACGCGCAGCAGCAGCGGCATCGTGTCCGGGATCACGGCGCGCACCGTCTCGACAACCTCGAGCGTCAACCGCGTGCGGTTCTCGAAAGACCCGCCGTACTCGTCTGTCCGTTTGTTGCTGGCCGGCGACAGAAAGGAGTGCAGCAGGTACCCGTGCGCGTTGTGGATCTCGATCGCGTCGAAGCCGCAGGCAACGGCGCGTTTGGCCGCCTCGCCGAATGCCTTCTTAAACTCCTCAATGTCCTCCTTCGACATTGCCTTGGGCAGGTTGTGGCGGTCGTTGTAGGCGATGGCAGAGGGAGCCTTGACGTTGTTGGGCCAGCCATTGAGCTGCAAAGTGTTAGTCAATCAATGTCCATAATCAGTCATGAATATATGTGACGTACCTCCTCGCCCGCAATATCACCCGCCGACAACCAGGGCGCGACTGTGCTGGCCTTGCGGCCTGCGTGCGCCAGCTGGATAGCGATCTTCTGGTTCTGGCTGTGCGCAAACTCGACCACCTTCTTGATGGGCTCGATCTGAGAGTCCTTCCAGAGACCAACATCTTCAGGCGTAATGCGGCCCTCGGGCACGACGGCCGTGGCCTCAACAATGGCGAGGCCAGGTCCGCGCGAAACGATACCACCAAGGTGCGCCATGTGCCAGGCCGTCATGTGGCCGTCCTCTGCAGAGTATTGGCAAAGCGGGGAGAGCATGATGCGGTTCGGCAGCGTCAGGCCGCGGATGGTTATGGGGCGGAAGAGCTTGGGGATCGCATTGTCCTGAGAGGCGAGGGCGGAACCGGCAGGAGGGTCTTGCTCGGGGGTGAAGTAAGAGATCTATGAATGCTACTGTCAGTACACCAATTGGCAGTGGGAGGAGGTGTTTAGACGTACGCCAGGAGCAGCCTTGTTAACAAAGCCAGGCTCGGGTTGGATCTTCTTGGCGACGGCGTGGTGAGAGGCCATTGTTGCAAATCAATTGAGCAGAAACGAATTGTCTGAGGAGCAATTGGGGAGAGCAAGGGAGACGTTTTATACAGGTGCGCTGGCTGCTAAGGTTGCATGATTTTTTTGGGGCAAGAGCAATGGTTGCTGATAAATCCACTTGAATGCCATTGCGTCAGGGGTTCGGCCGCCACTAGGGTGTGGTCTTTTCTCGGAAGTCTCCAGAAGATACGGGTGACCGCATAATGAGGGTGGGCGAAATGGGCGACACGGGCATGGAAATTTACGACCTCAGTCGAAGCTGTCGCGATGACGGTGTTGCTTTGTCAGCAGTCGGATTGTCTTCCTTTCTCTCAAGCCCACCCGAATACCACCCAAACGGCTCCGCATGCATGTCTAATAAATTTAATAGAGCAGTGATTTAAGAGAGTGTATGTGGGTTTCTGTCAGGTCCATGCCCAGTGCTCGCAGTCCGTCTGAACGTGTCAGTCCGCATTGACCTTCAGCACCTCGCATCCAGAAAACCATTGACAGATAACGACCGACATCCACGGAAATGCCATGCTCGGGATCGAAACTCCGATGCTCCTCGGACCGAAACAACTGCAGACCATGTTCGGAATGGCGCAATTGAGCAACGAGCTGACTATGCTAGGCTAACCACAAGTAGAAAGCGCCAGGCTACATCAAGCAAGTGAGCTTTGCCTGCACGACAACATTAAATTTGAGTAACATCCGTCACTGCGAACCGAGATCCACCGTCTAGTGAGACAGTGGATGATACAAGCAGTCCCTACGGAGTACTCCATGCCCAGCTCACAGCCCGAGTCCTGGGTATGGGTGCAACGGTCTTAGAGCACACGCAGACTCTACGCATCATAGCCGGGTCTCTTCTTCTACTCCATACAAGTATCACCGTCTCGCTTCACGGTGAACCTCGTTTCATGGTGACGGACGTTACTGAACCAAAACTACCTCCGACCGTGCAAGCTACCATTTAGTCGGTCCAAACGTCCCATTTGCTGGAGCCTGTTTCCACGGCGTCCCTTTCCCATCCACCGTCGTCGATGAAACAGTGTTTCCCCACCAGTCCAAGCTCGCACCCGGGAAGATGACAGTGAAAAATATGATGACGGCGCTGACAGCGACACCCGAGTCCAGCGCTGCCGAGAGCACATAGTTGTATTTTGCCCACCAATATGGCCACCGGCCCTTGATCCACTTGTTAAAGATAAAAGACACCGCAAACGCTGTCGTATATTGGACACCGGTGGCGGGCGGTAGGTTTCCTGTTCCGGCGAAGAATAATGGCCAGTGTAGTGACTTGAGGAACCTGTTTGTAGGGAACTTCTTCTTGAGGATGTAGGTGAGGACGGGAAGAAGCGCGCCGATCCAGAAGAAATGGAGCAGACCAGAATACATCTTTCCGATACTGTAAAGGCGTGCAGGGCCGATGGCTCCCCAGATAATAGAAGAAGTGAAGTTCACGCGGCCCTTTGTGTTTGTTAGCATTATTCTTAGGTGGTTAGGGTGCTAGGGTGCTATGGGGTTAGGGGGTTAGCATGTCTACTTACCTGGGGGCAGGTATAGCCATTCGGCTGGTCCGCGTCGCAGATACCCTTGATGTGGCCAAGCATCCAGATAAGAACAGCGTTCTGGGTAATCGAACCCAAAATACAGGCTGTGAGCTGTGCCGTGAACAGTGTTCGTTTTGGAATTTTCATGTACAGTCCGAGCTTCATGTCGGCGCAGTAGTTCATGGCCTGCGAGAGAGCTGTGTAGGCGTAGAACTTGAAGATCAGCATGACAATTGGCTTGCCAGGGAGTAAGTAGCCAGCGATTATTTCGCCCAGGACCGTTAAAACGTTGGAGTTCAGGTTAGCAACGGCATAGACAACCCCAACTGGAATAACGTAAAGGGTTGCCATTCCGAACGCCAATATTACGCTCCAGACAGGCATTCCCAGATGCCAAACTTCCATGGTAATGATGGCGACAACGAGTACAACCACCGTCAAAATCATGAACCACCACCAAGGAACGTCCTTGTAGCGCATCATTAGTCTTGCGTGGATATCTTTTTTCTTTTCTCCAGTCATGGCATTCTTCATATCCCTACCGTGGTTGAGGAATATGTGTATGGGGAGACAGGTCATTGTAGCGAAGGCGATTCCGTAGCTGAGAGACATAGTTGCCGGCATGAAGACTGGAGAGTAGTCTTCATAGGCGGACTTGAGAAAGTTGCCCTTGCTGTCTACAATCTTCGATACATCGTAGATGGCACCTGTGTTGTCATAGGCATCCGATCCCGTCAGGGGCATGTAACTCGTCCACCTGGTAATATGGGTTAGTGCCTGTTTTGCACTTCAGAACTCTTTTTACTTGCCATGTGTTTGTATAATATAGTATTGGGGTTACTAAGGCAAAGTGGAATGCCCATCCCGCGAATACATTTGACTGTGCCCAAAAGGGAACCACCAGTGGCGATCCGTTGAAGGAAATCTGGCTCCAGTCAAAAGTTGTTGGTAAAAATCCAAGGCCTGTAGTCATTCCAAATAAATTGTTGACGACGACATTGTTCGGGGCCGCCCAGCAGATGAATGCAAAAGTGCTGAGTCCGGTAAATATAAAGCCAGGTACCCAGTACCAGCAAAATCCAATTATGAAGACATAAAGGAAAAAGCGGTATCTGCTAATATTCCAGCCATCTGCAATGGTGTTGGACCTGCTATGTAAAGTTTCAAAAAGAGCAGCGTTCGCGAGCGTCGAGGGCCATATCATGGTCGGCGGCTCCACGATAAAACGGTAGGATAGACCTGCAAGTCCGAGGCCAAACAATTGCATGGTCAGCCCTAAGAGGAATTGATACCCAACCGGTGCTTCGCTGTGATAGAACGCTTTCTGCGACTGAATTATGTCTGTCGCCTTGGTTATCGCCGTTAGTTCCTGTAGTTTTCAATATAATATAAGGGGGGAGGGGGTTTGGGGTCGGGAATGGAGATTTTCCCTATTAAAAAGTAAAAAAAAAAGGAAACCGGACTACATACCCAAGACGCGCCGAAACTCAGGTTTGACATGATGGTCACAACCGCATGTTCTTTTATGTTGAAGGAGTGGTCCGGGTTGATCGTAAGTGGAAATATGCCCAAAACACGAACTGTTTTCACCGGGAGCACATTGGCTAGAAAGTAGCCGCACGGGAAGCTGACCAACTGTGCAACAAGCGAAGTGATAGTAACGCTGGGGTAGCGCATCGAGAAGAACTGGTTCACACCAGCGCCGACCTGCACTCGTCAATATCCCTATCCGTCGCTTAACCATCGCATGACTTACCATTGTGAAAACGACGCCCAAGAACCACATCCGCAAAGTATTCACTGGCATGTGGGGATCATCGGTATTGGAGACATTGGCTCGAACCTCGGCGATGGGAGAGTTGCTAGAGTCGATGGTATACTCCTTCTCGATCGTCTCAATGGCGCCGGCCGTGGTGGCGTCGGCATCTGAGAGAACTTTGGTTTCTCCCACCTCAGGTTGCTTGTTCTCGTAGCTGTACTCCCCAGAAGACGGACCGCTGGCCTCAATGTCCTTAGGGACCGCAGTATCGGATTTGACGTCGTTCATGGCGGTCGGGATCAATCGTTGCCGAGAACTTGAGCGCTGGGGAAAGCCCCCATCGTAGTGGGATGATTACATCTTATATATATGTATGCTTTTAGTTGCGGGCTGCAGCCAAAACTCCTATCGGACAATCTTCCCGTATCTCAGCTGGATTATCTTTGTGGCTAAATGATTGCGGGGGAAGTGTTGTTGACGGCAAGCCAGACTAGAGGCCGGCGGAGTCAGTGCGCGCGCATCCTGGCATGCATGAAGGTCCACGCGGGTGCCACCTGAGAAGGTCCAAGCGAGCTAGCGTGCAGATGAGAGGCAACGCTCTTCCGCTCGCCACATAAGTAGTGCGGCGGCTCGGCAGTCTTTCAGCAAGCCAAGCATCCAAACCATCGGCAATGGATTCTTCCATTCTCATCATTGGCAGGTAAGCCTTACCAAGCAAGTCGGAATGTGGGGCTTAGCGTTGACGACGTGCCACGCAGCGGCACCTTCGGAGCCTCAACAGCCTGGCACTTGGCCAAAAGAGGCTACAAAAATATAACTTGCATCGACAAGAATCCTTGTATGCGATTCCGATAACTTTTTCTGCGTGATGTGAATCGCGCTGATTGGCCCCACTGTAGTCCCTTCCGTTGATAGCGCTGCGTATGACCTGAACAAAATCATTCGGACAGAGTACGATGAACCGCTTTACTCCGAATTGGGTGCGTCGCAGCGTGCTTGACCTTAGCGTTATGTTGCACAACTGACCCGGACTGTAGCTATTGAAGCCATCCAAGCATGGAGGCAACCGATGTTTGACGATATCTTCCATGAAACAGGTATTTCTTGTTGCAAAACGCAACTCACTTTTTTGCACCGTTTGCTAAGCTTTGTCTCGTCCCAGGCTGGCTTATTACCACTTCCGGCGATCCAGAGGCAACAAAGCGACTTCGCCAGGCCTACGAGAATCTCGTTAAGAAAGGTCAAGCCAAAGGAGTAGAATTCGTTGAAAATAAGGAAGACATTGTAAAGCATGTACCACTCCTTGCAGATGCAAAAGGGATTTCTGAATGGAAAGGCTTCTGGAATCCTCAAGCCGGATGGGCACACGCCAGGAAAGCCCTTGAGAAAGTCGGTACTGAGGTATGTCCTGAATACCATGCATCATATGGATTTCCATTTAACAAAACATAACAGGCGATGAAACTAGGTGTAAAATTCATCGGTGGCCCGGATGGACAGATGACCAAACTGGAAAGTAAAGACGGGAAAGTGGTAGGCATCAGGGTGGCTTCAGGCAAAGTCCACACTGCCTCGAGGTATATCCTTTGCACTGGTGCTGCTTCTCCGCAGGTACTCCCGGAATTGGCTCCTCATCTATGGTCCAAGTGCTGGACGCTTGGACACCTCGAGCTGAATGACGAAGAACTCGCTCTTTTCAAGGGATGCCCCGTGGTTGATAACCGGGAGCTGGGTTTCTTTTTTGAGCCTGATCCGGAGACCAGGTGGCTGAAAATATGCAATGAATTTCAAGGATATCAATGGCAAACCGGTGAGTACTTTGACGGAACGAAAACCATCAAGTACTCTATCCCTCGCTATGCGAGCGATCATCCTGGCGAGGGCATCCCGGACGAGGCAATGGCGGGAATTAATCGCTTGATCGATGCCGTTCTTCCGCGATTCTCAGGCCGCAAGATCCATGGAGCTAGTGTTTGCTGGTGCACGGTTTGTCATTCTATGATGTATCCTTGTCTTCGGACGTCCAGCTGACAAAGAGAACCAAGGATACCGCGGACCGTCATTGGCTCATCGATAAGCACCCTAGTTATCCTGGAGGAGAAATTCTACTTGCAACTGGCGACTCTGGGCATGCGTTTAAGATGCTACCGATCATTGGAGACTACATAGCCGATGCCTTCGAAGGAAAAGAGAGGGGCTTGAAGAAGGTTTGGCGGTGGCACAACAGGCCGTGGGGACATGACGATTCCCGCCCTGGCGATCGCGTCAAAGACTTGCGAGAGGTTGGCATGGGCAAGGCCGCCATGAGCAAGTTCTGAGCTGGGGGGAGGCCTGGATTGTGTGGTTTCGGGTAGTCCCCAGGTCCAATACTCCCCGATTGGGTTAGCGTGATCAACTGATCAGCTACCCTCAGCCATATGTAGGTTGTGTTGAAGATCGGGATAGCTAGTTAAAGTAGACTCGATCGAACTAATTGTAGCTGATTTGGGACTCCGCTAATGGCTTCAACTGAACCTAGAAACATTTGCTTTGTTTATTATCGTGGTGTTTTCGTCCTGATAACAACCCTGCTTTTATTTAGTTCCTGGGACGACTTCTCTATGGCTGAACCTTGCTTTTGACTGTAGGTATAGATATTTTGATCGCCACATGCGGAGAGCGGGCACGAATTGGTTGGCTAGTCCTTGGAGCTGGAAGAATATGAGAAAGGCTCTTAAGTCCAACGTCGTTACCGTCGGGTTAGTTTAAACACGGTTCATTCCGACAAACGTACATTTGGTTGCCTGTCTCATTTCCCTTTACATCCGTACATACTGTATCACGATAGAGTTCTGGGGTAGTATTCTGGCGAGGACCATATGACCATAACCCGTGCATTTGCATGGATCTGCAAAAGGTTTAGCCTAAGCGCTCATTGCATTCATTTGGAAGGTCCAATGGTAGACAACCTAAATTTGGAGATATTCACGACTTTGACACCACATTTCTGCAAACAAAATGCAAGACGCAGAAGTGCCGAAAGATGTTCAAGATTCTTGTCTTGGACCTTCCCCACTCCCCACGGATGTGGGGTTTTGCGGAGGCACGCGGATGACTGGTAGACTTACGTAAAAGGTACAGGGGGGACGACAATTCGATCTGCGAAGTGTTGCATCTTGAATGCCGAAAGCCTCGGCGAAAATTAGTCGAGCCGTCAAGCCTCCGGCAATGTTTTTGTACTTGAATAAGGGGCTGAAATTTTGTTTATTAAAGACCTGGAAGGTATACCGAGGGATGAAAATTACTCAAATCTTCTAATAGCCGTTGATGCAGCGCGCGAAGACGCCAGCTTGTAGTAAGAAGAATCTATTCGAGGCACCTACCACTATTTTCGTCAAGTTCATGAAGATTTCGAAACGAAGCTCAACTCGATAAGAGTAGTTAAACCTCGTTACGAAGCCGAGACTTGATAGGCTCTCGCTCGTTAGTCGTACTTTTGACAGTGTCTGGATATATCAGGTAGGAGGGGCTTGGTATCGATACATGGACCATCTTGATGCCCTTCTATTCACTGTATTTATTAACGTCTGGATGAGTTTGTAGCCATCTAGCACGTCTGATAACTTTTCGCTATCCATCTTCCTCGTCATCTTGTGTCCACCGCGGTGGTGGGGGAATAGATAGGTCCATCAAGCTATCAGGCAGAAGCTGGCTCGCTGTGACCACTCTATCTACACCTACACGATGATGCTTAGGCTGTCTGTATGACTGCTGTATCGTAACAGGGGATGACGTTGGGGGTGCCATTGGAAACGGCGACGATGACAATTGCAGCCTGGTCGGTGATCGAGCCGGCGAGCCGTCTTGCGTTGTCGATGCCGTTGTGGTTGCTTGAGAGGGTTGCGGAAAGTGCGACCAGCCATGAGCGTTTTTGCTACGAGACGCAGCTGTTTGCCCTTGAGTAGTGACTCCCGATTGGCGTGTGGGCGTCGAAACTTTTTGAAATCGCTGGTCACTTTGGTGCCCTTGGTTTCCGCCAATGGCTTTTGGAGTGCTCTCTCTTGTGAAGCTGTCTTGAATGCGCGCGTGGAGAGCTGGTGGCGAGCTTGAGACGCGCTCACGCGCTGAGGATGCCATAAACGGGGGGCTTGAGCGCAACTGCGACTCTTGTTGTATATCCAAATCCTGTCCGGGAAAACCATAAGGAGCAGCGTCGTCGGTACCTTCGTTGTCCGATTCAATGTCTGAAGATTGCGCCACTGAATGTTGTGCTCCACATGCCAGATCGATCTTATGAATGACAGCCTGAGTCTCTTGGCCGATATCGATACCGCCGTGGCCTGGAAAACTTGTATCCTCGTCCTCGGTTTCGCTGGGGTCATAGTCGCTGCCGTCCAGCGAGTCCTGAATGAATGATTTATTCCTCTGGATTTTTACGTTGGTCTTGGCTATCGAGCTTGATACTTCGAGCGCATCCCTGGCGTGGATATCATGACTCCAGTTATTTGAAGGATTGTTATGTAGGTTGTTACCTTTACGTGACCTTGACGGTGAGTCCGGCAATGAGGGACGGCGGGTCGAACGGTGTTGTGAGGGCGACCTCATATCGAAACTCCGCTGCGTGCGTATGGATGATAGAGGCGTAATTGCTGGTGACTGTGAAGAAGGGATTTCCAACTTCCGAATTTTTTGGGGTGTTTGGGGTATTTTGTTCATGGGCTCCTCAAAACTGTTTTCCGCTACTTCTTCCTGGATATCCTTGAGAGTAATCCTTCTTGTATACCTCTGCACTGTCGCCCGGCCTTGCTTATCGGAGGTATTGCTCCGAACGTCGGTAGCGTCTTCATCCAGCGACGCCTCAGACTCTGCGGTAGTAGACACATCTCCTTCATTCTCCTCATCTGAGGACCTCTCGGCCATATGTTCATCCATGCCTTCATCATCGGACGGTGGTATGGTCGAGACATACCCAATCTGGGTCAACGTCGGCTGTCGCTTTGCATTGGTCGCCTGAGTCCTCCTTCTTCGTTTTCTCGAACGGGATTCTGCCCATTCTGTGTCTTCTTCAGAGCCTGGCAGTTCGAGGAAGGAGACGCCACCGTCGAGTTGGGTGAGTGTTTGCTGACGCGTGAGCGTGGGCGGTGGCGATGTTCGACGAGTGGCTTTGCGTCGTCTTGGTGGGGACACCCTTTGCTGAGGAGGCGGAGGCGCTATGGTACGGTGAACGGAGTCTTTGGCCATTGTCGGGCTGCCCGGCGTCGTGTGCTAAGTCAAAAGCCAGCAGAGGGGCGCGTCGACTCCGGGGAAAACGCGTCGCGTGTTGGCCGCGGCCCGCGCGTCACTAAGTATGACGTAATCGGCACATCCCACTGGTGCCGCCATTAATTCCATCCATCTCGTCTTTCATTTTCCTTCGAACCGTCATCTACCTTGTTGCTGTCACTATTTAAAGAGCTAGAACTTTTCAAGTCGCTCAGGGTTTAACTATCTAACTGTACTTCAAGCAAGCTTACATACGACATCCATATGTCCCACAAACAGCTTCCTGTTTGCATGGAAGCTTGGGCTTTATTTGTGAGTATTTCATTCAATGACTGACACTTCATTGTATAGCTTACATGCCGCTTGATACAATCATTTCTTGTCGGCGTCTTAATGAACTTTGATCTGCAAGCGGATCCGGCCCTGGACATTCCCCCCACATCCCGAGCGGCAGTGTCACTGTTGGCACTTTCCGAATCCTAGTGCACCAGATGCGGCTACATACATAACATAAGAATGTTGAAATATGGCTTGCCCCTCTGGACCTCTGATAGCCAAAACCAACAATCATGCCGAGCCAAATCAAAGCTCTTCACACTGTTGACGGCACGTCGTTTCCCTACATTTTCGAGCAGAATGCTACTGTACAGTTGAATTCGAGTGAGGACCGTGTCCGCTGCAATGTGTACCGACCAAAAACTTTGCCGTAAGGGCCGTAGGTGACCAGAGCCGGGACCTTTTTCAAAGACATACACTATAAGGAGTGAGTTTTTATCTGTAATTTGAACTAGAGTCATTTCCAGTGACCGGGAAAAGTTTCCAGGACAAATCCTATTCCGAGGTCAACCCCGAGTATCATTCGGACCACTTATCCTGGGAGACACCGGACCCTGGTTACTGGACCAAAAATGGTTATGCCCTCGTCAGAGCGGATGAGCGTGGCCTTGGTCAGTCTCCTGGCAAATTAGACACCATGTCACGAGGAACTATTGAAGCATTCTTTGATGTTATCGAGTGGGCTGCAGCACAAAGTTGGTCCTCGGGCAAAGTCGGCCTGCTTGGGATTTCATACCATGCTTGGTCACAATGGAGAGTTGCTGCGAGGAAGCCCAAGGGCCTTGCTGCTATGATTCCTTGGGAAGGAGTGTCTGACTACTACCGTGGCCGCTGCCGCCATGGAGGCATTCTTTCGAATTCCTTCATCAAATTCTGGTGGGATCTACAAGTGGTCTCTAACCAGTATGGCAATACAGGGAAAGCTGCGTGTAGCTGGGGACCAATACTATTGAAGATGATCTCAGTGAGGAAGAATTGGTCAGGAACCGCCAGGACCAGACTATCTACAACGTGAACAATCGTTTTCGGGACGACGAATACTACGCTTCGAAAGAATACGACATGGAGGACATCGTAGTATCACTGCTCTCTGTCGCCAATTGGGGCGGTATCCTACTCCATCTCCGAGGCAACATTGAAGGGTTTTGTAATGCTGGCTCGGAACTTAAATACCATCGCACAATTACTGGACGCCACGATCTACCTTTCTGTTATGATGAAGAAGTCGATATCCAAAAAAGCTTTCTGGATGCTTTCTTGAAGGGACAGGACCGCGTTGGATGGCCTATCAAGGGAAAGATTCCGCCCGTTGACCTTGTTCTCCAGAAAGGCGATGTTGACTTCAATAATGCCGAGGCAGAAAAACAATATCAAAGACGAACGGAGAATGAGTGGCTTGTCGCCCGCACTCGCTACATAAAGTACTCACGGTAATAGAACCACTGCCGAGCCGTCACCGAAAGATCTCCTATAGGGCCCCTGGGAACCTGGAAACTCCGGAACTTGTTTAGTTTACGACGAGGGAATTTGAGAAAGAAACTGAGATTACTGGCAATGCGGTTGCCCATCTCAATGTTTCCATGAGCCCTGATCCCACAGGTCCTACCCCTCGAGATATTGTTTTTTTTTTTTTTTTTTTTTTTTTTTTTTTTTTTTTTCTTTTTGACTCTTCGGCACATCTCACCTGAGAGCAGAAGTCCATTATACCGGCACAGCCGGCGACCCGGTCCCACTCACAAAAGGATGGCTGCGTGTCAGCCTGCGCAAAGTGAACCCCGACCATCCTAAGCACCGTGAACACCTTCCATGGTGCGAGTATCTGAGCACAGTTGTCCTTCCCATCATTCATAACGAGGTCTACGGAGTTGATGTGGAGATTTGGCCAACCAACGTTGTAGTGGAAAAAGGCGGGAAGCTGGTGCTCGAAGTTGCTTCAGGGGATACTCAGGGGTCTGGTACATTTTCGACACAATCATCCAGACGGTAGATGAGATAATAACTACCGAATGTCTCAGCTTTCTGGTTTGCTAACGTGTTTTTAGGTCGGAAGCTAAGTTCAGAAGCTTGAAACATCTGTTTCGGGCTCAATTACCTGAACTATGTTACCCTGCCTGTCATCCCACCAAAATATATGTGAACTTCAACTTCCAAACTTGTAGATAGAGGATATCAGCAGGTTTTTTTGTATCATGACCATTATTTTTGTCAACCTTGCACCGAGTGAAATATGTTGTCCTGCGGTCTGTGAGGCTTTAAGGAATACTCGCTATACTGTAACTACACCCTGTTCGAAAACGCCGCGTCATAGCAGTGGTAGGCCGAACGGCGGATGTAGAAGAAGCGGCAAAGGCACTAACGACGGCGCGCTTTAGTTTCCATGGCCGCTCGCCCTACGCACCGTACCTGGTCCTTGTCAATTAATTTGTCAAGAAGCAGTTCCAAGAAGCAGTTCTTGAACACCGTGGCGCAGCAAACTATCCGCTCCATGACCAAACAGGACAGTTCTGTCAGCGAAGAGAGAAAAGGCATTTTTGACGAACTGAAAGGAAAAGAGGGCGTGTATATCGTTACTTCAGAATCGAATGGAAGCGTCGTCGATATTGCACGTAGGTAAGTACTGATGCAAACCCCTGAGCCTTAGTCCAACTAGAAAACTAATACAAATCAGAGATCAAAGCTTCCTGTTCCAGAAAGTTAGTGAAAAGTGTCTCTGCATCCATGCCATCAGCAGCTTAGACGACGGCATCGATCTTGCCAACCGTGCAGAACTCCTCCTCGCGTCCTATATCTTCGCAATGCCCACATCTGCGAAGTATCTGGGACAATTCATCGGATCACAAGCCACTTTCGTGAACCACATCCCCCTGGAACTTCTAGGTAAAGTCCCTTGTTTTCTTCTTGTCTTTTCCTCGCCTAATATTCTTTCAGTCGGTCCCGCCGCTCCAGCGGAACTTTGCCTGGACCTGTCAGATCGCTTCTTGGGGACGCTATTCATGGTCTCAAGACTGCAGTACGTTTGTACTACTAGGCTGTCCTTGCTGCGACTGGGCAGCATCTTCTAGACAGATTAGGACAAAGAATTTGGAGACTTTAGGGTCGAAAGTATGGCAGTGCTGCCTGCGGGTCGGCCTTATAGGAAGGGGATTGGCTCCTTCGAGCAGGGTTTTCTTACCAGGTTGTCGCTTTTCGCACTGCCAATACTGACAGGTGCTGGTGTCTTAACTTGTTATAGCTCGAAAGCTTTGAAAGCAAGATGGTGATGTTAATAAATCTTTGTTTTGTGTGCATGAACAGCTTTTTGGTAATGTTCGGTCGACATTCTTCCCAACTGAAGAAAATACTAGCCTAAAGCCACTGAGTAAGGTGAATGGAACAACTACAATTTAGCTTTGCGACATGTTTGCAATACATGCTGACATAGTTACTATAACCCGCTTAGAGGATGTATCAAGAGTGGAGACCCTGAAGTGATAGAAATCAATAAACAATCCCAAACAGACGACGCTTTGAATAAGGCTTGAATACGGAAAAAACATCCATGGTAGAGGTAATCATCCAAAACGAATAAACGGGCTGTAGCGCGACAGAACATAACAGAGCAAGGCTGACCCATGGTTTTGCCAAACAAGCCGCACAACCAAGAAACCTGAAGATACAAATATGAGTGAGGTGAGAAACGAAGACGAGAAGAATGGTGCGCGCAGGTACGTAGTTTCCAATAACAAAGTTCGCTCCTTCTCTTGACTACCGATAGGTAGAGACAGACAAAGGACAGATAGGTCAACTACTGGATCGTACAGAACCCACCTTCGCCAGTTACTAGCTAACTTGCCATCTCTCTCTCCTTCCTTGCTCTACCAACTAAACATAACCTCATTACCTAAACTCATCCATAAACTTCTCATGGAACGATACGATCCGTCCCACCCAGTCAGTGCCTGGGGCAAGGAAGGTCGTTCTGAAGTGGTATTCTCCAGGCCGCTGCCCGAATCCGCTTCCAGGAACCGTGCACACGCCCGTCGCGTCCAGCATGCGTAGCGCGTAGAACTCATCGGGAGTTCTGCCTTCGCTCTTGGCTTGCTCGATGGCTTTAGGCGGGAGACTTATTGTCGGGAAGAGGTACATTGAGCCCTATGCAAGGAGGAGTGTTAGCCATTGGGCGGTGTGATGTGGCTGAGGAGCCGTAGTGGAAGGGTGTGAGGGCTGTGCTGAGGTGAGGTAAGAGTGGGAGAAGAGTCAGGTAGTGTCTGTTTTAGGAAAATGGTGAAGGTGGTGGCGGCGGCAAGGAAGAAGGAAGCGGGTCAGGCGTTCGCGCGCTCGCTTGGCGTGGCGCGGGGTGCGTGAGTGTGGGGGCGGGGTCGTGGTGGTGTGATGGCATGACACGACCCAAAACAACAAAAAAGGCGTCCACTTACCGTCGGGCTCTGACAGTCAACACCCTCCATCTTCTTGAAGGCCTCGTGCAACGCCTTGGCGCGCTTCAGCAGGCCTTGGTAGATGCCCACGTGCTCAGTCTTGTACAGCTCGAAGCTGGGCTCGCCCTCGCGCGGTGGGTTGACCATCATCTCGACGATGGCCTGACCGATGACCGGCGGGCACAGCTGGATACTCACAAACTTGTAGATCTCCTGTACGACCGCGTCGTCGAAGCCCACAAGTTCAAAGTACCCGCCCCGGTGTCCGCACTCACCCACCATACCCTTTGAGATACTGTGTAACGACGCCAGCTCCACGTGCTTGAACTTTTCCGGATTCTCTTTCTGCAGGTCGCGCAGCACCCGCTTGAACGACAGAAATTCGCCCTCGAACACGTTCGTCTGGTACACCTCGTCAGCGAGGATCACAAGCCCCTTCTCGGCCGCGAATTCCAACACCCCGCGAACGTCTTCAGCAGTCAGCGTTGACCCAGTCGGGTTGCCGGGATTGATGATGACGATCGCGCGCACATCGGTGCCGTTCGCAGAGGCCTTTTCGTGCGCAGCGTGGATCTCCTTGAGGTTGGTGCTCCAGCCTTGGGCTTCCTCGAGATAGTAGGGCACGCATTGCGCGTTGAGTAAGGACAGCGTCGCCGTGTAGAGCGGGTACTGTGGAATTGGGACGAGGACGCCACTGGACGAGTCTGCGCAGATGACGTTCAGCAGGGTGCTCACACCGCCCGAAGCACCGGCGCTGAGGAAGATGTCCTTAGGGTCCGAAGGGTAGCCGTCTCGTTCTGTTGGGCATTAGCTTCCGCAGACCTGTCTTGCGACGCCGGAGGATTTGTACCTTCGATGAATCTGGCCACGCTTTCCCGCACGATGGGTGCTCCCTGGCTCTGACTATATGCACCGACGCTCTGCACATCAGCAAGCAGCTTCTTCGCTCTCGCAATCACATCCGGCTTGTAGTCCAGGCTGTTCACCAGCACATCTTCGTGCTCTAGCAACAACGGATTCTCCAGCAGACTAGCGACCTGCCGGAAGAAAGTAATGGGCTTCTGGTCCAGCTGCTGCGGGTTGCCAATATTTGCGCTGATGACGGAATCGAAGGGCAGCTTGTCCTTCTGGCCGCGCGCCAGTATGTCCCTGTATTCATCCGACTTTATGGCGATCTCGCCGCGCACGGCATATTTGGCAGCTTTGACACTCGAGTTGATGTTGTTGATGTTGAGGACCTTGCCGGGTGGTCGTTGTTGCGGCGCGGAGGAGGACATGGTTCGGCGTGCGGAGGATGCGGAGCACGGGGCAATCTGGGGAGCGGTAGCGGGGAAGAAGACGGAGGAGGATGGTATGAAACCTAGTGGAGAAAGGCAGGACTCAGTAATAAGTTCAATCATGCAGCCATTGCGCGCGTGGGCAATAAGCCCCCGGCGCCCCCATGCGGCCGCCTTCGGCGAGCACCTCATGGACAGGGAAGGGAAGGGCGTGCAGTGGGGTACATGTGCGGAGGGACCAGGGATTATCAGGAGGGAGCTGGCCGTACCGGTGCGGCGCGTGGGCGGGATCCGTCGCGGCAGCCCAGCCGTGACTCCATCGCCTGACAGCAACCGGCCCATCGGCCTCGTGCGCCCGAGGGTGGCGCGCATTATTCTTCTATTCTGGCGGAGTGATGCGGAGGTGAGCGTTGACGCCGGCCTGACGGAAGCAGGCTCTCGGGTCGGGGATTTGCACCGGTGCGAGTCGTGGCCAAATGTACCTGGAACGTAGGAGTAGCTGCTGCAAAGGAGGGACTTTGAGGGAGACAAAAGAGAGGGAGCGCGAAAGAGAGGCCCGAAAATAATCCCCAGAATCGTGGAAGGCGAGGAGGGCCCAGGTGCGCGCCGCGGAAACGGTTCGTGCTGACTCACCGAATGCGTCACGATAACCGCCTCCCGCGCGTCGCTCCGCCCGGAGCTTGCGAGTACGTAACATCACACTTCAGCTTTCGTCCATTTGCATATCCATCTGAAATAGTATCGTCGCCGCAACGTTACACCTGCCCGTCGCCTCCGAAATCGCTCAGCCCCTCAGCCCCTCTCACTACCCCTCATCCTAACCGTCTGCCCGTACTTTTGCAGCTTCGTGATCAGCTGGTCGCCTTGCTTGACCACGTCATTGTATTGCTTGTTCTTCGAGTCTGGCCTGTTCGTCTCGATGATGCCCCTGACGCGATCTACCGTGCACGGCACCCGGTCCGCCGCGATGAACTTTGCGAGATCCCTGTCGTCAATGTTAGCTGTGCGCCTGAGGAAAAATGTCGCGCTCCCGCCGAGCCTACTCACTTGTCGAGGAAGTCCACCGATACACCAAAGTCGTTGGCCATGCTCTGTAAGCCAACGACCCGGTAGCTCTGCAGCAGCTGCTGATAGCCGCGCAACCGCATCTCGCGGACGAACCAGCCCCGGTGTTCGAAGAGGTACCGGTCTTTGCTGAGGAATTGCTCCTCGACCTCGCCCAGCGCTCGGAAGAAATCCCGATAGTTGCCCGAGTACAGGCTGTTGACCAAGCTGGACAGCGAGCTGAAGTCAATCTGCGCCTCCTCCTCCTGGGCCTGCCCGAGCGTCGTGAGGTTGACCGCCGCCGGGGTAGGAGTAGCCGTGGAGCCCTGAGCGTCACCCATCTCCTCGTCGCCCGCAGCCGGGCCAGACGAGACGGCACCCGTCAAAGCCGACAACTTCTCCTCTCCATCACCCAAAATAGCCTTGATCTCTGGCGAATCGACGACCTTGGCCTTGAAGTCGACGCGCTTCAAGGAAACCGAACCGGCGAGGACGGCATAGATGATGAGGGAGGAGTAGCTGCACAGCTCGTAGCTGGTGAACGTTGAAAGGCTGTCAAGCAGCAGCGGAGCGGCTTGGTTGTAAGCACGGACGGTGAGGTAGTGCAGACCAGAGTAGGCCTTCAGGCGATTCCGGCGGTCCCAGTCGCCGCCACCCTCGACGAGGTTGGTGGCGCGCTCAACCGACTTCTTCACAAGCACCTTGTCGCCGAAGAACAATCCTATTCTGATGATGGCGAGGACGAGGTCGATCTTGGTGCCTAGAATGCCCGTGTTCTCGAATACAGCTTCATAGGCGGCAATCGCCTTATCCTGTTGGTTCGTCCGCGTTAGCCACAAACGCCCTGTAGCCATCTCGACGGGCCATGAAGTGAATGACAAACCTTGTCGCCCACGCGCGTCCAGAACTCTGCTCGCTTGCCTCTTGCCGTCTGTATCTCGGTCTCGCCGGCCTTCTCCTCTGCCTCGTCCTCCTCCTTCTGTATCGCCTCCAACTCCTTGTCATTATCCGCCCGGAGCTGTTCGTACAGTTGCTCATCCCAGGGCAAGGAAACATTCAGCGCGGGCTGCTTGGTGGGAGCAAGGAGCGTGCCTATGCTGGACGACGATCGGCGTGGGCGTGCGGGCTGCTGAGCGGAGCCCTCGCCGGGGGCGTTCAGGATGCCTTCTGAGGGGTGCGCCAGGTGTCGATAGAGCGGGGCCATCTTGTGTTCCTTGATCGCATCTTGGAGAGTCTTGAGCGAAGCTTCCTGGGTAGACTTGGATGAGGATGGATTCGTGATGTGGAAGATGTGCTGAGACAGCTGGAGCTCGGGGAACTTGGCGTATTGCGGGTCTCCCATGGTGGCAACTTGACGGCGATGGGAAGACGGGAGAGTGGGGCCTCAGATGGCGTGAAGTTTGTGGGTAATGGACGAGTTGGATGGGCGTGAGGTGAGCTGCGGATACCTCGCGGCGGCGGTCGAGCTGTTGAAGCTGCGACGTCGGCAGTTCTTCGGGCGGTGGAGCTGTTCCGGCGTCACTGGGTTGTGCTTTCCAAGAACAACCAACTCTCATTTCTTTCCCTTGCGCATTTTTTTCTCTGTTCCATAGGTACTTGCACGCTGTAGTCCTTGGCAACTCCCAATCGCCCTCTCTAACCGGCCGAATCTCTGCTCGTGTGCTGCAACACACACATCTCCCTCGCCTCATATTTACCTAGGTACCGGTCCTTCACCAACTATGCCTCCCGCATTTGGCTAGAATCGCGCTCGCGATCGCGTTTAACTCCCGCAAGCGCCCCGGCGCCACATCCCTCCCGAGACTTTCCTGACGAAAACCGCCACGAAGAACATAGACACCGCCTCTTCATCCGTACTCTCGCTCCCGCTAGTTGAGGCAGGTCCGCTCAGATCAGCTGGATGGTACAAGAGGTGTGCGAGAGTGAGCAGCGGGTAGAAGGAAGGAGTCGCCGCCGCCATTGTGCGAAGCATACACGATATCGTAAAGTAGTAGATAATAGATCCTTCAAGAGCTATTCATCAAGTTACGAGACTACTCTTGATGCGACTATGAAGAAAGCTATGGGTGTTGCAAATATAATGCGCACTGTGATAATACAACGCAGCAATACCACTTCCATCACGTTCAGCGGCGTTCTGCATGTTTCCGAGCAACCTTTCAACGCCCTCTCCCTAGGCCAAGGGAGAGCACGGACATGCGCAGCGTTGCAGACAACCTCCTGATTCATGGCGACGTCAAGAGAAACATCTACTACCTCCAAATTGCTAACAAGCCCAGCAGGCTGCCAGCAGCATCCCTCGCCACTTAGCGTTGCCTTGAACTGCCTTCTCGATACCATGCTGAGGGTGAAGACAGCGATCTAGGGAGTAACAAGTAGGAGCCTCTCCGCAAGTCTCGTGACGGCAACACCCCCAGTGATGGCAACATCAACAACACATGTAGTGGTATCACCACATTCAACACACTCAACAGGCCGTGACAGCTGGGCCTGCAACAACAATTGCATGCCAGCGCGTTCAGCGCCAGCAGCTGACTACTCACTGATTAACTAAACACGTACGCGCAGATTATTCACAGCACCCATGTAACAATAGCAACAAACGCACCAAAATCAACTCTTCATAACACACAAACTTGACTAACCAGGGCGACTCTCTTTCACCCATCGGACTGGGCCTCGTTACTCTATAAGACTATGCTTTCCCATACAAGAAAAGCACATATTTGGGATTTGAAAGCTTAGCAATTGCTTCCAGAAAAACAATGAAGGTACCGGAGGTTCAGCAAGTCTTTTTCAGGCTCTCACTCGCACCATCACTGCACCTTAGAACACTTACCTTGAGCATCCTCAGTATGATCCAGATGTCAGCGAGTGGCAGCTCTGTCATTATTCCAACAGTTTATGTGGCTTTATTTCGAAAGAAATCAGGAACAATTCAGTGCTAAGGCTAGATGCGAGACAGGTTCCTCATGCGGCCGCGGGTCGAGGAAAGGCAACAGTGGCCATCAGCGTCATGGCACAAACATGCTTCGAGAAGATGCAATAGCACCACCAGCTTAGACGGTGTACGTTTTCCGTACGGAATACAGGCGTTGACAGAGCACGGTCGCATATTGTACCTCAGTAATGACATAGCTTTAAAGCAAAATGTAACCCCTACTCCACCAAGACCTTCCACCACCCCCATTTTTTCTCTTGACGAAATCCGCGCTCGCATCAGATTAACCCATCGTGTCAGCAAGAACTAGCTCGAAGTCATCGACACACCGGAAGATGTCTTTGTTGAGTAGGATCGGAAGGAGGAGCGGAGAAACCGAGTGAAATTTGAAATGGCCCCGGAGCAATATATAAGTATATAAAAGTAAAAATATACGACTACTAGAGTATCTACGAGGGTATAAAAATAAAACATTCGAAGAGTATAAAGGTGCTTATAAGGGTATAGAGACCTAAAATGTTAAAGGGTAGAAAATACATTGTATAGTTCTGTAGATGCTATCACGTGGGGTGTGCAAAATATCTAGAGGGGGTGGGCAAATTATCCGGTGTCTTTTGAGATAGAGTGTAACGCGGAATGAGTTCGCTCTGGTGTTGCATCTACCTCGGCGGGTTTGCATGTTATCAATACAAGTCAATCTGCCTACAGTAGCCCTCAGTCGGCTCCGTGACCTTTTTTCATGCCAACAAGTAACTGGCAGCGTTAAAACGCTCCTTTCGTGGCGCGTGCTGGACCAGGTGAAGGTAAAGTACCAGCGAGGAGTTGCAGTATAGCTAGAAGAAGCCAACCGGCACTGATGAGGCGATTCAGCGCGCCGCAGTGATAGTGCGCGGAATGCGAGTGGAGGTGAGGAGCGATTGCAGACTGTGTGTGTGGGGGGTCGTGCGGTGAGGCGTGCTCCTGCCATAACAATAGCGAGGGAAGGCGCGTCTATGGGCTGCACCTACAGGCGCGGGCGGGCGGCCCTGTCGCGCTTCTTTCCTTCCCGCTCTTCATTTCTTCCGGCTCTTCTTCCTAGGTTCCCACTCCTCTTTGATTCCAACAAGTCATATGCTCGCACCCCCATCCTCATCGTATGAACTACTTACTAATTATAAACAGAAGTATGGACCTACCAGTTACTGTCCGAATGGGCCCTCTTCATGATGCATCCGGGGTCTACGAACGTTCTCCTGCGCCTCCGTATTCCGCACGCAGTGGTCCCGGCCCAACAACCCCATGGTACGACGACGACGACGACGACGACGATGATGATGATGAAGGAAGACCTTCAAGGCCTCCGGAAGAAACAGTGACGGTGCCACCGGGTTACTTCAATCGGCTGGTGGAGGCGCGGATGGCATATTAGCAGCATAGATCTGTCACTAAGAAGGACGACAAGAGCAAGAAGAGAAAGGCGGAGGTGCTGCATTATGACGATGACGACGACGACGGCAGCGACGCTTCTGGCGCTGCTATTGCGGCGGCTATGAGGTCTCGGACATCTGACAGTGTTGTTGCTCGCCTCCGCCGTCCCGGCACGCACGACCCGAACAAGTTCTACTACATCAGCAAGAAGGACTGGGCCAATGCCATCAAGACCGAGAACACGAGCAAGCTCCACCGGTATGACCACGCTGGCCGCATCATGGAGGGTGAAGGCAAGCGTGCTGTTGTTAGTTGCGATGCTTGCATTTCGCACAACTGGGAATGCTATGTCTAGCTGATGACAGCGAGACCAAGACGTGCGCACGCTGCCACATAAGCGATGGCAAGTGCTTGATCACCGGTGGTGACACGGTGATGGAGGACGCGCCGCCGGAGGATACTGTAACCGTCTAAAAGGCGAAGTTTGAGGGTCTTTAGGATAAAGTGAGGGCGCAGGCCACACAGATCGCGCCTCTCAAGGCGCAGATGGCCCATATCTACGATCGCTTTGGCTTGCCGCTGCCGCTCGCGCTTGTCAAGAGCGTCAGCAGCGACGACAGCAGCAGCAGCAGCAGCAGCAACAGCGACGACGCGAACGAGCGCGCGGAGGGCACGGATGGGCAGACTGCAGATGATCTGTACACGATTTCAATCCTACTACATTGCACTGGATGCTGTATTTGATGCCTTTGCCATGAGACGTTTTGTGCCTTTGTAGACGCAGGTTTTGGCCTATACATACCTACCACACTCGAGAGTAAAACATTATGCGCTCCGCATTCATCAAATGGCAAACACAACAATGCGACAACTTTGTAACGTGCCTTGTAGATTGAAAACGGAAACGTGGTCGTGATAAGGTTTCGCTTGCTGTCGGGACGGTGAGGCTCTCTCAACTCGGACCGTTGATCGTCCGAGGCTTCGACTTCACCTCATCATGCCTAGCTACCATTCGCCTTGGAAAACGCCAGAAAATCCTCAGCAGAACCCATAGTGGACATTGGGGATTGTATTAGAAGTAAGGTGGACCCTGATCTTGTTTTCCTCTAGCTAATACAATAAAGCCGTTGAAAAGCATGCGCACAAACAACTTGATGAGACCAAGTATGCATGCCTTCCAGTAGTTCAAGCCATCTCGTCTTGTTCAACCTCGAGCTCGAACTTTTTGCAAAAGGTCTCGATATGCCCAGCAAGCAAGTTGCGTAGTTGTTCAGCTTGCGCCAACAACATGGCGTTTCCCTGAGTGGCGTCCTCCTGGTAGTTGGCGGCGGCACACTCCAGGTTGTGCTCATAGTTGAAGAGCTGCTGGAGTTTCGCATCCTTCCAAGCCTCGCGGTCTGTATCGCTTCCGTGAATTACACGGCTTGGCGCAAACCAAAGGTGACGCTCCAACTCTGTAAAGAGAGATTAGTGTTCCGGTTGCTAACTTGGTGGGTATGAGTTGATGGGTAGAACGTACCTTGCTGCCCTTCAATGGCGGAAGTGTGTAGAAGAGAAGCGGCTTCACGCTTGTTGAACTCCTTCGCTCCGTAATCGGTTGAGGCCAAAATCAAAGCCAGGAATGTGTGGGAATCTCCGCAGTTTTCCATGACGCGATAAAGAATCAGCAGCGTCTCGTCGTCCAAGGCCTCCAGTGTCTGAGGGAAAAGCCATGTCTCTGCACCCACGGCATTCTCAAGAGCCTCGATCGCGTGCTCACGCGGCGACTTCAAGGTAAGCTTCCTCAAGGTGAGATTCTTCAACTTTCTGTCGAGAACCGAACGCTTGGCAGTCGGGTTGGCATTTCCAGGGTGATTGGTGGCATTAGCAGCCTTAGACTTTGTGCGGACAGGCAGTCGGATGGCCATGGTCTAATCAGCTCCACATCAGTGTGGCTAGGTTTGAAAACTTCGGTCGCCGATGGGCGTCATGAGCTTACCGCAGCACCAGCACCGGTCTTGGTGTGCGTAGTAGCACCGTTATGAGCCGGCATCTTGAGGGCGATGTCGACGTGCGCGAAGGTTGTGGGAGAAGAGAAGAATCGCTGTGGGAGGGGGATATTTATGCGCAAGGCATTGGCGCTCGGACCTGACCTCGCGCCGCCGATGCAACACATGGGTGCGCGCCAAGCGGTGACAGGAGACAAATCAGGGAAGCGGTCAAAGAGAAAGGTTGTGCTTATAAGGCTGCTAAGTCAGTTTGCCAATTATCCGAGCGGGCGCATGGGCGCAGAGCAGGCTGAGTGGTCTATGTGTCATCCCAGATGATACCATATATTCTAGACTAACTTGGTTTGTGGTGGCCATGTGTTCGACTCCCGCCAAAGTCATTATTGTTCCAACATGAACCAAGTAATGAGGATCCTCGAAGGTTTGAATCACCGCGTCGGTCGAGATTTCATCTCCCTGCATGGGGCTTATGTCCCGGACGATGGATGGGGAGCATGTGCCCCAAGATTGTTGGACAATAATGGCTTCGGCCATATTTTGTTTTCCTCTCCTAATAATAATTTGATTAATTAATTTTTCGTGGGAGGACGTTTGGTAGTTCTGCCCTTGTGAGGGCGTTGCTTATTGTCATCATCCCGTCAAGTACACGACCATTGCCGCGACTGTTTACCACCTCACCAGTTCTTGCACACAAGTATCGCCAACCTATCCATCAACGATTTCACCCTCCCCAGGCCCTCCTCTCAACTTTTTCCCGGCCGATGCCATCATCCACCGTCACTGCCTTGACCTCTAGCTACTGACCACCACCTTCGCCGTCGCGCCAACGCATGGAAGCAAGCCAGCTTGGGGTCTCGGTGAAATGCAATCCCGGGCCTTCCTGTATGTAATAGGTGAGCTCGGTGTACCTAGCTCGGCTCACCGTGGTACGGGATGGTGCAGCACAGCGAGCGGAAGTGAGGGCAGTCGTGCTTGGTGTTGATTATCTTTTGTCTTATATACCATGCCGGTATGTGGTGCCGCATCTCTTCCCGATCAAATTCGCCAATACCACCAACACCTGCTCAAGCCTACCTAAACTTCAACCACGTCCTTCCCCCCCTCAGCACGCAACGCGCTCTCACCGCCACCATCCACAGCCGTAACACCCCAACCCTTCTCTCTGAGATACGCCCTGAACCTCTCGTCTTCCTTTTCGACCTCGTCTTGGCTGACCTCCGGAAGCGCGACCCAAGCAAGCGCCGCCGCAGCCGCCGCCAGCGACGAAGCGAGCCAGAACGGGTATTGCCCTGCCTGCGTGGCATCGGGCGCCGCGTCCTGCAGTGCCGGGAAGGCATAAGTGCCGACAAAGGCGCCGACTTTGCCGATCGCGGCTGCGGTGCCGTAGTACTGGCCGCTGTGAGGCACAGTGTGAGAATAGTGCGGATCGAGGGTGAGTAAGGAAGGAATGAAGAGACGTACCGGATGGCTGTAGCGCACGATTTACTTGCCATCAGGCCAATGTTGTCGCCAGGTCCAAACTCGCCCAAAGACAAAAAGATGCCATAGACGACGCAAAACGCGGCGACGTTTCCCGGCAAGCGCAGCATTGAGTAGCAGCCCGCCATAATATACCCCACAGCGGCCTGCGCCGCCATGCCAATCACCAGCGTACGGCGCGGCCCCAGGCGATCCGCAGCCAGCGCACCGGACACGCATCCCGGCAAGTAAAACGCGTTGATAAGGATATTCCATGCAAAGCTCCGCCAGAGGGGCGCGTCCTCACCGAGCAAAGATGCCAGAATCGTTGGCGCGTAGAGCCCGAAGGCGTAGGCTGAGAAGTCATATGCGAACCAGACCAGCGACACGGCGCTCAGACGCACCCAGTAGAAGCGCAGCACCAGGCTGTACGGCGTGCGCGTGTCGTGCAGCGCTGTGGCGCGTTTGTAGGCTTCTGGCTCTTGCAGCTTGACGCGCAGGTACAGCAGGCTTAACGGCGGGATCACGCCTAGGCCCAGGCAGATGCGCCATGCGGCGCGTAGATGGGATTCCGTGCATGCAACCACCTATGGAGGACATATGCGCGTCAGTGGAAGCTTCTCATGGCATCGGTGGAAGAGAGGACGCACGACTATCGTTGCCACGATCGCCGCCACGACGAACCCGACGTCGATCTGGACGTTAGTGAAGAGGATAAACCACCTGTTACGGGTACCGGCCTTGAGCTCAGAGGAACTCTCGGCACAACCGACGCTACCAGCCGGATATTCACCACCAATGCCGATACCAAGGAAGAAGCGGTATGCAGTGAGGGCGACAAACAGGCCGCCGGCACTGCCTCCCGCGCCGTACGAACCAGCACACAACGCGGCGAAGATGATGAGCAAGATGGTGGACAGAAACAGGGACCATTTGCGCGACCAGCGGTCAGATGTGAAGCCGAAGATCAGCATGCCGACGACGGTGCCGGCGAAGGTGATGGACGAGACGTTGCTCTGGGCCGTGCTCTTGCTGTATTCAGTGCCGTATATCTTCTGCAGCATCGTGTTGACCGGGCCAATGATCTGCATGAAACGAAGTCAGCCAACAGGAGCGACTGTGCGTCTTGTTTGCTATGGTCGCGGTGCGGTAAGGTGCGTCTGGGTATTTTGACTTGGGCGCGCGCGTTGCTGCATAGGGCGTTCGCTGCGAGTGCTCACGTTGTTCAGGTAACCATCCGAAAAGAGACCTGCGCCGCATGCAATGACGGGCCAGAGGCGATCCCAGCGATTCTTTTCCGTCGCCTCGAGGGGTGGGGGCGAGTTGGCCGAAGCAGTGTGTTGGACACGGTTTTTGGTTGGCGACGCGGGCTCCATGGCTGGTCGTGAAAACAACAACCAAGCACGGTCAAGCCCAAAGGTGTGGCGCGGGCAGCAGCAAAGGTCAACCCTGAAAGTAAAGCGGGCGAGATTGCGGAGAGAGACTGCAAGGCTGGGCGTGACACTGGGCAAGCCTGGCAAAAACACAAGACAAAGAGCGCAAGTCAAGAAGCAAGTTGAAAAGTGAGAAAGCGAGAAAAAAAGTAAGCATTAACTCGGCTACTAACAGGCCCGCAGCTGATAGGCAATAAATCCATGGGACCATCGCTTCCTTCCAGATAAGCATAGGTCGCATCGCACAAGACAGCCTCGACGCATCCGGTGATCAGCAGCAGGGCATGAATGAAGAACTTTTGAGCCCCACACACACACACACTATGCTATGCAGGCGGGCGTCAGCTCAGCGCAGCTCAGCGCAGCTCAGTGGTACAGGTGACAGATGATGCGCATGCATGTCGTCAAGACAACCTCGGCGACGGGACGACGGCAGCGGCGCGATGATGGCCGGGCCCAACCTTCAAACAAGCTTGCCGCAAAGCTTGCCCCGCCCCCACGGCACGTGAATCAGGCACGTGAGGAGGTAGGTAGAAAAGATGTATACACTTTCACTTCCATGGGCATTAAATAACCAACACCTACCCCTGTAACCATGGTAGACGCACAGTCACGCGACCAGTGTTGCTCCAAAACGTGCTTTACATACAGCCTGCCCGACGCAGCCAAGACAAGACAAGGATAAGTACAGTAAATAGCGGCATTGTACGCCGCCGTAGCTGACGACAGGGGACGACAAAACGAGAGAAGAAAGAAATAAAAGAAAAGTAAAAGGGAAAAAGAAGAGAAGAAAAAGAAAAGACAAAGCCGCGCCATGCCGTCCACGGCTCCATCAGCCTCGAGCCGGCATCACCATTGGCATCGCCATCGCCGTCTACACCGTCATCCTTGCCGCAAACTCTCTCCGCGGTGCGGCATTCAAAGCACATTTATGTCCCGTCGCGTCAGGCACGTGCATGCGTGCTTAAGTGACTCCAACGCGCGACGCTCCTCCATCTCCCGTAGTGGCGCCGTTTACGCCGTCTTCTTCCACGCCGAGTACATGCCGAGCAGCGAGCTGAGAGTACCAGCAAGACCGACAACGCCATCGTCCAGGTTGAGGTAGCCCAGGCCAGATCCAGGAACCGTGATATCGCAGAGGTCGGAAATGAGCTGGATCTTAGCTTGGTTGCCATCACTACGAAGCAGGCATGTTAGCAAGCAAGCACACACGCAGTACGACAGTGTTTTGGTGCGTGACAAGCAACAACGTACCGCTGGATCTTCTTCTTTTCAACAATGCCCTCAGCGTCCTTCTCATCAATGGCCGCAGCGCGACCGCGCAGCGCGTACAGCGTGTACAATCCCGCGATCGTGTTGAAGAGCAAGCCCGTCAACCACGCCCTGTACGCCTGCTGCTGCAGTTTCTTGATGCTAACGCTCTTACGCGCGCCGATCGCGTCGGGCTGCCACCAAACAATGTTAACAACCAGTTGTCATTCTCTTTCACCTCCCCCTCTGGATGGGAGACATACCACAGTGAGGTTATCAAAGAACATGTACGCCGCATAGCCCAGCTGCCTGCCAACAGCGCAGTACTTGAGCACGGCATCCATGCCCTTTGCGTCGGCGGCGACGGACGCGGCCTTGAGGTGCTCGACCCACTTGCCGAGGCGCATCAGCTTGCGCGCCGTGCCGAAGCTCTTCTTGACGGCATCGTAGGGCGCGATTTCGGCGGCCGGGTGGTTCGTCCGGAAGAGGTACCATGCGTAGAAGCGCGAGAAGTACTGCAGCATGCGCAGGAACTTGTCACGCCCGACTGCGGGGCGTCAGCGTGTGTGCGGGCGTATGTGGCTGGGCGGAGGCTTACTCGTCGTCGCAATGTACTTGAGGTAGTGCGACACGGTCGGGTGGTAGATGAGTGCGTCGGCGACCATGGTGGGCAGCGTGCGTGCGGGCGGGCGCTTGGTTGTGTGTGTTGGAAGGTGTGGGGTACAACGGACGGCGGCGAGGTGGCAGAGGGAGCGTACAAGACGGAAGTCGTGGGCAGTAGTAGGCAGGTAAGTAAGTAGGTAGTAGGCTGCCTATATCGGCGCGCATATGATATGATACGATGCCTGTGACAAGCGCGCCCGGAGACCTCGGCAACAACCCGGCACTTTTTGCCCTTTGCGGCGCGCGCAGAGCAACTATGCCGCGAGCTGCAAGAGGAAGAGCCTCCACCCACCGCGTCTCTCTCCCGCGTGTGGGGTCGCCGTGAGTTGTTCCTGTACAAGAATCAGCCGACGCGTCGACAAGTCGGATTGGGTTGACTGTTGGCGGCTGTCAGGCCAAACATCCGCGACGAGATCGTCGACTGCGCGGGCGCATGGAAGTCGTCCGTCGTCATCGCCGCAACGTTCCCGCTTGCTCCGCTGCCTTGTGCCTGCCCTTCAGAAGCTGCGCTACGGCCCGGACGCCAGGACCGGGCGGGAGGAGGGCGAGCAAGAGCACCCCGCGACTGTTTCAGCGGGCGAGAGTTAGCTATTGGCAGCCGATGATTTTCTACAATGCTGTTGCAACTACTCCGCATTTCTCGTTTTGCTTGTCTATCTCTCTTCTCGTACCTTATCTATTCACTTGACTTTATCGTTCACGCGTCCAGCGAGACACCTTCATACCTATTATCGCTAGGGTTACATCCTTTTCTTTAACCTCAACAGTCAAGGCACCCAGAATACCAAACGCATAACATAGCATAAGAGACGAAGCATAGTGCAAATTCTTACCGGCCAGCTATCTCCACAAATTCTGTTTCACGTCTCGCTCGCAAACAAAAAGAAAGCACGCACTCTAACAATCACGCCAAATTGAAAGGGAGAGGAAATGTTCAGGCGCGCTCCTCCCGCAAGAGCGAGCAAGACGCAGAACGTATGATGAAAATTGTGTGCAGTCAAAGACGCAAGAACCGAGAACTGACCCAGACCAACCAGCGCAACTGACGGCTGACCAGGCCAGGCCAGGCCGTCCCGCGTAACGCTCAAGAATTCTATGTAGGATGATGCTCTTGCACCACATTGTGTCCGTTCTTGTCCCTGGACCAACAGCAACCGGCCGGCCCTCACAGCGCCGATAAACACACCACAAATTCCGCGCCCAAAGCAACCATCTAGAAACAAGTGACAGCAGCAGTAGCGGCGGAGGTGATGGCAGCGGCAGCGGTGGTACTGCCTTTGCCGATATCGCTACAGCCGAGATCAACAAGCACATCGCCGGTTCTTCCTCTTTCCCGCTACCACTCTATTTATCCTCTGGCAACACCGATGTTCTCGTGCTGTCTACTGCTGCTCCGAGTTGGCCTGAAGGTACTGGTACGCGGCGAAGGCGAGGGCACCGCCGACGAGGATGATGCCGTACACGGCGAAGCCCATGCTGCCGTTCTCGGACTTGGTGCCTGTGGCCGTGGGCTGGGCGCTGCTCTTGGGCTCGGGATCACCGGGCTATATTGAGAACGCACTTGTTAGCAAGTTTGTACTTGAATGATTTGTGGTGGTCTTTGCGCTTGCGATCTCGGGCCGGAGTCCCGGTGCCGGGTTTGCGCAAGGATGTTGGGGGGCTGATTGAATGTGTTGGGAGCAATTGAAAAGTTGGTAGTTTAGGAGTAAGGGGCTTTGGCTAGGACACCGGAGAAGCGACGTCCGGCGCATTTGCAGTGTTCGAGCGGTCGTGGTGTTGGTGCTGAGGTGGGATTTTGGGGCAAGATCGGGACCGGCGCCGGAGACCAGCTGTCCACGCAAAGCGTGGATGGAACAAGGGTACTGTAAACAGCAGGCGCAAGGAAGGGAAGTCACTCACCATCCTCTTCAGGGTGCCAACAAGCAGACCGTCTAGAATCTCACGCGCCTCGTCGGAGTGGCCAACATCCTCAAAGGCCTCAGTCGCGTCCTGGCCGCCAACATCGAGGAGGACTTCCTCACCACCGCTGTAGATTGCACAATGCCGTCAGCCATGACTATTTCAAGCCGAGCGTTGCTTTTCAGCCGCCAGTGACCAATGCGCAGTAGACTGGTTCAGGGGGCCAGGGAAAGCACATACGGGTGCTCGTCGACAAAGGTAGAGCAGTTGTAGACCTTGTCGTGAATGACCATGTACAGGTCCTTCTTGGAGTTGTGCTCGGCCACCTCGGTGTAGGTGAGTTCCTTGGAATCAGACATGGTTTCGTGGAGTCGTGGAGTCGTGGATGAGGAGAGACTTTTTTTTCGTGGCGGGTCGTGGCGGGCTGGGGAAGAGACGCGGTGTGAGTGGTGGGGAGAGGGTCTAGCGGTGGTTGAGAGAAGGCAGGAAAGAAGAGGACACGGAACACCGAGGATCGACAAGCCGGACTGTAGAGGGGAACGTGCTCGGAAGCTGTGTCTTCCGCGATGTGTGTTGAAATGACGGACGGGCGATTGGCCGAAGCGCGTCGATAAGCGGTTGGGTGGAGCAAATGCCGGGCGCGCCGCCCGGACCCTGACCGATTAGGCGACAATTTCCAGCCTGGGAGCGGGGGTCGGCAATGTCCACGGTTAACTTCTCATCACTTTCCGCTATTTGATACCTACTACTCTTACATCCTCCTCGGTCCCGGGTATCTGAAATTCCTATACCCATCTTCCCACGCCCGCAAACTCCCCGCACTCTGTACTATGTACATGCCTACTCAAACAAGCAAACGCCATGGTCCCCACCCTGCCGCGCGTGCGTGGCCAAAATGAGAATAAGCAAAAAAAGAAATGAGAATAAGCAAAGGAAAAAAAAAAAAAAAAAAAAAAACTTACAGGGAAATGCAAGGGCCACAGTAAGGGCGATGCCCGCCGCTGTACGGTGCGTCTACAAATAACCGATCTATAATGCACACTTGAAACCGAAAGAGCACTAATGCGCGCCTGACGCCGGATGCCCCCTGCATACCTCCAGTATTTGTTGAAGATGAAAGAAACACTCCCACGTAAACGCTTGACAGAACAATGAAATGTGTGTTTTCATTTAAAGCCATGGCATCGAAGCACCTGCCGCGACAGGTGCAGGCTTACTCTTCGCACTCAGGCTCGAATTGCTTAGTGTCAACACCAGTCAGCTCCGGGGCCGATTTGCTTGTTGGTTTTTCAGAAGGCTCAGAGTCTTCTTCCTGACTTCTCCGAAGGCGTTCTTGCTCTTCGGTCTGAAGGCTGCCGTTGGCATTGCCGGCGTCGGGATCTTCGGACACGGCGGCGATCTTCGCATCCTCTGAGGGATCACTAAATGGTATGCGTTCCGTTGGCTGTGTATTGGCGGCGAAGACATCCGGCTGCCCTTCGTGAAACCAACCGCCCCTCTCCCATTCACCAGGGGTGTACAACGCCTCCACGCGTATCTTGTGGTCCACGATGCCAGCCAGGAGTTCTTTAAGGCGGGGAAATGAGATCGGTTTGAGGATCCAGCCGTCGAAGCCAGCATCAATATAAGTCTGTCGCTGCTTTTCTTCCAGAGACGCGGAAACGGCGAAGATAGGGATACGGCCATTCAAAGAGGCGCGGGTGGACTGTACGTGTGTTGGATGCGACTTCTCAAAGGAGCGAATCATCTTCGTGGACGTGAGACCATCAACAATCGGCATCTGCGGAGAGTCAGATTTTCGATACACAAAATAGATTCCTTATTACAACTGACCTGCATGTCCATCAAGACAACATCGAAGTACCCGGAATCTTCGCCATAGATGCTTGCGCATTCCTCTCCATTGACCGTTAATTGGACCTCATGGCCCAACTTCTCCAGTCGCTTTTTTATGATCTTGCTATTGACAGGATCATCTTCAGCGACAAGGACTCGCATGTGGTCCGCAGTCGGAGGTTCCTCGATGACTGGCGTGTCTTTGACTTCACCAATTATACCAGATTTGATGCTCTCTTTATCTTCCGGAGGTTGGCCTGCGTCTTCCGGGACTTTGAGTGGCTTAACGGGATATCCAGACCCTGGAATCTCCGCCTTGCCGTGGTGAACGGATATAGAACGTTTCGACTCCGGAATCGCATCTAAGTTGAGGTCTGCGCTCTGGGCAACTTGCGAGCCACCGGGTGACTCCGATGTAGTGCCGGGTTGGGACGATGCTCGCTTTTCTATCATCGGTCTTCCGGATGGAGCACTCAGGCTGCGCTCCTTTGATTGTGCGATCTTACGGTCGGTTACGTGTGGCTCCTGGATAGCTTCAATCAGTCTGTCAACATCGCTCTTCCCACTGTGCGTAGAGCCGCTTCCCAGACTCTTCAAGCTATCTCTGCTCTTCATGCTTGTACTGCTCCTTCTCCTTGGGGATGGGGCGCTAATGTGTTCTCTAGAGGCGTCCCCGACCAAAGTGACCTCGCCCTCGGGATGAGCCTCTGCCTGTCCTGGAGACTTATTGGAAGAGGATGCATCAATAACATCTTGACTTGAGCCGTCGTCTGGAAGATTGAAAGGCAGCTGAATGACAAAGCGCGAACCCTTGCCCTCTTCTGACTTCAATCGCATCTGACCATTCATGTTGCGGATGATGCGCGAGACCACTGCAAGGCCAAGACCCAACGTGCGTTTTTTATCTCCCTTGTCTTCGATACGCTTTGCGTTCGGCGCGAGTTGCTCCTCGAGCATCTCCGTGGTCTCCATTTGCACTTGCTCGAGGTCCCGGAAAAGGGCGTCAAGTTTCTTCGTGTTCATGCCAACGCCGCTATCGCTGACGGCAACTTCGACATTGACACGGCTCCCCTCGACGTAAGCGACGTAGATCTCAACGCTGACACCGCCCTCGGTCGTGTTCTGGATGGCATTGGCGGTGACGTTCGAAATGGCCTGGCGAACCCTGCGCTGATCACCCACAACCTTCTGGGGTACGCCCGGGTGCTCGACAACATCGTACGATATGTTTTTTCGCTTAGCGTCGCCAGCGAACATGTCGGTCGCTTCTTTGAAAGTATCTTTGAGGTCAAAGACTTCGCCCTTAATTAGGGGCCCACCCTCCTCGGTCTTCGTCAAGTCTAAGAGATCGTTTATGACGTAGACTAGGGACTTCGAAGCCGAGTGGGATTTGGCGAGGTTCTCCCGAGTCTCCTGATCCAGGCTGCCTTCGAGAGCAATTTCTAGATAGTTGATGATCGCATTCAGAGGCGTGCGAACCTCATGCGCCGAGTTCGCCAAAAGTAGCCTCGTTAACTGACTGCTCTGCAGAGCAGCTTCCTTCTGCCGCCAGACCTCGATGAATTTGCCGTAGACCAAGCATAAAACAGCCGCAGTCTCAACCTCCTCTTCCGTCCACTCACGGGATTTGCCTACTACCGTCTCACTCCAAGTCTTGAAGCTCTTCCTCGGCTCCAAGTAACCTTCAGTGCCCTCCTTGACGAATTTTTCGTATGGATTGCCGGCCCATTTGACCTCCTTCAACTGGCCCTTGCGGAAAAACGCAATGAAATCATTTCCAGACACCGTAAGAGGAACAACAAGCACACCGGCAATGTATTGGAACCCTGGCGGATAGCGCAGATCGGGAAAGTCGTTGTTGATATCCTGAGCGGTTGTTACAGATGTGAGCTTGCGCATGCGGAGGTATTCCAGCAAGGCCAGAGCCTCCTGAGACCTCTCCATATTGCCAAGTATCTTCGTCTCGTCCTGTATCGACAACAGACCAAAGTCAGCATCAAATAGCTTCAACAGGTCATCCGACGAAGCAATGATGTATCCCGAAGGATTCTGTTGCGTAGGCGCAGTGTTGATGAGCTTCCTGGCATGAAGCCTCGAGGCATATGAAAGTCGCTCAATATTCCTAGACGCTGAATCACCGACCAGGCGACACATTTTACGTATCGGAAAGGAGACACGCATTCCCTGCGGCCCGTACGAATGACAAGCGATTAGGCCCCACAGCTCGTCGAAAGCGTTGATGGAGATGGACATTGAGGATCTTACGGCCATATTCCCCAGATATTTGAGGTGGATAGGCGACATGGCACGCAGATACGCGTAGCTCATGTCGAGCGGCGTCTCCAAATCTTCAACCGTGCGACAGACTAACCGCGCTGTCTTCTGGTCTCGATCGTACAGCATACGGACCCTGTTAAGCTTGTACAGGTCTCGTGCTTGTTTGGGAATGTCGGATGCTGGAAAGTTGAGACCTTTGTAAAGGTCCTTTGTTGCCCTAGGATCGACAAGCTCGGTCACTACACGGCCGTTCCAAGCAGTATCGAATTGGTAAATCATGACGCGATGAAACCCCGTCAACTCTTTGACTACTCCTACCAAGACTTTGAGGAACTTCTCAAGGTTTGGCGCAGCCGCCAATTGCTCCTGCACTTGTGACATGATGTTGAAGACCTCCATGGCTGCAGCTTCTCCCTTTCTCTTTCTAGCACTGCGAAGGATGCGCAGTGGCCGGCTGACATTTTGGGTGCTCTCGGCGTATTCCTCGGGGCTCGGATTGTTTTGCAGCGTATCTTCGGGAACATCCATACCCTGGCTAGACGGCGGGATTAATGGGTAGATCGGATCGTCTTCCAATTCGAATTCGCAGATAACAAGGTTGGGGTGGTTTTCGTTGATATGCAAAGCACACCAATACTTCCGTGATTTCTTGTCAGGCCCACGTATCGACATGGTGAAGACTTCCGGTCCGTTGACAGCCACGTCGGCATCATCATCTCTGATGAAATCGATATGGTCTAACAGGTTGTCCGCCTGCTCATCAGACAAAATGTCGCAAAAGTTCTCGAGGGCGAAGAGATGTTTTGGGGAGTAGCCGAGAAGTTTCGTTGAGTTTTCGCTGACGATGCGGATGATTAACTTGCCGTCCGACTCTTCCTCCATGGCAATTAACACACCAAACCCTTGCACGGCACCAGGTATGTGAATCGGTTCATCTTCACATCGTTGTAACGTGTCGCCATCGCGGCCAGTGACAATGGCATGACCGCCTTCCGATACGATATGTTTGAAACGGGCTGTGACCAGGGGTGTTTCTGACAGATTGGTGCTGGCTGCGCTCTTCATGCTAGAAGCCGCTGGAGATGATGGCCGATCACTACCATGCATGCCGGTAGAAGGGACAGAACCTGTAGTTTCGCTAACAGAGTTACTGGAGACTATGTCGCTGAAGATCTGTTGCGGCAGCCGTTTGTCGAACTTTTCGTCCGATGCCCCTCTCCTTCCTGAAGTATCGCCTCCATCCAGGCCGGGGGGCTGCATGACGCCGTCCTTTGGTCTTGAAGGCTTTCGCGACGAAGATGATATTGTTGAAGTGCTCGCTGTGGACTGGCGCCGAGAATCTAGTGCGTGGAAATAGCTGTCCTGGCGATCTCGACTCGAAGGGCCAGGCGTAGGTTCAACGGACACGACACTGCGGATCGGAAAGACTCGATCTTCGGCGTTCGGGCTCAAAGAGCTTCCTTCTGAGTTTGGAGAGAACAGTGTATTGACGTGTTGCCTAGAGGCTGTTCTTCGAGTGGTGTCGATGCGGTAGGTTCCTTTGGACCGCAGTCGCTCCTGCGCCGATTGGCCATCTGGCCGTGAGGTGGAGGTTTCGTGGGAAGATTTCAGTGCAGCGTCGGCCTCATTGTCCGAATGCTGAGGCATGAAAGGCTAACGTAGGAAATTCGTGGCTGAGATCAGTCAGAAGACTATTGCAAAATTGAAAAGGTAATGGAAGAAGAGGCAAGTACCAAGCGCCAGCATTCCAAGCTCAGCGCCCTTGTATGGTTAAGAGCTGAGGCCAGTGGAGAGTCGACTCTCTGGGCACCAGTGACGTTTGCCACCTCTCGGATGGTATTCGGGCCGTGGTTGGTTGGCAAGACTCGCTCCTTCGCAAGCCGGAGGCGACAGCGGCTGAGATGGAAAGAGGGCAGTGGCGTAGAAGAAAGGCGATGATGTTCGAAGTCCAAGTATAGCAGCTGGGCGATGGCGGACAAGGCAGAGGGTGTCGCGCAGGTTGACGTAGGTATGGCAGGGTTCGGCGGCGATCAGGCCGTGCAAGGCTCGGATCAGTCGAGAGAGGCGGGGATTTTCTGGGCAGGTTGCGCGCAGGGTTTGGAACAACACCGACACAGAGGATACAGGGCAAGGGAGGGTGCAGGACGAGGGGATCGCGGGCGCAAAAGAAGGCTCGAGGGGGGCACATGCACGACAGGAGATAGCGCACTCTAGTGCAGGAGAGGCAGACGGCGGCCATCCTCTCAGCGAGAGAGATCGCCAGGCATGGGAATTCTTCTGCCACGGTGCCGATCATACCCTCGAGCCACACATCGCCGATGTCATGAGCAGCCACACGGCTCGTCGTTATGCATACTTTGACGGGCGTCAGGCTCTTCCCTGCCCGCCGATGACGCTAGGGAATCAAGCTGCCGCTGCCTGCGCGGTATATAATTGACCCTTTGTGCCTTCGTGCTCTTCAGGCGTCCGACGGTGAAAAAAAAAAGGAAAAAGAAAAAAGCCTCGCGGGCGGCTCCAGTATTGGTCTAGAATCCCCGAAGCCACCGTAGAAGATCACTGCGGAGCGGGAAACAGGCCCTGGACCCACCTCTCCTGACCTTGAGGGTTTGGGGTGGCTTGCGGGCAACTTGTGGGCAGCCAGCAGCAGCGCACCCGTTTCGGCCCGGCGGTAAGCGCTCGGGCGCCTGGGGTGTCCATGACGATGATAGTGTTGCTCCCTTTGAAGCTGTCCTCCCCGCTACGACCACTCTCACCACCCCTCTTCAATGTCTTCGTCCGACGGCGCGCGCACCCTGCGCATCCTCGTAGCCTCGGCCATCATATCGCCCATCGATCGCGACATTGTTGCCCACCTCGCCGCCCGCGACAACGTCGAAGTGCGCACCATCCTCGATACCGCCCCCTTCGACAACCATGACCAGGTCGAGCAGGCTGCCGCCGCCATGTGTTCGTGGGCCGACCTCCTCGTCCTCGCCCCCTTGGACGCCAACTCGTTTGCAAAAATGCTGCACGGTGTGACGGACAATCAGATACTGGAGATTGTGAGGAGCTGGGATGTGTCGAAGCGCGTGCTGCTGGTCCTAGGCATGTCCACACTCATGTGGGAGAACCCCATGACCAAAAAGCAGCTCAGCAAAATCCGGCGCAAATGGAACTGGGTTCGGGTGCTTCAGCCGCTGCTTTGGGCTTTTGAGTCGGGCTCGGGCAGCAAGAAATACCTGCCGTGGGAGGAGAGCAGAGAGGAACTTTTGGGCGCAATACAGAACCAGGTGGATCTCATGCAGCTCGGCCACGACGTGGACCTGACGCTGGGGCACGCCTCCAAGAATAGTCTTTCCGTACGGTCTGCTAGAAAAACTACGCGTTCCTTACCCCCGGAGATTTGGTCCATGATCCTTGACTTTACCAACGATTGGGAGTTAGCAAAGGCGCTCAATGTCTACACGACGCTACCGACGCCGCAGTCATGGCAACGCGCAGCGAGCAAGGAGGGACCCCAGACGTTGATGGAGAAGCTGGAATGGGCCATACTCGCAGGTACATTGGATGACGTCAAGGCACTATTCAACGCACATCCCGCCCCGCCATGGTTGTCGACGCAAGCCATACGAATCATCATGCGCTTCGGAATGGTCTCGCTGCTGAAATATCTCGAAGAATACCACAAGGATCTCTTCTGGGCGTCCTTCGGCCATGCCTTCCTCCCAGACAAGGCGTCGGCCGTGTTTGGACGCGTCGAGATCCTCGAATACTGGCGCACATCGCCCACATTCCTAAACAAGGAATATACGATTGACGCCGTCGACGGGGCCAGCCGCGCCGGCTTCGTGCACGTGTTGGAATGGTGGCGCAAGAGCGGGTTGCCGCTCAAATACACCGAGGCGGCGCTGGAGCAGGCCAGCAGCAAAGGGCAGATCGAGGTGCTGGATTGGTGGAAGAACGCTAGCATGCGCGAAGACGGACAGGTGCGGGCTGGAGGCGACGAGTCGGAAAGCGAAGGGGCGACGGCATCGCCATTGTCGCGGCGGCGAGGGCCTCTACGGCTGAAGCCAGGCAAGGCGATCGCGTTCGCAACGCAGGCCGGGTCGCGCGAGACGCTGCAGTGGTGGGTGACATCGTCGGTGCCCTTCTCGCACGAGGACACGGTAGCGAAGCTTGCGTCGACGCACGGGCATGTGGGCATCCTCGACTTCTGGCACTCGCTACATGGCGAGAAGATGATCTACGACAACCAGGTGCTGGTAGGCGCAACCAAGATGGGCCACCGCGACGTGCTGGAGTGGTGGAAGTGCAGCGGGCTGCGCGTCGAGTACAAGACATGCGACATCGAGGAGGCGCTTGAGGACGGCGTCGAGGGCGTCAAAGGCCAGCAAGTGCGGCGATGGTGGGCTGAAAACGGGCTCAACCTGGGCGTGGGCACGAGCGAGTGGATGCGGACAAAACTGCTTAACTAATACATCTTTCTACCTGTCTGTTGGTCTATGTATTCTTACCTAGGTATACCTACCGTGCCCAACGTCCTTCACCGTCAACTGATACTCGCCGTTAGCGAAACCCTACGGACTACTCCTTGTCTAGCTAGATGAGTGAACAGGCCTTAGAGCGCATACATACTTCCAACGCCCTAACTTCATACAATGAATATCATGACGGACGTTACCTACCTCGCCTGCCTAGTTTGGCGACGGCTGCCTCAGGCTGCGACAGACTGCCAATCATGCCCCGCACCCATGTTCAACACGCTTTCGATCACGACATCGGCGACTCAAAATGCGCACTCAGCACGCAACCCCAATGGCTTGCGCTTCGTATGCCTTGCCTGGCAAAACGCTCCTCGCTTGCCCGCGCTTGAGGTCATTATGGTCGCCGTGCGTATACGCATCTATACAAGCATATATAACCTAGCACGTCGTGATGCACCAAAAAAGTCTCTTCTGTTCTCTCATTCCTGCCACTCTCCTGTAGTGCTGCGTCCTCGCTCGCTCTGATCTGCCGTTGTTGCCCCTCTTTCTCCGCCGCGGCAGGATGGCGCCTCCCCAGAACGAAAAGCTCGACGCTGAGCAACGCTCCCCATCACCATCCACGTCCTCGTCGGACCGCGAGCAAAATGATTCCGAAGCAGTCAATGACAAGAGACTCCTGCGCAAACTCGACCGCACCTTGTTGCCGCCATTGTCCATCCTCTATTTACTTTCATTCCTGGATCGCAGCAATGGTACGTTCTGCCCGGCATAAATGAAGCCAAAGCCTACTAAAAGGATGACGCAGTCGCGAATGCAAAGCTTGAGGGCTTGACAGAGGATTTGGGCATATGTGAGTCGTCGCGCCTGTCTCCTTGAGACAGAAAAGTTGTTACGCACGTGCAGGTTACTGACAATATGCGCTGCTGCCATCAGCCGGAGATGTTTACCTGACCAGCTTGACGCTGTATTTTGTCGGTTACGTCCTCTTCGAAGTACGTCTCTTCCACGCTCCTTTTTGCTTCCATCACTAACATCTCCCAGATTCCCTGTAACATCATCCTCAAGCGTACGACGCCGCGGCTCTGGCTCCCAACGCTAACACTGGTCTGGGGCATCGTGTCCACACTGATGGGTCTCACGCAAAACCGTGACGGCTTCCTTGCGGTTCGCTTCTTCCTCGGCGTCGCTGAAAGTGGTCTCTTCCCAGGTTGTGTCTGGTATTTGAGCATGTGGTACAAAAGACCCGAGCGTGTGTACCGCGTCGCGCTGTTCTTCAGCGCAGCGAGCCTTGCAGGCGCATTTGGTGGAATATTGGCCTTTGTATGTACCCTTTTCTCAATTCCCTGAAGCCGGACAGTTGACTGACTTGTGTGTTTGTACGACAGGCCATTGGTAAGATGCGTGGCGTCGCGGATTTAAGTGGCTGGCGCTGGATCTTCATCCTTGAAGGTCTTCTCACCATTGTCGTCTCCATAGTCTCTTACGCCTTTATCCATAACTACCCAACCAGCGCCCGTTTCCTAACCCCTTCGGAACGCAGCGCGGTCCAATCTCGCCTTTCTGGCGAGCGCGACGCTACCGCTAGCGAGCCATTTCGCTGGTCTTCCGTTCTTTTAGCTCTCAAAGACCCCAAATGCTGGCTCTACGGCTGCGTATTCCACTCACTATCTCTTCCTCTTTACACGCTCTCTCTTTTCCTCCCCAGCATTATCGCTGCGCTTGGTTACACCGCCGCCTCGGCGCAACTCCTGTCCGTCCCCCCCTACGCCATCGCCACCCTTCTCACTCTTGGCCTCGCTGCTCTTTCCGAGCGCCTCCACCGTCGCGTGCCCTTCATTCTCGCATCCCTCCTCCTCGCCGCAGTGGGATACTCCGTCCTCCTTGCCCACGCAAAATCCGCCGACCCTACGCATAACCCCGGTCGCGCGTATGCTGGCGCGTGTCTCGCAGCTGCGGGCATCTATCCCGCGACGGCGCTGGGGCTGGGTTGGCCGGCAATGAATGTAGGAGGTCCGACGAAGCGGGCAACTGCCACAGCGCTGCAGATCAGTGTTGGGAATATTGGAGCCGTGATTGGGACGCAGTTATATCGTCCGAGTACAGCGCCGGGGTATGCTTTGGGGCATGCGGTGGCATTGGGATATGTTTTGGCGGGAATAGGGGTGGTAAGTGGATTGTGGTGGGTTTTGGTGAGAGAAAATGGAAGGAGGGAGACGTTGTTAAGGGGTGAGGGTGTTGCGGAGGGAGAGGCTGTGCAGAGTGGTGCCGCTGGTGGTGACCAGGAGGAGGATTTACGTGATGATGATGATTTAAGGTGGCGGTTTGCGGTGTGATGTGAGTGTACTTTTGTACTAAGGAAATAAATAGATATGTAAGCTGAGAAGAAAGTAGAAAAAGTGCTAGAAAAAAAAGCAGATAGGCTTCGGTTGGGATTTTAATCCCAACCCGGCTGATCAACTGGAAAGAAAGGTAACGTCCGTCACCATGAACCGAGATTTACCGTGAAGCGACACGGTGATACGTGTACGGAGTAGAAGAAGAGACCCAGTTAAGGTGTGTAAGGGCTCCGTACGGAGGAGAAGAAGAGTCCCAGTTAGGATATGTAGAGCCTCTGTGCGCTCTAAGACCTTTTCACCCATACCTGGGACTTGGGCTAGGAGCTAGGCAAGGAGTACACTGTAGGGACTGCTTGTATCCTCCCCTGTCTCGCTATACGGTGAATCTCGGTTCGCGGTGACGGACGTTAGTTCGGATGTTTGCTTGTGTCCTCGGAAGAAGTAGCAATACGTGGTATCTATGTATCGTTAATCAAAAAATGCGTTGTAGGACAGTTGCCTGTGTGGTAGGACTTTGCGGACAATGCATAGCCCATATGTCGCTGAAGCAAGCAAGTCTAAACAGAACTGCAAGCATCTCAAGCAATTTTAGCGTGGCATGTCTCCAAATACGCCAAACAGCGATGTCGGTGTTCTTCTTTCCCTTCACCGGGCGCGTATCATTGCCCTCTTCCATGGTCTTACAGTACCACCACCATCACCACCACTCGTATTTCTCTCTTTCCTCTGGCAATCCTTTCGTCTCCTCGTCATATCTCTTGTGCTGCTGTCTCTGCCGCCTCTTATTTCTCGTCGGCGCGAACGGTATCTGGCCACCTACCTGACAAAGAGACTACCATCCGCGGCGCCTGCATTAGATTCTTCCTCTAAAGGTGTTAGTATGGGGATAGTGATCCCATCTCGTCTTGCGCCACAGCGCATCAGCAGCAGCGTGGCCCTTCTTAGCCGTGGGATACTGCGCGTGCTTGTAGCTGGAATTGTTGCTGTTGGCGTTCGAATCGCTGGAGCTACAGAGATATGCTAGCGCCTCTTCTCCATCTTCCACGACTTGGTGTTAATACGGCGGAAGAAAGGCTTGGTTTATGGCGTTGGCATGACGAGGGCGGATGACAGTGAGAGGTGCGGAGGGTATGTGGTGTGTGGAGTTTCTATAGCGCGGAGATGAGCTTAGGCGTGCTGGGCAATGACGGATGTGCATACCTATGCTCGTATTTCAAGACCAACGGGGATCTGCTTTCGGCTGGGAGACGTCGGAGGTGTAGACGGACGGAGGAAAAAGGGCACGGCAGCCGGGGATACGCGTTTAGCGTGGCCGTAGGGCTGAATGGGCCAGTGCCGAGACTCCTCTCTGCCTTCGCTCTCTGCCGCCGCCAACTTCTCCTCCATCCCCTCTACCTGACTCGACCCTGGGAACCCCCGTCGCCGAGCATTGGCCGACCGAGCTGCCACATCTGCGCGCTCGACAATGCCCTATCTGTCTGCGCCCGCTCACGAGGATCCCGGCTCGCCTTCACCAATCTATCCGACGTCGTGACCTCGCCTCTGCCGGCACTTCTTTGAACTATTTTATGAAGCCGCGTGTAGCCGTCGGCGGTGCGCATCACGAACGCTTCTACCATCCCAGCATCCCTTAGTTTTTCCGAAACAGGCCAGATGGATTCAATCAAAAACACCACCACCAATGCCACGGCAATCGTACGCCCAACTATTCATGTCCGACTATCACAACGTGCTAACTAGCCTCCTAGTCCGGTTACGCTGTCATCTCTTATCGCACTTTTTCCACGGCTCCCACCAGCGACACTGCCCACGGCAGGTCTGCTGGGCTTGAAGGTTTGAGCGCTGTCGAGGCTCGTTTGCGAGAGCTAAGACGCACTGTCTTCCTTGACAGACTCAAGCTTGTGCTCTGGTTATTTGAGCCTGGCACTTCGCCTCCAGCCATCGATCATGGCTCGTTGCAAAGCCAGGAACTGGGGGGACTCCAACTCCTTCGTAAGTAACCTTTCCCTTAGGCGATTCTCCAGCCTGCTAAATCTATCCCAGCCCAATCGGAAGGCGAGTTCAAAGCCGCAGAGCTAGCTAAGGCAGCTGCAAGACCTTCCGCCGCTGGGCTATCTGGCCCAAACGCCGGAAACCTTCGAGCTATCCAGGCGGCAAATGCCCGTGCCTTTCAAAGCAATGCTCAACAGAGCAATGCACCGAGCGGAGGCCCCGAAATCCGAAAAGATGACCCCGTCACCGTTTACGAATGCTTCATGGCAGCAGTAATCGCATCCGTTTCCTTCCATTTGTCTCGATTTCATCATATGATACCCCTGAATTATCGTACTTTTGTTTCCTTTCCTAAAGCAACCGCCCTGGGCGATGATGATGGCGACAGCGACGATGATAATGCCAGCTTTGATGAGGAAGCATGCTGTCTGTTCACAACCATCGATGCACACTTGTCGACTTCAGGAACATTGGTCATTTCTACATCAACGGAAAACAATGTCAAGCTTTACCAACTGGAAAAGTCCATCTACTTGACTGGATCTTCGGAAGATTTCCTGGGCGAGCTAGTGCGCGTCGCCCCCAACGGAGCCATAGCCAGATACATTGGAGTTGATGTTCCCAGCCTGCGGGATGGTGAAAGCCCATTGAAGCGACTGAAGTTAAATCGGCTCTGGAAAGCCGATGTAATTCGCTGGCTGCGTCGCAAGGGTATCTGTCTACAAAGAATGGAAGAACCAGGCAAATGGGTGCGCATACAGCTACAGACCAGTAGCAGGATGGATGGCCCAGGTCCTACAAACGCTTCCTGTCAAGAATGTCTTTGGCCTGCGGCACTATGCTTTTTCTATAGCTCCAACTTACAGGATGAGGTGTCCAGGGCTTTGGAAAGCCCCTATTTATACCGCCATGGCCTTGACCAACGGCCTGAAGACGGCACCGAATGGTTCCGTACATCGAGCCAACAGGGATTCGAAGACCCCTTGGATACTGCGCAAAACTGGTTACTTGGTAAAGAAGATCGAGTAAAGACAGTGGAAACCATAAAAGCTCGTCGAACACGAGAAGAAAACGCTCAAATGACAGCAGACTCTACGACCACATATCCTTCTTCGCCGTTGTATGCAAGGGGATCAGGGTATGGAGACCTCCATACTGCGCAAGGTGTATATCCCACACCACCAGACGCAATTCTTGCTCCGGGGGCTGGTGCGCCTGCTGGAATGGACGGAGTCGTCATGAGCGCCTCCGGCGCAGACGGACAAGGAGCACAAAACCAAATCCACAATGGAGCGGAGGCACTTAGCTTACCTGATCAAGGAGCTGTGGTTTCTGGTGTAGATTATGGAAATCAGCAAGCCCTCATGCACCCGCAGGAAAGTTCAGCTGGTGGGCCGCTACCCGAAAACGATGGCAACGATGATCTGTTTGAGGACATGGACGAAGAGATGTTTGGGGCAAACGACATCACTGAAGCGGATTTCAACTTCTTCGATGATGGTGATGGCGCAGGCTTCGGTGGCCTTATGGATGTCTCACAGCCTCTTGCTTTCGAAGAACCCAAGAACGAGACTCCGGCGGATTTCAAGTTCGAGTCACCCATGGCCGAAGTTCACGATGCAACCATCGAACAAAAGCCGGAGGTAATGCTCGACGTAAAACCAGATTTGGAAGCCGAATCTACCACACAGGCCAAAGATATGCAACCCACAAACACTGGAGCCGATATGGATGCAATCGATGATTTTATCGAAGACCAGCAGCATGCCGTGCAACCCAAAGACGATGTTATGGAAATTGAAAAGGTCAAGACTCCGCGTATCAGTCCACCACTCAGTCCTTCTCGGATCAACGAAAAGTTGTTTCCGTCACCGCATCCGAAAGTTATGGAGACTGACTTTGAGGACCAAGACCTTCCAAGGCTTCAGAGAAGGGAGAGCATGTTTGATGCTGTGGGCTTCAGCAAGAGAATGGAATTAACGGATTCTAAATACAGGTCCACGGGCCGCTTCAATTTTGCTTTCGAGAGCCAACCGTTGCAACTAACAGACAAAACCGGTAGACCATTAACTCTCCATCCTCCGACTACAATCCCATTCGCTCCCAGCCTGTCTCGCAGTGTAACAGTGCCTAAAAGCGTTGTAGAGGAGGCAGATATGAGCGATGCACAATCCGAGGCAAGCGACAGCTACACTGATGCTTCTACCAGCTCAGCTTCAATGGGCGAGAGCGCCTTATCTGCAATGAATGCGCCAGACGTAGCCTCGGTGGCGAACAGCAAGAGGAAGTGGGCACCGTCGGTTGTTGCGACATCAGCTGTCGGAACCCCTGGAGGAATGCAGGTCAATTCAGGCGATGTTGACAGCATTATGGGCGATGCCGATGGTACGGAGGTAAGTGTGTCTTCTAAGCATACGCATAATATTCTGCAACGAACCAATCTTAGTCTATCGCGACATATTCGGTCTCCATATATTTCGATTGAAAGTTTGCTTAGGCTGCGGATAATTTCAAAGCCGGTCTCCATGTGTGCGAGATAACAATCGTACTGAGATAGTACCGGCCGCTGACAATTTACCTGTAGACAGAAGTCCCTTCTTTGCTCTCCCTAGAACCCGGCCCCTCTGACTGGACACTCGCCTGCGCTCCACCACCGTCAATTAAAACAAAACGACGACCTGGCACTGCAGATTCAAGGAATCGCTCTGAATCTTTTCCACTGACTTCAGCCGCGTCAACGCCTTCTTCGGTCGGAAGCTCAGAGGCGGTGTTAGAACCTCTTCCTCCGCCATTGAACACCAAAGAAATAATCACTATAACTCAACTTCTAGCCGATCAAGTCATCTCCACCACCCTCGGTATGTTGAAGTCCTCACATAGTTTTAGCCAACGAGAACCTAACTGGTGATAGATTTATTACCCGAAGACAACGACGCTGAGTTTGTAGATTTGACCCAACCCTCTGGCGAGGTACGCGACCAGATGCAAGCGGTCCAAAGCGCTATCAAAGAGCTTTTCCCGCAGGGCAGTGAATGTAATCTGCTAGGGTACGCTCAAATCCAAGATGTCATGCCTGAACCGACCACTTCCTCTAAAGCTCAACCGAAGCCTGTTCCTAGGCGCAACAATCCGGCAGCCGATCCTCATGGTAAGAAACTCTTTCCTGTCCATACCACGGCATCTTAATTGCCAAAGTACTACCCTAGGAGTTTCGATCAATAAAGCCGTGCTAACACTCCCGTAGCTCAGATGTTCTTCCCAATGGCAACTCCTCATGTCCGTCTTCGCCGTGGTGAAGATATGTGGGATGTTTTGCCCCCTGCTCTTTCGTTCTGGGAACCGTTGGGCCTCGCACCCACTGGGGGACCAAAGAATGTGTTGGCATACTGCATAACGCCGTGGAGCGATCAACTGAATGGCCCTTTGGAAAGCTTTCTCGATAACGTGGGTATGTCATACGAGAGCTGCAAGTTTGGAATGCACACTCGTCCGCCAGCAGACGATGATTTCCCGAGCGGTGTTGTGCACGCAGAAATCGACAACGTAGTATCGCCAACCTTCCAAACGTGCCTGCGGGCTATGCGAGACGCTTGCGCCCGACTCGGCAGATGTCTTTCGGGACTCAATCTTAAGGAGTGGTATGCCAAGCCTGATGAAGCACCGCCATCCTGGAATATAGACGCTCTGGTGGTCTACATTATCAATCCTTTCACCGATCCGCATTCCATTTGGCAACTATGCTCAGCATTCTGGACGCTTTTCCATATTTATGCTTCGACCTCCTCAGCAAAGGCTACGGACGAGTCCAAGCCAGATGTTGTACTCCAGCTTGTACCTATCAAATATGTCGCCTCTTTCGACTCGCCTGTCGTCCTTGAACCTGCTGTCTTAAACAGGCTTGCGAGAGAAGTCTATGACAGGTGCCCTCCAAAGGCACCAAACGACGACCACTCTGCATTGAGCATCTACTCAGCGCCTTCCATTCAACTTGAGGAAATGTTGCCGAAACAAATCCCCTTTAGGATAACTGTCGAGCCACCATCTGACCTTTTGCATGAGAACTCCTACATCCATGTTGGTTATGCTGTGAGCTTCGATGGAGCATGGCTTACGGCTGCTTGGACTGATAATCCGGGAAAGCACCAAGCGACAGTATCTTATTACCTAGTGAACAGGTCTTTTGCCGAAGTGGCCCGCGAGATTTACCAGACATCACTGGAGATTATGCAGAGCAGACGCGTTACTTGGCGACTGTGCATAGCAAGGGCTGGCGTTATGGAACGCGAAGAAATGGACGGTAAGGCGCATACCATACACCAGATGAAGCTTCAACTAACTATAACGATCTCGTAGCCTGGACTGCCCTCGCCAACAGCCCGTGCCACCTAACCATTGGCACCGCCCTCGTCTCCATTGATCCTAATCCGTCTTTCAAAATAACCTCTACCCTTCCTTCGCCAACAGCCCCCACGACCACTCAGCCAAATTCAGCTGTTCCACCTAACAATCTCGGTGTTTCAACACCGGGAACAACTCCTCAAGCTGGAGTGTCGCCTTCTGGTGATACACAACACGGCTTCACACCCGCCGCAGCAACGCCCGGTGAAAGCAATCCGCCCGCCGCTATTACCGACCCCAGCCAAGACCCAGATGCCCGCCTCGTCGACGTCACGGACGAGAGTTGGGGCGTCATCCTCAGTCACCGCTTACACAACTCTAACAGCAGTGTCGAATTCCGACCCGCTCTCGCGAGCGGATACCTAGTCAAGCGTGGCGCTGCCGACAGCACCATCACTACCAGCAGTAACAGCGGTCAACATGGCGCCGGTAACTCCAGCGGGGGTGGAACTTTGGGGAGCGGTCGCGCACCAACTATCAACACCAACGACACCTGCGCCCCTGACACACCTCGCGGCCCGATTGCTGTCGGCGTCAACCTCCTTTGGATCGGTGCCACCGGCGGTGCCAATGCCCGTGCCGCCGCTAACATAAACCTGAACATGAACCCGGACAGTGCGACGGCTAGCAACACGCCTGGGGGCGTGCCGTCGGGCTCAATGGGAATGGGCATGGGTATGGGTATGATGGGCAGCGGCAGCGGCACGCCCGGTGTTGGTGGTGCGGCGGGCATGGGTGTGGGAGCGGGGCCGCCGCCGGGGGCGGGAGCGCCGCTGACTCCACACCCGCAAGCAGCAAGGTCGACGTACGATGGCGTGTTGCGTGAGTTCTTAGTCACGTATCGTGGGTTGGGGTTGTTGGCGAGGTTGAAGGGTATGAGGGGGACGAGGGGCGGTGCTGTACCGTGGCATGTGTGTGCGGCGGTGAGGGGTGTGAAGGGATTGGAAAGGTGTTTGTAAAGCCTTGGTGAGGTGGGTTGGGTAGGGGTTTGGTTGTAGATGGACAGAGATTGGTATAGGCACGCGAAGGGATGAGAGGAAGAGGGTATAGGGTGCTGTTGGGTAGTGTGAGGTAGTGTACTCTTTTGTTTAAACCAAATCGCTTTGTTGTCGACATCGACCTCGTTACTAATAAAACCATTCACCGTTCACTCGGTCCCATCCATTCAAATATTTATCAATCATCCTTTTCTGCCTTTTCTTGCTGGGCGACCTGCGTTGCAGCAGCTAACTAGGCTGTCTAATGTCTCCGAGTTGTACAGATGACTTACGGAGATGCAGGTTCGTGGGTATATAAAGCTATTCGGTATAGACTGCGGATAGTTTTTTGTATACTTTCTAGAAGCCTTTCTCACCTCCCAGAACTTTACACCTTAGAAGTACTTTACTCATGTCTTACTTTTTCTACGTTTATACTTCTATACCCTTAAAATATACATTCGTACTGTATAATCTTCCTATCTTCGTACGTACCTAACGACTACTAGAAGTAGTGTTACAGCTATATGTAGGCACCGAAGAAGTACTTGGTAGGCATAGTAGACCTGATTTAGTAGACTGTTAAGGTGTGAGTGAAACAGCTAAAATGTAAACCTCCGACTGTTATACAGCATACGCTTTTTCGTCTCAAATCCAGAAGCCGAAATATGTCACACCATCTTATTTTCCCGATTCAACCACCTTCCTGCCTCATCTCAAGGCCCCTCCCTCCTCCCTAAAACAACCGCAGCACGCACTTCCAAACCTGCCAGCTTTTGCACGCAATAATAATTTCTTTACGTCTTTCATTTTTCATAACAACATCCGTTGTGGTCTAGTGGCTAGGATTTGCCGCTCTCATAACAAGAGCAACAACACTCTAACAAGTGCCGGCAAGGCCGGGGTTCGATTCCCCGCAACGGAAACTTTTCTTTTCTTTTGCTTTTTGATCTGATAATTTTTGGGCTTCTGGGGACGAGGGCGGATCGTGGGCGGGTGGAGTGTGTGGGTTGGGGAGGCGCGCGCCGGGGCAGCGCCGCGCGGGGAGGGGCGCAGAAAAACCAGATCCGCCGAGGAAGGGGCGAACGTTAGCGGCGGGGACGGGCTACGGGAAGAGCGTAACTGGGCCGTGATGATTGGTCCGCTGATGGAGGCGAGGGTCGTGGCTTTTTTTTTTGCTCTGTGAACTTTTTCTTTTCTCTATTTTTTAGTGCATTGCAAGCCTGTGGCTGAAGGGGGCGAGAGAAGGTCGGGTGACGCTTTCTCCGGCTTCTGTGAGCGGTATTTGCGGTCACAAGGCATGTCGAGATTGTAGCTGCTTGTGCCTTGCGGTGCTGGAATGGAGGCACTTGCGCGCGAGCTCCGGGGTCGGCGCTGATGCGATACGAAACGATGGGGAAATGATGAGAACCAAGGCAGCGGAAGGGCCGAAGCGGGGCCACTCGTGGAGTCGCTTTGAGCGTCACAGCGTTTGACGACCGGCGATGTCATAGAGTTAGTAATGTGACGGTTACTGGTACTGGTAGAGTGCGAGTCTTGGAGCGACGGTCTTGGAAGACCTTGGTCTTGATCTATCGGCAAGAAAGAGATGGAGGTACATGTCCCATCTTCACGCCTGTCCATCATGTTTCCAACACAGGGAATGGCGGTGCCATGGCCAAATTGGATACTTCACCTCGATCAGAGCTTGAAATCGGTCGCGCTCCGCTCCCACCCCATGACCCCCGGCTCCAACGCCGCAACCTTATCTACGAGCTCTAGCTTCCTTTCTCTCGATCTCTCGGTGCACAGCTCGTAGATGGTGCTGAGGTTGAACGTCAGCGCATGGAACGCGGCGGCCGAATCTGCGCTCTCCTCCACCATGTTCTGGAGAGTCTCCCGCGCCTCCAAAATGCGGCCTACGTAGAGCAGGCAGACGGCGCGATTCTGCCTGATCATGGGGTCAGTGGGCGACTGTGCAGCCAACGCAGTCCAGACCTCGAGCGCCGCCTCATAGTCGGCTTCCGCCATGGCGATCAGAGCGTTCAAAGGGTCTGTTGGTGGAGGCGCCTCGGCAGTCGAGGGCGTATGCGGAGCAGGCGAAGGCGAGGCCGCGACGCAGCGCTTTGCAGCATCCACGTCGCCTGCCCTGAGCCAGACCAAAGCTTCCATGCTCTTCAATCGCGCCGCCTCGGCGCTTAGCTTGTCTGCCTCATCCTCTTTCTCGGTGCCTACATCTGCCCGCACCAATCCCGACAGGTGCCTTGCCGCACCTTCGCATTCACCCATCTCTACCAGCGCGTTCGCAGTCCTTATGCCCAGCTCTCGTAATCTTCCTTTCCACAGCTTCTTCTGGTCACTGCCCGGAGCTGCTCGGATGGCTTCCTGTCGCGCCTCCCGGCCTAGCTCATAGTAGCCCATAACGCCGCGTCGCCAATCGCCGTATCCCAGGCCGATCAGACGTACAGCCAGCACGCGCAGTTCCCAGGGAACTATGTGCTGTCCTGTTATTGGGTTTTTATAGAATGTGCTGCTCAAGTCGCCAAGAGCCTTGGCTTCCACCGCGGCCATGGCATGTTGATTCAGTAGCGTCAGGCAGGCCAGACGCAAATACAAGAGAGAGAAGATGCGCAACTGGTCGTTGGGTGAGGTATCTTTGGTGAGGATATGTGCGGCGGCGATGGCAGCAAGGCGGTAGTGGCCGCTGTCTAGCAGGGATCGGAGCGGGGTGGAGGGCGGAGGTTGATGCGGAGCGGAGAGGAAGGATTGCGGGACAGATTGCGGGGGCAGAGGGTGGTAGATCTGCGGGCTGAGGAGGTGGGAGAAGTCCTTTTCGGGAGGTTCGACGGCGGGTGGTGGTACCGGTGTCGTGGGCCTAGAGACGACGGAGGGAGACAGCGGAGAGCTGCGAATGGGCGAGTGAGAAACGCGTGAGATGGGCCTGGGCGAGAGGGTAGGTGCTGGTGAGGCAGCTGCAGCAGGATGATCGGCTAGCGGACTGAAACACAGTGTCAGCAGACATGGTGAAGGAATCGAACCACGATGGACAGGGCGCACTCGTCGAAGTCGGCGTCAAGCGGGCCTTTGGTGGAGCGACGGGGGATGGCGACTGGGGGATGTTATGTTAGGTAGGCATTGGGGACGAAGTAAAAGGAGTGAAGCAGGCGCACCGCGTTTGCGCTCATCCTGGGAAGCGACGCGACCGTGGTGGCTGCGGGTCCTGGAGGGAGTTGCCATGGTGGTGAAGTGGTTTTAGGGTGCTCGTATCACCAAGTTCCCCCGGACGGCCACTGACGTTGTGGGGATGTACCGTGACTCAGCTGCGTCCGATGCCGGCGCACCCTTTGGCCCCTCGGCAAAAAGCGGTTGCTCTTGCCCAAGCATGAGTCGAATGACCGCTTGAGTCAACTTCACTGAACATTTCCTATCCAAAAATCTCCCCTCCCCCCTCCCATTGGAACGCCCTCCACCTCGACTGCTCCATTGACGCCCGCCGGGCCCCTCTACTCTTCACAATGCTCAAGGCACGCCAGACCCGTGGCGCCATCAGGTCCATCAACACCTCCGTTCGCCGCTTTTCCGCCACCCGGGCGCCTGCGGCCGTTTCGCCATACCGCAAGGCCACTCTTGCCTCTGAGATCAAGCCCGTCGTCAAGGAAGCCTCCAAGAGGCCCCAGAGCACTGCCGCTGCTGCTCAAGCTGAGCAGCGCCCCGTTCCCAGTCCATCATTCAACCAGGAATCTTCAAAATGGCACGACTCGCGCCACCGCCAGCCCGAGATGGACCACTCGTTCGTCGGCATGAAGGGAGGAGAGATCTTCCATGAGATGATGCTGAGGCAGGGCGTTAAGCACGTCTGTAAGTGTCACCCGCCTTCAGATTCTTGTGTGTAGGCCGACCCGCTGACTCTTCACTCCAGTTGGTTACCCTGGAGGCGCCATTCTCCCCGTTTTCGACGCTATCTACAACTCGCCGCATTTCGACTTCATTCTTCCCAGACATGAGCAGGGTGCGGGACACATGGCAGAGGGCTACGCCAGAGCTTCCGGAAAGTGCGGCGTTGTTCTTGTCACCTCTGGTCCTGGCGCGACCAACATTGTCACTCCTCTGCAGGACGCTCTGATGGACGGTACGCCTATGGTCGTCTTCTGCGGTCAGGTCGTTACGACCGCCATTGGTTCGGATGCTTTCCAGGAGGCCGACACTGTTGGCATCACGAGAGCCTGCACTAAGTGGAATGTCATGGTCAAGAGCATTGCGGAGCTTCCCAGGCGCATCAATGAGGCGTTCGAGATCGCGACGAGTGGGCGCCCTGGCCCCGTCCTCGTGGATCTGCCCAAGGATGTCACTGGTGGCACATTGAACAGGCCGATTCCCGTCATGAGCACGCTCCCGACTCACCCCAGTGCTGCCAGCATTGCCGCCCGCGAACTGAGCAGGAAGCACCTCGAGGCCTCCATCAAGCGCACCGCCGATCTCGTCAACATCGCCAAGAAGCCCGTCATTTATGCCGGCGCGGGTATCCTCGCTACGCCCGAGGGTCCCAAGCTTCTCCGTGAGCTGTCAGACAAGGCCTGCATTCCCGTCACGACCACTCTTCAGGCTCTCGGTGGCTACAACGAGTTCGACGACAAGTCGCTCCACATGCTTGGTATGCACGGCTCTGCGTACGCCAACATGGCCATGCAGGAGGCGGATCTGATCCTCGCCCTTGGTGCCCGTTTCGACGACCGTATCACTGGTAGCGTTTCACGTTTCGCTCCTGCTGCGCGTGCCGCCGAGGCTGAAGGCCGTGGTGGCATCGTCCACTTCGAGATCATGCCCAAGAACATCAACAAGGTTATCCAGGCCACTGAGGCTGTGGAGGGTGATGTCTCGGCGAACCTGGCCACCCTCATCCCGCAGCTTAACACCGTTTCTGAGCGCCCCGAGTGGTTTGAGCAGATCAACGACTGGAAGAAGCGCTTCCCTTGGGCCTTCGAGAAGGAGGGTGCCAATGGCCTGATCAAGCCCCAGACCATTATGACCACTCTTTCCAAGCTCACCGAGGACATTCGCGACAAGACCGTTATCAGCACTGGTGTCGGTCAACATCAAATGTGGGCCGCGCAGCACTTCCGCTGGACCCACCCGCGCACTATGATCACCTCCGGTGGTGCTGGCACCATGGGTTTCGGTCTCCCGGCTGCCATTGGCGCCAAGGTGGCCCGTCCCGACGCTCTCGTCGTTGACATTGACGGTGATGCATCCTTCTCGATGACGCTCACTGAGCTGTCGACGGCCGCCGAGTTCAACATTGGCATCAAGGTTATCATCCTCAACAACGAGGAGCAGGGCATGGTTACGCAGTGGCAGTCGCTCTTCTTCCAGGACCGCTTCTCGCATACGCACCAGAAGAACGCTGACTTCGTCAAGCTCAGCGAGGCTATGGGCGTGCAGGCGAAGCGCGCCATCAAGCCTGCGGAGCTTGAGGAGAGCCTCAAGTGGCTCATCAACACCGACGGCCCGGCGCTCTTGGAGGTCGTCACTGACCAGAAGGTGCCTGTCTTGCCCATGGTCCCGGCCGGCAACGCGTTGCACGAGTTCTTGGTGTACGATGAGGGTAAGTTCATCCAATCCACTGGAAATATATACATATGACTAACTGTTTTTGCAGCCAAGGAGAAGGCTCGCCGTGAGCAGACTCGCCGCCGCTCCGGCCGGTAAATGAGGAATGGCCCTTGTGCGACGTGAATATGTGGAGTGGGAGCAGCAAAAATTAACAATACGCAATGTTTTTGATATCCGGCGGCGGATGCAGCATCTGGAATTTTCGGGCGACAAAAAAAGGGTGGGTTCAGCAGCCAAGGGGGGCAGGGTAAAGACTTGGCCCTAGTGTTTTGGGTGATGATGATGAGGGCATTTCGAGCATACCGCGCGCGTTCACAGCTTGCGTTGGCGTTCCGGCAGTGATGGTCTGAGGTTCATCATTATTCTTTATTTCTCTTGGTATTTGTTTTTTATTTATTACTCGTCGAACCGGATTGAGAGAAACGACACCAAAAGTGGCTTTTTCATTTCGATTTCTTCAGTTGTTTGTTTCTTAGTGATTGCGCGTTTCCTTTGTTGCAACGCTCTCTTGCCGCTTTTTCTTTTCTTCATCATTCGGTTTCGCGACTTGAGGCGGATGAGATTCACGCGCTTAAATGGAAAATGGCAGAAGTTTCGTCAATATGTATTCATAAACGTACACATGTTTATTGTTGAGGTTGGCGTGGTGAAAGAGACAGTCGATTTATTTAATGCTTAGCAGAGCAATAGCATGCGTGCTTAACTCTTGACTCCTGGACTCTTGACTGGCTTTGTTGTTTGTGAGTGCGCTGGTGAGACAGGTTGGCATGGATGTTCGCGGCATGCATGCCGCATGCGTGCGTGCTGAAGATGCTTTTATGGTGGTGAATAAGCATGCGTCATCTGCACGAAGCTGCTTCATTGGACAGGCTACGTCAGGACGGAGCTGAGCGAAAGCCGTGTTATCGGAGCGAAAAGAGAAGGCGAAAGTGATATCAAGAGCTGTGGACGCATGAGGTCCATGGATCTGCATGGCTTGGTTGTTGTATTGTGCACTCGCTTGCTTCAGCCGCATCGTATGAGACTGCTGTTGGGTATGGTTCGGATTCGTAGCTATAGGGACGGCGAGATACATAAAATGATCGTCTGTCGTATCTAGGGCCATGTTAGCTAGGTAGATGTATTGTGGGGTCATTCTTAGCTTGAAGGCGAATCCCCGTCCTATGTGAACCAATACTTAACAAGGCACAGCTAGGCAGCAAGGGCCTGCAGTCCATACTACTGCATACGTATGCATCGGTGCTCGCGCGCAGGTGACCATAACCAGGAAACCGGTCATGCAAGAAGAGGCACCCGGCCACCAGCATTCAACACAGTGCATAGGATGACGGGAATATAGTATTTGACGTAACAATTTGATTACTTGGAGGGGTATCATATTGAGCGGACTGTCGGTCGCATGAATGCAGCCCTCGTATCTGCGTTACTGCACTCCCAGCAGCTCTTGTAATCTGCACGTTCCACGAACCTGGGGTGTGATTCGTGGGGGTTCTGGGGATGTTGTGTAACAATTCTCCAATCAAGTAACCCCATGCCACTGCCATGGCGCAATATGATGCATCTATTGGGGCGCCTGATTGATATGAAGGCAAAATGTGACTGCGCTCTCTTGCAGCCGGCCTCTGCAGGCCAATGTCGCCGTCGGCAAAGCTGCAGGATGCACAGCTCACCACAGCTGGTGAGCTTGGATCTTCTAACTGTCAGCTTTGATACTTCACACATGGCACGCGTTAGACTCACCTCTGACAACCGCTGCGTAGGTGCCAATTCGTCCGCAGTCTCCTGGGCTTCGGTCCGTATACCAGAAGTTCTAGAAGCATTATCACGGAATGTCGGATGGAATCCAACGTCATCCGCACTGGCGTCCCAGCCGAGCATCTCCTCGTCATCCTCGTAGTTCGCCGGCTCCCAACGCCCGTCATTGTTATCCTGATGCACGAACAAGCTTTCCGAGTCTGCCTCTGCGGGCTGCTGCAGTTGTGAGGCCGGCCGCGCTGCGGAGCCTGGCGCTCTGCGGATGCGAGTTGACGATGTCCTTGAGGCGGGAACTGAGGGTGGCGGCATTTCTGACAGTGCTCTTCTGTCTCCCGCGTGGGACGACGTCGCGAGGGACTGACGTCGCGAGTTAGCGCCACTAGGCAGAGTCTGTGATGCATCTGCAGAAGGAGTAGGTGTGCCCTCGTAGGCTCCGATGGTCATGAGAGTGAACTCGCAGAGCATGCCTGAAGTGCCGTAGCTAAATTGTAAGGGCCGCGTGGGTTTGGAATAGTAGGCGTGGAGTGCCGTCTTTAGCGTATCAGCGTGGGCAACAATGGCTTTAAAGTCCTTGACGTTGATTATGATGCGCATTTTCTCGGCAGCGCTGAAAAGATCGAAATCAGCAGTGCTGATAGTAACGGATGTTTGGAGCGGGTGCTTCAGGATCTCTTTGCTAGTGCTGATCTTTTCTGTGAAACTGGTATAGGTGACTCGACCATCTTCGGCGCAGATATCTAATTGTTCGGTTTTAGGTCCGAAATATTCCACAATCTCCTTAAGCATTGGGGACTGTATAGTCCAACGGTTGCGCGCGGAAGCTTTGTCGAACAATGCATGCATGACTTCCACGGATTCATAAGTAAGTTTGTACGTCTTTGTTACGCCTATCACCAACAGAGTAAGCTTTTGTCGATGCAACGTCCGAAGGCTTGTTTTGCGTACCCTTATTAGACAGCATTCTGATTATGAGCCGACACTCGGTCTCATCCGGACGATCCTGTAGGCTAACCTCACATCTGTCTATGGCAGTGGCTTTTCCTCTCGGGTCCACGATGCGTCCTTTGAATACCGAAAGAAGCGCCTCGGGAATTTAGCGAAAGACATCGTAAACGGAGCGAGAGAGAAATACCTTATTGTAGATGCGGCAGGTAAATCTCCCCTCGGTGCTGTTGACGTTGGGAGCAAATTCATAGCGCGAAAAGAACTTGGAGGCGTCCAAGGCAAAAGATGCATATGCAGATTTAGAAGAGTTGAGAGCGGTAAGAGACAGCTATTGTTGGAGGATTACTGCATGCACCAGGCAACGAAAGTGGCAATGAGCTTACCCTGTCGCGTCGAGCCTCGATGGACACGGTCTCGCTGAACTTGTTCAAACAGACCAGAGCATCGTGCAACGCGGCCGAAGCCTCGGGCACCAGCGTGAAGTTCAGCTTGACCATTGTTCGCCGAGGTGCTGCTGAAGCCGAGTGTTGAGCGTTGAGATAAAGTTTGTTGTCGCGCGCGCGTCTCCCGTCGGCTGCGGCGCGTGGACGTCATTGGCGACCCCCCCGGACAGCATCCCAATCACTTCCGACCCGCGGCAACAAACTAGATCACACAACATCATCGCATCAACCCGTTTTCAATGTCGGTGGCCGACAACGATGGTCCCCAGGCCACCAACGGCCGCGGTTCGCCTGACAGACAGACCCCAGAGCCTCGTCAACTACCCGACGATGTGCTGCACTTGTTCTGCGCCGAGCTTGCGCATCAAAGGGACTTTGACAGCTTATTTCAGTGCGCTCTCGTAGGCAAATGTCTGGCCCTACCAGCCTTGACATACCTGTATCGGTAGGTTACCGCAGCAGAGCAGTTTCATCGGGCATTTGCTGATTGGCCGGCTCATCGTAGCTGCCATCATTTGTCCCCGGTGCGCGACGGAGGAAGCGAAGCTGTTGCGCTGTCACAACAGGCACTCATGGTGCAGAAATGGTCAATCATGTGGCGTTCAATTATCGCATCTGGCCTTGATATGACTCTGTTCCCTTATTGTAGGTACATTAAGGTCTTAAACCTCAGAGACCTTCAGTACCTCCTCGAGGATGACAAATTCCGAGGCGCTCTGACTACGTATGTCTTTCATACTTTATCCATGGGAAGTTATGTGCTCATGCTATTGTAGAAAGTTCTTCGCGGGAGGTATGTCACGATTCAAGGTCATGATTGAATTCCCTCCCAAGCGGGGCGCGAAGAAGCGGCCAGCTCGTCTTGATATCAACACTGCTATAAATGCCATCGGAGAAGGTAATTTTGCCTGGAGCTATCTTTACTGTCTATATATTAACCACAAGTAGTCCTGACGCAGCATACTCCTACGCTCGAGCAGATTTCAGGAAACAGTAAGCTCTTTCCAACATGTGCCAAATGGCTCACTGATTCCTCCAAGTCCAATCCAGTGCACTCATCAACTGGGCCCCCAGACTTCCTCGTCTGAAATCTCTCGAGCTATGGCAAGGCCAAACCCTTGCGGAAAGCCAAGCTCAGGCTGCCATCCACGAGAACTGTCCCCAGTTTGACGCACTCAGTTTTTACACCTGGTAAGAGAGACAACAGGACTTCCATCCTGCCATTATGCTAAAGTTTATTCTTAGGGAAGGCGAAGATGTCGATGAAAAACTCTCTGGTTTCATCGGAGGCATGAAGCCGCATCAACTCCGATACTTCGAAGTCATCAGTCGTTCAAACGTCGGCGCTGAAACCTGCCTATCATTAAATACCCAGGGTGAATCCCTTAAAACTCTCAAATTGGCGCTAAAGACCAGCGCTCTTGAGCATCTCTCTCTGCTAAAGAGTTGCACGGCGCTTGAGACGCTTGAATTGGAGCATATAGACGTATCGACGCACCCGACTGATTTGGAAAAGACTCAGAACGACGTCTATCATGACATGGGAGAATGGTTGCGAGCATGCAAAAGCTTGACTAGTTTGCATTTCACCGGCTTCCCATCTGCTCCACCGCTCGTCACTCCTCTGCTTCTCGACAATGATACCAACCTTTGTAGCCTGAAAGTTGATTGGTACGCCGCTGCTGCGCACCGAGACTTCCATAGAGCTTTGGCGCATCAGCCAAAGCTGCAGAGCCTCTCCCTCAGCGGAATGCCCGAGACTATGGGACGAGATGATGTCGACACCCTCATCGAGTCATTGATCCAGCTCAAAGAATTGCGGGAGCTGAAGCTTACAGGAGTCTCGGACTACTTTAACGACGAACACATCATCTCTCTAGCGGAAAACTTACAGCACCTAGAAGAAGTCTACTTCACTGGACTTTCTGTGGGTGATGCCATTCTACCACAAGTTTCAACACTCAAAAACCTTCGGCGCATTGACATCGCTGCCATGAGCTCTTTCACCGCGGACGGGCTGTTGGGTTTTGCTTCGAAGCTTGGGCCTGGCAATAAAGGCATCATTGTCTCAGTTGATGCAGCAGACATGAACACAATGCTGGCCACTGAAGAAATTGGAGTTGTGCGAGATGTATTGCTGGAAAATGTTGACGGCAGATTGGAATATCAACCTTGGAGAGGTAATTGCAACATGTTCCCCTCTTCCGTTGTTTTGGTTTCCTAACAACAGATCGCAGATCCCGAAGTATCCGATTTCGAGGCTTCCGATTCGGAGTAATGTGCGATTTGAAAATTTTAAAGCTCGTTTCGTTTCTTTGAAATGTTCGAATAATGAGACCACGGGATAATTGTGAGCAAAGCATATTCTTGGCCATTGTTTCCTCTAGCCATAGGAGGTACTCCGTACAAGAGTCTCTGACCGGGGTTTATTGAGACATTTGTCACCGGCTGTCAGGCGCCAATGACGTTTAGTTCGCTTGCTTAGTGGGGATCCTGCAAATAGCTACTCTCTACCTACGGGCAATAGTATTCTTAACAACAAAACCAACCTTTATCGCAACAAACACCGATAAGCATGCCTGAAGTTATGTGTAACAAGCGGATTCTTGTGATAGCCGGGTCAGACAGTTCTGGTGGAGCGTAAGTAACCAGTAGCCTATCACTATGACTCCCACATCCTACTGACTACGATCGTACGACAGTGGTCTCGAGGCCGACCAGAAAGTCATTGCCGCTCATGGATGCTACGCGATGACTGCAACAACTGCTCTGACGGCCCAAAACACGCAAGGCGTCATTGACATCCTTGAGACACCGTCGGCCTTTGTTCGCAAGCAGATTGACGCTTGCGCCGACGATATCGGAGTTGAAGTTGTTAAGACTGGTAAGGCTGATCTCCTTCAATTTCTAATATCAACCATATAGCTGAATTCGATCTTGTTTCAAGGAATGCTTGCTTCAGCGTCTACCATTAGCGTCGTAGCGGATGCGTTCAAAAGACATAATGTGGCAATGTCTGTTGTCGACCCTGTATGTATTTTTATATCTGGCCACCAGCAAATACCCATAACTCAAAACTTATGTACAGGTCATGGTTTCCACGAGCGGCTCAACGCTTCTGCCTGAAGACGCGGTTAAGGTGCTATGTGAAGAGCTTTTGCCCGTTACCACTATTGTCACGCCAAACCTTCCGGAAGCGCAACTTATTCTCAAGCATGCAGGCAAAGAAGCTTCTGACCCGAAGAGTGTAAAAGACATCGTCGCCTTGGCCAAAGCTGTGCGAGAACTTGGCCCCAGATATGTACTCCTGAAGGGCGGACATTTGCCTTTGAACAATGATCGTGTCGTCCCCAGTGGAGATGCCGATAAACACATCGTACTGAATGTGCTTGTCGGAGCTAACGAGAATGATACATTGATCCTTGAGACGGTCTATCAGAAGTCCCGGAACACGCACGGCACTGGCTGCTCTTTGGCGTCTGCGATTGCGTCTAACCTCGCGTCAGGCATGGCTGTGGCGCAAGCAGTCAAGATGGCTAGCTATTACATCGAGGCCGGAATCCGCACCAGCAAAGACGTAGGAAAGGGAAGTGGACCTATCAACCATTTCCATTCGACTTACACGCTGCCGTTTGCGCCTGGGCGCTTTGTTGAGTACCTTCTAGAAAGAGCTGACGTTGTCGGACCATGGCGGAACCACACCCATCATCCTTTCGTGGAACAGCTGCAAGACGGCAGTCTTCCTCTGGGAAAGTTCAAGAACTTTCTTGTCCAAGACTACCTTTACCTTATCCAGTTTTCGCGCGCCAATGCCCTGTCTGCCTACAAGGCGAAGACGCTGATTGACATCAACAAGTCTGCGAGGATAGTTGGGCACATTTTTGAAGAGCTGAAGCTGCATGTGCAGTACTGCGAGGGGTTCGGACTGTCCAAGGAAGAAATTGAGAAGCACGAGGAACATCCGGCATGCACTGCCTACACCAGGTGGGTGCTCGACGTGGGCCAATCCGAGGACTGGTTCGCGCTTCAAATGGCGCTGGCGCCGTGCCTGATTGGCTATGGAGAGATAGCGAAGAGGCTGCACGAGGACCCGAAGACCAAGCGCGAGGGCAACGAGTACTGGACGTGGATCCTGAACTATGTGGCAGACGACTACGTGGATGCGGTGAAGACGGGGCAACAGATACTGGAAGAGCTGGCGCCCAAGCAGTCGCCGAGCCGCATCGAGGAGCTGGTGCAAATATTCATTCGCGGAACAAAGGTACGGTGGGCGTGACGACCAGCATTGTGTGCAAGGCTAACAGGACGACACAGATGGAGACGGCGTTCTGGGACATGGGGTCATTGTAAACTGTGGTACTAGATGAAGTAGATGTAGATGGAGGAGGTGTAGCGTACCCAAGTTTGTATTTGATAGTTCAGGATTCTGGACCCTGCCCGTGAAGAAGTTCGGCGGCGATTACATGTGTAGGGCCGACCAATCACCCGGCTAGCGCGCCTTCCACCCGGTCCGAAAACTTCAGTCGCCTCCTGCCGCTTTTTCTGCCAACAAAACATTCGCCTTTCGCACCACCCTCTTCCCTCCCACCACCTCTTTCTCTCTCTCTCCCATCTACCTCTTCCTGCCCTTTTCTGCGACGTCGCTTCTCTCCCGCGCGACACGTTCTTTGTGACCGCTTTGTTTGCGATCCCCTTCCTCTACACGGTCTCTACTGAAGACATCGTCGACATGTCTTACGGCGGCGGTTACGGCGGCTCTCGTGGTGGCGGCGGTGGCTACGGCAACGGGTATGAGTCCTCGCGCTACGGATACGGATCAAACGACTACTCCAGTCACTATTCCAGCGGGTATGCCCAAACCCACAGGCATAGATATTGGCAGTTATCGCAACCATCCATCTTCCACATTTGCACATCTCTTCCTTCCCTTCAACTCATCGCGTCCGACGCTCGGCTGTCTGTCGCGCTTTATTGCGCATACAGCCAGTCGGCGTAGTGGCGCGCTCACTATCGCTTTCACTTTCACTCTCACTCTCGCTTGGATGACCATGGTACTAATACAATCGCAGATCTCGTGGCTACGGCGGTGGTAGCAACGGCTACTCCAACGGCGGTTACGGTGGTAGCAACGGCTACAGCGGCGGCGGCGGCGGCGGCGGCGGATACGGAAACGGTGGTGGATACGGCGGCGGTGGCTACGGCGGTGGAGGCGACAGAATGTCCGGCCTGGGCGCTGGCCTGAAGCAGCAAGAGTGGGACATCAGTGCTCTTCCCAAGTTCGAGAAGTCCTTCTACAAGGAGGATCCCGCTGTCGCTTCGCGTTCCGACGCCGAGGTCGAGGCTTTCCGCAAGGAAAACCAGGTCGCTGTTCAGGGCCACGATGTCCCCAAGCCCGTCACCACCTTCGACGAGGCCGGCTTCCCTGGCTACGTTATGAGCGAAGTCAAGGCCCAGGGTTTCGCGAAGCCCACCGCCATTCAGTCCCAGGGCTGGCCCATGGCCCTCTCTGGTCGCGATGTCGTCGGTATCGCCGAGACCGGTTCCGGAAAGACTCTTACGTACTGTCTTCCCGCAATCGTCCACATCAACGCCCAGCCTCTCCTGGCTCCCGGCGATGGCCCCATCGTCCTCATTCTGGCTCCCACTCGTGAGCTGGCTGTCCAGATCCAACAGGAGATCAACAAGTTCGGCAAGTCTTCGCGCATCAGGAACACTTGCGTCTACGGTGGTGTTCCCAAGGGCGGTCAGATCCGTGACCTGGCCCGCGGTGTCGAGGTCTGCATTGCCACTCCCGGTCGTCTGATTGACATGCTCGAGTCTGGCAAGACTAACCTCAGGCGTGTCACCTACCTGGTTCTTGACGAGGCCGATCGTATGCTTGACATGGGTTTCGAGCCTCAGATCAGGAAGATCATCAGTCAGATTCGCCCTGACCGTCAGACTTGCATGTGGTCTGCTACTTGGCCCAAGGAGGTTCGCCAGCTTGCCTCCGACTTCCAGACCGACTTCATCCAGGTCAACATCGGTTCCATGGAGCTTTCTGCCAACCACAGAATCACTCAGATCGTCGAGGTTGTCTCTGAATTCGAGAAGCGTGACAAGATGACCAAGCACCTGGAGAAGATCATGGACGACAGGAACAACAAGGTTCTTATCTTCACAGGTACTAAGCGTGTCGCGGACGACATCACCAGGTTCCTTCGCCAGGACGGCTGGCCCGCGCTTTGTAAGTTTGTCGCCTGGATTTGCAAAACTAAAGCTAACGTCTATCCAGCCATTCACGGTGACAAGCAGCAGAACGAGCGTGACTGGGTGCTCAACGAGTTCAAGACCGGCAAGAGCCCCATCATGGTTGCCACGGATGTGGCTTCGCGTGGTATTGGTATGATTGCAAACGCTCCCGCACCTGACCCCCCTCCCCCTCCCTCTGTCATCTCTATTGCGTGATCTGTGTGATGCTCTGCTCTCTATTCTCTCGTGCGCGTCCATTTGCATTCATGACGTCCAGGGCTTTCCTTTGTTTCCGGTTCTCTCCTTGGGAACCTTGGTAATCATTGAGTCGAAGCCTTTTTTATGCTTCGTTCAGTCCTCGCTCCTCTTGGTACTCACAGGGTACAGAGTTGAGGCGCTCTTCTTGACTAGCTCAAGTTGCATTTCCAAGGTTTCCTGAACCATGAGACCCTTCACAGCCTTGCCGGCGCACCAAAGATGCCATGACCTTGTAGCGCACAGAGAGTATTGCACGCAACATACTGCAGCTTCACGCGATCGACAGCAAGATCGCTTTGCTCAAAACTCACCTCAAGATTCAAGCTAACTGATTGATACTAAAGACGTTCGCAACATCACTCATGTGTTCAACTACGACTACCCTAACAACTCTGAGGACTACGTTCACCGTATTGGTCGTACTGGTCGTGCGGGTGCCAAGGGTACCGCCATTACCCTCTTCACCACTGAGAGTAAGTTCAGCGTCAATCTCCCCTCTTTCAAGGACCTTGTACTGATGCGATTACTATTAGACTCCAAGCAAGCTCGTGACCTCCTCCAGATCCTCACTGAGGCCAAGCAGCAGGTCGACCCCCGCTTGGCTGAGATGGCTCGCTACGGTGGCGGTGGCGGCGGCCGTGGCTGGGGTGGCCGTGGCCGTGGTGGCCGCGGTGGTGGTGGTAAGCGCTATTATTGAGCTTCAATCGCGTCAAGAACGACACTTTTGACACAGGCCGTCAGGGTACTCCGGTTCCAATGCCCAACCGCTTCGGAACAGCCGTTGGTGAAGTAGCTCGTAAGAGGACCTCGCCCAACAGTACTGCTTCATGTTTTCCCGGCTAGACAGACATGCCCTTTAGCGACCAGTGACACTTGCTCCAACTCGTCTGGTAGGCTTTTCCATGTAGTAGATACCAGTCAGTTCAACAGGGGTATGGGGCTGCATCCAGCTGAGGACCAAAAAAAAGTCACGGCGTTTAGGTCAGGTGTTTTGATATAGATAGATGGGTCTCAGTTTGTTTTTCTTTTTTAGTCTCACTTTTTTCTCTTCTGCTTGCTCACGAGCCACGGCAAACAACAGGGAGGTCAGGTTTCTTAGTTCATGGAAGGCTTCAGATGGCTCCAGCTCTCTGCTCCAACAGAAGAGCCTTGTTTTTTCTCACTTTCAGACTTTACACGCGTCAAGTTCACGGCTGGAAGGAAAGAGGATACAAATTGCAACTTGGGCGGCAAACAATGATGTTGCATTCTCTCGCATTCCGAGAGAGGAGGGCATCAAACACACGAGACCCTTGCATAGATATATAACAGACAGCTCGCCTCGCTTGCGTATGCTGGTACAGAATTCGGTGCTGCTTGGGTGCTTTCCTTTTTCTTTTGTTCTGCTTTGTTTCTCGAGCAAGAAGGGCTTGTTTGTGTGTTTGTTTTGCTTGTCTGCTCGTAGCTAGCTGCATAATTAGAAGATGAAAAACACGATAGGTACATAATCCCAGGTCCAGAAATGCTTGCGTAACACGAGTGATCTCCATCCGAGAACATGGTTGCCTGCAGACGGGTAGTTGCCTATTCGTACAACCAGCAAACAACAACAACGCTAGCACTATCGCCATCACCAACGAACACTGGGATCATCGCGGTCATGGCACACGCCCGCCACCACCAACACTGACCCGCTCGCTCGCTCGTCCGCCCCACGTCCGTCGCCTCGCTACGCGATTACTCGCATACGCGCCGGGGGAGGCGCGAGCATTCACTACGTGCGTACTAGTGATGGACAAGGCAGCAGGTCAGCGCGGGCTAGAGTAGTTGCCGACAAGACCGGCGACCGGCACGCGGGATGCCGCATCGACCGGGGGACAAGGGCAGCCGCCACACCCGCGACGGGCGGCTTGACGATGCTTCATCCGTCGATGACGGACGACGGAAAGAAAAACAAAAAGTCAGGCGGACCACGCGCGGTATGCGCGCACTGCGCGAGGCGGGGCAGGCGACGGCAAGTCGGCAGATTTTTAATCTACATCGATCAAGGCTGGCGTAGGTGGGTGTTTTGAGAGGGCGAGAACGAGAATTGTAAGGAGCGGGTTTGGTTTGGGGATAGATTGGCCATGTCACGGGTTGGATTGGGTTGGGTTGGGTTTTGCTTTGGCTGGGCTCTGGCTCTGGCTAATGAGGGGGAAGGGGGGGCTTGCTCCGTTGTTGGGCTTGTGGTGGAAATTGCGGAGCGGAGCCGGCGTGATGATCGCGAGACCTGACGAGTAGGTAGGTAGAGTGGAGGAAAAGAGGCAAAAGGAAAGAGACAGCGAGTGGGAGAAAGAGAAAGAGAGAGGCGGGGGGTGGAAAGAGAACGAGAGGGAAGAGTTCAGTGGTGGGCAGGGCGCAGGCTCGCTCCTACCACGTATGTACAACACAGGCGACAATACTACTACAGTGGAGGAGGCTACTAGGTTACCTCTCCCTCGGCGGCCGGGGGAATGGCATAGGCCCTCACAGCACGGAGCGGGCGTTCGCACAGGCCTCGGAGGGCTTTGGCGTGGTGGTGGTCGTCCGTGTGTTGTGTGTGTGTGGTGGCGCTCACAGGCCCCACGCCGGCCAGTCAGGCGGGCACGCACGACAGACAGCACGGGCGGGGGGAGGGAAGGGGCCCGCCAGCCCATGCACGCGCAGCAGGGGGCCGCGCAGGGCCCCGCGATCTGCGCAGGACCCAATCCAATATTGCTGCGCGCATCGGGATTTTGGGAAGGGAAACGAGAGGGAAAAGTAAGCGGATCGTGGTCGAGACCTCGCTATTGTCGGGATGCCCTTTTTCACATCTGTGACATGTCTGACAGGCCTGATGAGCCCGACGGGGCTGAGCTGAGAGCAATGAGCATCATCTCTCGTGAGCCGTGACGCGGCGGCGCGGGCCTCGGAGAAGTGAGACACTGCAGAATGAGAGAGCTGTTGAGTGAGTGATGAGTGTGTGTGCCCGTGTGCGCGCGGATAATCAAGTCCGCTCGCTTTCCAGCCGAGCAAACCACGAATTGCTCTCTTCCGATAACATCCTTCATCATTACCCCTCAACAATTAATCGGTCCGCTTCCGCTTCTGCTGCTGGACATGATGAGATGCTGCTGCTGCTGATGATGATGCTGGCGCTGATGCTGCTGCCATATGCGGGACAGCAGCGGGTGGCCTAGATAGGCACCGCCTATTCTTCCAGCATCCTCCGTGTCCCCCCGTGCACACCCCCACCCCTAGCTCTCAGCATCCTGCCTCCGAGCCGCGGCCCGCGAGTCGCTTGCGCTGGCAGGCGAGACGGGAAGCGGTCAATCGCGATGATTGCGATTGGCACCAAATACCGCGGGCGGCTGCTTTGGGCAGGTCGCGTGTGCGGCCGGGGCATTCGGCTTGCCGGTTGGCGTCGGAGAGGACGGGCCAAGGGTCTTGGAAGGGTCAAAGGAAGCGGCTGGGCAATTACCTGGGTATTGTGCCTGTATGTCTGTCCAAGGGGCATTTGACTCTGTGTGGCTGAGAGGCTCTCCAGTTTGGCGTTTTCAGCAGTCCTTGGTCCGTCTCGCGCCTCTGGCGTGTACAGCTCCGATCCTCTTTTATTACTCGTACGAGCAGCCCTGATTGGTTATACGGTTCCTCTCTTTATGACGATAACGGTGTGCAAACGTGCACGCAAGATCTAGACGAGTATCTTTTTTGTTGCTGACGTTGTAGCCAGTCTTGGGGTAAAGTTAGTTCATCTGAAAGTCGATTCAATCTCAATTAAACCCTGTCCGTCTGCCACCCCCGGTCCCCTATCCCTCTTGTGCCCTGGCCTAGTGCTTCTCTCCCCCGCGCCACGAGAGCTTGCCGAAGGGCCGGTTCAGATTTTTCGACGGCGGCCTCGTCCCCTGCGTCTGAGCGGGGGCCATCGTCACTCGCCTGCAGCAATTCGGGATCGACCACGCAAAGAAGAGAGGGCCCCGTCGACGTGCGGCTTCGGCGCAAATGGCGTACGAGTACCGCCGGCCGGATGTCCGCCCGTGATCGTTCGAGACGCAATCGAGGAGGCGCAGGACGAGGCGGAGTGACAGGATGACGGAGTGACAGATGTGGAGCAACTTGAAGATGGAGAGAGAGAGAGAGAGGGGGGGGGGGGGGGGGGGGGGGGGGGGGGGGGGGGGGGGGGGGGGGGGGGGGGGGGGGGGGGAGGTTTTTGGCGGGTTAAAAGAGTAGGAAAAAAAAAAAATGTTTATTAGGTAGTAAACGGTGTGTGGACGAGCAGCATGCCACGCGCGCGGTTACCGGCAGGCAAGCAGAGGATCACCAGCGACCGAGGGACGGGCTAGAGGCGTTAGTCATGGGCCTTAATTCGATATCAGCAGTGGGCATTGTGTGGGGAGAGTGGCATCCCGCTCATCCTTTTTGCCAGACGGTGAGAGTGGGAAAGGCAAAGAAAAGAAGGGCCAGAGTAGGGCCGGAGGCGTGAGGCATAATCAAGGGCCAATGAGCAATAGTGCCGCAATACGATTTCCGCTGCGTCACGACTCGAAGAGGCCGGAGAGAAGAGCGGTCCATGGATCATGGATGAAGGAATTCGGTCGGGGACATTTGTCACGATGCGAGCATCTCTCGCGACCGAGCGATCGGGCACGCAAACGGGCCAAGGGAGGGCAAGTATTTTGATGGAGAGGAAGATCGCAATCAATGACAGGCGCGCATTCAAACATTGCCAGCGGAGCTAGGCCCGTGACTGACAGAGAGAGAGAGAGAGCTATCAGCCTCACAGGCAAACAAGCCTTTTTCGCTGAGGCTTGGCGGCGTCCGCGTGCTCGCTCGTCTCGACGTGCATCGCACCGTGCTTGATTCGACACAACCCTCCCTCCACCCCCCTCCCCCCATCGCGCGCCCTTTTGCCACCATCCCTTCTGCGTCGCTAGCCCATCGCCAATCTGCCCGCCGTCGACTGCTGCCGTCATACCAGATCACCGCGTGCGTGCAACACGTGCGACGCGCCAGGCGATCCGACAGCTGCGCGCAGTCGCCCTCTCCCGTCGGCGTCGCAGAAAATCCCTTCGGCCAGCCCTTCTCTACCCAGTATCTCTCTCCACCATCCACCACACCGGCGGGCGGATCTGCACCGAGCACCCGCGGCATTTGGTCATCGTGCTGGGAAGGGACCGCGGACTAGATTGCGCAAAAGTCTGGTTCCCAAGGCCCAAAAGTCTATTTCACCTGGCTGACCCGTCGAAGGGCCGACTCGAGCCAGCGTCGGTCCGGTCGCTCTCACTGGGCCCCAAGCCCCAAGGGCTTCCACCGTGGTTTCATACGTGGTAGCGCTACCGCTCGGCCTTAACCTGCCTAGGCTGCCGAGAGAGTCGCGCCTTTCCACATTGCACTGCACAGCTCCCCAGCGCAGCCTAGCCCACGTCCCAAAGCTCAGCCATCGACACGGCTGGGACCACCTGGGCCGAGGGGATCTCCAGAGGCTCGGCGTCATTACCTCACGGCTTGTGCTAAGGCCAGACGTGCAATTGGTGCCGCAATCTTCACAGGGCACACGCCACGCTCCTCCGTGCCCAAACACCGACCCCTACCTGCCGCTAGCCGACCTCAGCTACCCTCATCTCTGATATTCCTCTCGCACCAGCACTGGCTCCCGTGCGACTGGACGTGCTACATCACCCACGGACGACGACTCCAGCCAAGGAAGCTACAGCCAGCTTTAGATCAAGCGCTCGCACCACCAGCACCGTGCAAGTTTCTGTTCGGAGCTAATCTGCCGAGAGCCCAACTTCTCCCCTCTCTAGCCTGGCCTTGAAAGAGACCGGCCTGCGCATCACCCGCGTCTAAGTCGCACGCTATCGTGCTTGTCAACAACAACCGTCTCCGGCCATCTAGTCAGCTGTTGGATCCCAGCCTCGGTCCGCACGTCCACCTCGTTTCCTGCCCTCGTCGACCACCGGCGGCGAATCACCCGCGGACGCTTGCCAATTAAGCGTGACATGTCCGCTAGCTATCCCTCTCCTCATCCTGCACCACCCGAGAGCCCTTTGTCGCCGAGTCAAAAACTCGCCTACCATCTAAACGGAACCGCGCAGTCTATGGACGGCAGACAAACCGAGTATCCGCAGTCAGGTTTGAATTCGCCCTACCCATTTCCCACGACGGAACCTCAGTCTGAAGGTTCTTCCGCAGATCAAGCATCTGCTGCGCAATACCCCCAAGGGCAAGACCCTCGCTCCTCCAACTTCTCCGCATCCGCCACTCCCACCTCCGAGTACAACATCAACCCCTCATCGGCGCGATCGGGCTCCTTCCCGGAATACATTCAGCGCGGTCACTACTCTCCCGCCGCACCAGCTCCCACCGCAGGAAACATGGCGCAAGCAACAAGTCCGTCCATGCCTTTGCCTGATGGCAACTCCAGCAGTAGCGCGCACAACATCAAGTCTGACGCCGAAGTACCTATAGATCCATCCATCGCCGCCGCGACCAGCCCGACCTACCCGCCCCACGGTCAATACTCTCCATACCCGCCGCAGCATGAGGTGCACCATTACGCGCCTCACCCGGGCGCGCCCATGTACGCCGCGCGTCCGGAATGGACCGGGCAATACCCTCACATGTACGGGCACGCTCCTGTAACATCAGGTCCTCCTGCGCCAACGATGGTATCACCTGTCCAGAGGCCCCCGACGGTAAGTCGCCACCGAGCAACACGCGTCGTTGTTGTTGTTGTTGTTTTTTGCGTTGCTCCTGGGACGGGTACTGACGCGTAACAGGGCGGCCACCCACTTTCCACCGTGTACTCTTTCGTGCCAATTCCCGGCGCGCAGCAGCACAAGCGGCCGCGGAGGCGCTACGAGGAAATTGAGAGAATGTACAAGTGCGGTTGGAACGGTTGCGAAAAGGCGTACGGAACGCTCAACCACCTGAACGCGCACGTTACGATGCAGTCGCACGGCCAGAAACGCACGCCCGAAGGTGAGTCGATTGTGTTTGTTTTTTCCATTTTATCTTGCGCGATGGTCCGTGTACACGCACGCGCGATCGCCCTCAAGGTTTATTTCCCGGAGCGCGTTTGGTGTCGCGAACTATTCTGTTGGTTCCCGCTCGGTCGGAGAGCCTCGTCTTGAACGGTCGGAAGCTAGTACAAGACTATCCATGCCCTGTCTAGCTTCCACACCAACACACCTCCATGCCACGCGCTAGTAAATAAACGTCCTCTTGCTGACTTTCTCTTTTTCTTTGCTTTGATACAGAGTTCAAAGAAATTCGCAAAGAATGGAAGGCCAAGAAGAAGGAAGAGGAGGCCCAACGCAAGGCTGAGGAAGAACGCCAGCGTCAGGCCGAGGGTCGCAACGCGTCCGAGAGCAACCCTGAGACGCCTGCCTCGATGTACGGCCAGGCCCGTTCCATGGGCGCGCCGGTGCAGATGGGCGGTCCCCAGCTGCCCCCCATCGGCTATGCACCCGCTGCGAGTGGACAGCCCCCGGCGCAGTACACGACCCAGAGCCCGAACGCGATTGGGGAAATGGCACAGTACGCCGCCGCCACCACTCCTCATCAGATGTACAGCAGTGCGTCTAATAGCAGCAACAGCTACCCGCAATCGCCTTACGCGCAAGGCCAGCAGATGTACCAACAACGTCGTCACCCTCCCCAGAGCGCTGCGAGCAAAACAGGCTGACCCCTCTATAGCCGCTGACAATGCGTCGACCTTCCAGCAATAGACGCCACCCCTCTTTTTCTCTCGACACGTACCTTATTCGAAATTCCGGTTCCGTCATGATGTTTAGCATGGTTGCATTTGAGTCTCGGCTGTTTTTGATGCATTTTCACGGGGAGGGCGGCTATCTTTGGCCGGTGTTTTGCGCTCAATACGAAAACAAGGAAAGAAAAAGGATACGATAATCTACGATTCGACGGCAGGACCCCCGACTTGGTCGGCGGCTGGCCCCCACAAACTCTCGTTGGAGGACGCCCTGTGGCACCCGACGGTGCTCACAGAGCCGTCTCGTCCACCCGGGTCGCGCTCGATGAGGAGTTCCTCCCCGGCAGTGCACGACCTCTCTCGCATTTCCTCTACAAAACACTTCCATCCGCCGCGGCCGTGGGTCGTGTGGGAAGGCGGCTACTGTGCGGGCTTTCCCAAAAAATTCCGGCTGCATACATCATCGGTCAGGAGCTTTCTAGATATATGCATTCCGTTCCGGCGCTTCTGAAACACTTTGTCCGTCGGATTTCTCTTCGTTTGCTGTCGGGTATGGCAGAGGGTGCCGAGCACCAGGCGGGTATGCTGGAGGCGGACGGCATGCGGAGTCACTTGGCCCCCTGACTGTACGAATAACTTATTTTTTCTCACTCCCTACTTTTTTGCTTTTCAGCTCGCCTGCCGCCCTCATGCTCGGGGCGACGTGGGAGCGGATGGGAGCCAGCGAATCATGGGCGCAGAGTAGCTGGCGACTGCAATTCCAAAAGAATGACTTGCTTCCGTGTTACGCTGCCTGACGTGGCGGCCGTGGACGACGATAGCGCGCCGATGTGATGTATCATTTTTCATGTTTCCTTTTATTCCCTTCCCTTTGTTTCCCGTCGTCGCCCCCTTCCGCCCCGCATAAAAAGGGCACACCCTGGGCGGGGCGGTGATGGGCCCGACCAATGCAAAAATCTTCAACCCGGCCGCATGCATGACGCAGGCGCCGGCATTGCCGATCGCCTCCCACGGTTCCCTGCGCGCCGTCACGTCAACTTGGATGCGTGCGGAACGGCGGGCTGGGATTTTGGGGTGGCTTTGCGTCTGCCTCGGCGCGAGGGATGCCTGACGTGGCTGGAGCCGCGAACGGGCGGGCTGGGGCAGGCTGCAGCACGCCGGCCCGCGGGCTGCTTCCAGCTGCTGTGCCATCATGGCCCGTCATTCACAGATACAACCTTTGCTCGACGCAACGATGCCACGCTACCCCATATTTTGGCGGCGCTGCCCTTTTTTGGTGAGGCGGAAGGGCGACGAGGAGTGGGGGAACTCGCGCATGACTGCGACAGGAACCCGCGTATCGAAAGGGCAGACGCATGCATCTGTTGTTCCTGCTGCAGTGCAGCGCTGTGCTCCACACCTGTCCGTGAGTGGTGTGCGTGCGTGCATGCTGCGTGCGTGCGGGCTGGCGGGTGGCCGCCCGGGACAGGCATAAGAGCGTGCCAGTCGATACGAAGTGCCGCGGGTTTTTTCCCTTTGTATAGCTGGCCGGTGCTATGGGCTGGGGTTCCTTCGTATGACCTGACAACTCTTTTTTTTTTTTTTTCCCTCTTCCTACAATACTCTCTCAGGGCCCCAGTTTCATCGTCCCGGGCTCCCTCACGGCTGCCCGTCATAGGCGCATGCGCCGACATTGCACAAAGACGAGAGTTGGCAGCAGAGTGGGTGGGCAGAGAGAGGCAGCAGGATGCACGCACGTCGAGAACGCCGACGACGGCGTCACGCGACCGGCGTACAGCTGCTGTTGGCACACAGCGTCCGGGAGCTATTTGAGATAGCAAGCTTGCTTCTGCTGCGCGTACGACATCTCGCAGCAGCAGCAGCAAGATATGGGCAGCAGGAGAGGCTGCACGAAATCTGCCGGGCAAACAGGACAGGGCGCGAGAGAATCGGATCTCGCTGGCCTGGTGGGGAGACGCAGTCGGCAGCCTGCTTCCACGATGTTGCATGCGTTGCGGGTGGGTGTCGGCCGTTTGTGACGGGTCCGTTACACTGCGCGCCGATTCGGGGGTTCCTCTGGCATGGGACGGCCGACCGCTCCAACGTGGGAAGCCAGGTTCCTATGTACTTTTTGTTGCCTCGAGCATTTTTACAAGCTAAGATTCAATGGTACCCCATGCACCGTCACCATTGTCGTCGTCGCCGGCCCTTTCCCCATCACACGCCCGCCGTTAACCGTCCCTCCACTCCCTCCCCCCAAGATCAGCGCCGGCTCCAGCTCTCGCGCCGGCCCAGGGCCCAAGTCCCGGCCAGCACGTACCTTCTGACTACTCTTAGCCGTCAGCCCTACGACACCAGACGAGAGAGCCGCCGCGATGCTGCGGGCGTGCTAGCTGGGATTCCGACGCTTGCTGCTACTAACAAACTAGCGGTTCGTGGCCTTGTCCGTCTCGTTCCCAACGAGCTGGCGGCGGGCTTGCCGTAGCGGCAGATCAACAGCCAGCCCACCCCTCCCCTTCCTCTTTACCGTAGCTTCGCCGCAACCCGCTGCGGTGGGCTGGATGGTGTCTAACGGTTCGAGGTTAAGGCGGATGGAGACAAGGCTCTTGGGAAATGCAAGACATTTTTCTCTTTGTTATTCTCTTTGTTAGCTTCCAATTAGTTATCGCGCGCCAACGCGCGTGCACGTGATGGCCTTGATTGCCGCGGCTCGACCCTCTTGAGGCTGAAAAAAGTTCCCGCGACTTTCCATGCGTGTCGCCGCCCGCATCACGACCCCCCACAGAGACCCCCTTTCCTCTTCTTTCCACAAATGCTCTCGTGTCGTTTGTGCCTTGGGCATTCTCTGCGCGCCGTTACCCAAAGACCTCCGCTCACCTCGCCCGCCAACGCCCTCGCTCGCCTCGCCACTCGCCGTCCCATTAACGGCCAGCGTCTCGCCGCGCTATCACCGCCCTGCCGCAGCTATGCCACCGCCGAACTAGCCGTCGACGCCTTGAGCGAAGCAGATCGCTCCTATGTTCCCTACGAATACTCGCAGAAGGCGGCTGAGCGGAAAAAGGTCCTTGTGGGAAACCTCCACCGCAACCTGAAAAATAGGGAGCTAGATCCAGACGAGACCGCTTTCAATGTGAAGCTCCTCAAGCGGATAAACAACGACCCGCTCAAGCTCGCCGACTTTGTGAATACTAGGCTGCGATTTGACGATGTCTCGCGCACGATAGCCGTGGTGAGGTTTGCGAGCAAATACATGAACTGCGTCGTTAGCTGGAATCATGTCATTAACCACATAATGTCACTTCACCGTGTTCCGGAGGCAATGAAGATATACAACGATGTGCGTAAGATCACGTCCACAACTTGGGCGCCACCTGCTAACGCAAACGCCACTGTAGATGAAGAAGCGCGGCCAACGGCCGGACTCGTACACTTATACCATAGTTCTACGAGGCCTTGGCGACAATGCGCACCATGACAAAGATGTCGTCGGCAACGCCCTCTCGGTATACCATTCTATGTCCGCACCCAACTCCCAAGTTGAGCCGACAACCATACACACGAATGCGGTACTGCGAGCCTGCGCAAGGGCCAACAACATGGACGCTCTATGGGGTGTTGTGGCAAAGCTACCAGAATCCGGAAGAGGTGCGCCGGATACTCTCACCTATAGTACGATCCTCAACGCGATCAGGTACAATGCGATGGACGCGCCTGTTGGACTTAATTGGGAGGAGCTTGCGCGCAGACGAAACGATGCCATAATCGACGGACGGAGACTCTGGGAAAACATCGTCTCACGATGGCGGAACGGCGACCTCATGATCGACGAGGGCCTTACTTGCACCATGGGGAGGTTGCTCCTCTTGGGTGAGCGGCCCAGAGACTGGGACGACGTTTTATCGCTGGTGCAGCAGACGATGGATATCCCGCGTCTCACTCCCCGCCTAGGTAGCGATGAGCCACGTGGGGAAGTTGACTTCAGCCAGCAAGCGCTTCCGTTTACACCCAAGGACTTTAAAGACGCGGATCTACAGCCAATCGACCCGGACGACAAGTGGCGACCCGGCGGAGAATTCGACCCCGTTGAACGTGAGGTGATGGGCAGGAAAAGGAGAAGCAAATACACGGTAGTATATGCCAGACCTGGACACAATACGTTCTCTCTCATTCTGGCAGCCTGTCTGAAAATGGCGGCCAAAAAGGCCGCGTTGGATTACTTCAAGCTGTTCACAGGCCCGGAAGGCTACAAACTCGAACCGGACCACGATAACCTGCACATGTTTCTACGCATTCTACGACAGTCACGCTCGAGCGCAGAAGCGGTAGAGTTTGTACGCGTGATGGTAGAGAACAAGAAGTTCGTAATGTCAAAAACGTTCCGCATCGCCATGTCGACATGCGTGCGCGATAAGAACAACCCGAACATCTTCAAACACGCGTGCGAGCTCATGGACCTGATGGAGAACTCGCTGCGCGAGATGGACGGCGGCACCGTGGCCATGTTCGCGGGCCTGGCTGCACACCTCAAGAATCCGCGCGACATCCTGTACATGCTCAACCGCACGACGTCCTCTGCCCACGACTTGCGGCGGCTGCTGACATTCAAGCGGCCCGAGACGAGGAGGGATAAGGAGGAGATGAAAGAGCTGATCCCCGCTCGCAGAAATGCTATTGATGCCCTACGCCATATGCAAGCCTGCTGCGACCAGTTGCTGCTTAAGGGCGCCATCCCAGCGGATTTGCAGGGTCAGTTCATGGAGCGCAAGATTATGCTGACGAAGCAGCTCAACCAGGCCCAGTGGATTGACCCTGACTTGGCGTCGTATGAGTTCAAGAAGAAATACGGAAAGTTGCTGCGCAAAAGAGACGATCTCGGCTACAGCCAAAAGCGCGAGCAGAGAGGTACGCGGGGGCACGGGCAAAGGCGTGAGATGGGACGCGGGCAGGAGCGCGAGATAAAAGGTAGACGGGCGTCCTCCCGGATGGGGCGCGGACAGGGGCGCGTACAGGCGCGCGGACGACAGAGCGGGCGCGAGCGCAGGCCTGAGGGGCATAGGGGCCGGGAGACAAACGGGGAAGAGCGGCCAAAAGAGAATAGGTTGTGGTGATGATGGGTTTGAACTGCGGAGTTCGTTGGCGTTGGGTGGGAAAAGGCAGGCTTATGTCCATATGATACGGCGTCCCTGTGACGTCTTCTGTTTATTATCTACTCCATCCTCACGAGCGGGCTGCGAAGCTGCGCCTGCTCTATGTATGTGTAATGAAGGTTCGACTTCGTTTTGATTGCTGCCTTGGTTGAACGACATTTCGTGCAGTCGATATAACTATCCCTTGTATTAACAGATGTTGTTTTTAGCTACGAATTTGGGCTTTATTAGTTCTTCGAAGTACTACGAAATAGATATAGTTAGGCATCTTTATCCAATTTCGCTTCCACGGAGTATGTTCTCTGTAGAGATAGAATATAATCCAGTCGCTTAGATTTATAGCGACATATCTCAAAATGCAGTTGAAGGGCACGCTCGTACAACTGTATCTTTATGAAGTTGGTGAAGAAACTCATAAGGTAGCCTAAATATGTTCACTTGGGTATGAATCTGCATGGCTATATGTTGCTTAATGGCTAGCTGCAAGATGGTGTAAAAGTAAAAGATTTAAGATTTTCACGAAGTATTTATAGTAATACAACACACAAAACCATCGAACTATTAGAGCATTCTCGGCGACGATGGCCCAAGTAACCATCCCCACACATACACACGTACGACAGTCCTCACAGCTTCACCACCACTCTGTCATGGCTACGCTGGGTAGCGTAGCGCAGTAGAATGCATGGTCCGATAGCTGTAGTAAGCGCTTCGAGGCCTACTTAGTTGGTGGCCATGGCACAGGCTACCCCGTCGACGCGCGGCGCTGGCGTGACGCGTTGCGGGCCGCGATAAGAGATCGGTCGGGGGAGGAGGGGCGACGCGCGGACACGGGGCCGGACGGGCCCGCGGAGCCACCGGTCAGGACCTATCCACCCAACTGCTAGTTAAGGTACAATAATATCTTAACTACTGCTGCTAGGGCGAAGTAGGTGGGGTGCGGATGGCGCGTCGACGCGAGCAGTCGGAGCTCGGTGGACGATATCCGGGGAAGAAATCGGGAGTAAGGGTGAATGAATCAATGGATGGATGGTCGTGGAGATCGAGATGGGGAGGGGCGTAGGATTGCATTTTTCCTTACTGACCGTGGCTGGTCTGTTGGGATTGGGGAGACGGGAGGCTACATTATGTACGTAAACGCATGTAGGAGTATGCTTTGCGGCGTGTGCCTATGGGCTTGCTTGCCGCGCGTTGCGGTGCCGGCGGACTGGTACGGGATATGGGGTTGGAGACGCGTACATGTACATCCGGCGCGTCTGGTCTGGGGCTGTGCTTGGACGGAGTCGATGGAGGTTGGGAGTAGCTACGTGGGCTGTTAGTGCCCGTGTTGGACGCCGTACGGACGGAGAGAGAGAAATGCTCAGCTCCCCCCAAAAAAATATTGGCCGCTCTGGAGTTCGTGTGTAGGCAGATGGATACGAGCAACATCAAGGCCACGATCAGCCGGGCGAGAGCTATTGATAGCAACATAGATTCAAGACGCGATCTCTCCTGCCTCCAATAGGGTTTTATAGGACGGAGGAAGCCCGGAAATTGCACTGGACGACCCCTTCTTTTGGCTATTCGCCGGGGCGAAGTGCGCGCCAGTTGCCCTCCAGAGCATACGAGCTCCGCAAACATACGCACTGCCGCCGATTACGGAGCGGACGACCAAGTGCTAGGGCGCGATGGTCTTGGTGGCAGTGTACGGAGGTGAGATGTGGATGTGGGCGCGAACTTGGGACGCCATCCCCGCTAGGCGCTAAGGCCTCGAGGGGGAATAGCGCCAATCAGACCCTCCTGACGCGGGAGCTACGCGAGTCAGTCATCATTTGATATACTATCCTTCCACCCTCTTGCTTCCCGTCTTTCTCCTCTCACCCCAGCTCTCTCCACCTCGGAATCAAATCACACACAATGGCCTCTCATCCGGAAGAACACGTCGCTGCTCCAGCTCAGTCGGCTGTCGACGAGGTTGACGAAAAGACCACCACCATTGCTGAGCCCAACGGCGAAGCTCCTACAGCAACCACCACCGCTCCGGCCACCGAGCCTGCTCCTGCCCCTGTCCAAGATGCGGCCGCAGCTGCTGTGCCCGCTACCAACGGCGAAGCTGCTGTAGACGCCAAGAAGAAGCCCGAGGAAGCTGCTGCCACTGACGCTGCTACTGATGCTGTTGTTGACGGTGCCGCGCCTGCTCCTCCAGAGGCAGTTGCCGCGCCCGTTGACAGCGCAATCGCGACCGAGACGGCCACCCCGACCGAGCAGCAGCAGCAGCCGGCCGACAACGCCACTGCCGCGTCGAACGGCCCCGTCTGGCCCGAACTCAGCGACGATCACCCCCTTGCGAAGATGTGCAAAGATCTGCCCGAGCTAATCACCAAGGCCGACGGCGCCAACGAGGTCTACGGCATTACACTTGATGGCGCGAACCCCACCTTCCACACCAAGTTGATATTGCAAAAGTTCCTGCGCGCCAACGCCAACGACCTGCCCAAGGCGAAGGAGCAGCTCGTCAACACGCTCAAGTGGCGCAAGCAGATGAACCCGCTCGACCTCGTCAACCAGACGTTTGACAAGAAGCGCTTTGGCGGCTTGGGCTACGTGATTGAGGTTGAGGATGTGCCTGGCAGCCCCAACAAGAAGGACGTCGTCACCTTCAACATCTATGGCGCGGTCAAGGACAACAAGGCTACCTTTGGAGATTTGGATGCGTAAGTTTTCCCCTTCCACAAACGAGCGCAATGTCCACATCGATGGACCGAGTAGCTGTCTCCACAGTTACGAGGCATTGGTGTTGGACAATGCTCCAGAACTTTTTCAAGAGCCCTGCGTTGCTAACCGTCTTGCCAGTTTCACCAAGTGGCGCGTCGCCATCATGGAGATGGGCATCGCCAAGCTGAAGCTCAACGAGGCCACCACACCCATCCCCGACTACGGCAAGGGCGTCGACCCGTACCAGGGCATCCAGGTGCACGACTACCTCAGCATCTCGTTCCTGCGCCAGGACCCGCACGTCAAGGTCGCGACCAAGGAGACCATCAAGATGTTCTCCAACTACTACCCGGAGACGTTGTCGCGCAAGCTCTTCGTCAACGTGCCCGCACTCATGGGCTGGATGTTCACGGCCATCAAGGCCTTCCTGTCCAAGGAGACGGTGCGCAAGTTCACGGTCCTCAGCTCAGGCAACCAGCTCGCTAGCCAGCTGGGCGACGGTGTCCCGGAGCCGTACGGCGGCAAGGGCATCAAGCTCGAGGAGTTTGCCGACACAACCAGGTGGAACTCGGAGGACCCGCCCGTGCCTGCTCCTGCTTCCCCAGCGCCCGCGGCATAGTAACGGTTGGGTGGTTGGTTCTTGGCGGCAGCGAGGCTCTCCCGTCTCTCTGTCATCCCTCTCTCTGCTAGCGTTTTTTTTATTGTTTTTCCTCTCCTCCTCCTCGTTCGAGCATTTGCACAAAGTTTCCGATACCAATTGTCACGCGGCTGCATCGCGTAGGGTAATTTCCACTGGCTTTTTTCCTCTTCTTCTTTGTTTCTTTTTTCCGTTTCTGGTCGATATCAAAGGGTGTCTATAATTACCGTATACCCCAAGCATAGGAGGAGGAATCATCATACTAGTTGCTAATTTCCTCTGGCTCTGCCACATGTACTTGCGTACGCATGGTTGAGGTCTGGGGCTGTCTTTCAAGTTTATGTTTGCTAGTGAACCATTGTGGTGTGATGTCGTGAGTGAAGTAGTGGCTGACTTGGTGACGAGTGAGTGTTGTCGGAGAAAAAGACGGTGGGATGCATTGCTGGCTGTCTTTCAGGTTTGGCCTCGGATAGGTTGTCCACCCACGTGCTACTGCATCAGTATAGGTATGACTTACTTTTACACCCTTTCACATTAGCACCTCTGTACCCCTTGAAACACTTTCGTACCCTCGTAGCTTCGTACTCCCATACCTTCTTGGAATACTTTTCGCATTCTCACACCTCAACCCACATACCTTCAAAAACATCCTTAAAATTTTAAATACATATTCCTTTTTTTTATATCATCGTACATACAAACCACCACCTCTTCACGCCCTCTTTTAGCGTGTCTAGTATGCATGACATGGCTACAATCCAGAGAAGGCGTCTTCAGCTGGTATGGTTGGTAGTGAAGGCTCTTCTTTTGTTTTGTTTTGTTTTCTTTCTTTTCTTTTTGCTTGGTTGCGGTTGTGCTTGCGGTTGAAGCCAAAAGGGGCGGAGGCGAGGTAAGTAGAGGGAGCGGATAGGCGGGCGCTGGATTGGGTTGGATTAGGCACCTATGCCTGCGTGCATCTTGCTTCCTGTGCGTGCGTGTGCGGCTGGTGGCGTTTGTGTGTGTGTTTGTTTGCGGGTGTGGTAGGCGGGAGCGAGGAATGTGGTGGTGATGGAGGTGGAGTATGTATGTATAGCCGGAGTGGATGGTGAGTTGGCGTTTATGTATGTGTTCGGCCGTGTGTGGTGTGTATGTGTATGCGTCCGTTGTTTGTCTTGCCAGACGGAGAGATGGGTGGGTGGATGGAAGGATGGAGGATGAATGGACAGACAAACAAACAAACCCAGCCAGCCAGCCGTTGGACTCCCAAACGCCGCTTTTTTAACTCCTCGTCTTCACTCCCTCAGAATCATCTCTTTTAGCTCTTCCCCGCATCATCCTTTCCCTCCTCCGCTCCCTCCGGAATCCTGCTCCCCCTCGCGGCCCTCTGCCCAAAAATCCCCGTGCCGACCCTCACCTCATCGGAGCCCTGCCTGACCGCGCCCTCAAAGTCGGCACTCATGCCCATACTAAGGCAGAGGTCGTCGGCGGGCAAGCCCAGCTCCGCGGCAACCTCGTCCCGCACCCGCCGCAGCTCGACAAAGTCCGCATTCTCCGTCTCGGGCGTCAGCGCGTGCGAGCGCGCGATGGCGCCAATGGTCATCAGGCCCGCGAGGCGCAGGTGCGGGCAGCGGTCGCGCACGTGCGCGCACAGCGCCGCCGTTTCGCCCGGCGGGGTGCCGCTCTTGGAGGCCTCGCCCGACGTGTTGACCTGCACGAGGATGCGCAGCGGCTCCAGCTGTTCCTTGTCGTTCTTCTTGTTAAGCTCCTCGACGAGCGTCTTCCGCCCCTTCTCCAGCTGGTCCGCCTTCTTGGCCGTGTCGACGCTGCTCACGCTCCACAGGTTCGGAACCGCCTCGGCCAGCGGCCGGCACTTGTTCGTCTGCAATGCCCCGATGAAGTGCCATTTGATGGTGCGCGGCAGGGCTGCGGCTTTGGCCGATAGCTCCTGGAAGTAGTTCTCGCCGAAGTGCGTCGTCGTGTGCGGGGCTGGCGCCGTGTGCAGCGCGAGGATGTCGGTGGCGGGCTTGAGCTTGGAGACGGCGATGAGGCGGACCTGTGGGGCGGGCGGAGGGGGTTAGTGGGTTGTGGTATAGGTAAGAGAAGTGCGGGGAGGGCAGAGTGAGTGAGAGTGAGAGTGAAAGAAAGAAGCAGCACGCACGTCTTTGCCCGACTTGTTGGCGTGCACTATGCGCGCCGTCACATTGCCAATGTTCTCAATGAGCTCTTGGGCTCGGGCGGGGTCGACGCGCATTTCGTCTTCGGTGGTCGACATGGTTGTGCTTGATGGTGGTGGTGCATGACATGTATGACACGGGCCAAGCGGTTTTGACCTTGGCCCTCGGGATCCACCCTCCGCCCTCCGCCCTCCGCCCTCCGTCCGCCATCCCGCTCCGCCCGCCGCATCGGCCCAGCCCTGTGCATTCGGCCATGTCTTTCACGACGTCCGTCGCCATCAAGCGAGATTCACACCGCCTGACGAGATAACGATGCGTCTACCGAATGGAAACGAAATCCAGTCAAGGTGTTTGTATGTATATATTCCTTACTTATATCCAGACAAGGAGTGTTCCATATAGACTATTCGAGTCTTTCCCTATCTCGCCACATCACAACACACTCCCAAACCCCTCCGCCCTCGCCTCCTCCCACCCCACCGGCCACTTCGGCCCCTTCTCACCCTCCCATCCCCCCGCCAACATGCCCACCGCAAGCAACAACCCCCCACTCGCCGGAAAATACGGCGTCGCGACCCTGCTCCCACCCAACGGCATGCCCACATCATCAAACCCAAACCTTTCATGCAGCAGCCAACTCACCGCGCCCGCCGAATCACCCGTCCGCGCCGCCGTCAGCGCCAGCAACGGGAAATCCCACCCGTACGACGCGTCAAAATCCCACGTCTCGATGACGCGGCGCAGCGTCTGCGCAAAGACTGTGGCATTGAGGTCGGCGGGTGGGGGCAGCCAGCCTGCAATGCCGACGAGGGCGGGGTGGTCGCTCGTCAACTCTGGGTCCGTCCACATGTCGGGCACGCCTTCGTAGAGGACGTACGTGTCGTTCTCGATGGGAAGGGGGGCTAGGTTCACGCCGACTTGGGTCCATGGCTCCGGGACTGGCTTGCCTTGGCGTTGCTGCCATTGGGCGGCGATGCTGAGGCCGAGGCGCCAGTAGGTGAGCTCGAATGTGGGGTTGATGGTGGCGTTGGGGTTAGTGTTTTCACTGACGGGGTAGAGCGGAGGTCCCAGGTCATAGACGCCTGTCGTGGCGTTGTGGAAGGCATAGGTGCTCATGAAATCGGCCGTGGCTGTAACCACATCGTTCCATTTGGTGAGCGTCGAGTTTGTTGGAAACGCCCGGTACTCCAACTCTGCAAAATACAGAGGGTGCGGCTGTTGCCAGATCAAAAGCGAATTGATACCACCCGGGGCGGAGCGACCGCTCGGATCACTCATCTTTCCCCAGCGAGCTCCAGAGTAACCTTGGGCCGCGGCGCGCTCAAGAGAACTGGGCAAAAACCTCTTATAAACGTCCATGCTGCGGTCGAACAGATCCCATTTGTTCCAAACACCCCAGTGAGCAAGATGCCAGAAGATCATCTCCAGATGGAATTTGCCGTACCAGCCGTTGTTCGCCAGGCCAGATTCCTGAGGCGGGTCCTTGCCTGCTCCATTGACCGCGAGGAGATACTGAGAGAGGATTGTCCGACGCTGGAGTTCAGCCGCTTCTGGGCCTGGCACGCTCGTCAGGTCGATGAAAGCTCCAGCCTCCCAGTACGAGTGCCAGTACTCAGTGGATGCTGTTTTGATAGCATCATGGCTGGTTCTGGGAGGATCCTCTTCTGGCGAAAAGGCCACCGCAAAGCTAAACGTCTCGTTCCCCTGAGGGCGCAGAGAATAGCGATGAGATTTCGACGCGGGACCTGACGCGGAAGCTTTGCCTTTCCATGTTACTCCGGTGTAGTAAGTCGTCGCATCCATGGCGTGTTCTATAACTGCGTGGCCGTCGCCGGCGTTCAAGGTACTCGTGTGGTTGCTGGTCGCATTCCACAGGCCTACATACGTCTCGAACTTGTTGTCATCGGTGGCATAGGGGTAGTCGAAGAAGACTGACAAGGTGCCGTTTCTTAGTAACTCAGATTGCACTTGGACGCCTACCGCATCCAGCGCCGGGTCAGCGACTGTCTCCACGGCGACCTTGTTTCCACGCAAACAAAACACCGAACGTAGCGTTCCGCTGTACAGATCCAGCTCCTGCGAGGGCGTCTTGACGTCTGACTCCTGGATGATCTGTCCATCGAGCACAAGCCCTACGCGCGCCAGATTCACACGGTGCGGATTACTGATAAGCCACTGCGAGATGTCAGCTTCGGCCGGGTTTGGCTGGTTGTAGTTGACCAGGCGGCCATGGGTCCACCAGTCCTGGCCGGTAAAGTCCTGGGGGGACGTCTGGCCGGGGGTGGTGGGTAGCGACGAGTTGTGCCAGCACCACGAGGAGAGGATGTTCCATGGTAGGACAGACTGGAGGCCGGTGATGTCAGCGCCAAAGGCAAAGTTGCCGTTGCCGAGCTGCATGGGCGTGTCATGGCGGGTGGAGTTGCGGCGGGGGTTGAAGCGCCGGACTATGCTCTTGCGGTCGATGGTTGCATGCGAAAGGGTTAGCAGGAGAGAAATGGCCAGCGAAGGCCATCCTCGGAGACGAGCCATGGAGTCGAGCAGTGAACAGCTACATGGTTATATAGTCAGACTGGGATGCTCGGGGTAAAGACAGACAGAGGAGATGGAGTCCCCCGCATTGATCGACAGGGCGGTTTTTCCGGGCGAGATGCAGGCAGATGCGCGATGACGAAGGGTCGGAAATGTGTTGCATTAGTTAGGTAGCCCTGGGCGTTGTTCGGAGAAGAGAGGGAGGAGAGAAATAAAGATAGAGCAATTAACGCATGAAAGCGGCCGTGCGCACTACATCATCGCTTCTCTCTCCCGGTTTCACAACCTTTGATGATCTCCCGGAGCTGACAACCTGCCACACACTCTTGACAGATGCGCCCAACACCGCAGCCTGACAATCACAGCCACCACCACCACTTCTTACCAACAACCACTCTTCCTCCTCCCTCGGACGACGACTCCTTCTCCTCCAACACCACCACCACCACTACTGCCGACGACACCAACAACAACACCAACACCAACACCAACCGCCAACCACCACCATGGCCTCCGGCGTCGGCATCTTCTTCGCCATCATCATAATCCTCCTCCTCACCGGCACCGTCACCTGGATAATCTGGTCGCGCCTACGCGCCCGGCGCCTCGGTCTCCCCCCGCCACCACTGAACCCCTTCGCGCGCGGGCGCGGCAGCTCGGGCGGCGCAGGCGGGTACGGGGCGGGCGCGGGGTCCTCGTCGGGCGGCATCGGCGGCTGGTTCAGCGACAAGGTGCGCGCCTTCAAGAACCGCAAGTACACATCAGCCGCAGGGTACGAGACCAACAGCGGCCTTGGCGGCGGCATGGGTAGCGCCAGAGGCAGAGCGCGCGCCGGCACCCTCGACCCCGACGAGGCGTGGGATGCGCGCGTCGGCAACGAGGCCGACATGTACGGCCCCGGTGGCTACTACGAGGAGCAGGAGCTCGGCCTGCACGAGCCCGGCGCAGACCGCGGGAGGCAGCAGTACAGTCAGCGCGAACTCGACGACCGGTATGACGAGGAAATGGGCCGCGCGCCCCAGCACAGCAGCAGCAACAACAACAACAACAACAACAACACGCAGTACCAGTCGCAGCAGGGCTACCTCGGTCACCAGCAACATGACCCCTTTGGCGACGACGCCGAGCACAGCAACATCAGCATGCGCGGCGTGAGTCCCCGCCCGGTCGTCGATGTCGAGGCCGGCCGCAACCAGCAACAACGGCGCCAGCAGGGCGGCGATGCCAGCAGCTTGCATAATAGCCCGTCGGAGCGGCGCAGCATATTCCACGAGGATGTCTAGGCGGGAAGCGAGGAGAGGAGAAGAGGGCAAAAACGGGGTTGGTTGGGTTGTTTGATTCCATACAGATTGGGCTGGTTGAGAGCACGGAGTTTGACTTGATCGTCTCTTTTCTTTGGTTTTGCTTGTCCGGGGTCGGGATGGGATTGATTGGTCAGGACTCTCCTAGGACTTTTACTACCGTTTGGGCCTACCATTGTTGTATTTCTTCGTCCCTTTTTCTTTTGTTCCTTCTTCATTTTCCCTTTCCCTTTCTTTCTTTCTTCCTCTCTTTGTAGTAGCTCGCGCCTCAGCTCTCGCCGAGCAGGCTGTACATGTTATTCGACGGCGCCGCCTTCTGCTGCCTCGTTGCCGCAGAAGAAGCATCACCACCACCACCACCCCCGCGCTTCCTCTTCTTCCTCCTGCGCTTCGCCTCCGCCGCCGTGAAAGCCGCCGCCTCTGCCTCCGCGGCTTCGTGCACCGCGCTCGGAAACGCCCTCACCAGCTCCTTCTGCTGCTGCTGCTGCTCCTCCTCCTCTCCCTCCCCACCAGCGTCCCACATGTCCACCACGCCCGGCAGCCCCGCCAGCGCCTCCTGCACTGCCCTAACACCCGACCATATCTCCTCCTCCTCCTTCCCGCCCCCAACACCACCATCGCCCGCAACAGCCAAAACAACACCAACGCACTGCCTCAGCATCCTCAGCGAATACGCCACCCCCTCCCACTGCGCACGGCGATGCACGCTGGCCCAGCCGCCCGCACCGGCACCCACGCCGCGTTGCAGTGGCGCCGCCACCGCCGCCAGCTCCTCGCGCGAGGGCACGCGCTCGCCGCCCGCAGCCAGTGCATCAGCGAGCCAAAACGCAGCGATGGCGCGCCAGCGCGGCAGGCAGCGCGTCGCCTGTCCTCTGCCGCCATCGCCGTCGTCGTTGTCGCTGCCGCGCGCAAGCGCCGCCACCAACGCCCTGCACGCCTCTGCCGCCTCTGCCGGCTCAAGGAGCTCGACGTCTGCGCTCGCGACGCGCGGGCCGCGGCGCTCGAATTCCCGGATGGTTTGTGGTTCGGGGTGGGGGGTTAGGTGGGCGAGGAGCGAGTAGGCGAGGTGGCGGAGGGGGGAGGCGGGGCGCCAGGCTGAGGCGCGCGTGGGGTCGTCGATCAGGAAGGGGAGGTAGATGTTGCAGTCGGTTGGGGAGGGGGAGAGCGAGGGCAGCGCTTGGTGGATGTATTCGGAGATGCGGGGGTCGAGGGAGCCGAGGAGGGAGGGGAGAGCGGTCGCGGGTTGGGGAGGAGCCTCTGCAACAAGCGTGTCCAGGGCGACGTATTCCTCCAGAAACTTCTGGTAAAACGGATTCGCGGCATCGAGCCCCTTGGCCACACGCACGCACTCCTTCACCGAGCGGAACGGGTCCTGCAGCAGCGCAAACGCCAGCGGCGCCAGCGTCGGCAGGCCCAGCGTCTGCGCAATCCGCGCGGGGCAGTACTCGACGGCCTTGAGCTGCGCGCGGCCCGGCAAGAGGATGCGGTTGATGTCGCGGAACAGGACGACGGCGCCCGCCGGCCCCAGATCATGCACCAGCAGGTCCGAGTCGGACGTGAGCAGCCAGCCGCCATCGCGCTTGACCGCCGCGGCGCAGAAGGCGTCGGCCTCGGCCGCGACGACGCGCGTGACGCTGCCATGCCGGCTGCGCTGCAGGCGCTCGATGACGGCGGGCACCAGGAATGGCAGCGCGGGCAGCGCGCGCATCTTCACCGACAGCGGGCGCGCGGCGAAGATGTCGTCCTCGGCGCTCACGCGCTGCGGCGCGACGGCCGAGCCCGCGCTGTGCGAGCCGTGAAACTCAATCAGCTGCTTGAGGTAGGCGTCGAGGCGCTTGAGGCGCGTGTCGCGCTTCGCGGCGGGGAGGAGCCCGTCGAAGAAGATGGCCGCTCTGCAACAACAACAACCAACAACAGGCAATGGTCAGCCCTTTTCCCCTTGCTCGGCCATCTGCTGCTGCCGCTCACCTACATCTCAAGCCCGGCGGCTTCCAGCGCGTCGACAAACTCGAGCGCTACGTCGCACACTTCGGCGTACGGCGGCATGGCTTCCAGGGCGTTGCGCGCGCGCTGCCGCCGGCCCACGGCGCGGTGGTAGGCATGGTATGCCAGCCCGGGGCCGTCGATGACGACGCGTTTGGCCGGTTTCCCTTGCTCTTTTGCTTGCTGCGCTGGCTTCGCGGGTGCGCCAAGCACGACGGGCGTGGCATACGGCTCCAGGTTGTGCAGGAGCCGTGGGATCCCCATGTTGGACTTCAGGTAATCGGGACTGTTTATGAACCGGAATCCATTTTTTTCCCAAACTCGGCGCGTCGTTGATAGGTATGAAATGGTCGTTGTCGTCGTCGACTAGGCTTCGCTTCCGAAGACGCACTAGGCCGCTTTAGTACTGGCTGCTCATACGAATTGACTACAACACCTTGTTGGAAGGCAAACTCTACATCATCTACTCTATGATGTTGGGGTTCAAGGCATCATATACTCGTCACTTGCTGCAGTACATCCGTCTTCATAACTGTATGCTGGAGACGCACATGCACATTTTGGATGCGAGTCCATTCACGTCAAATGTGGTGTATTAATCAAAACGAATCCATTGATACGAAGCAGACCCTCAGGCCCTAAAGTGATGCTCTTACAGCAATGCGTCTCTCAGCAACCCGTGTCGACGCCCGCCTACGCAACTCGAACGGCAATGCGCTCCTGCATCCATCATCCACAACCTCATGTGCTTTCTCAAACTCAGTCATCAAACTTCTTCTCACGCATTTTCTTGGCGGTGTAGAAGATGATCAGGGCCTTCTCATCGAGATCCCAACACAAGTTATACTGGAATAGGTGGGTGATGTTTTCCATGATATCCTGTTTGGACTTTTCATGCGCTTCCCGCCAACAGTTGGGTTCGTTCTGTAGTGTTTTGAGCACCGATTTGATAGTTTTGGTTGAAGGGCTTCCGTCTTCGATGGAAGGCATGTTTGCCTCTTCTGCGGCCATTTCGGCGAGTTTGGTTTCAAACGAAAGAACAATGCGTTCCATCTCTTTCCAGTGGTGCTTGGACCTCTGAAAGAAATGAATTGCACTTATCAGACTTGTTAATACCACCACACGCAGGCTGATATTTGGCAGTGAGCTAGAGGTGGCAGCGCCTTTGTGTCCGCTGTCCTCCTGGTACTGGCCATTGTCTTGGATATCGCTGCGCTGGCCGCGAGAATTGACCGTGTCATCATCAATGCTTTCGGAAATAGGGTATGATATCCGTCGTGGTACGGACGCTGGATTGGCTGACCCCATAGGAGACTGTGATCTGACTGACGAAGGTATAGTCCTTGATTTTTTAAGATGTGAAGTTGAAGCCTCGGCGTAGGTGTTAGAACCATGTCTTTTGGTACCACGACTCCGAATTGGCAATTCAAGACTGGATGCCGCCAAAGCGCGGAGCTCTGGGGATGGACCATGCTCGTCATGACTAACGGCAGCGATCGATCTCTTTTTGAGTTGAGAATCATTGTGATGAACCCGTACATCACTAACGCTTTGTGAAGACTCCCCGAGCTGGCTGAGGCCTTCGTTGTCTGGAATAACGCTCATCTTCACCAGTAGTCTTGGCAATAGTGCTGATGGTCCTTGGAAATCAGTGCTCACTTGATCGGCTCCGGTACAGTCTCCGCAGGATGAATCGGCAGGTCGTTGAATCTTGGAACCAAGATCGGCTGTTGGGGTTGGTCAAGCAGTGACTCGCCGGGTGAAACCTTGTCTGACTTGGAAGCGGGCTCGGTGGGATAGAATTCGTCGATTATGGCAAGGCCTTGTTCATACGATAAAGGGCTGTAGACCAAGTCAAAAAGATCCCCTTTCTGTTCCGGGTCCATAGATGTGTTGGGTGGAAGATGTGTGGAGAAGAACTGGCAGTCGAGAAGAGTTTAAGCTTTGGTCGTGGTGAAAGTGGAAAGTGCCTATTATATCGATTGCCGTATCTGCACGAAGCTAGTGGATGTTATGGCGTAGTTCTTGCCTGAACGGGCGAGGTAGACACACCACGTGCCTGCCTATCGTAAGGCCCACCTATGTATCCAACCAACAATCAACAACCAAAGAGGGCAGCCCAAGATCCGGTAGATTTAATGGTTTTGTAGCGGTATCGGGCGGACATTTATGTCAAGTTGTGATTGTAGGTACAAGGATGCTGGGTAGTCGAATGCAGGAACAATGACGCCAAATCATGTTCCTAGGGCGTGGAGATGTCCAAGCTGCATGACCAAGTTTGATATCAAGCCACTTGAATCAATCATTAGTCGGTTGAGTTTTGACGGTTTGCCGTAGGTAGATATGCTCCAAAAGACCATCTGTAAACAAGGAATATTCAAAGAAGTTTTTGCATTAATAGGGTATAAAGACCGGAGGCCACCGTCAGACACTAAAGGACTATAGAATATACCACGCTAAAAGCGCAGTCGTCTTTTTTGGAGAAAAGAAACGAATATGACGGAAGAGCACCTCATCTAGGGCCATAGGCAAACCCTATCGTTGCCAGCTTCATGCTTCCAGCTTTCCTCCCTCGGCAAGACAAGTCGCATTTCTTGCGCTTGATAATGCCTCTAGCCTGCAGAAAGCTCTGCTGGAGGAAGACTAGTTTTCAAAACATCATGCCCGTGTGATGCAGCTACGCAAACGATCATAGAAGTCGCCGAACATTCGGCCGTTTACGACGTCTTCTTGGCCGCCTTCTCCTTCTCGGCAGCAAGCTTGACAGCCTTGCGCTCCCTCCTCCTCTTGGCAGCCTCAGGGCCGGACTCGGTGTCAAGGACGAAGTCCCACCAGCGGAAGCTGGAGGCGTAGTTGCCAATGAAGCGCTCGTGGTGGGTGTCGTGGTGGTCAGCGCCAGCCCAGAAGGGCAGGAAGTGGTGCAGAGACCAGGGGAACTCGTAGCCGGAGTGGGCGTCGATAGCCTGGAAGAGACGCGCGACGATCCAGACGTACATGGTAAGGATGTGGAGGTCCTTGGTGATGGCGCACCACAGGATAGGAGAGCCGACCGTGCCGAGACCGAGGACCATGACCTCAATGGGCGAGGCGTACTCGGCCGCAAGACCGAAAGGAGCAGAGTAGTGGTGGTGGATCTTGTGGATGTGCTTATACAACGCCGGGAAGACGTGCATGGCGCGGTGAGTCCAGTAATGCCAGGTATCTTCCAGAACGAAGAAAATGGCGATTTGGTAGGCCATCTTGAGAGGCGAGGGGAAGGGGACGCCGGTCTCGAGGCCGAAGAACTGAGCCATGGGGTGGAACAGCCAAATCTGGGGAAGCTCGACGGTGAAGTGGCTCAGCAGGACGAGCAGGGCGCACTGCCATTGCTCCTTGGCGGTGGGGACTTTTTGCTGTTGCGGGTCAGTACGGAGCAGCTTAGGCGTGGCGACGGGAACGTACGTTCTGAATCTTATACTTGTTGAAGTACGGAATGCAGTCGATTATGATCCAGGGCAGCGAGCGGCCGAAGTAGACGGCCTCGTGCATAACGAAGGACATGATGCCGGTGGCAAGGACATCGTTGTTCATGTAGGCATACCACGCCACCCAGAGGCGCTCGAAGTAGTTGAGCGAGACATTGTACTTGGAAATCTCCTCGAATTGGCCCCAGTAGGTGTCGATGGGCTGGGCCGCCTGGTAGGCGACAGTTGAGTTCCTGCGGCGCGGTGTCAGCCAGGGGTCCTCGTGGTGATGGGAAATAGGAAGGCGGCTTACATGGCGGGCGAGCGACGAGCTCAATGGAGCAGCAGCAAGCAAAGAAGGAGAGGACTGGATGAGGGAGAAGGAGACTCGTCGGGGGCTGCAGGAGAAAAAGGACGGAGGACAACAGCGGGCTTTTGGATGGTTGCGCCAAAAGGCAGGCCACTTTTGGGCCACTCGGAACCTTTGATTCCATAGCCCATGCAGTCCCTGGCACTAGGCGGTTTTGGGCAAGTTTGCAGAGCGGCGCGCGATGCGACTGCAAACTGCGGGCCGTGCGCCTTCTTTCCCACACTGCCCTACGCAGCCATCGCGACACAATCGCACCACAGATGCTCTGATGTCCCCCCCGCCCGGTCAACTTTGGCGAACGCGGCGATGAGCTGTCAGCCCACCATCACACTGGGGCCCGCCAGTGTCCCCGGTTGCCCAGCTTTTCCCATCAAATTTCCCGCTGCGCATGGGTGTCGTGGGTGCGACCGCTGGCACGCCGATCTCTTCGAGAAACATGAGCCCTTCACCGCTCGCCCTCAACGTCCCCACGCCTCCAGTCTTTCCCTGCGAGCCGCGCCACCAAAATCAAACCGATCTCCATCTGCCTGCCGTGATTGGTTGTTTCAATACCCAACTGCCGAGATCCCCGGACACTTGGCGTCGTGAACACTCCAGTCTCTGACCTGTTCCTGAGCCGCCATCGGACTCTCGGGTCGCCCTATCATCTCCGGGTCGATGCTCTATCGGAACCTCCATCGCTCTCGCCCCCCCGCAATTCATGTCTCAGGATTCAATGTTGTTTGCCACCCTTTTTTTTTTCTTCACACGCCCCCACCAGCTAGGTGCGCCACTGGGCGATACAATCCTTCGGGCGGTAGGTGGTCCTCATGTCAAACACATTCAGATCTGTGATAAGCAGCAGTCGACGCCGATCTCGCCTTTTTTTTTTTTTTTTTTCCCTCCCTTTCGCGAAACAGTTCTCGCAAGCCTCACATGCAAGCGGAAAGCTCCACCAAGAGAAAAGTGTCGTCGTCATCACTATATGATATCATCTACCCCTTCACATGGAGCCTTATCGTGGCAGTGTGCGAATTTTTTATCCACACAGACTATCACGGGTGGCGAGAAGTGGTGCCAGCTAGCATTAAACAACAAGCCATAGCGCGGTTTGCAGAGTCATCCCGAATCCCTCGCGTCTACAATCACTTAGTGTATTTTGGACTGCACCAGGATGCTTTGCCTTACCTAGCACCTACATTTTTTAGCGTGTTTCTGTTCCTACTCCTACTGTACTCCATAATGGTCCCCAGTTTTTATGGAGTTGATACTGATGATGTCTTTAGATATCAGTGCGTCCTAAACCATTGGTCCATGGCCATTGCCTTCGGCACTACAGTAAGACAATTTATGCGAGAATCAGAGGGTAGACTAGCTCGAGCCGCGTCGAATTGCTATATCATCCGCTGCAACACAACTAGAGAGTTTGGTGCGACCGGCACCGACAACGAGCATCTCGTCCAAGACAAAGCATGAACGACAGAATGCGGAGTAGTTGACTTTCAGCTCTTCGGTCGAGTACTTCAGTCATCTAGTATAACACTCTGTGGCATTCACTCAAGGTCCCGGGAAACAGCATTGCTTTCAGCATCCTACCACCTCTACGACAAACAAAGCCTTGTAGACTCAAATACCCCGCTGCTACCTATGAAAGCCGACGCCCGCAAAGCGTGGTTCTGGCCCTAGGGCACGGATAGACAATGGCCACCCAAGCACAAGCTCTCCGCGAACCCACCTTTGTTTCAACGGCTGGACCTTGCACGAACGCAAGCACGAGCCATGGCCTTTCCGTCTTGCTGTCAGGGCTAGGCTCAGCCGCTTCGGCACAGGAACGGCATACCCAACATTAGCGCTGTGGAAATGCGGCAAGTTCGGCATAGACAACACACTATGAAGTACTTGTTCGACGATAAGAGAATTGGGTGAGGGTGAACTGTTTCTGTTCTTCCGACTGAGTGCGTAGAGAAATTGATTGAAATACTGTGCTGATGACGCACTTGGATTTTCTCCTATCTGTAGTAAGTAATTAAATGGGCCATAGCGTATAGCAGATTTGCGTTTCGTTTGCACACAGCTCTATATGTTCGTAGCCGGAGCGATATTTTAATGGTGGTGCTAACATATGCTTTTCATGTAAGAGTCAGGTTGTATTTCGTCACTATTTGAACTAATATCTGTCCAGTCGACGTTTCACCGTGCGGTTATAAGCAAACTCAACCCTACAGCAAACACCAAAGCATACGTGGTTATAAATCAACGGGGTCTCATGCCTACGTTCATCTATCACAAGTTGCCTTTGGCGCGGTGCCTATAATCATAGTGCCAGTCATGCCTTGCCAGGTCTTCGCGAACCCTATAATTATCTTCGGCATCATCCAGAATGCTGAGGTCGAGATCGACAACGCTCATGCCTTCAGCACTGCCGCCTAGTCTGGTGAGGGCACCGACATAGGGTACAGTGACTTGAGAAAGACCGGCGTAGCCTTCGCCAGGAGGACCGCCGGCGTTGGCAAAGATAATGGCTGAAGCAGTCGTTCAGAAGGAAGTCGATACGCAATGGGGAATGGAACATACCACACGTGTTCTCGAATGCCCTAGCTGTCAGAATACTGTCAAGGAATAGTGCTTCTGAAGCTGGGTTGTATTGCAAGCCCTTCGGTGAGCAATCATTCAGTGTCCCTGGACAAGCTCCTGTCAGCGCAGTTTAGAATTTAGGAATAGGGAGAAGGGCTCTCACAGAATGTTGGGACTATGATGATTCTGGCTCCATTTGCAATGAGCTCTCTGAAAGCTTCGGGGAATGCTAAATCCCAGCACACCAGCAAGCCCACCTTTCCCAGCGACGTGTCGAAGACTTCATGAACATCACGTCCGGAGCCGGTTAGGTGTTCCCGTTCAGGGCCCCTATAGTACTTCTAGCTTAGATGCGCCTCTGCCACAAAGACATTGGCTGGCACCTACCATAGATTCTTCTTAACATATTTGCCGATGATGTCGCCGTTCTGATTGATGAAGTATGCTACATTCAACAACCTGTCTTCTTCTTTCTCGGCGTCCCGATGCCTCTCGACAAGGGTGCCCGGCACGATGCAGATCCCGCACTCCTTGGCCAGGGCTTGGTACTTCTTCAAGTAGGTTTCCCATTGGTCACATAGTTTGAGGAAGCCCGGCTCTTTGGGGAGCCAACTTGTGAGATGATATTCAGGAAGCACAGCAAGTTCGGCACCTTGAGAAGCAGCGGACTTGATGAAGGCAGCAGCCTTGTTGAAATTGAATTCGGGCTCGAGGGGCTGCGCAAGAGCGGCTAAGTAAGAGAGCTAGTGGTCAGTCAACTAGGGACAGAAACTGAGGCTGACCTTGGGATGGAGCTGGATCACGGCGACCTTTGCTACGGGGGCCATTTTTGCGAGAGTAGGTAGCAGTAGAGTGAAGACAGAGAAAGAATTCGAGAGTTGCCGCCGCGTCGTCACCATCCCCGCCTTTGCCCATTGTAAAGCGCACGCGCTCTTATCGATAACACACCTCTGGGCTGCGACGCACCCACCAAGCGAAAACACCAAGGGCACGGAAATTCCTCAACCTCAAAGCGCCGACACCCGCTCCACGCCGTCCACCCGCACCCAAAAAGCAACGATGAGCTTGCGCCAAGCAGTTCCTCCCCAGCAGCACGGGGAACCCCCCGTCCGCGTCCACGACGATGATTCCGATGTCGAGGAGGAGGCGCTCGCCAACGACTACAAGGAGCAGGTTCAGTACGACGATGGCATGGATGGCTTGAACCGGACCTCGTCGCTGGACGGCGCCGACATCCACGCCCAGCTCGCCGCTGCCGCGACGCCGCTCGAGTTCCAGGCGACTCTGGAGACCAAGTTCGCCAGCTACGACAACTACTGCAGTCTCTTTCACTACATCCTCAACTCGGACGGCCCCGTCGATCTCGAGGTCCCCAACGTAAGGACTGGCACACGCTCGCCTGCAGAGCCTTGCTAACCGTGTCGTAGTACTACTGGGCGTGGGACGTCATTGACGAGTTCATCTACCAATTCAACAGCTTCTGCAGCTACAGGCAGCGCGTGGCGCTCAAGGGCGACAACGAGGAGGAGATCCAGCTGCTTCGCGAGAACCCGAACACCTGGGGATGCTACAGTGTGCTCAACGTCCTCTATTCCCTGATCCAGCGCTCGCAGATCAGCGAGCAGCTGGCCGCCATGAAGCGCGGCGAGGACCCGGCCCAATATGCCGGCGAGTACGGCAACCGCCCGCTGTACAAGATGCTGGGTTACTTCTCCATCATCGGTCTCCTGCGCGTCCACTGTCTGCTGGGTGACTTCAGCCTGGCCCTCAAGACGCTCGACGACATCGAGCTCAACAAGAAGGCCATGTTTGCGCGCGTCATGGCCGCTCACTTCACCACCTACTACTACGTCGGTTTCTCCTACATGATGATGCGCCGCTACGCCGATGCCATCCGCATGTTCAGCCACATTCTCGTCTACGTTTCCCGCACGAAGAACTTCCAGAAGAACGCGCAGTACGACTCCATTACCAAGAAGAACGACCAGATGTACGCTCTCATTGCCATCTGCGTTGCCTTCCATCCCACCAGGCTGGATGACACCATCCACACGGCTCTCCGCGAGAAGTACGGCGAGCAGTTCAACCGCCTCCAGCGCGGTGGCCCCGAGGCCCTGCCCCTCTTCGAGGAGCTCTTCCGCCAGGCCTGCCCCAAGTTCATCTCCCCCACCCCGCCCGACTTCGACAACCCGGAGATCAACATTGACCCGATTGAGCACCACTGCCGCATCTTCATGGAGGAGGTCAAGAACAACATGTGGAGCCCCACGGTCAAGAGCTACCTCAAGCTCTACACCACCATGGACCTCAAGAAGCTGGCCGGCTTCCTGGACGTTGAGCCCGAGAAGCTGAGGTGCTGGCTCCTGATCAACAAGCAGAGGAGCAAGCAGGTCAGGTGGACCGAGGGTGGTCTGCTCGACGGTGACGTTGTCAACAGCAGCGACCTCGACTACGCCATGCAGGGTGTAAGTTTTCAGCAAGTGGCGCGTAATTGGTCGAATACTGACAGATTCCAGGACCTCATCCACGTCTCCGAGGCGAAGGTTGGCCGTAGGCTGGTAGACTGGTACCTCCGCAACCTGTCCAGGACCTACTAAAGCGCTGGAAAGCAGCCATGAGAGAGACTTGCGCAATTGGGGAGGAAACACTCGAACGAGAGAAGCGGTGCCTGGCATATACGAAGATTGACCGGAGCTGGTTCGCCCGGGTAATTCGCTCGGCCTTTGATTTAGCGCGTGAGGCGCGACCGGGTATCTACGCGGGTCACTGGAATGCATGGGCCGGAGTTTTTTGATGTTCACGGACACGAAAGGTCGGCAAGGGGTCGGCAAGAGACGATGTTATATGGAGAAAACACGAATGAGAGGAGCGAGAAGCGGGGTAACTTGCAAGATAGAGTCACGCTCTCCACGGGAGACCGACGACGATGTTCAAGAAAATGCGATGCTTCATTTTTAGAGAGAAAATGCGGACGTAGTTATGTAGCTAGCAGGGGTGCAAGCATGTGATGTGATCTGTCGGGTTGATATCATCGCCAGCCCAAGCTTCCCCGCCAACACCATCAACAACAACCTACTCGCTCCTTCCTCCTTCCTCACTCCCAACCAAACATGGCGCCCGACCTCAACTCCGTGCCCGCCTCTCCTCTTACCTCTCCTCCCATCAACACCACCAACGGCACCGACGCGCAACACCACCAGTCAACCCCCGCGTCACGCCGCACCTCGCAGGTCTCGCCCATGATGAGCACACAGCCCTTTCCGCCGCTGAACCCGCACCCGGCCGGCGAGCCAGCTGTCCCCATGCGGCACCCGCGCCCGCTCACCGCTGCAGAGCTGCACCACGAGCTGGAGCTTGAGCAGGAAGCTGTCGTACGTAACCCACACACCCTGTCAACCACATTCGTACCTATCTCCCACGCTAACGTCACCTCCCCGCACCACCAGGTCAACCGCCTCACCCGCGAGCTCTCGTCCCTCCGCGCCCACTCCGCCTCCGTCGCCTCGACCGCCTCGGGCGTCTCCACCAGCGGTGCCTCGTCCGTAGCTCCAGGCACCGACCCCGCGACTTGGGGCGCCGGCTCCACGCACCCATCGGGCTCGCGCTCGCGCACCCGCCGCAGCTCCTCCAGCGTTAGTCGTACGAGCGCTGCTCCCCACCGGTACAGCATGTCGAGCCAACAGGCGGCAGCGGCACCACTGCCACAGCAACAGGGCGATGGCGGTGCGGCCAGCGCGCGCAGTCCGAGCGCCTCGGCCGCTTTGGGTGTTTCTCCGGCTGCGGGTAGTGGTGCGAGCAGTAGCATAGCTCGGTATGAAGAGGTGGCGGCGCATCGGCTCGAGATGGAGGAGGCCAAGCGCGAGAACGAGGTGCTGCGGAAGCGGATCCGTGAGCTGGAGGCCGAGCTGCGCGGGCGCAGAGCCAGTGATGCGAGAGAGCGCAGCGTTAGCGCTGTTAGTAGTGTGGGTGGCAGTGGAGGCGAGATGCCTGCTGCTCCTACTACTGCTGCACCAGCTGCGACGGCTGCTGCAAACTAAGTTGAACGGCGAAGAAATGGTGCATAAAGAGGGGCCTCGGAGCGTGGAGAGAGGCATAAATTGGCTGATTGACTGATTGGCTGGGTGTTGGAGGACTGCATACGGCATCGACGATCGACAGCACCTTACCGTTTTTCTTCTACTACGACGCGGCGTTGGACGGCGAAGCGCAAGGTCATGGCACCCTCACACAGAAACAGCTGGCTGGCTGTTAACAGGGCGCCCGGGATCACTACTAGGGTTTTCTTTTTCCACTTTTCTCTTCTATCGGCGTATGGGCTAGACGGCTGGTTTCACGGTTGGAGGGACGGAGAGGCGGGCGGGCGGGCAGGCATGCCCGACAGACTGAGACAACACCAATAACAGACAGACGGACTGAGACAGATGCAGCTACTACGGAGCACACATACTTGCATACTTGCAGCAACAGCAGCAGCAGTAGCAGCAGTAGCGGCGGCATTGGCGGTAGTGGTAGTGGTAGCATGCGATAGATTAATGGCATGCACCTTGACGGCGTGGCAGCGCGGTCTGTCTACGGTTTATCTGCCTTTCTTTCTTGCTCTCCGTGTGCCGTTATGCCGTGTTGTGTTTTACGTGCATGTATGCACGTCAATAGAAAGAGAAAGAAAGAGAGAGGCATGCCATTAAACGAACCGGCATAGGGAGGACATGGCCGCGAAGATACAATGATGGCAGACATAGGGCAGCCGCCCCATCGCCCACACATACACAAAGGCAGACCAGCCCAATCAAAGCACACACCATCAGCACATATCATATCCATGCTTTCTTCCCTAGTCCCGCTTCTCCCCCTACGTATTCAACTCCCGCTACTCCCTACTCCGCCTTCGCCACGTATACACCGACCGCCACGCACACCCCGGCTTTCTCTGTCTCTCTCCCCTCCTCTCGCCGTCAGATGTGGCGCCCCTCTGCCTCAGCCAATCCATTCCATTCCATCCAAAAGTAGAAGTAGCAGCAGAAGCAGAAGCAAGAGACGCGGAAGTAGTAGCAGCGGAAGAAGAAGCAGCAGCAGTAGTAGTAGTAGTAGTAGTAGTAGTAGCAGCAGCAGCAGCAGTAGTAGGGAAGAAGAAGAAAGAAAACAGCAAAGAAGATGAGGAAGCAGGAGGAAGCAAGTGAGCAGTTACAACAACAAGGAGACTATTTCCGTGCGTCTGCGTGTGTGCGAGCGCGTGCGCCGTCGTGCATGTGCATATGTGTGTGTGGATGCGATGCCATGCAAGCAGCAGCAGTAATAGCAGCAACTTCATACAGCCCATACCAGACCAGGCAGGTAGCGACAACGCTCGCCGAGCAATCGAAAGACCCTCCTTCCCTTCCTCTCTTCCATGTAACCCCTTGTCGGCGATCGCTCGCTCGTTCGCTCGCTCGTTCGCTCGCTCGCTTGCCTTCTCCTCTTGCAAAGTCGTACAACGTACGCCGGCGACGATGCGTGTATGTGTGCGCGAGGGGAGGAGAGAGGAAAAAAAGAAGAAAAAGAAAAGCAACAGCAGCACAGAATCCCCTGTCTCCCACATCCCCTTGCTCTCTCCAGTTCCTTCCGTTCTTTATTGGCTTCTCTCGCAAGCCTTCTTTCGCCTTGTCGTCCCTCCCTCCGCGCCATCCTTACCTCAAAGTACACCACCCACCGCCCCTAACTCCATTGATTCGAATCGATTCAATTCCGCTTCCGCTCCATCCAGTAGCCACTTCGACAATCCAATGAGTTTATTCGTCTCATCAGCAACAGCAGCAGCAGCAGCAGCATCCACTCACTCATTCACTCGCTCACTACCCCAACATCGCCTGCACTCTCCACAGTCACAGCTCCTCATCCTCCTCCATCGCTTCCTGCTTCACCTCCGGCAACGGCACCTGCGCCGCCGCGGCCGCCATAGCGCTCGCCGCGAGGCTGCTGCTCGTGCCCGCGTCGCTCAAGCTGCGAGCCTGTGCCGAGGCCGCGCGCGCCGCGTCGTCGAAGCCTGGCAGCGACGCGCGCTGCTTCTTGAAGGGGCTGCCGACGACCTCCGGGCCGGACTCAGAGCCCGCAAGCGCGGCTGAGAGGGATGGCGCTGACGTCACGGGGTTGCCGCTGCCGATTGTCGAGGCGGGCGTGCCCGTGCCCGTGCCCGTGGGGCTGGTGGACGACTTGGGCGGCGAAGACTCGTTGACGGGTTCGGCCGAGTGGGCGCGCTTAAGCTGTGCGGAGCGTTAGTCGTGATGATGCATACGGGGCATGCTTTCCTTGCGCTAAGGGCAGGTCGAAATTGGTAAAGGGTAGGGAAAGGAATTACCTTGATCTTGCGCACACCCTCCGCGAGCTCACCCTGCCTCGCCAGATCCTCCGGGTTCTCCGAACCCAGCTCTTTCTTGATCTCTGTATCATCATCATCGTCGGCACCGCCAATGCGCGCATCTTCTTCGTCATCAGCGTCGCTGTCCATGGCATCATCGTCCCTCTTCTTGCCGCCTTTCTTGAATGGCGGTGACGGAGCCGATGGATCACGATAGCCAGCGAAGCCCTTGGTTCCCGTCGTAGTAAGAGGCTTCAAGCTACCAAAGTCGAGACCAGATTTCCGCTTCGCCGCCACGGGAGCCTTGGCCGGCGCGTTGAGAGTGGGGAGGATGCCCATCTTGCGCAGTTGCTCTGGGAGGAGATTAGTATTAGCATCCCTGTACTTAGTGGGGGAAAATATTGCTCACTTTCGCCTCTGTAGAAGAAGGTGAAGACGGCGTATGGTCTGTCCGGCGGGTCAATGCCCGTGACCGTCTGCGTGCTAATCGACTTCGGATCGAGAGACTTGGGCTTCGCGAAGCTTGTCGTGTGGTCCACATCCGCATCGGCGTTGCTGGGATCGCCGCCATTGGCGGCATCGTCGTCGTCGTGCGCGTCAAATTGAGGAGAATACTCTCCTCTCTTGATCTCGCCAGAGGCCAGGACGCGGAAGAGGGCGACCTTGATCTGACCGGCAGCCTCCGGCATGGGTGGCTCGTCGTCGGAATCCGAGTCGGATGTGAACAGGCCTTCGTCGCCAGACAGCGCCTCGACGGGGTCATTCCTGTCGTCACCATACCTCAGGACGCCATTCTTGTCAAGCGGCTTCGCCATTTCCTCATCCGAGTCGTCGCTGCGGTGGGCCTCCTCCTTCTTTCGCCTCTTCTTCTCCAATCGTTTCTTCCTCCGCTCTATCCTGGCCGCGACGTCCTTCTCCTTGCCCTCGAGGTCAAGACCGTTCAACCAGCGCTCGAGACCCACCTCGCGGAACAAGAACTCGCGCTCGGCGAGACCGCCGCCTTCTGACTCCGGGACGCTGACCCATCGGGAATTGACCCATGTCTCCTCGCCCCTGCGCAACAGCGTGGCGACTTCTTCCTTGGCTCTCCCGTCAAAGTATATGTACGCAGCGATGGTCTCATTCGCCGAAGACGTCAAAGGTATGTAGGGACCGATCACCGGACCGTATTTGCCGCGCTCGATGCCATTGTTAGGGAGGCCTCCGACGATGCGCGGCCTAGGGTAAGGGTCTTCCGGGGTGGGCTTCGGGGTCGAGTAAGGGACGTTCAAGCCCGGGGTGAGGAGGGTGATGGAGATGGCGAAGGTGGACTGCTCCGGCTTGTTCGACGTCGAGTTTACGGGGACTTTGGCGGGCGGAACGGGGATGTACGAGGTGATGCGGTGAGACCTGCTCTGCTTCTGGATCGAGTACTCTGGCAGCGGACCGTCAGGCGTGTGGATGCTGACGGCCAGGCCCTGGAAGCAGGGCATGGTGAAGAGAGCGGTAGAGGTGGGGCTCGGCACAAAGAGCGGTGGCCCAGGCAAGGTAGGGCGGCGAGGGGTAAGCGGCGCAGGACGCGGTGCGAGGGGCTCGGATAGACTGAGCAGCAGCCGGGCCCGTGAGACGCGTCGAGGCAGGTCGAGGGTGTGGAGAGCTGCGTGTATAAAGTCGGCGGGCGTAAATATAGGGCGCTCGGACAGCGCGGTGAGCACCAGTCGCGCGGGCAAGCCCAGAAGCGAGCGAGCGTGCAGGCAAGCAGACGAGCAAGCTCGCAGGCTGGCAAAAGGGCGGTGCAGAGGCAGGACGGTGCTGGGTGGAGTGAGGGAGAGAGTCAGTCAGTTAAGTTAGTAGTAGTCGTCGTCGTCGTCGTAGAGCACCGGGAGCAGACTTGCAGCGCAGAGCGTCAACGAGCCAAGCTTGCCTGCAGTCACAGTGCGCGCGCGCCGACAAGGGCCCCGGTCACCCACTCACCACCACTTCACTCACTCACTACCTCACCACCGCTCACCACCACACGCCTTACGTGGCTGCCAACATATATACAGCACCTGCTTAGCTACCTTTGGAGGTCCTCTGGGACATGCAAACCATGGAAGCCTGAACCCGCCGCCACGCTGGAAACATCCCGCCCTCTGATAGGTGGAAAGGCCATCTTTACACGGTACAACAAAATTCGCGGCTTCATCACTGGCGTCGAGTCCAGCCGAATGACCTGATCAAAGAAAAAATCATTCATCCTCGTAGCGATACAAGAAGCGAAAGCAAACTTGAACAGGAACTCTCACTCCAAAAAACAAACTCCCTAGGAACAATTGCGTCCTTTTAAAGCTACAAACCTACGGCTAAAGTAGATAACCACCATAGCCCAACGGTAGGAAATTATGAACAGACCACGCAGCCCAAACCTACGCCGAAGAAGAAAAAAGAAAACTCGCGTTGCTTAACCTCATTCCTCATCTTCACTAGGACGATGAGCACGCCGATACGCTTTCACCTGCTTTTCGTAGAACGCGCCCAGATTCAGGCTTCCAAACCCCTCCGGCCTAGGCTCCTTACCCCTACCATCGCAGTTTAGTCAGCTTCCCACAATACAACATCTCCACAAACACATAGCCAACTTACATATCACAAGTTTTGCAAATGTTTCTCGCCTTGTCCTTGAGCGCAACAACGTCCCTGTTCGCCAGAATATTTATATTCTTGTCCGCATCTTTAATCGCCTTCCACGGCTGCGTCAAGTTTCCGTATCGTTTCATGCCCTCGTACAACGCATTGGTTTCCTCTTGCGTCCATTCTCTGCGCTTTCGCGCCGGGGCTGAGCGATTGATTATCGTGAGTTGTCCTGCGGGTTGTTTTCCTTCGCGCTCAGAGTTTTCGTGGTTAGTTACGGGAGCCACTGAAGGGGTGCGGGTACGTTGTTTATCCTGACTCGGGTTAGGAATTGAGGAAGGAGAAGCATCATCGATGCGGACCCTTTTGGATACGGGTGCAGCCTTTCGTCGCTCCTCGTTAGGGGCACGAGTGTCGAGCTCAAACCCCTCATCATCATCTTCATATTCGGACTCTGATTCGGCCCGCTGCCTCTTGCCTGTGACCTTGGGCATGGTATCCCCCTCTGGCTGCGGGGTATCCTCAAACTCAACACGTTGAGCATTGGTCTGGGGGTCAATGAAAGACTTGCGGTTGGCTGCAGTTCCTTGGTCGGTGACTACGGGCACATTCTCCTTGTTCTGTTTATCTTTTTCTTTCAAAGTCGCCCAGGCAGTGGTGTATTCTGAGCTGGGGGGCGGTTGTTCGCCTTGGGATTGCTCGACGAAGGTTCTAGAATCATCGCCCTCGTCGTCGTCAAGCAGCACCTGCGGGTCCTCTTGTGGTTGCACTATTTCAATGTCGGCCACAGGCCTAGAAGTGGTATCCGATATACGGGCAAGCCGCTTCTTCAAGGTGCCCACGACCTCAGGAGGAACATTTTTCGCCCTATAGTATATTAGCAACTTCTTGACCCAAGAGTAAACACTTACTCAGCCTGCGATTCGGTTTGCACCACAGCCTTTATCGGAGATGAAGTCTTCTTGGCCAGGTGCGGGGTAGCAGATGGGTCGACGGTCGTTCGTACAGCATCACAAACCTCATCGAGGCCGCCTTCGTGTTCAATTTCGTTGTCGAGCTCCGCATTTCGCGTCCTCACCCAATCAAGGACAAGGACGATGAAATCAGCCCAAGGAAACTCTGCCTCCAGTTGTTCCACATCGACATATTCGCCCCTCTGTAGAGCCTCCTTATCCGTTGGGAACGCTTTTCGGATAGTTTGAACTCTGAGCCGAACCGTATCCTCAAGAATTTTAGGCAAATGATGCTCGTCCGTTCTCAGACCTTCAACTTCCCAGCCACGAACTTTAATACCACTGTCAGTCTTTGCTGTATAGAAAACCTCAGCAAGTTGTGCCTCAGGATCGAAGTCGGGATCGCTCAGGTTTTCAGAGAGCAATGTGATTGCCAACTGAGTGCGGATTTCCAGCGCAACTTTAAACGTCTCATCCGCTAGGGCACTAGCGGCAGGTGGCATCTTATCTTCCTTGTTTTCGTAGACATTGGAAAGGAAGTCGCGGGGGAAGCTGCTATCCATCCTGATCAGGGAAGCGGACGTATCGCTGTTGTCGCGTTCCATATGGATCATACGGTTTGCCATGTGGGCAATGTTTGCCTTGTATAGGATGGCGTCTGGCCGGCGGAAGGTACCGGGCAACTCATCGACAGAAGCAGTACCGGCAAAGGATGTCAAAGCGGTGGGGACGCTGATGTACTCACTATCACCAAAGTTCTCGCGAGTCGCGGCAAGGCGATCAACACGCTGATCCAATTGGATGCCAGTCCTAGAGCCAGGCTTACGGATTTCCGAGACGACTTTTTTCAGGCCCAGCAGGTCGGGCTTCGAGGGGGCTATGATGGATAGGACTTTGGCCGAGTCCCGGTAGAGGTCCTCGATGAACTCGGCCATGAGGAGGGGATCAAGGTCAGAGGGGTCATGGACGGTCTGGGCAGTGGAAATGCTGGAATGAGCGCCCGGCGATTGCTGAGCGTCATAGGACCTGAGATTTGCGGGAGTAGCTTCTCGGAAGCTAGAGTGAACAACATTGTCCTCGACGGTTGGAGTGGGAAGATCGGGATCGTGTGCATTCTCTTCGACGACGGATAGATCTGTGGAGAAAGAGGATGATTAGTACCCGTGATATGTTCTCCGGGCCGACGACCGGGTCGGTGCACGGGCCAGATTAGGATTGGGCGCTAGGTGGTTAGGGTTAGGGCTCGCGTTAGGGTTGAGCTGCTCATTTCTTCGAGAATACCGAGCTTTTGCAGCATTTCACCATACACAGCGACAGTGAAATCAACCTGCACTCACCTCCCACAAAAATTTTCTCCTTTCTCCTCGACGCCCGGGTTGCGCGACCGCCCTGGCTCTCAACGCTGCCGGTGCTTTCCACACTCGCAGCCCGTGTGCCCTTCCGAGTAGGCCTAGCAGGATGCTGCTTCTGCTGCTTGTCGCCAAGATCGCGGCTCTGGCTACGCGTCGTGCGCGATCTGACCGCCGCCGTTGGTTGGGGCGTGGCGCGTTGGCGGCTCGATGAGCGTACGCTCCTGCTCCGGTCGGCCATTGGGGGCGATGGAATTGTTGAGCACGCAATGCCGCAAACTGACTGACTGACTGATTGATTGATTGATGGTGATGGAACGCGTGGTGTTGAGATCGGGTGGGTTTGTTTTGGGGGAGTGACGCGAGGGCAACGGGCCACACCCTTGCAACCCTACTAGGGTTTGTCACGTGACGAGCCTGGAGATCGCAGGTGCCGCTAGTCGACGAGTCGTCGCAGAGCTCGCAATCACCGTGGATCGCCGTCCGGGAGCTATTAAAGATAGCAACGGCTGCGTTGCCACTCGCGAGCGATTGTACGTAACCGGCCAACCTGTGAACTTTCCCCTCCGCGCCGAAGCCCCCTTGCGCGCCAACGTTTACGTGTGCCCAAGCCCCTGCTCCGCGACCACTGTACTCTAGCTCAACTTTCATGCCACATTCAACCACTCACCCTCAAAACCCCGACAACCCCCCTCTTCCCGCCCCCAGAGGCCCTTCGTCCTGATCGTCGACTGGCGTCCGCTCATTTGGCCCTACAACCATCCTCCAATTTCTCTACCTCTCGACCTCGCTCTGCCTACGTCAGCGACACTCCGCTGCGCTATTCATAAACACGCACCCCTTTCGACTGCCATTCCCCGATCCTCACGACACGATGATTCTCAGGAAACAGAAGCTCGCCCTGCTCCTTCTTCTCCCCGTCCTGGCCTCGGCCGCCGCCGTCGACAAGGCCGCCAACACTGACGTGGGCACCAAGGAGGACGGCAAGCCGCACGCAGGCCCCTTTGTGGACATCCCTACGGACAAACCAAAGCAAAGCGACTATGATACTGCAAAGGTAGACCACCAGACGCTCGAGGACGTGCTGGCCGACCAAAAGAAGAAGTTGCAGGCAGGCTCGAAGGATGGCGTCATGGACGACACGGATCGCGCCTCGCCGAAGAAGGGGACGACTGGAACCGAGGGCGGCGTTTCCGAACGAAACAAGGTTCACAAAGCGCTGGAGGAAGAGAAGGGTAGTAGACTGGAGAAGATTCCCGTGTCCCCCGACCAGGCGCGACCATTGCCGCACGGCGAGAAAGGACGCAGTGGTCTGGATCCCATTAATGGGGACGAGGTGACGGGCGACCAGAAAGCGAAAGGAGCAGCTGGCTTAGAGGTAAGCGCATTTGTCCATGTGTGCTGGTAGACCACGTGGAGCTAACACAATGACATTTCAGAAACCTCTAGATCTCCCCGAGACGCCCTATAGTGATACTGGATCTTCCAAGCCTGTCATCCCATCGATGCCCGACGACCTCGATTCGCCGTCTTCGAAGTCGTCGAGCAAGCTCTCGTCGGCCATCGGCACCACAACTGAAAAGGAAGAAGAGGATGATGAGGGCATCATTCAGCCCTTCCATTCCTACGTACTCTCCCTGACCATGATTCTGTTTTCTGAAGTGGGCGACAAGACGTTCCTCGTCGCCGCTCTTATGGCCATGCGGCACCCGCGCGCTCTAGTCTTTTCCGCCGCTTTCTCCGCCCTTATCGCCATGACAGTCCTCTCCGCCGTCCTCGGCCACGCTGTTCCAACGCTGCTCCCCAAGAAATTCACCAACTTCGCCGCGGCGGTGCTGTTCCTCGTGTTCGGCGCCAAGATGGTGCGCGAAGGTCTCGCCATGAGCCCCGACGAGGGTGTCGGCGAGGAAATGAAGGAAGTCGAGCAGGAGCTCGAGGAGAAGGAGCATCAGGCCAGCAAGCGGCGGCGGTCGTCCGTGACGCCGTACGTGCTCGAAGCTGGTCGCGGACGCCGCTCCCGTTCCAACTCGCGCCTGCCCACTCACCGCAGCCCGTCTTCGTCGCGCTCGCGCTCGCGCTCCCCTTCCGGCTCCGGCATCACTCGCATCACCGACGGCCTCGGCAACCTCTTCTCGCTCCTGCTCAGCCCCGCCTGGGTCCAAACCTTTGTTATGACTTTCCTGGGCGAGTGGGGCGACAGGAGCCAGATCGCCACGATCGCCATGGCCGCTGGACAAGATTATTGGTGGGTCACTGGCGGTGCGATCAGCGGACACGCCGTCTGCACGGGCGTGGCTGTCATCGGTGGCCGCGCCATTGCGGGAAGAGTCAGCATGCGTGTTGGTGAGTTCGCGCCCCCTAAAGCACATCGTCAAACCCAAGAACTTGGCTAACGCAAAACAACAGTCACGCTTGGCGGCGCTTTCGCCTTCCTTGTTTTTGGTGTCATTTACCTCATAGAGGCAATGTACTCGGAGTAACAGACCATTTCCTCTCTTGCGCGTACGCCCACGCGCGCGTGCAGCATTTGTCGTCCACCACCGCCGCTGCCGCCGCGACGCCAGCAGCCATCAAGTCTAGTCAATTTTAATACGCGAACGAATTTTGTTGTTACATTTCCCTCAACGAATGCTCTCGACGCCAGTGTCGCGCGCGCGAGCGCGTGTAGCATAGCATCGCATTCATTCCTGGTGGGCCGTGGGCGGCGGCAAGGACATCCGGCGCACTTGTAAGTGTATCGGTGTACTCTTTGGGACAGGTTCGGGAAAGTCGGAACGGAATCGGAAAGATCGGATTGGGCTGGGTGGGGTAGGACTTTGGCTAGGTGCCGTTCCGGCGGCTGAAAGAGAGTGTCGTAAGGACGGCTGGATGGATGGATTGATGGATGGATATTCTATGCATCCGGACCCGGCGTATCTGGTGGGTAGGTCTAAAAGAGTCATCTCCGGTTTCCAAAAATATCTCCATTGCTTGTCTTGTCATTGTAGCTGCTGCTGCTGCTGCTGTTGCTGTTAGCTGCTTGCGTTTTGCAATGGGTCCGGATAAGTTCCCATCCTTCTCAACTGTTTTGCTCATCCCACGTGATACCACACCTTTGTAGCTATGAGTACTTTTCTACTCTTTCATCTTCACGTCTTCGTAGCCTTACGGACACCCATACGCTCTCGTATATATCTATATACCCTTGTACCCTCTCGGATATTCTTATACTCTCTCCTCTTTTATATTTGTAACTACCTAGCTACTTCATCGATAGTTGTAAGCAGTCCCAATACCTAAGTCAGAAGTATGTGTCTAGAAGGCATAGTACATCTGGTATTTATAGACGGTCAAAGGGCAAGTAAAGCAGTCAATATAGGCCGACAAAATTACCCGAAACCTTTTGCAACAACTACCACACCATCCACCCAGACAAAGACAGGGCTGGCTGTACTCGCCCGCCTGCCTGCCACCGTATGCACCGCTCCGTTCGTGCCGACCCCGATCCGCGCTGCTGCGTCCATGCAGGTACCGCATCACAGCACGCTGCACGGCGTCGCAAAAGCAAAACCCTACGTATTGTACATGCGGGCTAGGTAGCTACATACATGCCCGGTACGCACGCACCTCTTTTAAAAATAGTTCTGCCGAGCTCATCTTATCTCACCAACAGGCTAGATTCCGGGATCATCGACGTGGACGGGATTGGACTACTGTATTACCGGACAGTTTCAAGTCTTCTAGAAGATCAGACGTTTGGCCTGGATCGTTCAAACCACTACCATCACCTCCCCTGCTGCGCCCTCACGCGAAGACACGTGTATGCGCGCGTGCAATGGCCCGCAACCCAGGAGTTCTCGCCGTCGGGTCCCGTCAAGGGGGGCTTGCGCGTTCACATGGATGCATGCAAGCATGCATCCATGCGCGCCTCAAACGGGACCTACATAAGCAGGGGCCCGGTGTCGCCGAGCGAGCCGCAGCAGGCAGGCGGTGGGGAGATATGTAGGGCTGGCTGCGCCTCAGCTGAGGGAGCACACGCACAGAGAGGGAGACACACCGTGCTGCCGTCCGTGTAGCCATGGCGGAAAGAGTCGCTGGCCTGGGTGACGGTAGCACATCCCGTCAGCTTTGGCATTGCTTATGTGAAGGTGCTTTCAACTACTCTCTATTACTGTCTTAAGTTGCGTACGTAGCTACCTAAATATTTATGTGGGAGATAATAGATATGCGAATCTGAAGCAGATGGCCGGCCAGTCAATCAATCAGTGAACTGCATCTAACGCCGCGAGCTCCAACGCCTTCCCCATGGTCTGTCTCTTGGAGATTGGAAATAAATGAGCGCTAAGAAAAACGAAAGACAGACAGATGCTGTTACCTGCGTCGTGAGTAAATGAGTGCTCCATGCGGGCCGGGAATTAAGATAAAATCAAGCTGAACCTTAGCGCTGAGACAATGTTAACGCGTAGCCAGAGCGGACTATATCCTGCCTGCGATATCCGCAGCCTTAACATCGCGTTTACTGGTGCCACCAATGAGAAGGCTGGTGCAATCGGTCAGGTTTCCAACGTTGTTGCCCAGAACCGTCATCTTGTTCATGCTGTGAGGTTCACCGTCAGCCATGTTGTTCACTTAATACGTACAGAAAGATTGAGAAGGAAAAGAGGGTCACTCACGCATTGACATATGCAACAGCCCACGCTGCCTGTCCGGCTGCGAAGACCTTGAAGCTGCCACTAGTCCTAGAGTCATTGGAAAGGTTGATATCGCTATCAAGGCTGACGGGTGCTTTGCCATTAAGCGTTTCCGAGTAGAACTTGGTGTCCCATGTGCCAGGCGTCGAGTCAAGCGACTGGCCCGACTTTTCTGGAATTGCATTGAACTGCTTTGCCGCGCTGTGTGCGCCCACCAGTGCTGCGAGGTCAGTGGCACTGAAGCCTTTGGCTTGGAATTGGCTGATCAGCGTAGATGCGGAAGCTTTGTCGTTGGGCAGATCGCCTTCGGGGGCAGGCGTGCTGGAATCTGTGCGGCCAACGAGGACCCGAATGCGTGGACCGAGGGGACAGGCTGTGGTTGCAACCGCTGTAATTATAAGTCATTATGATGCTCGTCTTCGCGAGATACTGGGTTTGTGGAAAACATACCACCAGCAAACTGGATCATGTCTGCTACACCGACGTTGTACTTATTTGCCAGATCACCGACTTTGAGAGAAATATCCTGCAGGCCTGCGTTCTCTGAGCGGGTGTACTCTTGGGCCAAGACGAGCGAGCCGTCACATCCAGCACCAGAGAAACAGTCGTGGAAGCTCAGGCGAATGGCCGCGCGAGCATCGTCGTTGCACTGTCCGCCAGACACGAACAAGCCGTTGAGCTCGCTGACCACATCATTCCATACGGAGGGACAGGAGGCTCGCGGCTTTAGGCTGACATCGCGCTTGAGAAAGGACACTGCCTCATTGAAGGAGAAGGCCTGCGCACCGGCGGTGGCAGTGGCGAGGAAGTAGAGAACAGAAGGCTTGGAGATATACATTGTGGCTGATTAGGGAAATAAATGGAAGATCTTTCTTCAAAGGAATAAAGTGATAGAACTAGTGGATGCAAATCCCCAAGAAACAAGTAATGCTGCTGCAGAAGGAAGATCATTCAAGGCACATACCTACCCAGTTTATATACCCTCTAGGAGCAGACACACCATGCAGCATATTCTCAGATATGACTCGGCACCACGGTAACCTTCACGGTACACGACTGTCCAGATCGGCCGAAGACGCTTGATCGGGTCTGGCGGGGCGACAGAGACAAACAGGCTCAGAGGCGCTGGCCCCGTCAGCCGGCAGCCCCGTGGCGGGCGCGTGGTCTCGATAAACTCGGAGAAGGGGCCATCACGAAACCGTAAACGTGGGGTATGTGACGATCATTGGCAGCATCGGGGAATTTTGCAGCTGCAGCCACGACGGATTGGGTAAGCAATGGCTGCAGTAGCTCGGGCTAGAGCTCGCGCCAGCGAAGACTTTGTTGCAGTGAGAGCCGCAGTATTGCTGAACGAGGCATATGACTAGAACGAGACACACCCGGTGGGGGAGGCGATGGCTTTGTCCGAGATGGTTCGATAGGTGCTTGGGAACAAGGCAGCAGCAGCAGTAGCAAACTAAGATGAAGTCGAGGCGAAGCGGCTGACATGGCTTGGAGCACAAGACAGCAGACAGTCAGGGGCGGCTTCGCATGGCGGGGTATGGCCAGTTGTACTGCAGTCGGAGGCGAGAGCGAGGCTGAGCAAGCATTCCAGGCTCACACCGTCTCGTTCTCGTGTGCCGTGTTTCTGAGCTTGTCGTCCATTCTGCATGCAGGGGGGTCCACAAGGAGTTCACGCGTCGATGTGGTCGACGGAGGAAGCCATATGCAGTCGTTGTCATTGGTCCAAGGGCCAACCGCGCCTCGCTTATCAGGCCGGTCCGGGGTGCTGATCGACCGGTTTGTTCGGACTTCAACGTCGGAGACCCGAAGCCATCGCCTGCCGTCTCTCTTTACATGTGGCACAATGAGCGTTGGGCAATGTGTCGCCCATGTGTGTGTGTGAGGGTGTTTGTGAGCGCAAGCCGAGCAGATAAATATGCGTGTTCCTCTCGTTCTGTAGTACGGCTTTGCTGGCTGAATCTGCCTGCAGACACCTACATCACCATCGCCCTGTCGCCCATTAGCTTTGACTGTGGACAAACGGTCTCGACTGTACAATCTCACCACCTTCGGAACACTGCCAGGGGCAAGGATGCGCATGCGCTTTTCAATATGATCGCGTATATTGATCTCGCTGGGCCCGTGCAGCCCTGCTACCTGCACAGGAGAACATCTACTACTACCTTGACAACGAAAACGCCAGGACCCCCTGCGTGTGGCCGTCCATTTGCTATACAAAGAATTTTCCGTAAGAGAGACATAATGAAATTAAAAGCCCAGCCCAGCCGCACTGCTCGCATTAGTACTTGTGCCACGACATCGCTGTGCACATGGACTCCTACGACGCCGGCGCGTCTGTCGTGCAGAGCCGTTTCGGGTGATTCGGAAAGCCAGCAGCAGGCCACCTGATCTCGATCCAAGCATGTCGAATAAAAATTCCTCGGGGCTGAAGTGCAGGATGCAGAGCACCGCCAAACTCCTTCATTTCAACGCCGAGATCCGGGAGAAGGGGAAATTAGAGCCTGGTCCATCCTGGTCAGACGGAGCCAAGCACATTAAATGTCGGCGGCAAAAATGATGTGCAATGTCTGGCCTTTCAGCCGGGTCGTCTGAACACTTCCACCCCCAGCGTTGGCGTCTCGACGCACTTGTTATTTGGTACGCCTTCGTTTTTCCTCCGATCGAAGAAACTCTGGCATTCGCCGACGACAATTTGCCATTCGCCCAATGCGCGCCCTGCATACTTGCTGCTCGTGGCTGCCGCACCCTCAGGCTTTGCCGAGGTCACTTTAGGCAGGGCAATTGGCATATCCTCGTCGCCGATTGCAGCATCGGGCTTGTCTGGTGAGTGTAGGAATATCTGAGCTGGGGCAGGCAGTCTCGGCTGCATCAGGCGTAGGTTGCCAGGGCTCTGGAAGCGCTTGTCGACGTATTCAAGACTGAAGCGGAAGCAATAGCTGCGGTGTGGTGGCGTTACAATAGTTTCCTTGGTTTTTTCCTTCTCGGGCTCATCAGGAATGTCGGTGCCGTTGGGTGATGTAGCATCCTTCTCCTCCTGGCGGTTTGAAGGTGGGCCTGGGCTTCGTGACTTGGACCGGCTCTTTGGGAAGCTGATCAGGTTCCGCAGCACACTCCATCTCCTTTTGCCTGTATCCTCTTGCTCGAGATCTGAGCCATCAGACGCAATAGACAAAGAAGAAGCAGGTCGCATGTCAGAATCTTGTATCTGACTGGCCGGTTTTGATTTATCGTTCGAAGGGTTGGAAATGATTCCGTCAAAAGAAAGGAATGGGCCGTTGGTGGGAGAGAGCGGCGCATCGGTGCGCATGATCAAGAAACGCCGACCAGGAGCTGGGTTGCATGGAGCTGTGGAAGGGAGGACCGCGTTCTTGGCGTGGGCGGTTTCTTGAAGATACAAGAAATGGGACCATACGCGCTGCAAGCATCCTTCAAACCTTGCAAAGATGGCTCTGCGCACTGGTTAGGATCAAAATACACAATGGTTTCCAATTGTCGAAAACTTACAGGTCGTGCTCTCTGTTTTCCCCATCGAACCTGGCAATGCGCCAGCAAAGCAGGCGCATGTAATAGGCTCTGACCATCGGGCACCAATGGTTGAATTTGCTCTCGAAGAATTCCGGGTCCAAAAGAAATTCTAGACACAGCTGAGCCTTGCGAATGGAGTCTTCAACAACGGTCCCCCATATACTGTACAAAAGGGAATAGAGGCGCATTTCGGTCATGTTGTGGTGGCAGTTTGCCATACGTTTGAACACTGTGATCCAGAAAGACCAATCGAGAAAATCCTTGTCTTCGGCATGTTCGTAGCGCAGCATAAGACCAAGCGCTTCCTCCAGAAAGTCGCAGAGGGTATAGTGGGAGGTATAATCAAACATCTTTACTCTGCGAGCGCCAGCTTGCAAAACGTGGGAAAAGGCTTCGGCAAACATGTGCGGGGCTAACACCAAATGCGAATTGCGTGCTGAAAGGAAATCGCGGAGAAGCATTATCAGGCGGTTCTCTGCCATAAGACGCGTTGCGTTCGCAGGGGGTATCGGGATAGCGGAAGCTGAAGCATCAGGATCCAAAACATCATCAAAAGTGATTGCGGCAGGTGAATGCGGGTCGGCTTCTGGTTGAGGAGGAGGTGGTGTTGGTTGATGAGCCATCGCGACATGGCGGTGAAGCGTGTCGTCCAAGTTGGACAGGATTTGAGCGTGTACCATGACAAGTCCAGGCACGCAAAGGCGATCAATGGCCGGGGTGTCATCTGGCAAGAACTCTGCCGCGAGTACATGAAAGTACTTGGCAAAGACGTAAAAAAGATCACTTTCAGTACCCTTCCACCTCTTGACCCAAGCTCCATGCCAAGGCAGTGAGGCCGTTCCCAAGGGGAATGCCGCGGGCTTACGGAGTTCACGGAATATCTTTAAAGGATCTGTAAATGCCATCGGGTGCAGGTGAGGCGGAAACGCAGGAACAAGGCGTTTTGCGCTCTCCTCAAGCTTTGCCTTCGCTTGCCTAGGAACCTTGCACTCATCCATAACTCTGCGCATAGAGTCAAGAGACGGTGTCCAGAGACGTATGAGTATTTCAGCAAACCCCGGGCAAAAGAAAAAAGCGTACGCGCAAGTTTTGCCGCTGAAACTGACAAGAGTAGCTTGGATGCTGCGGAGCGACATCTTGTCGACCACAAATGTCATCTGCGCAGTGAGATTTTGAACGAAGATGTTTCGCACATTGTGATAGACGGATTCTGTAAGAAACTCGGATTCCGAGGATGACGAGGCGGAAGTTGGGGAATTGGACCTAGGGGCGAGCGCCGTTGCCTGTCTATGCGCCAAAGGACAGAATGGAGACGGGTAAAGTCGCCATTCGGGTCTCTCCATGATACCGACAATGCCGTCAAAGATTGCTGGTCTGTCAGTCCCAGATATCGACTGATTGTTCTTGCCATGAACCATTTCCAGAAGACCAGTCCACCATTTGGAGAGAATATTGACCCGACGATCGAGGTCCTCGGGACGGAGCTTGTTATTTGAGGGGTGTTCGGCATAAGTGCGCAAAAATGGCATGAGCGACGAGCGGACGACGTTCGCTTTTAAAGAGATCGACTTTGACTGGAATCTGCAGGCAGTATTGTCAGCGAGTGTTTTACTCTTCCAATTGGAACGGGTGGTATATACTTCTGGTAGTCGGAGTCGAGAGATCTGAAGGTGTTCCAGAGCTCGTCTTTCTTCCGCGGCGCTTCCATGGTGAAGGTCTTGAGTCTCTCGGAGGAGATCTGAAGCTGCGGTAGTGGGGGTATAGAGTCGGACGAAGGCGGCGATCTGACCAGTGAAGGAAGCCTGTCTGTCGAGAAGGATTTCCCTATAGAAGGGATGCTCGACACCCTAGGAATAGGCGGGAGGGTGGGACTGGTGGGCAGAGATTGCGACGTGGTGGGGGAGAGGTCTTCAGGGTCCAGTTCCTTTAGATGAGCGTTTGATGGCTTCCGCGGCCTTTTGGTCAGGACGGTGCCCTTACGGGAGACCTTGGGCGAGTCTGGAGTCTTGTCTCCTTCTGCCGCAGGAGTATCCGAGTCTTTTCGGACGAGAATTGACTTTCTGCGAGCAGTGCTGATGAAGCTACGACGCTTCTCAGGTGAGGGCCGCGGCGCATTGACGTCACCCTCTTCCTGGACCTTAGTAGGCGAGAAGTTCTGCGAAGAGGGAACCCAAGACTTGCGGCGAAGTTGCGTCAAGGACCTCTTGGGAGTAGAAGCTTCGGCGATAGTGGGTGTTGTCTCCTTTGCCTCCTTATTCTTGGTCTGAGCGGCCTCCGCCTTGGTATTGCGCGAGCTTGTAGATCGGAACCTCGACAGACTGAGTCTCCGAGTTTGTGGTGGGGGGCTCGAAGGTTTGAGGCGCGCTGCCTCAGCCGTGTTGCCTTGCTCGCTTTCCGGTGTCGAGTCGCCGGAGGAGGCGTATGATGCCCCATCCTCAGCCCCCGTATCTGTCGCTCGCAATTCTGCCTCCGAAATTCTGCCCTTCAGCTCCACTCTTGATGGGTCCTCGTAACTGATGTCCTTGACCTGGGGTAGATAGGTGTAGCTGGCTGAGCGCGGGAGGTAAGCGGCTTCAGGGACGCGGGGATCGTCGCGGGTGGCTGCCGATGTCTCGTCGGAGACGCTCCGGTCCCCCCCAAGACCCCCGGCCAAAGCAATGTCGTCGTGAATGGTTGCCATTGCGGAATGGTGCATATCGATAATGGGATGTTCCTCTGGGATTGCAGCCCCGGGCGGAGGTGCGTGTAACGACAATCCGTTAACTCCGACTCTCCATATCTCCCGGCGGATGGTACTGTAGATCGGTCAATTCCCAGAGCACAGCGCCGCAAATCCAGTAAGAGATAATCGGCGGGGCTGGGCTTTTCTGGGAGCGTCTGGGAGCGTCTGGGGGGAGAGGCAGGCTGCAAGGCGCGTGGGGTGGCGGGTCGCGTCCCCGGGGGCTCTGACTGCGCGAGCGAGTGAGGATGGGCAGTTGAGAGCAGGAGAGACAAAAAGACAGCTTGCGCAATATATCGATATAGGCGCTCGGTCTTTCAGTGTTTGCTGGCAGCGGAGGGCAGTGCCTGTGGGGCCTTGGGGCGAGGCTGGAGGAAGAGGAAAGCGAAGGGCAGGTGCGGGCGGAGAGAGCTCCCAGCGCGCGGCGGGAGTGAGGCAGCAGCCGCCTATAGCTTGAAACGAATGGGTAAATTAAGATGGAGTTGGAGCGCGGCCTCCCTCTCTGAGGCAGCAAAAGCACGCGTGAGGAAGGGCGGATGTGCTGATGAGCCCTGCCTGGCTGACTACCCGGCTAGCCTCCCGCCTAGCACGCTGCGCCATGCCTTACAATTTTATTTATATCCACTCGCGCGATTCCATCATGTGGCGGCCTTGGCTGCTAGCGCTCTGCGGCTGGACATGTGCTGGGCCCTGCCGCGCCCGTTGGACGGCTTACCAACCATGCTTTCTCCCGCGTATCGGAAGCAGTATCACTGCGCGCTTCCCGAACTGGCAAATGCCATTGGTGTTACCTGCCATCAAACCGTTGCCGTTCGGGTCAGGAGCTCGACGAGTCTCGGGTCTCGGGACTCCCCTGAATCAATCTCTCGCCGTCTCCACTGTCGTGGAGCCAAGTGAGCGGAGCTCCTTGTTGGTGGCTTTCCGCTCCGCTCGCTCTCGCAAGCTCGTAACGACGATCGCAGCATGGCAGCTCTCCCGCACAATGCGACCCCGGTATTGGTTAACGAGCCTTTGCGGTCTGCCTGATCCAACGTCATCGTCCCATCACGGTCACAAATGAATGCGAGCGGCTCTTTTTTCGCACGTACGCCCACGCAGGGTTCGCTATCAAATACCTCTACCACCATTTCTGTTTCGAGCAAGGGAAATTTGACCGCTTAACTACTACTACTGGACTGTCGCTGACTCTGCTGACCGCCAAATCGAGACAATTCCTCGCCTGCTTGACGCCGTTTTGTACATTTGATTGTCCAGGCAGCACCTAGTGGGCGGCGGGCGTCTCCTCCTGCTCCTCCTCAAACCAGTCCTGCTCGACGGCGGCCGTCTCGCCCTCGGCAGCACCACCCTCAACTTCAACCTGCTGCGTCTCGTACGCCTTCAGGTCGTTGGCAAGGTCGCTCTCCTCGGGAGACTGGGGAGCCTTGGGGGCCGCGAACTTCTGGACGTGGCCCTCGGCGTCCGAAGGCTTGACGGGAGTGGGCTTGTAGTTCTTCAGCTCACGCAGGTACATGTCCTGGACGAGGTCGGCTGCAATTGAGGGCCGGCGTTAGCCATCTGTCACGGCGGGTCCAATGCCTGATGGCTATTTACCTTGGCGGACGGCCGTGGGGGTGAGGTAGGTACGGCGCGCAACGACGGCTTGCTGCCTGGCCACACGGGCAATGGAGAGGCGCTGCAGCTTGCAGTCAGCATCAGAAAGCAGCATTGGAGAGGGCAATCAAGCATACCGAGGCCCGGATCGATTGAGCAAGCATGGTGACGTGAAGGTGGTGATGCTTGTGTCGATGGAACTCCGTCGGCGTCGTCTGCGCGGGAACGGATGTTGAACTTCGCGCGGCAAGTTGCAACCGCGCTAGTCCCGAAAAGTGGGCGCCCGGGAAACCCAATGCCCGAGGGCCTAACTAAGTGACGTCCGAGGGTCGTCTCCATGGGCTCATCCATCCTCACCTCAGACGACTCACCTCCGTCCCACCTCCCACCTCGCCACCCTCCCACGGTCCTTTCGCTCAGGGCACGTACGGCAGCAGAGATCCGTGAAGCGCTCTCTACCTACACGTTGCTCGGCGCATCGACCTCCTACCGAGCCCCGGAAGGCTACCAGGCATCAGCCCCAGGACATGGCAACTCTTCTCTCTCCGGGCGAGGTTCGCCCCGTCGCCGCCGTCAGCAAGGAGGACGACGAGTACCAGGACAACTTCAACATTCACCTGATCTGCCCGGACTGTCGCGAAACGCCGCCTAACCTGGTGGAAGAATTCTCGAGCGGCGACACCGTCTGCGGATCCTGTGGCCTTGTCTTGTCTGCCCGTGTGGTCGACACTCGTTCCGAATGGCGTACCTTCTCCAATGACGACCAGAACGGTGACGATCCTTCGCGTGTCGGTGATGCTGCCAATCCTCTGCTCAACGGATCCCAGCTTGCAACCAACATCTCGTTCGGCGATGGCAACGCTCGCAGTAAAGAGCTCCACCGGGCCCAGAACAAGTCCGGTGTTGATAAGAGCAACAAGTCGCTTCTGCAGGCCTACAAGTCTATCGGCGGTTTGTGTGACCGCTGGTCACTCTCCAGCTCTATCACGGATACCGCCAAGCATATGTACAAGATGGCCGACGATTCGCGCAACTTCAAGGGCAAGTCGGTGGATTCGGTAGTTGCTGGGTGCATCTTCCTTGCATGCAGACAGAACAACAATCCCCGCTCCTTCCGCGAGTTGCACGATCTTACGGGAGTCTCAAAGAAAGAGATCGGCCGTATTTTTAAGCTCCTGGACTCGTTCTTCAACAAGCAGAACAAGGCTGGTAACGCCATGACTACCGGTGGTATGGTTATGCCTAGCGATTCATACAAGTCGAAGGAAGCCACATCTGCTCCGGAGCTGTGCATGCGTTACTGCAATGCTCTCGGTATGCGGCCCCGTCCGACGATGCTTGCGCAGAATCTTGCCGAGAGGATGGTAAAGCGTGGTTGCCTGGCCGGTCGCTCACCCCTGTCTGCATGCGCTGCTTGCATTTATATGATTAGCCACCTGATCGGCGAACCCCTGTCGGCCAAAGATATCGCTCCTACTGCAGGTGTCAGCGATGGAACCATCCGTACGGCGTACAAACTTCTGTACAACTACCGCGACAGCCTCCTTATCGAAGACAACTGGGCCAAGGAGAAGGGTCTCGATATGTCCAAGCTTCCCGTTGCTTAGGCGTTCCATGTCGTCCTGCGAAGGGGGGGTGGACGTCCTCTCATTCAAATGCTCACGCCTTCATTGGCAGTCTGAGCACACTTATTCTTACCTTTCGGCACTACAAATAAGACAAAAAGATACCCGGGAAACACTTCAACAACAACAAAAATTCACTAAAAAAAATCGTATTTTTCCAGTAGCGGAGCATGGCAAGGCGTTTGGTGGCAGACATTTAAAGCTGCTTGTCCATGCATCAGTTGGCGTTCGTTCGTTGCCTTACGCCCCGATGATATCTGGTGCGTTTGCGCTTCATTAATTAGAGTCGCCGAGAAACACTCGGCGTGGTCTGACCTCCAGGCGGGTAGTTGCAGGGACAGATCAGTTACATTTTCAAATTGGCATTTTGGGAGGTGGCGGGCGCTCAGCGCATCTTGTTTCGTCGCCGGGGCGATCGCGTAAGGACGCAGCACGCCTCAGAGCTTGATCTGGCATTTTGTGTTCTCTTCGGGGGTGAGGCCGCCCTACAGCGGCAACCTGCGTGTGCTTTTGACTTGTGGCAAGGATACTCTGGCAAGGTTGATACTGTACAGGCAATGCAAAACATATTGCGTCGTGCAGCGGAACAAGGTGTATCTGTGCGGAGAACGAGGCGGCATTGATGCGTTGACCGTCTCCTTTATGTCTCACCAGACCAGCAGACCTTCCCTACCCCCGGTTCTGCACTGACGTTGCTGAAGAAACCCCGCTCGCGTGAGCGTGACGGACCTCGTTGTCTATCGGACACAGCTCCTTACCTATCGGACACAGTTCCTTGCGGCGATCCTACCATCCCCTGGCTTGGATTTCCTGTTGCTCCATTCTTTTCCACGTCGATCCTGCATGCACGGAAGATCACGATTGTCTACCACCATCTTTCGGCGTCCGATGGCAGTGCGTCCGGCGGCAGATGTTCGCCAACGAATGCCTTGATAGTGACGTATCTGACTACATTCTTGGGCTACATATTGTCGTCATTGACCATTACAAGTGCATTGCCTGTAAAGAATAGGTGCACAACGGACTGTCACCCTAGCCTTTTGGACTGGATACAGGCAAATAATTGTCTAACCATGATATTCTCCACCATGTCCTCGTCCTGGTATTGGATTCTATTTTCAAAAGGCTCGAGGTAGTTTCTACCTGGTCAATTTTAATAGGTCAGAATGGGTTCGTAACTACACACTGAAGGCTAATATGGCTAGTTTGATCAAGACCAAAGCCTGGATGAACATTCCAAGGATCTCTCCATACAAATCACTACAACGTTTTGCGCCGCGACGCGGTATGGATCAAACTTCCAAAACAACATATCAAGAAATATCAACATGAGCACGAAACAATGAGACATAAGGAAGTCATCATATTCAACGAAGAATTGGGCATGAAGCGGACTTTCATGGAAGCTATCTAGGTGCTGAATAGCATGCTTGAAAGCCTGTCAATTCAATTCTTCTTTCCTGGTTCAAACAGGATCCGTGGAAGAGCTGGTACTCGTAACACTAACACCACCGGCTTCAGCAGCTTCATCATCCGATCCGTCCTCAGTGCCTTCATCGTTGAGAATACCGAACAGGTTCGCCATTGGGTTTCTTACTTTTGGAAGCGATGCTAACTTTCTGTCCTTCGGGCGATGAATGAAAGGCAGAGGAGCAGCACACTCATCAGCAGCACTCTCGACCCTCATAAGCTTGTAAGGCAGGCGCGAGCGCATGCAAGTGCGGGCGTACAGGGCGTTGTGAATAGAATTAGTGCAGACAAGGATATCGCCATTGTTGCGGATCTGGACGTCTACGATAACAAGGTTGTGAATATGCTCCATGTCATCACGGATGCGTGATTCGGAAAGACCTTTGTTGGCGCCTTTGGCGATGACGATGTTGCGCGTAGCACCTTCTGCGATTTGACTGAAAACGTGAGGGACGATTTTAAATTGGCGATCACTCCAGGAGACTTCAACGCGCTTGTTGTTGATATAGAGGTCGTTACGCTTAACAAAGCTGAGAAACTCGCGTGCCGCGGCGGCATCGACGAAGGAAGCCTGAGCGCAGTGATCGTTGCGCAACCAGATCTCTGCCAGTTGTCCGCCACGGACAACCTGGGAAATATCCTTATGTGATGTATGATGAGACAAATTCGAGAGAAGAAGCGTGCGTTAGACATCGTGGACAGCGGACTGGTCAGACACAAAGAAACGGCTAGTTCTATCATCAGTGCGGAGCTGTTACTCTTTGGAAGAATTAGAAAAAGACAGTGAATCCACAAACCCAAAGCTAGACGGTTTTGCGAGGCCACTGTTCACAACGGGAATGTCGAGTCTCATGGGTGGCATATCTAAATGATCTTTGGCAGCCGACCAGTTGCTCGAGTTGTGGTGAAGTGTGGTCTTCTGAGGGCATTGCTCATCGTCGTCTTTGGTAGATACTAGGGTGTCGAGCATTTCCAGTGAGACTCCATTTTCGAGGAGAGCTTTACGCAAAGAACCTGAAATGCAGATTATCAGCTGTAACAGTCCGAGAGGGGGACCAATGGCAATCTCACAGTACTCGTGAGCGCAACGGACCCGTAAAACTAGTCAGCTAAAGGTACTCTAGGACAAGGCGGACGAGCGGTTGGCCTTACTAGTGCAGGACAGAGTAAGGAGCTACGGTCACCTGGTGGCTCGAGCGTCAGAGGTGCCTGCCAGGCTGCCCGTCCTGCCGTCATGCCCGTCCGTCTCCCGTGTTTTTTTTTGAATTTGCTCTTTGATGTCTTCCAATGCGCCTGCCCCGCCGCAGCAGCAGGCGGTGCAACCTCCGCCGCCGCCGCCGCCACCTGACAGCGATGCCGTCGGCTCTCTCTTCTCGCAGTTCACCGCGAATCCCTACTTCAATGCCGTAGGTGCTCTCTTCCTTGCGCCTACCTCGCGCCGCCCTGACGACCGACGTTCAGGGCTTCGGTCTAGCAGCTCTCGCCAGTGCTGCACGTTTGGGGCAGCAAGGCCTCAAACGAGGCGCCCACCAGTTCCGTCGCCGCATGCTGGTCGAGCTTGAGGTCACTCACCATGACGACTCGTATCCATGGGTGCTCAATTGGATGAGCAATTACCACAGATCCCAGGTGGCCGCAGCCGAGTCGGGCGCAGAGTATGTGCGCCAAAATAGTCGCCTTCCTTCGAAGAGCGGTGGGCTCACCCTTCCTTCAGCAAAGCACAATCGCAAGGTCTAGTCGCGTCTCTCGTACGCCGGTTCGGATCGCGCCTACACAACGTCCAGATACAAACAGATACAGTCAAGCGTTCCGATGGCGTCTCCCATACAAATTTTTCCATCGTACCGGGCCATGGGAAGCATCTACTTCATTATCGCAATGCCTTCATCTTGGTGGACAGGCAGCGGAGTCAAAATTTCGACATGACGCTCGGGAAGCCTTTCGAAACGATTACTCTTACCACTCTTTACTCGCATCGGGGTGTGTTTGAGGAGATGTTTACCGAAGCTCATGCGCTAGCCCAGCAGCTGAAGGAAGGAAAAACCATCATCTACACAAGCAGAGGCATAGATTGGGAGCCGTTCGGGCAGCCCAAGAGAAAGAGGCCATTGGATTCTGTTGTGTTGGAAAAGGGTGTCAAAGAGCGCATTGTGGAGGATATTAAAGAGTTCACCGATGCCCGAGAATGGTACCTTGACCGTGGCATTCCGTATCGCAGGGGCTACCTCCTTTATGGGCCGCCAGGCACAGGCAAGAGTTCCTTCATCCAGGCCTTGGCTGGCGAGCTCGATTTCAACATCGCAATGCTGAACGTAAGCCAACGCGGCCTGACGGACGACAAATTAGCGTATTTGCTCACCAAGGTGCCTCCACGCACGATTGTGCTGCTCGAAGATGCCGACGCCGCGTGGGTCAACCGCACACAAGCCGATGAGACGGGCTACGCAGGGGCTTCGGTGACGTTCTCTGGACTCCTCAATGCCCTTGATGGCGTCGCGAGTGCAGAAGAGCGTATCATATTCCTGACGACCAACCACATTGAGCGGTTGGACGAAGCGCTCATTCGGCCCGGCCGCGTCGATCTTACAGTGCGGCTGGGCGAGGCAACGGAATGGCAGATCATGCAGCTCTGGGACCGTTTCTATGCGGAAGCGGATCCCGACGGAGCGGGCCGGGAGAGGTTTATGACCAAGGTGCGCGAGCTAGGCCTGGCGGATTCCGTGAGCACGGCGGAGCTCCAAGGCGTGTTTTTGTACAACAAGGACGACGTGGAGGGGGCAATTGCCAGTGTGGAGGAGCTGGCGGAGTTCAAAGCCCGAGGACCGATGGGCGGAAAGTGACGGAAGGAAGGAATTATTAGTGATTTATACAGGTTTGCATGATTGTGCAGCAAATGCTACCGTATGCGGAAGCGAAGCCGGTGCCGAAGGTCGGAGGGATATCTATGAAGGATTGTACACGTATGTACGGAGTATAACGACGACCTATGTACGCAACCCAAGCGCCTCGTGGATGATTTTCTTTGCAGGCCCCACGATGCAAAGCATAGGTACATACTCCGTACTCTAGCACACGTGGGACCCCTAGGTGAAGGTAAGGAGACGGGCGCCAAGGCGGCAGGGGTCACACCGGGTGAAAAGTTTTGAGGGCATGCAGCAGATCATCGTCATCAGTCATGGTCGGCGGCGCGCGTCGCGCGGATGAGCGAGACCCCACCGCTTGTGCGCGGTGAGTCTTTATCGCAACGGATCTAACCTATCTGATTCCAGATTTGAGTTCCTGTTCCATCCAGTCGCCTGGTTTCCTCCGTCGTACCTGCCAATCATCGGCTGGATCCGTAGTGACGCGACGGCGCGCATGCAGCCCACCAGGACCAGACCGACGACGGCTGCGTTAGGCAGCCCGTCCACCGCGCTCCATGATCCGCCGCCAGACGCGAAAAAAGCACCCGATCCTTCGGCTTATGCCTCCTCCTTCCCTTCAAACCCCTTCCTCCCTCTCTCCTCGTCAGTGCCGCTCCCTAATTCTACGCTTGGAGACGGTGCCACAATGTCCAAGGTTCCGCTGCTCATGCGCTCGTCCCCGGCGCAGGGCACAGGCTCGTACGGCGCCCTTCCTGTCCACATGCTGAGCACCAGCAACGAAAGTACCGATCCCGAGGACAATGATCTCGACTACATCCTGCGTCACGGTCGCCGCCGTGAAAAGAGTCACCTGCGCCAGGCTGAAGCCAATGCCGAAGACAACGTGCCCGAGTCGAGTAGCAGACGATCTGGATCCACCGGCCGACTCTTGAATGGCGGCACACACAAGGGTACAAGGAGGAGTCGACGAAAGGGTTCCTCAACCCTGGCTGACGCTGTCAATGAGGCCAATAATGATCCTGCCGTAGAGGCTTGGGTCGGTGATTTGGACGGTGCTGAAGCGCCCACCATCCAAGGCACCATCAAGTCCAGGGCCGATGTTCCTCTTGAAGACTCTTCCGAAGACCACTCTGACAGCTCGGAGGCTATAGAGGTGGACGGCTCGGAGGACGAAGATGATCTGCATGACCGCAAGGCAGCCGAAGACAGCCCTCCAGATGATTCTCCCTACGCCCAAGTGCGAGCCTCGGTCAAGCCGACTGACGATACCTCTCTATCTATCAATACGCCACGCATGTGGGTTCTGGCCATGGTCTTCTCAATCATGGGCTCTTCCACCAACCTATTCTTTTCCCTGAGATTCCCTAGTGTTAGCATAACACCAGTCATAGCCCTTCTCCTGGTGCATCCTCTTGGTCTACTTTGGGATCGGCTTTTTAAGTGCAGCGATGACCCAATCGAGGTCTTTTCCAATGGATCGCTGCACCACAGAGCCAACGACCAAAGCGAGTACACTCCGGTCAATGAGTCCGTCGATCTGCAAGACGAGGATAGTGATGAACATGTCACACGAGAGGTCAAGCAGGCAAGAGGCTGGACTCGCAGCTGTCGGCTTTGGCTAGCGCAGGGTTCTTGGAACGAGAAAGAGCATTGCTGTGTCTATATTGCTAGCAACGTCTCATTTGGCTTTGCATTCGCAACAGACGTACGTGACAAGACCAACTCCAATTTAGGCGTTGCTGACAGCTTTTTTAGGTCATTGTTGAACAATCGCAGTTCTACCACCAGACACTGAGCATAACTTACCAGATCCTCCTCACCATTTCTACGCAGGTCCTCGGTTATGCTCTAGCTGGTCTTACAAGACGATTCCTTGTCCGACCTAGTGGCATGATCTGGCCCGGCACCTTGATATCAACCTCGATGTTCACCACGTTACACAAGCAGGACAACGCACCAGCCAACGGATGGCAAATTTCCCGCATGAAGTTCTTCCTTTATGTGTTCCTCGGTTCAGCGGCCTTCTATTTCCTGCCTGGTCTGTTGTTTCCGGCGCTTAGCTACTTCAACGTCGTCACATGGTTCGCACCAAAGAACGTTGTCGTTGCTAACCTTTTCGGTATTGCCTCTGGCCTTGGTCTATTTCCTTTGACCTTTGATTGGTCCCAGATTGCGTACATTGGATCGCCCCTGGTGGTTCCGTTTTGGGCTGCTCTTAATATTGTTGGAGGCTTGGTGGTTGTCATGTGGATCATGGCCCCAATAATGTGTAAGTTGCTTGTGAACGCCCTTCGGTGTTGATCCGCTAACATGATAATTAGACTACTGCAACGTCATGTGGTCTTCGTATATGCCGATCCTATCAGCCGCTGTATTTGACAACACAGGCAAGCCGTACGATGTCGGCAAGATCTTGACGGAAGACTTTCTCTTTGATGAGAAGGCATATCTCAACTACAGCAGGGTGTTTTTACCAATCACCTATGTCCTTAGCTACGCGTTGCAGTTTGCTGCACTGGCTGCTCTGATCACACATACCGCATGCTGGCATGGCAAAGATATCTGGCGGCAATGGAAGAGGTCATTAGTCGAGATCAGGGGTCAAGCTAACCAACAAGCCGAGTACCAACCAGTTTCTCAAGAGGAGCGCCCGCCGCGCGAACGTCCGCTGCGCCACGCGCGCTCATCCCGCAGCCTTGCCACTTCCGCACCGGATCTCGACAATATGATGGCGGTTGAGGACGTTCACAACCGCCTGATGAGGAGATATGAAGACGTTCCTATTATGTGGTATCTGGTGACTGGTGCACTAATGACTGCTATTGGGATGTTTGTGGTGGAGTAGTGAGTCTCACTTCTGTGTTGAGTTTCTGTAATTGTTGCTGACTACTTTTCAGTTACCCCATCCATCTCCCTTGGTACGGTCTCCTCCTGGCCCTCGGCATCTGCACCGTCCTGTTCATCCCAATTGGTATTGTCATGGCCATCACGAACCAGCAGTCATCCCTTTACCTCATCTGCCAACTCATTTGCGGTGTCGTCTTCCCTGGCCGTCCTGTTGCCAACATGGTGTTTGTCACTTACGGTTATATCACCTCGACTCAAGGGCTCAAGTTTTCTTCCGATCTAAAATTGGGTCACTACATGAAAATCCCACCCAAGATCCTTTTTACGCTGCAGCTGGCCGCTACCATTATCTCCTCCCTTACACAAATCGGTGTGTTGAACTGGATGCTCAACAACATTCCCGGTGTTTGCACGCCGCAAGCTATCAACGGGTTTACCTGCCCTATTGCGCGTGTCCATTTCAACGGCAGTATCCTCTGGGGTGTAGTTGGCCCTTCTCGCTTCTTTGGCCCTGGAGCCCTCTACCGTCCGCTAGTCTGGGCGTTCCTGGTTGGCGCTCTGGCGCCTATCGGAGTATGGTTGGCTGGTCGCAAGCAAAAGCGCAGCATTTGGCGCAAGGTCAATCTGCCTGTACTTTTCGGCTCCCTCAGCTGGATCCCCCCAGCAACTGGCCTCAACTTTTCTGTCTGGGCCGTTGTCTGTTGGGTTTTCAATGATCTGATCCGCAGGCGGCACGGTGCATGGTGGCGCAAATACACCATGACACTTAGTGCGGCACTGGATTCCGGTGTCGCGGTGGGTGTTGTTGTCGTTTTCTTCGGTGTCATATATCCCGGCTGGATGAGCGGCTTTAAGTGGTGGGGTACGGAAGTGTACAAGCAGGTAAGTTGTCATGCACTCTCACTGCTCAGTCTTTCAGGGGGATATCGTCCAATGGGAGTTGTAATAAGTGTTGGGATTTTTAAAGCTGACTTGATTCTCAGGGCTGCGACTGGCAAGCTTGTTCATACAAGACCGTGCAACCAGGCGGGCACTTCGGGCCAGACAATTGGTGAATAATGACTGATGGAAATGACACATACCACAATCCGACAAGAAACGGACATGACAAATGTACAACGGCCGGTTTCCCTGTCTGATGATATACCCTTCAATTCTTGTTAATATGCTCCATAGACCGTTGATCGACTTTGTTTCTTTTTTGACTTCTTTTCGCGATCTTTCCCGCTCTTATCATCTTACTTGATGGTTCAAGCTGTTTTAATGCCGGGTAGACTGTTTTGAATTTGTGTTTCATCTACTTCATTGGATTTCGTAACGTCTGTCTGAACGAAAGAAAGTTTTTAAGCTTTGCATCTGTGGTGCGGTAACCATATGCATACGGAGAGCGGAGAATGTGGCGTACAAGCGGGCATCTGGGAGGAGAGAGTCTCCCATCTTGCATTTTGACGCAAGAGACTACTGCTGAGTGATGATGTTTTCGGTTTTGTTGACCGTAGCTCGAAGGCTGTTGATTGTAAACCAGATCTTGAGTAACGATGAGCTTCAATCGATTATCGTGTCGTTTCGCAAATCACGGCCTCTTGTTTTTGTGTAGTCTGGGTCTCAAATGTGAGAGATACTATTTTCACCGTCTCCTCAACGGGACGTCTTCGTAATTAAGGCATTACAGTGCTCATAAAGTTGATGGGTACTCAGGATTACCAATAGAGCAGAAGTCGGGCTATTTCAATCGGATTGCAGATGAGTTCGATGCTTCGGTATTGGGATCCCTCTGATATAATAAAAGGTTGTCTTCAAAGTTCATGAGCTAAATGTTAGAACATATTAGTAGTGTCTTAGTGTTTCAGTGGTTGCGGAAAGCTAAACTACCAGCAGAGCCTACAGCTTTTCACCATATCCAGTTTCGGTGAGGTTTCTGAATGCGGCGAAATCCATTTCTTAGTGACAAGTTAGCTTTACTTATGTTACGTTATGATGGAAGACCAAAACATCCAGGGCTGCTAGTCATCTTGACATGCTCAAGGTACAAGGCCTCAAAGCCATTGAAATCATATAGTTTGTATGGATTAGGAGTTGAAAAGGGCCTGAGAAAAGAGTAATATGGGCAGGATCATCGTCAAACAATTGAGATGGTACGATTAACATCAAGGAGGTAATATCACATACAGTCAGCAAGTGACAAAGTTTAGAGAATTAGAATCGTATCGTTCATTCTATCATAAAGCCGGGACAGGCTGGTATGTAATGTGCTCAGTCCATGGCGTGATGGCCGAAGCCACCAAAAAGAAATCAATCCTCCCGTGTGAAGCCGGCTACGACTTGCTAGTCTTCTCCTCGGCGGCCTTCTCGAGCGGGTGGGTAGGGTTGGAGCTCAGGTTGGCCTTCTGGTCATCCGAGGCCTTCTTGGAGCCCTGCTCGGGGCCGGCGCCCTGGTTGGGATCGGCCTGGGCAGCCTGCTGCTGTCCGCCGGGCTGGCGCTCGGGGTCGGGGGACTGACGGCCGGCGTTGGGAGCAGACATTGTGATTGTGGTGATGTGGACTGAGAGTGATGTTAGCTTCGGTGGTGTCGAAGCGGAGTCGTAATGGCGACGGCTAGATGCAGGTGCGTACGTTGGTGTGGTAGAGGTTGATGGATAGACTGTGGACGGGCAAGTTAGCAGTTGTCTCGGCAAACAGTCGACTTCAGACAGCACTCACCGAAGGGATGCGAGTCGAGAGAGAGTAGTTGAGATGTTGGTGGATGAGAGGGAGGGACAGCAGCTCAAGCTGTTTATTAGGCTGAGCTTGCCCCACGTCTACGTCATACCTCGATCTCGCTCCCTCCGCGGCGACAGCCCCAACTCAACGTCGACCACTTATCGGCCCGGGTAATTGCTCCACTACCTAGCAACCAGACGGCTCTGACGAAACCGTTCGCGAACCTGCTGTTCCTGCCGCTGACCGAGCAATTGACGCACCTACCCCGCCAGAGGCGCGTGCGCCAGTTGATATGCTTTCTCCCTTTGCCCTCCAAATTGCGCTTACTTGGAGATGACTTGCGTAAGACGCTAGGGCCTGATGTGCATATGCGCCGTCATTCATCATCGTTTATCTACTACGTACGTACAACATGAACCGTTACCGTCAAGCGACATTTACGGTCCAATGCCTACCGAGATGGACTATGCTATCATCTCCAATATCCCCATCTAACGCTAGCAATCCCAATGCTCGCTGATCCAGTCCGTAATCATGTCTGTGAAACTCTTGCCCTCCATGTATGCTTGAGTATCTGCCGTGTTGTACTCCTGACCCAGGTACCTCAGCGCCACTAGGAGCCATGGTTGCACAAACTCGTTGTACACAAGATCAACCTCTTCAGGTACATTCTCATCGTCAGGAGCGAAGCCGAGTGTTGTCTGGATACAGTTCGGTACATCGAAAAATTGAATCTGAGAGTGGACAGTATCATCGCCATCATCACCATCGTCGTCGATGGTAGTATAGCCAGGGATTAGGTCAGACGACTTGTGCGGATATACATTCAAAGGGGCTTGAAACCGGTTGTGGCTGTTCAAGCCGGATAGGGAATCCCCGATGCGGCCGCTCCATTGCTCTGGTGGTGATAGAACTGCCGAATCCAGAGTTTCTCCCGAAGTGGTTTGAAGCACACGGTCTTCGTTGTTGAGAAGCGATAGGACATGCTTGGCCGCGCTGTAAGGAACGTCTTTCAAGTATCTGAAGCCGCTAGTAAACGGAGAGACGAGAAAAGCACTGTCCTTCGTGAAAGGTCCTTGAAATATGTCGAAACGCATGGCACCGGTGTTCGCAATGACAAGCGCTTTCTTGTCTTCTTTCATAATACGAGAAGAATTTTTGAGTTGCACCGGCAGTACATGCTCTTGAAGCCAAGAAAAAATGCTGTCATTCGCCGGGTATGGTGCGCGATTGACCCAAAGGGGTTGCGGTGCACACCCGTGCCGCTTGTCTAGTTGAAGTGCATCCCGAGCGGCAGTGATCATTTTCGAGACATTCTGACCGTGCGGGGTGGGGAATGTATCGCCGTCCTTGTTACTGTGGTGATAATATGAGAAAAGGTTGTTGTCAATATAGCGACGGGAAAATGAAATTCCCGAGTGGGTAATATCGTCTTTAGGTTTGCCGTTACCAAGACCTTTGATTGACATGAACCCAATGGTCTCCATATAGCGTCCACTGGCCATAGCAACAGCCTTGCTGTCGAACACCTTGTAGTCCCTAACATGGGCATGTCCAGCGAAGAACTGGATGGGTATATCCCAGTTCACAGATCGGATGGCTTTAAAGATGTGGTCGTACTCCGTTGCGCGAGTAGGCACATGACCAGTGACAAGAATAAGATCTACATCCTTGTCATGGATGGCTTCTTGGAACCACTTCTTCTTTATCGTATCTTCAACGGGATAAACGACTGTGTTGTTGGCGTTTCCAACAAAGTTGAACAAAAACCCAAAAGCAAGGATCCGAATGCCTTGGTTTTTGGTGGTAAACTTCTTGAAGCGCGGAGCTAGAGCTTCAAGATCGCCGGTGTCGGGGTTGAAAATATCCAGGTTGGACGCAAGGTAACTTCCTTCGAAGTTGGGAACAGTGTAGTGGAACTCATTCTCCGAAGAGTTCTGCTTGTACAACTCGTGGTTTCCTGAGCAGACGACGTCTATCTCTTGCTGTTTGAAGATATCAAAGAGATATCTGCCTTTCGGCTCAGATCCATCATAGAGACCGTTCCCTTCGACCCGGTCCCCGGTGTCAATCAGAAGGAGGTCTACACCGTCTGCATCTGCTTTGTCACGCATATGCTTGGCGAACGAGACATAGTCGCCCCAATCAGCAGAGTACGAAGACCTGGTGCAGAGGCCGTGAGCATTTCAGGACGAAGAAAAGACAATGCAAGTAACCCACTCCTGCAAGTGGCCTCCTAGCCAACCATGGGTGTCGGTAGTATGAAGGAAGTTGAGCTGAGCCCACGGCAGTTCCCGCAGCGGGGCGGCTTTGGGTAGCGGTGCATTGGGTTGCGCAGCAAATGAACTGGACGCTAGAAGCAGCGGCAAGAAAACAGACAAAGACATGCTTTCCCAGAATTAAACGCCTCTGCAAAAGGGGTGATGATGCGGAGGCAGCAGTAGATAGGCACCCTGATGGGCGATGTGCACATGACGAAGCCCCAAAAAAGGCTAGCGCCAAATGCACGGCGCAACTATATTCCGAATTTCGCTTGAATGCGTCGTCTCCACAGGACTTTTCGTTTTTCGCGACTTCGACCGGAACGACGACGACGACGACTAACCCAGTGCTGCATCTAAAACCGGCAAAATGGTGCGTCTCAGCGAACAGGACTCGACAGAATTGCAGCGGAAGGCTGACCAAACATCACCAGGCCATCAAGCACAACCAGCAGATTCAGCACAACCGTAGGTCCACGACGGCGCAACATTTCGACTAGCCCAGGCTAACAATTGACAGACTTCCGCAAGGACTGGCAGCGCTATGTCCGCGTGCACTTCGATCAGGTAATTCCCCTCTCAGCCCGCTGAGAGCAGAGGCGCCGATCGAACGACAATTTCTAATACCTCGATTAGCCCGGCAAGAAGAAGAGCAGACGCGAGGCTCGCATTGCCAAGGCCGCTGCTGTCGCTCCCCGCCCCACCGACAAGCTGAGGCCCGTCGTCCGTTGCCCGACCGTCAAGTACAACCGCCGTGTCCGTGCTGGTCGTGGTTTCTCCCTGGCTGAGCTGAAGGTATGGATTGACAACAAATTGTTGGTATATTGAGTCCAAAGCTGACGTGTCAAAGGCTGCTGGCATTCCCCGCAAGCTTGCGCCCACCATCGGTATCTCCGTCGACCCCCGCCGCCAGAACCTCTCCGAGGAGTCTCTGAAGGCCAACGTCGAGCGCCTCCAGGAGTACCGCAACCGCCTCATTGTCTTCCCCCGCCGCACCGGCACCAAGTCTATTAAGAAGGGTGACGCTACTGCGGAGGAGGTCAAGGCCGCCAAGAGCGGTGAGGGCTTCGCCAAGCTCTCCAACCAGACCCTGCCCATTGTCCAGGACAAGGGTATCACCGAGGGTGCCGTTGCCGACTTCCCCGCCACCGAGAACGCCTTCAGGAAGCTCCGTGAGGTCCGCTCCGAGGCCCGCCTTGTCGGTGTCCGCGCCAAGCGCGCTAAGGCTGCTGCCGAGGCTGCCTCTGAGAAGAAATAGATGCGGTCAAAAAGTACTGGGTTGGCGTTTAGTGCATGTATCTCGTAACGGAATCGAACGAGTTTCATGTCAAAATCATGGTAGCAATCAAAAAATAGATTGCTCGACTTTCAGATACCCACAACATTCCGTTTGCCATTTGTTATATCTGATGTTGTGTGTTCAGTGCCTGTAAATGTTTTGGCGCATTGGAAAACCAGCCAGGTTTGGAGCACGCCGTTAAAAAGTCCAGCGAAATCGTTTGTGGCTATCAAACGTCTCTTTGCTTTGTAGAAACGGGGTCCAATAGAGATTTGGGCTATGCGTTCCGTGAGATGATCAGATGCGCATATCAAGCTCCTTGTAGGGTACTGGATTCATGTCCTCTTCAGGAGCATCCGCGTATGTTATTATCGACTTATGCTTAAAGTTATTCCCTATTTCTTTTCACTTCGCACTTACTCCAGTTACGTCTCAATTTATTTTTAGGTTTTCTTGCTACCAGTAGCGCCTGACAAAAGGGTACCTATGTACATGCCGTTTCGCTCAAAGGCCCTCCCTGCTATTTACTTCTCCACCGCCAACGTACATCCACAAACGACTCAATTGCCTCACCGTCTTACCAGCCCCTTCGCCCAGTGCGCTCTGCGTCTCGACTGACTCGGCGCGCCTAAGCGCAGTCTCGTGGTCGACATCTACCATTCGATCAAGGAACGGCGACAATTTTGGTTGTCCAGCGTCTGAATGAGGGAGGAGTGGCTGTAAAACGGGGCTCCCTTCTGCATCGGCACCTACTTGGTCTTCTGCTGAGGAAATGGATGCGTCTGGTTCCGGTGCGCTAGGAGTGTTATTGCCCGCCTTGTTTTTCTTGTAATCTCCGCGGTCACTGGGAGATGAGGTGTCCGGTTTGTTAGAAACAGTTAACAGAGGAAACATAGGTTCGAGATAGTGTTCATTGAAGAGGTGGCCGCTGGCACCCTTGGCGATGAAGACACGACCAGCATATCGCGTGGCGGTACAGTGACGTGCGCTGTTGACCACGCCCCATCGAGGAACAAGGTCGAGCTCGTTAGCGTAGTGTTCAATGGTTGGTATTACATGTGTCGGTCGTGGCAGTAAGGTTTGTGGTGTAGAAGTCGCATGAATCAGCGACGTGAGAGACGAGTGCGTCAAAGGATTGTTGAAATGCGAGGCGGCGGAACCGAAGGTGTAAATTTCCTGAGGCAGATTTCCTGTTAGATTGTTTCTGGTGTACAGCGTTACCAACTAAATTAGTACTATGAGGGATTTACGAACCAGTTTCGAAAGGGCTCGACTGGGCATCTCAGCAAACATGCGATCAAGGGCCAAAGAGATGATAATGCCCCCTTGCGAGTGCGCGATGACGACTACTTTGTCTACACTCGGGTCCAAGATATGCAGCTTCAGTACTTCGTATGTGCAGCGCACATCGGATGTGTTGTAACTGAAGCAGCGCTGGATCATACACTCGAGAACATCCCCAATCACTCCGTATGATCGATTGTGTACTCCGATTATCCGTCGTCTGAAGGTCGCGGCCAGTCGATCGCATGTCGTCTGAAGGCCATCGTAGCTGCGGAAATTGAGCGCATGTTATCAGGGATGAAGTGAAATAGAGAAAACTTACTTCGTCGCAATCCCATTGATAAAATGCCATCTTTCCTTTCCAAACTTGTTGGAGTCTTCCAGTTCGATTTGCGAGTGCACAATCAGTCCCCCCCACATGGGCAACTCCAGAAGATATATGGTCATCATGACAGCCGCAATGAAGAGGCACATCTGCCAACCTCTTAGGTAAAGAGAAGCAGGAACGGCGATGACCATGATCGTGAGTTCAAGAATGAGAACGTTAAGGGTCAATATCGTATCCCTGACACTCATAATCCTGCTCTTGTCAACACCGGGCAATGGCTTGAGCGTGCGGTTTGGCAGGAAGACATTGGGGATGTATTCAAGGTTTTCAAAGAGGACGAGAGCGTCTTGAATGAGGAGGCGAATGGGACTTCTCAGAGCGACGCGATCGCTGGTGAAGGTGGATTCGTCGGGGGTTTGTGTAGGGATATAGGTGACTCCTGTCATGACGAAAGGTACTCAAATGTAGAAACGAAAAGGATCTTGAGTAATTAATGAGGTCCCTCGAGTTGTTTATTGGATACGAGCTCGAATGGGAACGGAAGAAAAGATACATGGATGTAGAAGGGCCAGGGACCCTCTTGCCATGAATTAAGGCCGCAGCTTCCCAGATTCAGTGACAACGTAGTAGCCAAGCCCCTACCGAGTCCCTGGCAATTTTAATCATAGGTGTATCCTGTGTAGACACACGGTTTGTGTTGCCTGAGGTGAGAGGTTTTACCAGGAGTACGTCTCCTTGATCTGCCATATCATCTCCCCGTGCGCCAATGTGTCCGCCTCCAGTAGCTGTTGTGCGTCAAAGGTCCATGAGCATGGCAGAAACCCACTGCCCAACTTAGCAATTCGAGTCCAACCTTCGATGGGATGAACGTCCTCCGGAACCGTTGGAGGATTCACTTCATGTTCAGCCCTGGAATCGTACACCCAGCGCTCTACGTCAATACGATCATCAACCATCATGAGACCTTGACACAAGTGCCCAACTCGAATGACGATCCCGCGAGCCTTTTTCTCAGGCGCATCCAGAGTGGCAACAATACAGTGTCTCAACCCCAATTTTCCGGAGTCCTTCCCCGCGGGCTGTAGTATTAACAAAATCGTTAGCGGGTCAACCCTCTTAATAGAGGAACTCAGGCTAGAAAAAGGAAATAAACTTACCAGTGGAGTGATGCTTTTCCAAAGCTCCTCGTATTCGGTGTGTACTCCTGTGTCGGGATGCTTCATCTTTCCCTTTTCCAAGGTCACATCCGGATCTTCGGTGGGAAACATGTACCCTTCGTCAATTGGCGGTTTCTCTCCCCAGTGGCAAGTGCTATCAATGATATGCATCCACTTCTTGTAAGTGCCGCCAGTGGCATTGTTGGTTTTCCCCGTTTGTGCAATGCCGCTGAACGCCCACTGCAAACGTGACATAGGACCTCCCGTGTTAGGAAGGTAAGGCTCAGGCTCATATGCACCTTTCGTGGGAACAACATTCGGGTTGAAGATCCGGATGTCGACAAAGGCTTGAGATGGTGTCGTGAGGACCAAAGTATTGGTAGGCTCGAAAGCTTCTTCGCCAGTCTGCGACAATTTCACTGTTAGATTTTTGTATCCAGGAATTTTTGCTGCCCACTAAGGTAATTTCAAAGCGCGTTTCTCGGCGAATAAATGACGTACCCAGCGCATATGTTGTCTTTGAGAGACATCCGGCATTGGCTCAGTGTCCGTCATGTTAGTTGTACTCAGAATGGGAGGGGTACTATAGCAGAAACGAGATGAAAATTGTGACAGGAAGACCTAAGAACCGATGGTCTGTGAAACAAATAGTTAGTCGAGTTTTGAGGATGACGCGATGGAGGCCCAGGGTTAAGCGTATATGCGGATTGGGGGGTTTGATCGTTGATAAGTGAAGACGGGGACAGGCAGTACAATCATAGTCCGAGTCAGGCGCGCATCCGAATCTAACCAGGCGGTGAAGGATACCAATCTGCAGATGAGTCGCTAGTGTGAGGATCAAGCATGTTGTGGCGGAGATGCCTCTTGAAGGACGGGTGTTATCGCTCTTAACAGTTCGGCCGGTGTGATCAACAGCAATAGCAGTCATGTGCGACGATATGTTTTTTGCATTTAGGCAATTTTCTCCACCCGATCAAGCAAAATGAGACCAACCTTGTACTCGTATAGCTCCTTTAAATGTGATGCTACTTGATCATGTTGTTTTTTGTTGTGCCCGGCATTACCTACACGTACGCGCCCGTAATTTTTCACTGTCAGACTATTAACACTGAAGCGAAGCCCAGCCAAACCTCAGGTAAGCGTTTGCGCGCCGTCGCCGTATGTCTAGGATGGAGTCAAATAGACTGAAGTTTATTGCACCGAATATAAGATGAATGGTAGAATTTTTGAGGTCATGCGTGGCGGAACTTCAAACACTACTTCGTAAGACCGGAGCTGTCATTTCTCGGTAGTCACGTGCACTGGGATATTGTCATGCTTAAGCTTGGAGGGGAGGGCAAGCAACGCTTTCGTTTGTAGCTTCATTTATCAATGTGGAAGCACCTATGTCCCCATGTTAGCTATTGGCTACTTGTCCCATGAGGCCTTGTAGTCAACGAAGAGAAGACATGGTGATACAAAGCTAGATGCGTAGCTGCATCCCCAAAAACTGTAGAATTCTAGCGAAGGGAGATGAAATGTCACAAGTCTGAAGCTATCCATGTACTCCTCCCAAAGAACGCCATGTTTCATTATTGTCGTGACATACTCTTGTCTAGGCGAAGCTGTCTTGGGCTCAGCCAAGGACTTGGTCAGTATAATTCTCTCGTACGCCTGCCACTGTAATTGCACCAATCGCACTAAAAAAAATTTGGCTGTTAGTGTCTCGAGGCCACAGGAAGAGCCGGCGTGTCTTTCAGAGCTTAGGTACGTACCGCAGTAGAAGATGAGCCATCGTTATCCACAATACAATATTCGTTCCTGCATGTCCGACACGACCGGATATAGAGACTCCGGCAATCAGCACACTGAGTAGTTAGTATCCAATCTAGGAGGATGGGTACCAGAGGACGTACTGTAGGTCCACATCCGAAGCAATCCCGTTTAACCCCAACAACCTGCAAAGCTCATTGTCAGTTTCCGTTATCAGGAATACACCCAAAACATACCTCAGCGCGCCAGAGCCGCCACTCGGAGAGCCAAACCATGCCGAGGTGCTGGTTGTGTAATACACAATGACTGTCTCCGCGCTGAGGTGCTGCAGTGTTTGTCAAACTTTACCCCCACATGCCGGCACTTCCGGCAGTGGTCATTTCACTGACTAAACAGTTTTCAGTACAGAGACCCATATGTACCTTGATGTCTTTTTTGGTCTTCCGCCCGGATTGTAGCATATCGCTGATTGCCTCTTCTTGCTGCATTGCTGTGAACGTGGAAGTGCCGGTCCCCTCATAACAGTCTTCGTCCCACCATTTGTTGCAGCGTTCGCACCAGCGACCCCTAAGACAGTCTTCGCAGCGCGAAATTAGTACTGGCATTTCGTTGCGGTTCCGTGCTGACGGCCTTTGGGCTGCCTGGATGGTCGAGGAATGAAGCGGAGGGGGACTAAGAAGTGGAAGATGATGTGAAGGGGATTTGCCGAAGATAGCCGCGCCCTCAGGGCAAGAGTTGCAGTTGTGACAACCAGAGGAGCCAAGTGCTATGCTGGCCACGGCCGGGCTCAAGTATGAAAGTGGATGTGGAGCAGGCGAGTCATCCGTAGGACCTGTGTATGCCGTGGAGATGTCGTGTCGTGGGCCGCGACAGAGAACAGCATCGAAATATATGATACCCTCGCAAGCTTTGAGTGTTTCCGCCCACTCTGGAGAAGGACGCTTGTGGAGCACCCGTCCTGCGGATTGATACCATTTGTGTTCCGATTGGGACAGTGACGAACTCAAAGCATCAGAGGACTTTTGGTTCCATTCTGCACCAATCTGGGCGCCTTCCGAGCCCATTACGCCAGCAGGAGTCCGTGGAGGAGTGGTTCGCTTCTTCCCGATAGGTTCCGTAATGGGAGAGGGATCTTTCACGCCGAACACATAAAGCCCCTTCAACCTTGGTGTCCCTTCCGGCCTAGAAGGTCGCACAGCATACTTCAGAACCTGCATCAATTTCCTTTCGTTCAAATGCTCAGCCTCTCGGACAGAGAGTATGCGGACGGCGAACCGATCTTCCGCGATGATCTCTCGCACGAGATCAGCCGGCACGCTTAAACCGTCAAGGACCAGAGTATGCACGTGCTGCAGGACATTTCGTCTGCCAAGTTTAGAAAAGATACCTCTCAGGGGGCCGGAGTAGAATTCGTCTTCAGTCAAGGCCTCGTCCATGCGCTCCGAACGCCAGTTGATACCCCCGGAATCCAACGGCGACGCGTGAGGTATAATGGCCGACCTGACGGTTGATAGATCCAGATAGCGGAAAACATCAGGCGAATGGAAGACCAGCGCATGGAATGCTTTGGACGTCCTTGCAAGCGCGTAAAGTGAGGAAGTCGGCAGATAGGGTGCTGTGTGGTGCAGCAGAAGTGAGTTTCTCAGCAAGTCCAAGAGAGTAGTAGGACTGGCATCACTCGAGGGCGAAGCCATTTAGTGGCCGATAGCACGACGGTTGCGTCGAGGTTGAATGCGCACAACAACAGCGGGACGGAGGCGGCGGGCACAAGAGTCAGTCGATCTGTCCGACCCGCACCCTGGTCGTCACCAGCGGCAGCGCTTTGCTCAATTGGTCTTAGACGCGCGATCTGCCGCTCCGCCTTATCGCTATCGGTGACGTGCGCCTCGTGAACGTTCGAGAAGCAATTGGAGTACTCCGTAAGCAGCGCGCGACCTCCTGGTCGTTTGCCTCTCTTTCTTCGCCAGCACCCTTCCGTCATCATTCTTTTTCGCAGTCATGTCTGCAGAAGACCCCGTCTCGCTACAATGGTCCGCCCAGTTCAACGCTGTTCCATCGTCCAAAGCCGCCCTCTTGCCCGGTGACAAGCTTCTCTTGCCGCCGTCCGCTCTTGAGCAGCTCTTGGCTGCAGCACCCATTATTGCGGCCCCTTCTACCTCGAACCAACCGCGAACCGCAGACTTTGACCCCTACAACCCGTATTCCTTTGCCGCCGAGAGACACGCGCGCGATCAACTCCAGAATCGCCAACAGCAACTTCCGCATCCTCTCACCTTCCGCCTAGTCAATCCCGAGAATGGGAGAGCTGTTTATGCTGGTATACAAGAATTCTCCGCGGAAGAGGGCGAGGTGGTATTGAGCAAATTCTTGAGGGAGTCGCTTGGTCTGGATGACACAGATGCGGGTCACAATATTGACAGCAATGAGACCATGGAGAATAGAGAAGAGGAGGATGTAACTGGTGGAGCGAGGAGTACTAGGATCACTGTGCACGCCAAGACGCTTCGAAAAGGCACTTTCGTCAAACTTCGCCCACTGGAGGCCGGCTACGACCCGGAAGACTGGAAATCATTGCTGGAACAACATCTACGCTCCAATTTCACAACACTGACGAGTGGCGAGATACTCGTGGTACCTGGTGCACGGGGCATAGGTCGGAAAAAAGAGGAATTTAGGTTTTTAATCGATGGCTTTAAACCAGAAGACGATGGCATCTGCGTGGTCGACACTGACCTTGAGGTGGACATTGAAGCCTTGAACGAGGAACAAGCACGGGAAACCTTGAAGAGGATAGCTGCAAAAAAGATGAGAGCGCCGGGAAAAGAAGGTGGCAGCTCACCTGGTGGAAAACTCAACTTGTTAAAGTCTGAGCAGGGCCAAGTACTGGATGGAGAGTACGTTGACTACGAGATACCTTCGTGGATACGCTCCCAAGGGCTCGAGATTCAATTAAGCGGGGTGGATGGTGAAGACGAAATCGATCTTTACGTGAGCCCCTTTGGTGCACGACAGCGAGCGAAGCCTCGAGCAGACGAGTATGTCTTTGCAGACGTCTCAAGCGGCTTCTCGAAGCGGATAAGGTTGCAGCCCACGAATGTCGGATTAGAAGACGCGGAGTCAGTATGGGTGTCCGTCCATGCGTTTCCCCAGAGTATACCGGAAGCAGAAGGTTCCGGCAGCCAGAAAATGCCCAAGCAGTTCCAGCTTCGTGCAGTTCCATTCGACCCGAAGGATGATTTGGAACCTTCCAAGCAGGTGGCACCGCCATCAGTTCCTCCAAATCCGGACGATGTCCAATGCAAGAACTGTCAACAGTGGGTACCACAGGGAAGACTCGTTTTACATGAAAGTTTTTGTTTCAGAAACAACGTCCATTGCCCGGAAGGCTGTAATCAGGTGTTTCAGAAGCGCTCAGAAGCTTGGGAGAATCACTGGCATTGCCCACATGACACATTCTGGGGCAATGGATCTCTAAGCCGCACGAAGCACGACGCCATATTTCACGCATCCTACACCTGCGACCATTGCAGCCAAAGCTTCACATCACTAGCTCAGCTTGCGCATCATAAAACAACTGTCTGCCCAGGCAAGCTGATTCTTTGTCAGTTTTGCCATCTCGAGGTTCCACAGGAGGGTGATCCCAATATACCAAACCCAGAGGCTCTTCTGTCAGGCCTGACGCCCCATGAGTTGGCCGACGGCGCACGCACAACAGAATGCCATCTGTGTGCCAAGATTGTCCGCTTGCGAGATATGTCAACGCACCTTAAACACCACGACTTGGAACGACTATCCAGACCTACGCCGCGGATCTGCCGCAACGTCAATTGCGGCCGTACCCTAGACGGTGCCAACAAGACCGGCGACACAAGAGCAGGGACTCGCATGGGACAGGGACCTGGAAATGACATTGGTCTCTGCAGCGTGTGCTTCGGGCCCTTGTACGTGAGCATGTACGACCCGGAGGGCAAGGCACTGAAGAGGAGGGTGGAGAGGCGTTACTTGCAACAGTTGCTGACTGGCTGCGGGAAAGAGTGGTGCGGGAACGAGATGTGCAAGAATGGGCGTCAGAAGCGGGGGATCACGCCAAATTCGCTGTCAACGAAGGATGCACTGCCCGTCATTAAGTCATTTGTGGAAAGCCTGGCAAATGGCGAGACGCCACTGCATTTCTGCACCGATGAGGGTAGTCAGAGGAGGAGAAGCATGGCGGAGATGCTGGCTGCTGAGGGAGACGTCAGTGGCAAGGGAGGGTTTGGGCTGGAGTGGTGCTGCGCTGCGCTCGAAGCCGAAGGGGGCGACTTGGAGAAGGCGGGGGTGTGGCTGAAGGGCTGGGCGCCGCAGAGGGGGGAGTGCAGCTAGATACAGGTACATAGATAGATTTCCCTATGCGGCGCGGAGGAGGATCGGGTGGGTGAGGGGCGGCTGGCGGCTTCGGTCGGCGAAGACTTGCTCCCGCTTGGTCCATGCTCACCTATCTTCTTCCCTCGACTTTCTTCTTCGCCCTCGGCCTTCTTTCTCTCCCGCGCATCCGCCGCTGCTTTGCTGTCGCACCCCTCGCCTCGATCTTTACCATGGGTTGGTTTTGGGCAGACACCGACCCTAAGGCGCCAGCCGCCCCTTATCCTCTCCCCAACGCCGCCGCCGCCGCTCCTCCGGTTCGTCTTCCTCTTCCGCCTCCCCGCGCTGCATACTGACACTTCTCAGCCCGCGTGCCCCATGCACAAGTCTTCTGATCCATCCCCTCACTCGCCTACGCCCGCTGGCGCTTGTCCCGTTGTCCACAACGCCCCTGTTCCTACCTCCAAACCTACTGGCGCATGCCCGGTCGTCCATGACGCCCCCGCTGCCGCCCCAAAGTCGGGCCTCCTTGACAAGCTGAACCCTCTCAACTACATGCCCTCGTATTTGTCCCAGGAGCGCGCCGAGAATCAGACGATCGACCTGCCGACGAGCCGAGAGCCGTCGTCGATCCCTCGCGGTGATGGCGGGGGCAACTGGGAGTACCCATCGCCACAGCAGATGTACAACGCGATGCTGCGCAAAGGCTACACAGATACGCCACAGGATGCCGTCGAGTCGATGGTGTCGGTGCACAACTTTTTGAACGAAGGCGCATGGGCAGAAATTCTCGAGTGGGAGCGGCGCTTCGGGCGCGGCGTCGTGAATGGCTGGCGCGAGAGTCGGCGCGGTGAGGAAGGTAGCCAGGCCGACAGCTTGCTTGGCGCCGACTGGCCAGACAAGGAAACACAGCCACCGCGCCTTGTGCGCTTCATGGGTCGTCCTGGAGATCTTACACCCAAGGCCCGCATGTTGCAGTTCTTGGGGCAGATATACCCGGCCAAGTTTGGCTCTGAGCCACCTTTTGATAGGCACGATTGGTTTGTTCAGAGGACACTACCGGACGGCACGAGCGTTGAGAGGAGATATGTCATCGATTACTATGAAGGCCCGCCGGAGCACGGCCTGCCCATCTTCTTTTTGGATGTCAGGCCGGCCGTTGACACGCCTAGCCAGGCAGCAGAAAGAGCCATTAGGTGGGGAAGAGATGTTTGGTGGAGGGCGGTTGGTGGCAACATCAGGGAGCAGCTGGAGGCTCAGCAAGCCTCAAAGAGGTAGAAACAATGTTCCAGTGGCGTTTGTGGAGAGGGGTTCAAGGGTTTGAAGGTTTATGGGCGCATTCTTCTCTTTTGGCTCCGATGAGTCTCCTGGCACCTCTTTCTTAGGACATGATATCTTTACGAGTCCATGCCCCCAAACAACTAAGTCTCATATGCTGATGTGACTGTGAGCATACGAACGAACTCTGATTGCAAAAAAAAGGAAGATTCGAGGGCGTGCTCCTGCATGCTGCATGACCACGTCTGCGTTGCCGAGAAAACGGAAGCGAACGCCGTATGTACCTACCTACCTTCGCGCACGTCAGAGGCCGTGCCGATGGCATCAGGTCCCACAGATTGTCTCATTGGCCGCGCAGTTCTTATCTCGCCTGCAACTACACCTCCATGCCGCGAGGAGACACGGTGCCTGGCGCGTTGCATCGCGCGGTCAACCTGATGAAAACTGCTTCCACAGCTTGGATAGACGCACCCCGGTACTCGCTGCTACCAGGACAGGACGATGGTACCGCAGCACCCTCTCGCCTATGTCAACACTGCCGCTCATAAAAATAACGTTAAAGCACATCCAACCGAACGCTGCCCGACCTTAAACGACGATGAAGTTCAGAACGAGCTCGACTGGTCTGATGAAGAAGAGAGACGACTAGTATGCAAGTAAGTGGTCGAGATGGTGAATGTGGAATCTTGGACTGACTAAACCAAACCAGGCTAGACATGGTGATAATGCCTTTGCTAATTCTTGGCTTCTACGCTCTTCAGCTGGATCGTGGGAACATGTAGGTGCTTGTTGGGCCTGTCTGACTGTGTAGTGAACTGACAGTTTGAAGTGGAAATGCTTTAACGGATTATTTCATGGAAGGTGAGTGAGACTTTCATAGTTTTACCCCTTGGTTCATTCCTTTTATACACAGTTTCATCGATACTAGAGGCTTTTAGGAAGGGTTTCTGGTACACTACATTAAGTATAGAAGCATTCCAAGCGTTGTCGTTTCGACGTAAAGATGTTTTTAATTAGAAAAGCATTTTCTAAGGTTAAAACATCAAAGTATCTGACAACAGTCTATACAGATCTTCACCTTACACAGCTACAATTCAATGTTGGTCAACAGCTCTTATCGGCAGGAATAGTGATCCTCGAGGTATGTCAAGCGTGGGAGAGCCCCCATTAATTCACGGAGGAACACTAACCGCTTTGACACAACAGATACCGAGCAACTTCATTTTGTACAGGATAGGGCCACAAAAATGGATCAGTGGCCAGATACTTGCGTGGTAAGAAGATTTTCATACAACCACTTTCAACAGCTACTTACCTATCCAGGGGATTCGTCGCGACATTTCAAGCATTCCAGAAAGGCTTGAGTGGTTATATATCTACTAGATTCCTCCTTGGGTATTAAGCAATCTGCCCTTCGATGTAGGCTGTGGAAGTACTAACTTCACCCAAGATTGTGCGAGGCTGGATTCATTCCTGCAGGATTGTATACCATTACAATCTTTTACAAAAGAGCTGAAACCAGCAAACGGTTTTCCTATTTCTTCCTTGGCAACTTGGCAGCTGCAGCTTCTACCGGCTTGATAGGGTATGGAATTTTACAGATGCGAGGCGTGTGTAACTTGGCTGGCTGGCAATGGCTCTTTATTGTAAGCTTCTTGTTACTAGTTAGAGATGACGGCAGCTAACGACTAAAGATCGAGGGCTTATTCACAGTCATAATCGGCCTTCTATTCATCTTTCTCTTCCCTCAAAGCTTAGCTCAGCCAAAAAGCTTGCTTGGGTTTCACTACTTTAGTCCTCGTGAATGCGAGATATTACGGCAAAGGGTTATCCACGATGATCCCCGAAAATTACAGAAGACGAATTGGATAGGTTGGGAGGAAATCAAGCATGCTGTAAGAACCAATTTCTCGAAACATCATCAACTCTATGCTTAACCGCTCGTGGCAGTTATCGAATTGGAGAGTGTACCCACATATCCTGCTCACGTTGGTTGCTATGGCTCCAAACAACACATTCTCCTCTTATGCTCCGACTCTTGTTGGTTCATATGGTTATGGCCGACTAGTTTCTAACGCTCTAGTTTCTGTTGGCAACTGGATTGCCTTGGTCTTAATTGCTAGTTGGGGATATATGGCGTGAGTTTACAAAACCTTTGTCATTACGGATAACACAGCTCATCTATACACAGCGATCGGCTCGGAGTCCGTGGACCTTTTGTCTTTCTCGGTGTTCTTCTGTGGTGGGGTTTCTCGGTAAGTCTTCCTTTTGCCCCTACCAGGCGGAAACAAATTGACATCGACAGATTGGGAACCTTTGCTTGATTCATTCCTCTGATAGACGTGCTCGCTACGTTCTCCTTGTACTTGGTATGTCTGTATCCCAGGTTTACCATGCCGTCAACGGCTCTTGGCTTGCTTTGAACTCGCGTTCTGCGGGCGAACGCTCTATCACCATGGCCCTCTTCATTATGGCAGCAAATTGCGCAGCCATCATCGGCTCGCAGCTCTTCCAAGCTGAGGACAAGCCTCTTTATAGAAAAGGCTGGTCTGCTATAGTGGGTTTGACAAGTGCGGGTTTGGTATTTGCAACATTGGCAAATGCGCAATATCGACTTTTAAACAAAAGAATGAAAAGGAAAGAAAGAGATGGGATATCAGGGGAGCATGCAGAGAGATTGGAAGCTCATACTAGGTATTATCATGTTTAGTGTCCTAGCAGTTGAAGAGACAATGGATATATGGTTTTCAGGGAAAATTGAGTCGTATCCCGTAAAGAAGAAGCTAAACTGAGAGAATTGTGAATCTTATACACTTTATAAGCATCTTAGCTGCATCTTAGCGTCTATGAATACAGCTAAGTTATAAGCTTTATACGTGAACTGGTCATTGTTCTCAAATAGGTATAACATAGTGTTATAGAATCCCTGAGCTTGAAGCGGCTTAACAGCCTTTCGCTCCTTAAAGTAGATTTATGTGCTCAGCTGTCACATGGTATCGGCAAACTCATCTGACTTTAGTCTTCGGAATAGTGAATAAGTCTAGACAATGTCAAAGAAGATAGCTCGCTGACACAGAGATGAGGTAAATAAATGAGAAGTACGTTGCATATAGCGACATACGTAGTAGGATGACTACAATTATGGTGAATCACTCTATGTGTCATAGAGTCAAATAGTGTTACGCTGTGATCCATTCAGTCAGAAATCCACAAAGCAGAAACAATCAAAAATCTTACAACATTTACCATTTAAGCAAATGGCAATTCTAACTGGGCGCTTGGTCTAGGGGTATGATGTAAGTTGAAATTCACAGCCATTTATCTTAAACAATTCACTAACGATTAGAAGTTTCGCTTCGCATTAAATAAGACATGTGCCTGTGAAAGGTCGTGGGTTCAATTCCCACAGCGTCCAATTTCTTTTTAGCCATGCCAAATCCATCGGCGGCATTGCTTTACTTTGGTTTTGATGTTTGACGAAGGAGCCAATTGATGCCTTTCCAGTCTCAGTAGTTGAGATTCAGATAACCATTCGGACAATTCGCGCATTTGGCGGGACAGTCTCTCCTGACGATCTAGTAAACAGATCAACCCTCAGGGTGGCCTCTCAATGTGCATGTATTTACGTACCACTGGAAGTTTCGAAGGGCGATTAGGGAGGGCCTGAGCCACTGGTGCACTCAAGAGAACTCACTCTCATGGCCGATCCCGCTTGGGATAAATCCAGTACCGATATAGATCCATATTCTTGAATCCAGCTATCTAACCAGCCATGCAGCAGCTCATGAAACGCCATATAACAGAAGAGGAAAACAATAAGAACCGAAGCACCCATCCTCCAAGGATTCCTAATTCCAATCCAACAAAATGAAAGCGAAAAGAAGAACGAGAATACTAGGCGAGTAGGGCTTTTGCTTTTTTCGCCTACTCCACTAGCAGCATGTTTTGCTACGCTTCATTTTACTTCATGTCGCTGCCACCAACGTCGGCCATCAATCGCCGATAGAGTCGACCTAGAACCGTGCAACCACACTTGATCTTCCCTCGACCCTATTTGCCGAAGCCTACCAAATAACAAGCCAGCGCCTAACGTACATTTGCGCCGAGTCTCCGCTCAAGATTCAGCTCGCCTATTGATGCGCTTTCTTCGCCGGCTTTCGCTAAATCAACTCTCCGTCCACGGCGACAATGACGTTTTCCAAGGGAATTGTTTAAGTGGGAGCGTGAAAACGAGAGGAAAGATCGAGGGGTTGACCCTATGCCGCGGCCAAAAGAAAAAAGACACCCATTTGCTCGTCTAAAGCCTTGGAAAAGGAAAAAAAAGGGAAAGAGAACACGCAGACGCAGCAAAGGAAAGGGAAAAGACTCGTGAGCACGTCATGCCTCTTTGTATGCATTGAAAAAAATACAGTGCAGAGCCATTGACTGCATTCTTGACGTCTACCGCGGCTTTTTGACCTCGTTTGCCCAGCCTTCGATGCCTTCTCCCTTGCTACCCAGGGCGATGTCGAGCTTGATGTCCTCCATACCCTTGGTATCATCCAAGAACTCGTGGTTCGACATGCCACCGGCATTGGCTCTCTCTGCCGGGATCAGGTCCAGCATGGGAATAAGAAAATCGCTGATGCGCTTTGCATCCTCGGTCGAGAAGTGGTACTTTTCTCGTAGCACGTCGGGCAGTGCCCAGTGGCGCAGCCGGTGGATGTTGCGCAACTCACCACGGCGATTGAAGATTTCTTGGCTCCATTTGCCTGACTGGCAAAGTGATTTGGGAAAGGTACCGAGTAGCTCGATGATCTGTGCGATGTGGTCGTCATCTTTGCCGTACTTTGTGCCCGATTGTGGGTCGAACAGATAATCGCCAGTTATGAGTTCGAAAACCTGCATCAGTGTTAATCATGGTATTGCATCTGCAGAGCCAGCCGCATCCACTTACCATAGCAGACATGCTCCAAACATCGGTACTCGCGCCCCACTTTGCTCCCAGAATGACTTCCGGCGAGCGGTACTGTCTAGTCTGGATGTCGTTTGTAAAATGGTGACCAACCCAACATGCATTTCCCAGGTCGGCAATCTTGACTGAGATAGTCTCGAAGCTCGCATCTTCTTTGACCTTTTCCGGGGGAGCTTGTTTACTCGACTTGTCGAGACTAATCCCGGAAATATCCTTAGTCAACAAATCCCTGCTATTGTTATTATGGACGACTCTCCGCATTGTGGAGGGTTGGCGGAGCACTTACGCTGTCTTTTCCCTTTGCTTTTGCGCCTCATCATCATCACTGCTCTTGACCCCCAGCGACTCCAACATAGATAGCCCCGAAGACTGCGACGCACTCGAGCCTATTGCGCCACTCATTACGACATCTTCTTTTTCGAGGGGAGGAGGACTGGAGCCGGAGACGGGGTCTTCATTACCTGTATTCTCATTCATGATCTTGTTCAGACTCGCCGTGCTGCCGGGGAAGCTGTTCAGCTCCGATTGATTAAAGTTGGCGTTGAGTGGGCTTGGCAGCGGTTGGCTGCCAGTAATGAGAGTCCGTCTCCTCCGCCGACCGCTTCTGTTGTCGTCCTTGTCGTCTTTCTTTTTCGAGGAATCGTCGTTGACATATGTCTTGACAATCTGCTCGACATCCCCGATCTCTATGAGGACGTTCTCGGGCTTGAGGTCGGTATGGATGATGCCGCATTCCCTATGCAAATAGTCGAGACCAAGGAGAACTTGCTTCGTGATTTGCTTGACAAGCGGCATGGGTATGCCACGGTGGTTCCAGCGCTTGATAAGTCCCAGGAGGTTCTCCCCGAGTACCTCAAACACCATACAGACGTGGACGCCGTTGGGACCCTTGTGGTTGAACGAATCCAGCAAACTGACGACGTGCTTCCTTCCGGGATGGTCCTTGTTGGCCTCGACGACTCTGTTCAACAACTTGATCTCGTCAAGAGCTGTCTCGGTATAGTGGGCGGCCGAACGCACGACCTTCAAGGCCACGTGCTTTCCCGTCGTATTGTCCCGCGATAACCATACAGTCGAAAAGTGACCCCATCCGAGTTTCCGCACAACCGTGTACTTGCCGTTATTGTACTGCTCCCCAACCTGCACAGGATGGTAGCCGCCTTTGCAGTAATCTTCAGAGTCTTCTTCATCGGCAGTGTTTTCCTCGGCGGCTTCCGACGAGGAGCTAGACGAGGGCGAACGGCTAAGCTGGGAGGTGTACGTCTTGTGGTGGGCTAAGGGCGATGTAGTGTTCTGGACACTGGATGGGGCTCGACGTCAGCGCCTTGGGTTCACGTTGCGCGGGCAGAGACAAACCTGTACTGGAAGCTGTTGGCCGAGCTTGCCGGGCTTGCGTCCTGTGCTTTTTGCTGCTCAGTGGTGATTATTGGCTTGAGGTCTGTTCCTTTTCTTCGCTTCTTGCCGCCGTTGCCATTGGCAGCCTGTGCAACGGCCTTTGCCTTGTTGATGGCGGCCTTTTTGATGTCGGTGCCGTTCATGGTGGGCGGGTGTGGCGGGGGTGGGAGGGTTGCGAACGGTGGTCAGTGACGTTGTGGAGAAGAGAAGAGGTTGCGACCGGCGATCGGGAGACGGAAGAGCGTCGTCGGCCGTCAGGCATCGAACGGCGACGGCGGGGACGGGAGCAGCAGCGCGCGCAAACGGCCGTGTCAATTGCCTGGAGGTGGTGAATACGGGCGCTTGTTGGTGCTTGGTGGGTTGATTGATTGGGATGGCTGCCGGGAAGACGTGGGCGTCAGGTTTGGGTCTGTGCCCGCAATGATTGGCGCAGCGGGGAGGCGAAGGAACGGAGCAGCTTGCGCGACCTGGCCTTGGCACAGCGAGGGGGGGCGACCGTCACGGCCGACGAGGGGAGAGCGAGAGAGAGCGAGGAGAGAGAGGGGCAGAGGCAGACGGATAGACTGCAAGACAAGACCGACACGGAGAGACACGGAGGGCAGCTCGCTGCCCAAGCTGACACGGTTGACATCATCACCACTATTAGGTACATACATTAATTATTCCCTACCTACCAACTTACCTATCTCGTCGTAATGGCGCTCATCCACTTCTGCTCGTCTTTGCGGTCAAAGTGCAGCAGCATTCCCAGCACCGGCACCAGCTGCATCTGGTGCTTCTTATCCTTCTGCTCCATAAACTGCAGCAACACGTTCTTCAGGTACACCAGGTCCATCGACATGTCCGGCGCTGCATTCTGGCCCACCGCGCTGGCGATCGAGGGCGATCTTCCCTTCAGCACCGGAGGAGAGCCTACACGCCCGCGGCCTGACTCGAATGAGGATCGCGACGACTCGACTGGCGACTTCGTCTGCTTGAGCGTGCGTACATCTTCCGCCAGAGACTGCGCCTTGTCAGCATCACAAACGTACCACGGCATAGCGGCTGCAAACTCACCTTGCTGCTCTTCTGCACTTTCTCCAGCCTGGACTGCGTCTCCTCAATCGTCTTCCTCAGCTCGCCCTTTTCCCTCTCCACTTCTCTCATCTGCTTCTCTCCTTCATCGAGCGCGTCCCTCAGTTGACCCATTGCAGCCCTGACCTCGGCCACTTCCTCTGTCGCCTGCGTTGCCTTTCTCTCCAGCTCCTCTTTCTGTCTCCTCAGCTCCTTTTCAGACGCCGCCAACTCCCCCTTGTCTTCCTGCACGCGCGTCAACGCTCTCTCAGCATCCCGCACCTTCTGCTTGAGATCATCCAGCTCCCGAGCCCGACGCCGTCCAATGGTGTTGGCTTGGTCTTCTGCCCGGTCGCGCTCTTCAATCGCAAGATCCATTCGTTCACGCATCTCCTTGACGCGCGCCTCAGCGCGGCCTTCAACGTCTGCAAGCAGGCGACGCATTGTCTCGCCCTCCCGACTCCGCTCACTCAGAAGTCTGTGTGCGTCTGCTAGCTCCTCCTCAAGTGATTCGCAACGCTCACGAACTTCCTTCATCTGCGTGCCTATCTCTTGCGTCTGGTCTTGCATGCTGTTCATGAGGCTCTGCGCGCTTGCATACTGGGCACCCTTGAGCTCAATCTCCTCGCGCATGCTCGAAGCATCACGGTTGAGCTTCTCGGCCTGTTGCTCAAGATTCTTGAGGTTTGCACGTGAGGTTTTAAGCTCCTCTTGCGCCTTTGACAGGTCTTTGGCCAGCCGCTCCCGTCCCTCTACTGCATCGGCCCGCTCGCCTTCTAACTTCTCGAGGTCTCTTTGTGCCTTTGTGCACGTTTGATCGAGCGCAGAATTCTTGTTTGTCTCCTGTTTGAGCTTGTCATTTAAGGTCTTGATTTCCACATCTCTGGCGGCGACTTGCGATTTGTATGTGGCGATCTCGGAACGCAAATCCTTCTCCTTGGTCTCAAGCTTGCGTATTTCAGTCTCCTTTTTAGAAAGGTCATCTTTGACGTTCTTCAGCTCTGTGACCTCTTTTCGAAGGGCGTTCAACTCGGGTTGAGCCTTCTGTAAAACGTCTCGAAGATCCGTCAAATCCTTAAATCTCTGGGCTGCGAGTTGCTGTGCCGCTGACAAATCTGTCTCCAAGGAATCGGCTTTGGTTTTAAGCTCTTCAAAGTCCGTGGCAAGCTTCTGGCGTTCACTCTCGGAAGTTGCACTTGACGCTTGGCTGGTCTTCAATTCTGAGATCTCCTTCTCCAACTTTTCCATGTTGCTCTGCAGCGCTGACTTCTCAGCCTGCAGGTCTTTCAGTTTGTCTTTTGCTTCAACATGTTCCTGGCCGACATCAATAAGTTCTTGCCGCAAATCGTCCAGCTCTTCCTTGAGGTCGTCTTGGTCCTTGAGTTTTCCTTGCAGGCGCTCGATGGCCGCATTCTTGTCATCCACATCGTGTCTCAGTTTCTCAAGTTCTTCGTCCTTCTCCTTCAGGGTTGATTGAATTTCATCAATCGTTTCCCGTAGCTTGACTCCTTCTTCCACAGTCAAGCTATCAGCAACATCCGTCTTCTCTGTCTTTTCTGGTTCGGCAGCCATGGCTGTACCAGGCCTATCAGGCGTAGCGCTGACTGCTGCACCGCCTTTGCCGCCCTTCTTCTTCTTTTTGTTGTTCTTTTTCTTAGCAGCACCCGGAGCCGTGGTTTCTGTCTTATCAGCAGTTGCTGCGCGTTCAGGCTCCTGCTTCTCTTGGGCGGCAGATTTGGCTTGCTCTTCAATCTCTTTCTTGAGACGGTTCTTCTCGGTTTCTGCATCCTTCAATTGCTCCTTTAGAGTCGAGACAAGGTTGTTCAAGGTTTCACTGCGTTTTTCGTGCTTAGTTGACGAAGCTCGCAGCTCGTTGAGCTCAGACTCGAGTTTCTCTATTTCAACATGTAGACGTTTTTCAGCTTCGCCTGACTCTGAAGTTTCGGCACTGGTCTTGCGCAACTCCTCCAAGTCCTTGTTGGCTTTATCGAGTGAAGATCGGAGATCCGTGGTGGTGCTTTCATAAGCATTTCGTTCGTTTTCATGCCGTTCCAAATCTTTCTGGGCTTTCTCGAGACTTTCTCTCAGTTCATCTGCCGATTTGCGCAAGCCGTCAGCTGTTGATTGCAGGGCCTCGGCCTTTTCAACAGCTTCAGTGTCCGACTTCTCCTTGGTTTCTTTGAGCGCTTGTAAATCACTTGTCGCCGTTTCTAAATTCCGCACTAGTTGCTCGGCAGATTCCTTGGCTGAAGTGACTTCGTTCTTCAAAGATTTGTTTTCCTCCTCAAGCTTTCCAATCTGTTCCTCCCGCTCTTGAAGTTCCTTCTTGACACGAGGCAGTTCGCTGTCGTATGAGAAGAACTCCTCACTCTCTTCCACCGTGGGAGATTTCACGGACTCGCTCTCAGCAACCACCCCAGAATCTGCATCGGTACTCTTGCCATCTGCTGCGGTAGCAGTTTCCTTCTCCAAGCGGAGATTGTCAAGGTCGTCTTGTGCTTTGGTCGCCCGCTTCTCCGCCTCTTCTAGCTTCTGTTTGAAGGAGTCCCTCTCTCCTGACACGCGTTTGAGTTCCTCCATGACCATATCTCCTTTGAGGGTGATTTGATTTAGGTACTCGATCAGGGCTCCAGGGTCATTGATCGAGGTCAGTGGGGTGTGCTCCCTCAATGAAGCTTCAAATGGTTCGATGGCAGACACGCGGGCATGGGCGATGCGGTAGGAGCGAAGAAGTTCTGGAATTAATCAGGTCTTGGGTACAAATCACGCAGCGCAGAATAGATATACCAGAATACTTAGGCTCCAGCTTTTCTAATTTACGTAGCCTGACGCGGATTTCAGTCGGAAGCTCAGTCGAAACAGTTGGCTTGGCATCTTTTGCTGGCTCCGCCGCCTCTCTGTCTTCCTTGGCAGCATCACCATCCCCCGCGGCCTGTGGTTGCGCTGATTCGTCTTTGTCTTGGGCCGGCGCAGGCGTAGCAGTGCGACTCGGCTCATCCTCGCCGACAACGAAACGAGGGTCGAATTCAGCGGGGTCGGGGCCTTTTCCTTGCGGCAGATCGCCCGGACGTTTCGAGGGCGACAAGGCGCGGGAGTTAGAACGGCGCAAGGAGCTGGAACGGCCTGGCGTCTGGGAGCGTTGTTGCTCAGCAGCCTGCCTCTGGCGCGCCTGCTCCTCGGCAATGCGCGAGTCTATCGCGCCTTTGAGACGCTGGAATCCGTTCAGCATAGGGATTTAGGAGGAATAACAGGAGATTGCATCGTACCTGGAACATGGTGGGCGTGGACGTTGGCGTGGAAATGCCAGCTGTGCTCGCCGTCCGATGGAAGGAGCGACCCGGCGCCGGCTCATCATCGGGAGTTTGCGGCCTGGAAAATATTCGAGACGCTCGCAGCTCTGTCCAACAGCAGCAACAACAACAATGTCGACTGTGGCTATCAACCTGCCTCTCCCCGTCCTGCCTGCGGGCTGGGCGGCGGAAAAGGATTTCAAGGCCGTTGGCGCCCTGTCAGCCCCTACTCAGCGTAACATTGAGCCTGTCGGCCCTCACTTCCTGGCCCACGCCCGCAGGATGCGCCATAAGCGCACCTTCTCTGAGGATGATCGTATCCAGGCCGAGAAATCTGCCAAGAAGGTCGAAGAGGAGGATGACGGCGACATCTCCGAGCCCGAGGACCCGCTGATGCTTCAGCGTGACGCCAAGGACTGGAAGGCAAGTCTATCACAATGCTTTGCTGGCTCGGACACCTGCTAACTTTGCCATAGGGTCAAGACCATTATGCTGTCCTTGGTCTCTCCAAGTACCGCTGGAGAGCTACTGAGGACCAGATTAAGCGCGCCCACCGCAAGAAGGTCCTCCGTCACCACCCCGACAAGAAGGCCGCCGCTGGTCAGGCCCAGGACGACAGTTTCTTCAAGTGCATTCAGAAAGCTACTGAGATTTTGCTCGACCCTGTCAAGCGCCGCCAATTTGACTCCGTCGATGAGGCTGCCGACGTCGAGCCTCCTACCAAGAAAGAGACCCAAAAGGGCAACTTCTTCAAGTTGTGGGGACCCGTCTTCGAGTCTGAGGCTCGTTTCTCCAAGACTCAGCCCGTGCCTCTCCTCGGTGATGAAAACAGCACCAGGGAGGAGGTGGAGACTTTCTATAACGCCTGGTACAACTTCGACAGCTGGAGGACCTTCGAGTACCAGGACGAGGATGTTCCCGACGACAACGAAAACCGTGACCAGAAGCGTCACGTTGAAAAGAAGAACCAAAATGCTCGCAAGAAGAAGAAGACGGAAGACACTACTCGCCTGAGGCATCTTGTCGATGACTGTCTTGCTCTTGACGAACGCATCAAGAAGTTCCGTCAACAAGAGCACGCCCAGAAGAACAAGAAGCGCCTGGAGAGGGAGGCCGAGGCTAAACGTGCCGCCGAAGATGCTCAGAAGAAGAAGGAAGAGGAAGCGCGTCTGCAGGCCGAGAAGGAGGCTGCCGCGAAGGTTGAGAAGGAAGCTGGTAAGAAGGCCAAGGAGGCGGCCAAGAACGCCGCAAAGAAGAACAAGCGTGTCGTGCGCAGTGCGGCCAAGGACAACAACTACCTTGTTGATGGCGAGGCTTCGGCGGCGCAGATTGACGGTGTTCTGAATGATGTGGACGTGCTCATCACCAAATTGGACGCTGACGAGCTGGCTGCGTTTGTTGCCAAGCTTAACGGCAAGTCCGGAGCTGCCAGTGTCAGACCTATTTACGCCGATGAAATCAAGCGTCTGGTTGAGGCGGGCAAGGTGAAGGCGGGCGAGCTCAAGAACATTGAGGCTTGAGAGAGGAAGAGTGTGTATGTTATAGATTACTCGTATGGGCAGCCTGGCAGCCGCATAGACAATGAGCAAATGATGTAACCGCCCGCAGTTCAATCTTCTTTCACATGGTAGGTATTAAATATCTAGTGTTGACTGCCCATAAATGTCTCTTCATAACGGCAAAGGTGTGCGAACGGCTACGCAATACCTCGCTTGATATGCGGATGGACGCCTTTCCGACCATTTGTAATGACACTCTCTTTGTAGCGGCAAAGTGCAAATGGCCGCGCAAGACAGCCTGATATACCGACAGTGCCTGCTTCCAACGGTCGGAATTTGCTGACCCGCTCAAACGTTGTACCTAACCAGTTTGACCGTAGATCGAATACAAAGGCACGCGCCCGAAAGCAAGGTGCAAGGGTGTGCTCCTCCGCGCTTCGCCGCGACCGCTTGCATCCTCGACATCAACTGAATCCCTTGTAAAGCAAGCTCCTAACACCCACCGCACGCGGCCACCCCACGCTGACACAGGCGAGAGCGTGCAGACACAACGGCTCCTGGAGGATACCAATCAGCAACTGCCTCATCATGCCGCACCCCACGCCCTCCGCACCCGAAGCGTCGCCCTCGCCCACTTCGCACGCCGCCGATGCAGGCGCACTGTCTGCCGCTCCTGCAAAGCTACCGCTCCACTTGGGGCAAGAGGATGTGCGCCGTCCTTCCATACAATTCTTAGCAAACCAAGGCCGGCCCAAGCGGAGCGACAGCCCGAAGGTCAGGCCGCAGCGTCGCCTCTCGTCACCTCCCCCTCCCCCGTGAGTGTTGCGCTTTCTTTTACACATGCCGCATCCAGAGTAGAAGTATAACAAGCATTTCACTTGCTATTCTGTTCAAGCATTACGAACTAGTGCAAGCCCAGCCTGCCCTCCTGCATCAGCGATCGATCTCGTTCCATGTGCACTCGTGGCTGATAGCGACCTCGCAGTGTGTTCCAGCAACGTGTATCTTTCGACACATTCGACAAGCCTGCCGATTTCATCGAGGAAAACTCCTTTACCTTGAGCAGGAAACACAAGGACTACGAGTACACCAAGAGATCTCGGACGTTTCTCTGTGGCCTGGACTCTAACGACTACTCGGAATATGCCCTTGAATGGCTCATTGACGAGCTGGTGGACGATGGAGATGAAATTGTGTGTCTTCGGGTGGTTGAAAAGGATGACAAGGTTGCCGCAGACAGCAGTGTCGAGCGTGGTAGATACCGCGAAGAAGCAGAGAGGTTGATGGACAGAATCCAGATGAAGAATACCGAGAATAAGGCTATCAATCTCATTCTGGAGTTCTCCGTTGGAAAAGTCCAAAAGGTCATTGAAGAAATGGTACAGTATCCGCAGATATACATGTTTCACTCTCAAGCTGACTCAAACAGATTAATCTCTACGAACCTGCGATTCTGATCGTAGGCACTCGCGGGCGTAGCCTTGGCGGCTTCCAGGGCCTTTTACCAGGTTCGGTTTCCAAATACTGTTTGCAACACTCCCCAGTGCCCGTCATTGTCGTGCGGCCATCGACCAAGAGAGCAAAGACGAAGCGTAAGCGGCTTCAGGATCCTACTCGGACGGGATACCGCGATCTTCTCGACAAGAGTGGGCCTGCCGGCAGTCACATTCTAGATACGCATAACAGACACAGCATCATGCTTGGTGACATTGCCAAGGAAGCTTCCGAGGAGGAAGCTGCGGCGGTTGCAAAAGCTGTTGGATTCGTGCCGCCTCCGGATCCTAGCCCGCTCGCGCAAGTCGAGAATGCGGGAGTCCAAGAGGCGCCGATGACGCCGGAGTACACGAGAGATGAGTTCCTCAGCCCCGACAACTCGCCAGAAATGGCGCGGGTGATGAAGAGCCCGGAGCTTGGTGATCTAGACAGTCCCGCGGATAGCGGCAGCGACATGAGCGATGAGGAAGAGGGCGGTGTTCAAATGATACCGCCTCTCGACAGCGTGATGCAGCAGCAACCTCCGACGCAGGAAAGCGAAGAAAAGACAGAGCCGGAGAAGGCAGAGCCGGAAAAGGCAGGGCCGGATAAGACAGAGCCGGAAAAGGCAGAGCCAGAGTCAGAGAGAGCGGAGCCGGAGAAAGCGGAGCCGGAGCAGACGGAGGTGGAAGCAGAGGCATTGCCGGACGAGGTCAGCAAGGTGAACCTCAACCTTACGTTGCCGCCTTAGGTTGGGTTGGGTTGTATTATTTTGTAGCGAGCATACGAGTTTAGCAGTGATGAATAATACTACGTACTTGAGCGAGACGAGCTAGGGCTCCTTGCGTGCGCGTCACCGACTCCGCCTCCACGGGCAGATGCAAGGCGATCCATGTTCCCTTCTCAAACAGCGCCGATCTTGCGCACCGCGATGGTCTTCATCTCCCTGGTCCAGTCGCTGCTCTGCCCCGACATCTTCGACTCTCAGTAAATCCTCATGCTGCCAACCGCCGACGACTGCGATGACTGCGTGCCCGAGTACATGCGGCGTTCGCCTTCCACCCTCCTCTTCTCCTCGATTCCCTTTCTCGCGACTTTCCTCGTCGTCGCCGTTGCCGTGAGCCAGCGCCTCTTCCCTCTCCTGTCCGGCCAAGCACCAGCGAAATTCTACCATGATACACATTCGCCGTCGCCGACGTCCCATCCCACTCTGCGCGAGGCTGCAAGGCGGGGCCCCGCTCCCCCAGCTTTAAAAAGAATCGCGAGCCTGGTCTTTTCAACCAACATTGCGCTGAGCGCAGTCCTGGTCGAACTCATTCTCTGCGAGATCTCCGGCTCCGTCAATCCAGTCGCACGCAGTCTGGCGCTCAAAATCACTCTGTCCTCCTTGCTCGTCTTGCTGATCCTGGTCACACCGGCGCTCGAAATTCACTCCATTGTATCAGCGGGAGGTTGGGCCTTTGCGGAGCCGGGAAAGGGGCGGTTGCGGATCGCGTGGTTACTCGAGGGCGTTGGGCTGGCAGTCTGGCTGCTGGCATTCTGGTGGATCGGAAGAGGCTTGTTGGGGAGTACCTTGCATGAAAAGAGCTATGAGAATAAGCACAGTTTCAGCGAAGGGTGCTTGGAAAGGATCGGCGTTATTGGAATCAGCTTGATGGCGGGATTGGCGGGGTTTGCTGCTGTCAGTTCACTCTGGCAGACATTTGGAGTTAAGACCAAAATGGTAAGCATTGCTTTCACTGCGTTAAAGCATTCTTGACTGATTTGACACAACCAGGTATCCGAGGCAGACATCTCCCGCAAGCAAGCCGGTTTGGAAGCCGCCAATGACATGCTACTCGCAAAGCAAAGCCGTCTACGGGCCGTACAACGCAGGCTGTCTGATAACCCACCGGAAGGCTTCATGACGCGAGTAATTGGAAGTATTCGTGGTAATGCCGAACAACAGGAGCGCCAGAGTCTTCAGCTTGAGATATCCGGCCTGGAAACAATGGCTGCTTCTCTTCATAACTCATTGATGGCCCTCCAAAATAGACGCCAGGCTCAACTACGCTCCAGAACTGCCATAGGACACCTGCTAAATATCTTCGCCTACGCCTTTTCGGTTTATTGTCTCTACCGCATTGGCGCCACTACACTTACCACCTTCCGGAGGCTTTCGTCTCCCGGTACCTCTTTTTCCAACAGCGATCCTATCAACAATATCCTGGCACTCCTTGCCAAGCATTGGGACCCGTCGCTCGATCGGGCCGCATGGTCGCGTCAGATTAGCTTCCTGTTATCTGGTGTCATGCTGCTAGCATCGTTCAACAGCGTGCTTCAGACTTTTCTGCTATTCACGCGGCTGGCGCCATCGCTGCTCCAGCACGCCCAGTCTAACATCGCCCTCATCATATCCCAAATCAGTGCCACCTACGTAATCAGCTCCGCATTGCTGCTCCGCAGCAACTTGCCGCCCGAGTACCGCGGTGTCATTAGTGAGGCGCTGGGCGCACCGCTAGAGCCGGGCTTTGTGGAACGCTGGTTTGAAGGCTGGTTCCTTGGGGCATGTTTGCTCACAGCGCTCTTCATTTGGTTCGGTAAGAAGATTGGCACAGGTGAGTGGGGAGAAGATGACGACTACGGGGACGGAGATGTAGAGATGGGGAAGAGAAGCTGATGAATTAGTCGAATTGGCTTGTTTACTGTGGCGTATTGGGCGGGTTTTGATTATCACTCAACAAATAGATACCTAATGAAAATACGCATGCCCTGCATCGAAGGATGCCAGCAATAATAATTTAACATCGTATGTAATACCCGGTGCAACGAAACAACACTAATTATCGGCTATTTACTGAGACACACGGTTTTTTTTTTTTTTTTTTTTTTTTTTTTTTTTTTTTTTTTTTTTTTTTTTTTTTTTTTTTTTTTTTTTTTTTTTTTTTTTTTTTTTCGAGTATTTTCTGAGATACATATACTATTTCTAAGATAATATATCTAAAAAGTTTTCTAGGATAGAGTAGTAAATTAATTATATTTATAATAGTATATATTCTCGCTATTTAATAATAGTATAAATATATAATTACTTTAGCTATAGTAAAGATAATTAGATAATTTAGATATATTAAATATTTCTATCTTTAAATTCTTAAATTTCTAAATCTTTAGACTTTTAAATTTCTAAACCTTTAGATTCTTAGATTTCTAAAATTCTTAGATTTTTATATTCTTCTTATATTTATAAATTTATAAATTATTAAATTTTTAGATTTTTATATCTTTAAATTATAAAATCCTTAGGCTCTTAGATTATATATTATAAATTCTAAAATAATAAGTAAAACTTATACTATAGGCTTATACTAAAGAATAAGTAAGTAGAAAGATAAGAAATAATTTAGAGTAATTAAACTTTTAAAAAGCTATAGAATTTTTTTAAAGACTATAGTAAAATAAATAAATAATAGTAAGTTAGAAAAACCTATAGTAAATTAGATAAATATATAGTAAGTTAGGGAAGCGTATAGTAAAATAATATATATATAAGTTTATTTTAATATATAGACTAAAAAACTAGTCGCTTACTTTAGAGTGAACTATTATTAGTATTACTTCTATCGGCTATTTACTAAGATATATATAATGATTCTAAGATATATATATTTATATATCTTAGAATTTTACGCTATATATATAATAATTTATTACTAAATATATATATCTTAGAAATATATATTAAGAAATTATATATATTAGAAATATATTTTCGAAAATTATATATATATCTTAAAAATATTTTTTAGAAAATATATTCTTAATAAATCGAATATATTCTAAAGAAAATTAAATATATTCCTCAAAAAATTAAATATACTCTTAAAAAATCGAATATACTCTTTTAAAAAAAAAAGCGAATATACTCTTAAAAAAATCGAACATATTCTTATAAAAAACGGATATATTCTTAAAAAAATAAATAAAATCCTAAAGAAATTAAAAAAATCTTAAATATTTATAATAAAAGTTATATTTTATTAAGTTATTTTAAAAAAATTATTTCGACTTTTCTAGAATATATTCAAGAATTTTTAAGTTTTATTAAGAGTATATTTTGATTTTTTTTTAAGAATATATTTTCGCTTTTTTAAGAGTTTATTCTTTTTAAAGAAATATATTAAATTTTTTTTTTCAGAATATATTCGGTTTTTATTAGAATATATCTACTTTTTAAGAACATATATATATTCGATTTTTTTTTAGAGTATATTCGATTTTTTTTAAAAAAAAATATTACTAAGATGTATAATTTATTCGAACTAATTTCTAAGATATACGCTTTTTTTCGTAAAATTTTTAAGATATATATTTTTTTATAATATACTATAATATGTTTATTTATAAGTAAAATAAAAAAAAGTATATATCTTAGTAAATAGCCGAATATATTTTTAGAAAAAGCGAAATACTTAAATACAAATATTTATATCTTAGTAATTACTCGGAATATACTTTACTTTTTTCCTAAAAAAAAATTCTCTTTTTTAGAACATATTTCCCCTTTTCTAGTATAAATTCTTTTTTTTTAGAAAAAAATATAGAAGATTTAGTAAGATAAATGCATTTTTAACTATGTTTATAAATTATAATATTATCTTATAGTAAAATTATATATTTTAGAAATTAAATTTAAAATATACATATCTTAGAAATAAAAGTTAAATATATATATATATATATATATATTTTAAAATATTAAACTACTTTAAAAAATTAAATCTCTTTAAGAATATATTTTACTTTTTCTTAAAAGATATAGTCTACCTTTTTTTAAAAAAAAATTTATTTTTCTTTTTTAAATTTTTTTTTAAGGAAATACTTCTTTAGCTATTTACTAAGATAAATATATTTCTTTAAATAATTTCTAAGATATATATAATATTTCTAAGATATGTATATCAAAAAAGTCTTTCTAAGATAAATACTTTTTTATATATTTCGCTTATAAATAAATATATTGTAGTTTATTACAAGAAAAATATATATCTTAGAAATTTAGCGAAAAAAAGCGTGTATCTTAGAAATATAATTTAGAAAATATATATATCTTAGAAGTATATTTAAGAAATATATATATCTTAGAAATTAGTTCGAATAAATTATATATCTTAGTCATATTTTTTTTAAAAAAAATATTACTATAAATAATAAATATAATCTTAAAAAAAACTTGATATATTTTTTAAAAAATCTAATATATTCTTAAAAGAATATATTCTTAAAAAAAAGGAAATATATCTCTTAAAAAAAAATATACTCTTAATAAATTATAAAAAAAATTCTTAAATATACTCTTAAAAAAACTAAATATATTTTAAATAAATCGAAATATATCTTAAAAAAACAACTAAATAGAATACCTAAACGCCTAAAAGTAGAACTATATAAAATTAATTTCTTCTTCTTCTTCTTCCTACGACTATAACCTAAATATAAGCTAGGAAAGCGTTATAACTTAGGAGTTAGGCTAGTTCTCTCTAGCCGAATTTTACGAAGAATTAAGCTAATTCTCTATAGCTAAATTTTTAGAGAAACTTTAAAATTCTTCTAAATTTTCTAAAGAATTTAAATTTTCTTTAGCTATTTTAGAAGAACTTAAATTTTATTTTCTTATTCTCCTAAAATTCGATCTTCTAAGATTAATTCTATACTAATTAAAAGTTTCCTAGCGTTACCTTTTAACTAGGCGATTATAGTAACTAGCTACTATTTCTTTTCGTAGGTGTTTAGTAGGAGGTCGCCCTAGCTTTCTCTTTCTAGTACTATTTTTATTTAGCTACGTATTATTAGATTCTAGCTAATTAAATAGTACTAGAGAAAGAAATCTTTTAGGGTAATAAATTACCCTATAGGAATTAATTTTCTAGCTAAAATCAATTAAATCTTTAGGATCTAGTTCTAAAGTAGTAGCTAGTGCGTAAGTATATTAATAGAGCTTATATTCTATAAAATCTTTATAGGAATATTCCTTTTTAAGAATATTTATAAGAAATTACGAATTTTCTTAAGAATTAAGCCTAATTTACTATTCTCTATACGAAATAGAGATAATCTAGTATTAAGACTATTAAATAAATTAGTATATTTTCTTAAAAAAAAAAGTAAAAATATACTTTTCTTGTTTAAGATATATATCTTAAATAGATAGCTATTTACTACTAGATTATAGTAAATATAGTACGATATTTCTAAATCGCTATATTTTATTTTCTATAATTCTCCTGGCTAGTTAATATAGAATAAGGCCTATTTTCTTACCTCTTCTATAGTTAAAAACTCGGTTCTAATTAGAAATAGCTCTATAGTCGATTTTTTAAATAAAAAAAGAAAGGGAGGTCCTAGCATTTATATCCTAATATTAGGCACCTATCTAATTAAACTAAATATTAGGCGTCTAGTTCTAAGTTTTAGAATTTTAATTATAATTAAACTATAAAATTAATCGTGTATTTTTAAGTTCTAGAATATAGATTATAATTAAGCTATAAATTATTTTTAAGTTCTAGAATATAGATTATAATTAAGCTATAAATTATTTTTATATTTTTAAGTTCTAGAATATAGATTCTAATTAAACTAAATATTTTTAAAAAATTTAAATTTTAAGAATATAGATCCTAATAAAACTAAGTATTTTCGTAAATTCTAAGTTTTAAAAATCTAAACTTAATTAAATTATATAATAATAGCGTAATTATAATAAACATATATATTTTATTTAGAATATATTTATTTTTTTTAACGAATATATTTAAATTTTTTTAATAAATATATTTGATTTTTTTTAAGAATTTATTTAATTTATTTATAAATGTATTTAATTTTTTAAGAGTATATTCGCTTTTCTAAGAATAATTTTTTCTAAGAATATATTTAGTTTTTTAAGAGTATATTTATTATTTATAGTAGTATGTTTTTTTTTAAAAAAAATATTACTAAAATATATAATTTATTCGAACTAATTTCTAAGATATATATATTTTAAGTAATAAAATATCATATATATAGCGTAAAACTCTAAGATAAATATATTTATATATCTTTAAAATACTATATATATCTCAGAAATTTTACGAAAAAAAAAATATATATCTTAGTAAATAGCCGAATATATTCTTAAAAAAGATAAGTATATTTTTCTAAAAAAAAAAAATTTCTAAGATATACATAATTTTTAATTTAATTTTAAAGATTTATATTATTATAAAATACTATATTATATAGAGGTTTTTTTTAAAAAAAATATAAATCTTAGAGACTAACTTTTTAAATATATTTATATTAGAAATAGTATATATAACTTACTACGGCTATTTTTCTAAGATATATATACTTTCTAATTTTATTTCTAAGATATATATATTTTCTAGAATAATTTTAACTTTTTTTTTAAAAAAAAATTATTTATTTTAAAATATATATTTTAGCTCTTTTTCTAAAGTATATTTTATAATAGTATATTTAACTTTTCTTTTAAATCTTTTTTTTAAATAGTATTTATTTATTTATTTTTAAAAGACTTTCTTTCCTTATAATATATCCTAGAATAAACTAAATATACTTTAGAAAAAAGCTAAGTATATTTTGGAAGAGAATATTACAGAGTCTTTTCTTATAAAAAAAAAGCTGAAAATACTTTTTTTTAAAAAAAATAAGAAAAAAAATATTTAGAAGATAGGTAAATAAATATAGTTTTAAATAATGTTTTTCAAAAAAATTAGTAAATTTTCTATATAAAAAAAATAAATACTATTTTTTTTTTTATAATAAAAGTACTTTTTCTAAAGTTTAGATATTTAGTATATAGAGAATAATTTCTAATATATATTTTTTTATACAATCATATAATAAATAATAAATTTATAGAAATATATACTTTAAAGTAAATCCTTAAATATATAATATTTATTTTTATATATAGCTTTATTATATATAGTCTAGTCTATATATATTTAAGCTTAATTTTATTAGTAAATAATATTCTAGAAATATATAGTTTATCATAGAAATTAATTTAAAAGCTCTATATTACTAATAGTAGGTTACTCTTTATTTTTTAATTTTTTTTTTCTAATCCTCTACTCTATATAAGCATCGTTATCTCGTATGCGATGGATCTTATTTAATAGTGACGGACGTTAAGACGACTTTGTTCCCTGTTTACAACTGAGCCCCTTTAAATCATGAAAAGTAATTGCACCATAAACTGTTCTCGACAATGCTGAATAGGCGGCGTATTGATATTCTGTATCTTATACTAGATCCCAATGCACACCAATTGTCCATGGTTCTATAGGCTGACCAATTTCGATGCCCCAAGAAGGCGAACCTACTCGCACAGTATCGCCATTCTTCAGTTTACTGCCTGCACCTTTTCCTGCACCGACGAGCATGGCATTTACCACCTTACTTGGTGGATTCTCTTCACGACGTAATGCGCGACCAGCAACAATGTTGACTTGCTCACTCCTGACACTGTCTTTGTGGTCTGTGACTTGGAAGATCGCGGGTGTGCCACCCCTTTGTGGGCGGTCATTTCGATAAACCAATTGATGCTGTGTTGGTCCATTTTGTCCGACGTTCAGAATCCAGCCCCGGACCACATCGGCCATGCCCCCGGGGGCAAACTTTTCAGCTCGGCGATGAGGCGAAAAGTGTTCGGGTAAAGGGGCGATGGTGTTAGTGGTGGCGCCAGTTCTGTTTTTTGGTGGCACATTTGACTGCGTGGAATCGGGGAGTAGGAAAGGATTCCTCGACCTGGTGCTTTGCATGGCTGAAGTCTCAAGGCCTGTAAATGAGCCATGTCCAGGAGAATTTGGGGCCAGAATAAAACGTGAGGGTTTGCTAATGGGCATGCTAGTAGGCGTGACATCATGTATTGTGGAAGACTCTGGATAGTCAGGCTTTGGAATAAGCCGTTGACGCTTCGGAGAGCGCTCAGCATCAGAGGGTGAATCTAAAGTAACTGGATGATGCAGCAGCGACACAGTCTGGTTGTTCTCATTCGGGTAGTGTTTTTGTGCCGACAGATGAGTGGATTCGACGCTCTGGATTATCTCATGGTCCTGGCCTCGCTCAGCGGAACCAAAGAGCATTTCCTCATCCTCGTCGGCATTCTCCTGCGACGGCTCCTCAATGCTCTCCACTCTCGTCAAACCAACTCGGGCACCATCTGGCAGTGTATCCAGCTGAGTAGCAGGTCGGCTAGCCGGTGTGGAGAAGCGCGGTGTTTGCCTGAACTGCGGCAAACGAGTCCCGAAGGTGGAAGCTGGGGGATGACTGGATTTAGCGGAGCTCGAGGGCAAGAAACGATGCGGCGAAGGTGTCTGAGATGGTGTCAGCTTGGCTCGAATGACGAGGCGCGCAAACATACGACGGGCGGTGGAGGCATTGTGACAGAGATGGGAAGGAATGCCGATCCGCTTGCCGGCGGAGAGACAATCGCGGGGAAACAGCTTTGTCCCAGGACCCTGGAGCGTAGAGTATTCTGACTTCATTGCTACTCATTCCCTCTCAACAATTTCTTTCGGCTCAGGGCATTGTACATCTCGGCCTTGCCAAATTTCTACCGAGCCGCGCGAGCCAAGCTCAGCCAGAAAACAGCACGAAGCACTCCGTCCAAACTACCCCGCGTGCCCCGCATTCGCAGATAGCCTGACATAGTAAGGTACCTCGTAAATGCTCGGAGACAGTCGGGCCTTTTGTGGAATCGTCTTTCAGTGCTCCACGACGGCAATGGCATCACCAAGCACAAGTACCGAGATGTATATAAAGAACTGGTCGGCAGGGCTCTCAAAATAGTTGAGCGTAGGTTGTCAGCCATGAAGTCCCTCAACCATGCTCTGAGCACTATTCTGGTTGCCATAACTCCAGCGTTCGCAAATTATTCAGCGCCTCCTTCGGAAGTTCCCTTATATGGGCTTAGTTCTCCCGTGTACCCTACACGTATGTACTGCCTCAGACACCCCGTCGCAAAAGTTAACAATATAAGACAGCCCAAGGCAATGGTAGCTCTTCGACCGAATGGGCTACTGCATATTCCAAAGCACGGGAAAATTTGAGTCAATTGAGCCTAGAAGAAAAAGTAAATTTAACTCGAGGCTACGATGGACTATGTGTTGGGAATACTGGCTCCGTTCCACGCTTGAACATAGGGCCCATCTGCTTCGCTGACGCGCCGGACGGTATTCGTGGAACCGATTTTGTCTCTGCATTTCCTTCACAGCTCCATTTGGCTTCCACTTGGGACAAAGATCTGATGTATGCCTACGGCAAGGCATTAGGTGAAGAGTATCATGACAAAGGAATCAATGTTGCCTTAGGGCCTGTAGCTGGCCCGCTTGGCCGCATTGCTCGTGGCGGCAGGAATTGGGAAGGGTTGTCTTCAGACCCTTACCTTGCAGGTGCAGGGATGTCAAAAGTCACAAGCGGCATGCAAAAAGCTGGTGTGATAGCCGTTGCTAAGGTGCGTGGCTTGCTACGAGAGGTTGGTAATCATGAGCTGATTTCCGAGCCAGCATTTCTTGTTGAATGAACAAGAATACCGTCGTCAACCTAACCAGACCGATACACCACCTGGCGAGGCCATCTCTTCGAATGTAGATGACAAAACTCTGCACGAGCTTTATGCTTGGCCATTTTACGATGCACTCTATGCGGGCGCAGCCTCAGTTATGTGCTCGTACCAACGAGTGAATAACTCATATGCTTGCCAAAACTCCAAGTTGTTGAACGGCATCTTAAAGACCGAGATGGGATTCGAGGGCTTTGTTGTTAGCGACTGGAAAGGGCAGCACTCTGGCGTGGCTTCAGCTAACTCAGGACTCGACGTTGTCATGCCTGATGGCGGCTACTGGGGCGAAAACCTGACACAGGCTGTCAACAACGGATCCGTATCTACCGATCGATTAGATGACATGGTGACACGCCTAATTGCTGCGTACTATCACCTGGGTCAGGAAGAATATCCTAATGTGGGCGTCTTTTCCGACGCAATTCAGCATCCAATAGTGGACGTCCGGGCTGACCATGCAAAGCTCATCCGGGAAGTTGGCGCTGCTGGTCAGGTACTTGTCAAGAACATCAACAATGCCTTGCCTTTAAGTGCTCCGAAATTCGTGAGCATATATGGATTCGATGCGGAAATCAACGCACAACCCTGGGAAACCGTGGCTCGTTATGGTGGTGGTAAGTGGCATTATTTTTGGAAAACACCATCGTCGTAACGGAACCAGCGACTTACTATTATATGATTAGGCTATGATGTTAACTTCGGATGGAACACATTCAACGGGACCCTTATTACTGGCGGTGGCTCAGGCGGTAGTTCACCTCCCTACATAATCAGCCCCTTCAAAGCCATCCAAGACAGAATCATCAAGGACCACGGTATACTTCGCTGGAATTTATGGTCACGAAACCCTCATGTTTCCGCTACAACTGAGGTATGCCTAGTTTTCATCAACAACTATGCATCGGAGTCATTTGATCGGCCCTCTCTCACTGACGAGTTCAGTGATGATCTCGTAAATAACGTGGCAACAAACTGCTCCAACACCATCGTAATTGTTCACTCGGCAGGCATACGCGTAGTAGATTCATGGATTGACAACGAAAATGTCACTGCCGTCATTTTGGCCGGTACACCCGGCCAGGAGAGCGGGAACAGCCTGGTCGATATTCTTTATGGCGACGTCAGTCCAAGTGGAAAAATACCTTATACCATCGCAAAGAAAGAAGAAGACTATGGGCACCTGCTCAACTCAACAGTGGATTTGAGCTTCTTCCCTCAGTCAGACTTCGTCGAAGGCCTATATATCGATTATCGAGCCTTTGATAAAAATGGTACGGAACCCCGGTTCGAGTTTGGATATGGCCTCACTTACACGAAGTTCGAATACTCAAATGTCGAGGTTGCTTCAACTGGAGGAAACACAGGCAACTTCCCACCTGCTGCAACGGTTGTCCAAGGCGGCCACCCTAGGCTTTGGGATACACTCTTCTATGTTTCCTGCGATGTCCAGAACGTGGGTAACTACACGGCTTCTGATATCCCGCAGCTCTACGTGGGGATACCCACTGCGCCCGAGAGGCAGCTTCGGGGCTTTGACAAAGTACCACTCGAACCAGGCCAAAAGTCGAAGGTGTCTTTCCCGTTGACGAGGCGGGATCTGAGTGTTTGGAATGTGACGGCTCAACAATGGGAGTTGCAGTCTGGAAGCTATCCAATCTGGATTGGATTGAGCAGCCGAGATTTGAAACTAAATACTACTCTAACGCTATAGTCTAGACAAGTTGGCATTAGGAGTAGTCTCAAATTCAGAAGAAGAATCGACCACCGTGGTTTCACCAAAAAAGCAGTTCCGATGGAGCATCAGTGACCCTTTCTTGATCGGCTAGACGCGAGGCTGATTGCTAACGTAGTGAACTCGTGCCTGCTAGATCACGCCAGTGTCGTTTGCCCCACGAATACAGGCCACACCAACTTCTGTGACCGAGACTCCAATGATCAAATACACCCAGGAACACAATTCGTTTATGCTGAAAAGCCTGTATAGCAATTTATTGCCTATAGATTGGGTCGGAAGTCTGGAAGCGAGAAAGTGAAAGCCCCGCGAATAACTTCACCGAATAGCTCAATTGGAAGCCAAACTGAGAAGCACGAGAGAGAGATAAACGACCTGTCTCATCGTGCAAGATAGTAAGATAATCACCCGCAAAAATGACCAACTAAAAATAATTTTCAAAATGCTTTGTAAAGATTTTGGTTGAACAAATAAACCTGAACTGAGGAATGGTTGTCGCCAGGACACACTCCTGTTCCCCGTCCATAAAGTGGACAACAAAAGCTCCAGGATGTTTCATGTGGGTCTAAAGCAGCAGCAGCTTACGGCCCCAGAACCAGTTCGAGGGCCATGAACTTGATAACTCATAGAAATCAAGCTCAAAGGCTACTGGTGTTGATTGAGCTGTCGCTGGATTGCGGAAAGAGATGGGTCCTCATCCAGCCATTTCCCTTGTTCCACATCCTGCGTTCGGAGACAGTAAGCCACGTACTCGTCGGTTATGGTTGCGAGCTCCTGATTGGACAGAGACGTAAGTAATACTGCCGCAGATATTCTTGCAAAGGAGATTCAATATGACGTACAGCTCGTAAAGCGTTGTCGACCCTTTGCAAAACCTGTAGAGATGCGGACTGCATTTTTCCACCCTGAATAACGGCATGCCTAGAATTTACCCATCGCATCCCAGCTGTCGCGCGAAGGTATACTCTTTGGCATCTGAAGCGGCGTACACTTGCGTCTAGGAGAATGCTGTAGGTTCAAAAAATGACGTCAGCCTTGATCATCTTACTGATGTCGCAGTACATAGTAAACTGGCACGTGGAGCTACAAATCTCAATAGAAGACAGTAATGCAAACTGAATCTCTTACACTTTTAATTGGGCCTTTTCCCTGTTTGCGTCATCGCTTGACGATGTGTTTGCGCTGAAGGGTGCTGCGAGGATAGCCCGTGCTTCGGTCACACATTGTCGCAGCAAGGCAAAACCCTGAAGATAGTACTCCTCTGCTGACGGGGATACTCTGATTTGAGCGATGTAATGCTGGAGACTGCGGAAGTCCGCCATGATCTCTGCGATCCGAAGGGCACGAGCATCGTTGACTGAAGCGCAACTATTAGCACCGGACTTTCTCAAAGAAACTTGGAGTAGGGGTTGATGCCAGGATGAAGATCCCACTTCCCTCGAATCGAGGTTAGTGTGAGGCTTTGTCAATGGCACGGGAGCTCTCCGGGAATGCAAAATATTTTCCACGAAGCCACAAGAAAGCCAATGTTCATTCATCCACACAAGCAAGCATGTATCCTTGTAGATACCGCACCAAATAATGCGTAGGGCGCGGGACGCAGTAAGGAATGGGGAGAGCAAGAGAAAACTTACGTCCGTCGGTCATAATGCCAATTGATGGAAATAATGAGAAAAGAGAAAGAATTAAGCCAACGTGACGATTGAAACGTGAGGAACAAAAGACTAGCTAGGTGCAAACTGTCGAGGTCAAAAACAGCCGTGAGGAATCCATATCCATATAAGTCTTCGGCGACTCCACAACACTATTGAGGTCCGGCAGCCCATCGACGTAGAGATCCAGAGAAGCGTCTCAGGAGAAGCGGACCATGGCTCTTCCCGCCACCATCATTTTGCCGCCAAGCTATGGCAGAGCTCAGCAGTGGGCTTTACAAGCTGAGAATGGTAGCTCCGGTAGGAGCTCAGCGATGCAGGGGCCATGTCAAACGGCCACAAGCGTTGCAGGAGAACGGCCGACTAACGGCCCGGTGAAAGAATAGGTAGCTCGGTCGGAGATAGAGGCGCAAACGGAGCTGGACAGTAGACCAGTTTCGCAGTGGGAGGCGCAGAATTGGGTTAAGTCAGCTTGCTTGGTCGTTGTGGTGGCAGCGCCACCGAATCTCAAGTAGCTTAGCCGACCGACCAGCTCACCTGGCGAACAGTTCTGCAGCTGACTGGCTCAAAATTAGCAGCACTGCCATCGGGCGAGCGGGCCTGCAGTGTACCAGTGAACGTGCCGAGCAGCTGTGCCGGCACAGCTGCTCGTACATTCGGGATGTCCGTTGCAGCTGAAACCCCGCTGACCTGGTCGATGCGGCTTACGCACCACCCTGCAAGCATACTCGAGGAATATGACCTCATCCCGTCATGTTGAGATTAGGTTCAACGGATCGGCAAACCCAAAATCTTCTACTCACTTTTAGTAGTACTGCGTCTTCTAGGTACAACCTCGCCCAATTCGTTCTGTCCTTGTCCGCAATGGCCTGTAACCGCCCATCAATCTTATCTCGGTCAGCACTCTAAATTCCGTATCAGTGCTCTCTCGTACGTCAGGCCGTGGCCTACCGACAATCCCCACCTCCAACTCTCCCTTCTTGAAGTCGACGCTCATCACTGGGCCCAGCGTCTGGATCTGAAGCCCTTTCACGTCCTGCCAGTTGGCCTCAGCGTGTCCCTTGCCCTTTATGTTCTTCTCAAGGAAGTTCAGCACCTCTTGTATCTTCGGTCCAGATGCAGTCGCCTTAATAACTTATATTGTAGCCTGCGGGGTCGCATTTCTACAGCTGGGGACCGACCCCGGAATTAAGGTGGTCGCGGCGCCGAGAGGCAGGGAGGGCGCATGTACGCCTGAACATTAAAGTCAGCGCTTGCTCATTGGGATTTTCGCGCTTTAGCTCACCTTCGACGTGTGGACCTGGCTGATATTCGCTACCCGCATCGTCAACACGTCACATGGCGTCTTGTAACCGTACTACCTTAGTATCTGAACTCGGCAGCCTCTCCATGTGCTCTAACAACAGACGATATGCGTCCATGATGGATCTGATCGGGAAGTGGCCGACCAACGGCGAGAGTTTGAAGATGTAGAGAATAGAAGCGGGGGTCGATGAGTTTATCGGGGATATTTTTTCGAGACAGGACAACTGCGCAATCCTTGACCTTCACACCCACCGATGTGATGTTTGCTGCGGTGATCGCCTTGAATGAACACTAGTCTTGGTAGGGATGGCCCTGACAAAACAAGAAGGTAACGTCTCTGTCGTAGCTTCGCTGCCAGATATGATGACGGTGCTTCCGGGGCGACTAAGCAGAAAGCCGGCTGTGAAGAGGTGACTGTGCTTCCAAGGCGACCTATTGAGCAGAAAGCAGAGCTGCTGAGGAACCAATTGACAAGGCAAAGGAAGATGTGATGATAATACTCGTAGGTACAATTAAAGCTGGCTACCATGCTTAAGAGCTGGTCAGCAACTTTAAACCATTGAAAAAAGCATTTGTGGTTACATCCGGCGAGTTATCGCGTGGCCGTTTGCACACATTGCTGTCGTGGATGAGAGAGATATCATGAACAGTCAACGTCAATACCTAGGAGATCGGACGGTAAGGTGTTGATGGAAGGTGGGAAGATGCTGAGGAAGCTCTAGTACATAGCGAGTCAGGGCAGCGCACGGCATGGAGATGCTCCGGCGAGCTCATGGCCCGTGCAGGATATTTGTCGGCGGCTTGGCTGCCGACCTTTTTTTCTTCATTGGTGTGTTACTATCAAATACTTTTCTCCTGTAGCGACAACAATGGCGTCCCATGTTCCCGCCTGGAAGCGGCTGGGGCTCCGGCTCAAGAACGCAAAGGAGGAGCCCCAGGTGCGGTCGGACACGAAAAAGAGGCCGCATTCTGGGGAAGAGGGCCAGCAAAACAAGCATCATCACGTGCAGAACACCACTCCTTCCAGGACGGGAGAAGAGGGCCAGAAAAAGACTAAAAAGCGGAAGTTGGCAGAAGCACAGCCTGTCGCGACCTCACCGTCCACCAACGGTGAAGACAAACCCAAGGCGACGCCTGCCGTTGCGACGCCAACCAAACCTTCACTCAGCCGGAAGAAGTCTGTGACCTTCACTCCGGACACCAAGGGAACAGATGGTGACAGTGGTCAACAATGGTCCAAAGCCTGGTTCAATTCCCAACAGGACAAACCCGAGGAATCTACCCCTGAAGAAACCTCGACATCGCCTGTAAACGGCGGCCCTGGCGAGCCGTCAAAGAAAAACCTCAAAAAGGCCAAGAAAGAGCAGCGAAAAGCGGAGCCCAAGGCTACAGCCAGTGAAAGGTCAGAAGGAAAGGACCTGCCCCCCTACGTTCGATACCTCGAGCAGTATTCAGCCGATCGAGCAAACTGGAAATTCAACAAAAGCAAGCAAATTGATCTCTTCAAACATCTATTCAACGTCTACCGCATCCCTCACACCTACGACCCCGCCATCGAAGCTTACGTCGCTGGCCTCCAAGGCGCTGCAGCCCGTTATCGCCTACAGCAATCATCCAAGGAAGCTCTTAACGAAACCTCCGACGTTGAAGACAAGAACTTAGACATGGACTCTTCAGTATCCCGCAAAGCGGCACATGACGCCGCGCTTGAGACGCATTTGGACAATTCCAAGAAGCGCCGCGCTGATGAAGAGGTTCAGCAGAAGCTGCGTAAACGGAAACGCGCCCAAAAGATCCTTAGCGTTTTGGGAGAAGTAACGGCGCCCGAGCCCAAGAAGGCCGCTGAGACGACTGTTCCCGAAAGCGGTGCTGAGACCCAGCCGCCTGCGAACCAAAAACGGACGCGGCAACGGAAGAAGAGAACCGAGGTCTCGGATGACGATGATAGCAGCGATAGCAGCAGCAGCAGCGAGGATGAGTCTTCCAGCGACGAGAGCTCAGACGACGAATCAGATGATGCTAGCTCCGATGCATCGGGCAGCTCCGCGGTATCCAGCAGTTCTGAGGACACAAGCAGCGAAGAATCGAACTCAGACTCAGACCCGGACTCGGACTCGGACTCGGACTCGGGTTCTAGCTCTAACTAAAGAAAAGATGGCAATAGATTCACGAATGACAGTGGGAACATTGACGGACAACAGGCTGTCATGGTGAGGTGGCCCTTGATTAGGTAGATATGGTTCTTGGGAGTTGGCGACAAGTGCGAGGTCGCAAATAGACAAACAGGCACACAAAATATACCCAGGAGACTGCGGAAAACAGAAATCGATACGCCGCTTTGCGGCGTTTTGCCCAAAGAAAGGCACCCTGGTATCGCTATGCATCCTAGACACCTTGTGAAACCTAAAGACCAAGACGAAAGAAACTTGCACAGGCCTTAAATGTATCGAGCTGAAGAAGGCTCATCAGCCTCTCTGTTTATCCTCCTTCCCATCTCCGCTCTCGCCCTTCGCAGCCGGAGTATCTTTCCCGTCCCTCCTTCTCTGGCTGGCGCCCCGCTTGCGCCGGAGAGGCTGATATACATCGTTGAAATTCATTACCATGGCTAACCATCTCATGTCCGCATCCGGCTGGTGGTACAAATCACCCAGCAGGACGTTGACTCTAGCCTTAAAGTCTCTGCTCAGCATCTCCAAACGCGTGCGTAAACCTTCGAGCACGTCGTCTTCACTCCCAGACGTCGAAGGCAACAACGGTGGAGGGAAGGGGCTGTTCTCGTCGGTGCTCTGGGTTCGGTTAGAGGGGCGCAGCGTTGCAGGCGTAGCTGTAGGCGACGTGGCTCCCGAGTCGCGTTCACTAAGACCCCACTTGCCAGCTGCGGTTCTGGTCTCGATCTTGGCTGCGCGTTCCTGGCGACGCGCGAACTCGGCAGTGGAGAAAGAATAAAGTCCATCGACTGCACCTTTATAGGAGAGCATGATCTTGAGCAACTCGTGAAGTTGGCCCGTAAAGTCCATGCGCTCTGATCCCAGGAGGCCCTTGCGCGTAATGTTCGTGAGGTACCTGGCGTGTGCTTGAATCAGATCGTCCAGAGTGCTTTCGGGCTTCCGCATGCTTGCTTGTAGGTCGTTCCAGGATGACTCAATGACCTCGAAGAGAATGTAGTACTGGAGTTGATTGACAAAGTGGATCATCTCAGCGACACAACAACGTGCCTTTTTCCAGTCTTTGCCGACCTTGTCCTCAACGGCACCTAGGAATTGACGCGCTCCCGTCATGCAGCGCCGCCATGTGCTACCAAGAGCGAACTCGACTCGTTTGACGCGCCATAGGAAGTTGAAGACTTTAAGGTACTGCTTGCTGCCGTACGGAGTAACGATGACATCGACAGGGGCATCAATCTTATACTCCAAAGTAAAGACATCCCAGCCAATCTCTCCGTGACTTAGTTCCAACATACGAGAGTCTAACCTTTTGAGGACTTCGGGTGAGTCATACTGAGCGTTGGAGTTACGCACAGCATGCTCGAGCTGGGCAGTCAAGGTATGCCGATATTGTGTGTTAGCGGGCTGATCAAGGTTGGCAGACAGTGATTCCATGAGTACGGCTATAAAGTCACCGGCGCCGAGAAGAAGATACTTCTTCAAGGCCTGGAGATGCTCAAACAGCTTAAACTTGTCCGCCATCAAAGAAATTAAACGGGCCATAGTCGTTTTGTAAGCTTCACCAATCGAAAGCTCAAGTGCAGCGGTATCACCGTAGCGCAGCTCGCGTGAGGCATCCTTGGAATAACTCTCGACCCATGCTGCATCGCCACAGCCGTAGCGGATGAAGTTTAGGGTTTTGCCGATTAGGAAAACTTTGTTGGCAAACTCCGGGGTTATGATCGACGGGATCATCGTCTCATTGAGCTTGTACTTGTCCTCCCATACACTAGTAGCACCACCCTTGCCGGTATTTTCGTCATTGGGATCTTCGTGTTGTTCTGAAACGAAGAATTCAAGGTATGGGTCTGATAGCTCGCCATCGTAAATCCATTGTCGTAGCATGTCGTAAAATGGTCGTGTAACGTGGCAGAGTTGACGCTCCGCGAATGAGCCTACATAAGGGTCGCCGTGAGAGAGGGAGAAAGAGTGGATTAGCGAGATGAGCTGACCACCTTTCTTTCCTACATGACAATCAGTACGACGGAAAGGAGGTTTGGAAGGAAGAGCCTGTACCTTTAGATTCTTCAACTATCAAACTCATGAGCCTTAATCCCATGGTAGCTTCCCGCGTCCATATAACACAACGCTTGAGCGTGACTCCGGCCTTTCCGATGCCCTGTCTTGGCTGCGAGTCGTCAAGCATAGCCAAAGCTCTCCTAATCTGCCCTTCTAGGGTGGCAACAAGGCCAAGATAAGCTCGCAGCTCGATTCCGAGAGCTGACCGGAGACTTTGTCCGACCAAACCTCCTTCAGACGATTCTACAAAATCCGCCAATTTCCGGTAGAGTAGAGACGGTTCTGCCAAGGTATGGAGAAGACTGACCAACGGTGCCGGGAGAGTCGATGGGATTCTGAGAACTGCTGGATTCGAGAAGACAAGGTTGGTGGAGGAAAGTCCTTGCAACGTGAATGGTAAGTCGCGCAATAGGGCCGGCTCCGAGGGCTCCATTTCGCTAGGTTTCTTTTCCGTCTGTGCAGTTGCTGCTGCTTCTTCCTCCTCCTTTGCCTGGCGTGCTTTCCTATCCGCCGTTTTAGGCCTCTCAGTATGGGCAGGTCTAGCGGGTCTCGTCTCCTCGGCCGGCGGCAGTCTTTGTAGACCTTGGTGCGAGAAAGCCTCGTTGAATGCTGGCGCATCAATTGAGTATTGGCGCCCAGGGTGCTCCTTGGAATCTGGTCTTGTGGGAGATTGGATGTCCGGGTCGGCCATTGATCGGAAGTTGTTTGCACGGTCTGGGGAAAGAGGGGTCATTCCAGGCAGGCCGACGGGCAGATCCGAGTCTGAGAGCTGGTAGAGGAAATATAACATTGCCCATTTTTGATTCAGGACGGGCTGGGTGAGCAGTCTGGAGTAGAGATTGGCGAAGCGCAAGGCCTTCTCGGGCGTGCTGCTCTCGCGCACCACTGCGGGTGGATCAGCGGTGTCAGGGCAGTGGCAGGGGTGCGGTGCAATACTCACGCTTCTTCTTGATGAGGTCTGCAGCATGGTTGACGTCGGAAGCCACGGCGGGTTCGCCGGCACTGGAGGAGGGTTAGCCTAGTCCAAGTGTCGGACAGCAGTGTCTTGCCTGCCTATGGCGTCCAGGGCGTAGTTGAAAGCATCGTCGAAGCGCTCATCGGCGACGGCATCGTCCTCGTCGGGGTAGGTGGGAAGCAGGTGCTCAAGGAGCTTGGACAGGGCGTGTTCGACGCGCTCTTCTGTGGTTTGCGGCATGGGTGGAGCGAGGGAGCATCGCTGCCGGGGAGCTGGAGCGTGAGCGACGCGTTGGGCTCAAGCGGGCGACGTGCGTTGATGTGGGAATGTTTTCGGCTGGCCCAAGCTTCGTCGCGGGGGGCACCGCTGATTCAGGCGGGCACATCCGAGTCACGGGCGGCGATAGGCTTAAGAGCCGACGACGCAAGGGGCGGGCCAGACCTACACGGGCAGTAGCTACCGGTCCGCCGCCGCTAGGTTAGGTTGTTCTTTCCTTGGTTTTAAGAACTACTGCTCTGCTTTGTGTTTTCCCTTCCCCATTCCTGTCTCTCTCCTCTTTCGTTTGGATGCGTTGCAAATAAACACACCTTCGTTCACGATCTCTCCGCGCGTAGATCATCCCACGCACTGTCCACTCATCCACCATACCTCAGTACCAAGCATGCGTTCTTCTCTCGTTGCCAGCAGCATTCTGGCCGGCCTGGCTGCCTCGGTCAATGCCATATCCACCATTTCAATCAAGGGCTCCAAGTTCTTCACCAGCGATGGAGACCAATTCTACATCAAGGGTTCGCCTGCTGCTTTACTTACCCATCGCACCTTCGTGCCAGACTAACTCTCTCCAGGCGTTGCATACCAGTTGGTCCCCGATGACCCGCTCCTCGACAACACCCAGTGCAAGCTCGATGCCAGCTTGATGTCCGAACTTGGTGCCAACGCTATCCGCGTTTACCACGTTGATCCTAGCAAGGATCACGCCGATTGCATGAAGACCTTCGCCGACGCTGGTATCTACCTCTTTGTTGACCTCGACACTTTCGACACCCAGATTGAGCAGGACTCCCCTCACTGGAATGAGACCCAACTTTCCCGTTTCGGAAAGGTCATGGACGCGTTCCACCAGTACGACAACACGGCCGGTTTCCTTGTCGGCAACGAAGTCCTCACCACGGGCAATGGCTCCGTCGCTGCTCCTTACGTCAAGGCCGCTGCCCGTGACCTCAAGGCTTACCGCAAGTCCAAGGGCTACCGTGAGATCCCTGTCGGCTACTCTGCTGGTATGTAGTTTTCTTCTGCCTGTTGAACCTAGCCATCTAACCTAGTTCGCAGCCGACATTTCCACTCTTCGTCCCATGCTTCAGGACTACTTTTCCTGCAGCAGCAACAGCTCCGAGAATCTTGATTTCTTCTCGCTCAACGCCTACGAGTGGTGTGGTGATTCAACCTATACCCTATCGGGCTACTCCGAGCTCCAGAAGAATGCCTCGTCTTACAACATCCCCATTTTCTTTTCCGAAACTGGCTGTAACACCGTGCGTCCGCGTACGTTTGGGGACCAAGTTGCCATCTTCGGTGACGACATGGCAGATACCTGGAGTGGCTCTATTATCTATGAATGGATCGAAGAGGCAAACAACTACGGCATCGTCAGCTATGGCAAGAAGGTGGACGCCACAGCCGCTGATGCTCCTCCTGATGGCTACCCTCGCTCTGGTACCCCCACCCCGGTGAACCCAGACTTCTCCAACCTGAAGTCTCAGTGGGCCACCCTTACTCCTACAGGTGTCAAAAAGTCTGCATACACTCCCAGCCTGACCGCTCCTGCTTGTCCTTCCTTCACGTCGAATGTGTGGGAGGTCAACGGTGCTGTTGCTCTTCCCACGCTTGGAGCGACCTACGACGCCTCAGTCCGCAGCAGCATCACTGCAGGTACGGCTGCTACTGGCTCTGCTACTGGCACTGCTGCTTCCGCTAGTGCGACCAAGACTGGTGCCGCGAGCCCCGCGCGTGAAGTCAAGGGCATGGGCCTTGGTCTCGCCGGTGTTCTAGCCGGTGCCGTTTACTTCCTGTAATCAACCTCCGACGTGGACAGGTCCACATATTTCCGTACATAAACTTTCTTTTCTCTGCCACAGCTCTATGGCGTAATTCTTGGTTATGTTACGACTTTGAAGTATAGCATATCAAACAGCGCTCTCGGTTTCCTGGAGAACCGCCTGGACGAACGCGCATGCAAACCTGTAAGACTATAGAGCATAGAGGCCAGCATAACTTCACGAAGCTAGTGACACGAATAATAAACATACATTTTGCCTTCGCTTATAGATGCCTTTTGTGTGTCCTGCCACCCGCTTGAGGTCATGTCGATACAGTGAAACGTTTGGAGTATCGAAATGAACAAGGGACTCTCCACTAACGTCCATCACCGTCAACCGAGATTCACCATCTAGCGAAATAGGGAACGATACAAGCAGTCCCTACGGACTACTCCTTGTTTAGCTTCAGGCCCAAGTCTTAGATATGAGCGAAAATGGCTTAAAGTACATATACACCTTAACTAGATTTCTTCCACTCCGCACAAGCGTTATCTTCTTAGGCGGTAAATCTCGCTTGACGGTGACGAACGTTAACTCTGCAACGCCGGAGCATTTGCTGTATTTGGGGACTGATTGATAGGCGTGAAACAGAATCCCAAACGCAAGCATACATTTTTAGGAACTATTATCACTGCGAGCACAATCCAGACTACAGCACCTTGATGCCACCGGTACTACCAACAGAGCTAATGCGGACCAGCCGATCACGTGGAGGAAACGGAGCTAACTCCTTCATAAACCATGAATTAGATGCCTCTAAGTATATATTACTTCCACTGCTTCGACAGGCCAAGGCGGCCAGCCTCTGGCCAGCGGAGGCGGCACCGGGCCCGGTCACGGAGGCCGGGAGTAAAACGGCCTCCGATAGCATCACGTCCATTCGACTGCGGCAGGAGAGAGTAGTTACAAAGGAAATTTGGGATCCCATTCCAGAGTTGGTCCCAGAAAGCAAAGTAGTAGAGCCAGGGCAGTAAACGTCCTTGGGTAGTTGGATGAAAAAGAAAAAGAGGCAAAGGAGAACATAAGAAAGGTGGGGTAAAAGTAAGAGACATTCATCGTAGCCACGCGCTCGCTCGCTTCGGTTTATCATCCGTTTGCTTTCCGAGGTCCTTCGCGTCATCGTCGTAATCATCGTCATGAGTGAAAACAGGCCAGCAACACTGCGCCTAAACACGCTATACCCTTATTCATCGACCTCGCCGCAGTTTCGTACCCTTGCTCTTCTTGAATTTTGCATAACGTTGGTCTTCTTCGTCCCTTTTGTTGACCGTAGAACAAATCATATCAGAAAGCGCCATTTGCCCTCAAGAAGTGGGCACCTCGACCACCCTGAGCGGCCAAGTCAATGAGAGGACAGTCTTACTTGGCTGTTGCTCCTGTTCAAAATGGTAGCGTTGACGGAGCATCTGCTTGAGCCCGATATCCTCTTGAGAAGGAGTAAGCTGGAAGCGAACGCGCCGTGGAGCTGTGGACGGCTTAGAAGGTATCACGGTCGAAGCTGTCGAGACTGCTCCGGTAGGAATCAAGACCTGGGCTGCGTTAGTCATCACATGTACTTTTGCGAGAAACAGATAAATGGAATGTCTTACTCGGGCTGCGGGTATGAGGCCTCCTCTTCACGGTGTCCGAGTGCTCAAGTGGACGAGGACTCTTCGAACCCATGGGCCTAGGACCAGTGGGCTTGCGGGTAGGGCTAGCCATCGACCTTTGCGGCTGGGGCGACGGCGTAAGTGTGCGACGGTCTGTTTCAAGACTGTACCTGACCTCCTCAATGGGAGCCAAAGGAGCCAAGTGTCCTGTCAGACCAGGAGGGCTGCTGTACATTGGCCTGCTACCGTATGGCAAGCTTCGAGGCGTGTTGTTTGATGATGGCATAAGGGGGCCCTCCTCTTTCGGACGAGATCCGCCGTTCACCTGCTCAGAGGCAGAGTGGTTGGAATATCCCCCATCAGAAAAAGGAGATTGGCGGCCTGTAGTGTTGCTGAACCGATTGCGGTTCAGAGCAAGGCTCGGTGCAGAGCCCCATTGATCAAAATCCGGTGACTGTGTGTCATCGAAATTGATGGCCTGAGATTCCAGGTGGGATTGGTGGCGGTGGGTTGGTCCCTGACGTGGTTGTGGGTGTTCCAAGTTCAGAGAGTTGCGATGAGCTTGGTATTTAGGGTCGTCCATCTCGTGCTCGGGAATGAGCGGCGAGGGAGAGCGAGTTTGGTCCAGGGAACCGCCTCGTCGGTGGTCGAACGAGGTATTGGACCGGTATCGGTCGTCGTCACGCATGTCAAAGTCGTCGTACCCATTAAAGTTGACGTTTGATCCGGACTGAGAGTTCTCGGAGTAGGGTCCACGCTTTCCGTTGCGAGCGGTTTTGTCGGTCGAGGTTGTTGTCTTGGACCAACGTGACATTTTGGGTATATTGGCGAAGATAGAAGATCCATTAGACTTGTGCTTGGATTTGCTCTTCGGTGTGTGCTCTTGGCTGTACGCTTGCTCAGGGGGAGAGCGCTGGTTGGGACTACGCACTACCTCATCGGTTGGCGTCAGTAAGCGCTCGTTGTTCTCGAACTGATTGTCAAGAATGTGAGCTTCGTGGTCGTCCAACTCCTCGTCTCCTTCCAAGACAGTGCTGATGCGATGCTCTGAGCCACGGCGTCCGTCGTAACCCGAATGGTGCGCAAGGCGACGAGAGGACGGGTTGGAGAAAGTACCAGACTGGTTTGGAGTAGACGAAGTCCCGGCCTGGCCTTCAGGTTCGTAGCCCGCGTCAGGACCGGACCTAAGGTTTTCAAAGGAGGTAATGCTTCCTGCATCCTGACCCACAGACGGCCGAGGGAAAGCTTGAGGACCCTTTAATCCCTCCACTTCATCCAACAAATGCATGAGCATGTCTTCAATTCGAGCAAGATCGTTGCCGCTCTTTCCGCTCAGGCCCTTCAGCGCCCGCCTAAAGACGTTCTTACGCTTCGCTGGAAGATCGTCATCAGCATCCGACATGTCGCGACGAGGATACCGAGGTTGTGGCCGAGGCCCCTGGAGAAGTTTTTGCACCGTCATTTCAGCATCTTTGTCGGTGTTGCCCATGATCATTTTATCTTGCTCGGAGATGAATTTTTTCATCTCCTCGAAAGAGTTGCGCATCTCCGCTGCGCTGCGGACAAGTGTTACAAGAATTTCAGTGTCCCTAGCATTGCGCTGAGCATCCCGAACGGTGAGATGATCCATAAGAGCCACCACGTCCTTGGATTGGATGCGGTCAATTCCTTTCCCAGTGGCACTGTCGTACAGCGGAGAAGACATTCCGTGCGAGTCACCACTGAAGTTGCGTGTGACACCTGGGTTCCCGCCGAAAAGCATATCATCTGCTCCAGGAGTCCCTGCAAAGTCTGGAAGGCTGCCATCGAACATTTTTGAGTTGTCCAAGTTCGGCTCAGGTGTATAACCGGGTTGGGCTGAAGAAATGTACCCTTCGTCCTTCCATTGGCTGGAAGTATCAGGATGCTGCCGCACAAAGCTGTCATCGGCATGCTCGTATGGCCTCCCGTAATCCTGACCATAGTCGTCTTCGATGGATGGCTGGTATGAGCGGTCCTGTTGCACAGGGCTTTGTTGGGTTTCATGGTGAAGACGAGCGGCCGCAGCAGCCGCAAATCCGGCAGCAGCATTACCCATCATGCCCGCTTCGCCCGGACGAGCGTTCCCAGCTGAAACTGGAGGAGGCGTAGGGTCGTAGGACCAATGCCCGTCACCGCGATCTCTCGACGGTCCCTGTATTTCCGAAGGGTTGGTGGTAAGTTCTGACTCGTCATCGAAGCCGTGACCGATTTCGGGCATGGGATCTCCAAAGGGCATTGCGTTTGCCGTCATTTGAATCTGGTCATCAGATTTGAAAGAGCGCGCCTGGCTCCGGGGCGAAGAAACCTCGCCATGCTGTTCCTGTGACATTCTCTTTGCTTGCTGTCGAATAGCGCCCCACTTATCTCCAAGTGACTCTCCTTGTGGCTGCTGCTCATTGCCAGGATTCTCCCTGGACATGAAATGCGGGTCGTTGGTCAGTTGCGATTCGCGTTGAGACGATCGCACACTGCTAACACTGGACGGATCGAGCAGCGAAGCAACAGCCGACTCAACTGCGAGGGGGGTGTGGATGTAATCAGGCCTTGCCGTTGTGACACCGTCTAGATCTTGGTCTGGAACATCTCTATCGCGATATTGGCCGTACATGCTGTCGTCAGTATAGGCAGTCATGCGACGGTAGTCGAGGTTAGAGCTGCGCAAACTGTCATCGGTATATCCAGTCATACGCTTATCGTTTTGTGCACGGTATGCATCATTCGCTTCATGCTCGTGGTCGAAAAAATCATCAGGGTCTTCTCCTCTGGAAGTAATGGTCGCGTAAGATAGTTCAGAGTCGCGAGGAACACCGTCCTCAAAATGGTAGCCTTCAGGCTTGTTCCGCGAACGTGCGGCGTTGGTGCTGGGAGAGTTGGAAGCAGAATGCAAAGAAAGTTCCGACATTTTCCTAGCAGCTTCGCGGCCTGCAGACGATACTGACGCGGCACTTTTTGCTCGAGGACGCGGAGAAGCATTTGAAAATTTCTCCTTGTAGCCCGATTCGTTCTCAAGATCACGAGAGGGGGTCCGGATAGACTCGCGTTCTTCATCTTTGTTGTGCTGAGAAGCTAAGGCTGCACCACCTAGACCAGCAGCAGTCAAAGCAGCATCTTTAGCTCGGGTAGGAATGCTTTTGTCGCCCTTCGCACTACCTGGCACACTGAAGCTTCCGAGGGAGCCGTTGCTGTTTGGCCCTCTACGCAAGGCTGCTGGGGTTCTGTTGGGCGTGCGAGAAAGAGGAGAATCTACCTCACGCGGCGATCCACGAATGACTTCTTGAATAGGCGTGTTAAGACCTCTGGACGAGCGGGAATGGGGCCTGTCTGTTTCCGCGGATAGGATGGAGGCGCGTGTCATTTCAGTGGGGTTGTGCTCGCTCTGCATGGGCAAAGGTGGGATAGACTGCTCATGGGACGCCTCACGAGCACTCTCGGATACGCTAGCAGTTCGGCTTCTGCTTTTGCTGCGCCTTTTCTTCCTCCTTTCCTTGGTCGTGTCCAGGCTGGATCGAGACTCCTGGTGGTTGAGGGCAGCGGCAGTGAGACCGGCTCCGACTGCGGCTTCAAGAGCACCGTCTCTCAATTTGCTCCTCTGTCTGGTTCTCTTTTGCTGCCCATCAGGGTCATCCAAGCCGAGGTTTTCCTCGCCGTAAATGGAGATGATCCGATCACGACTTAATTCAGAACCGGAATCCACGTTCGAGCCTATGGTCTTCTCTTTACCAGAGCCGCTGGAGAGAACGACACCAGGGTTTTTGTCGTCACGATTAAGAACCACTTTGACATTGGGGGCGCTGGAAGACTTTGACACGGACCTCTTGGACTCACCGCGGGAACTGGTAGAGGCCACCGAATCCCTGGTTAGCTGCTCATACCGATCCCGATTGTGGTCCGTCTTGGAAGTTTCCCTGAGCGCATTAATCTCGGGAAGAATGAGGCGTTTGATGGCATCCTCTACTGCTCCGAGTAATTTGGGATTGTTGATTGATGAGGCATTAGACACGCCTGACCGAATCGATCTATCATCCCCAGATCTTCTGCTGATGTGGGATGACAAAAGACTTGATTCGGTTCCGCTGAAACGGTCCAGCTCCGAACGAGATCGAGAATGCTTGCGTCGCGAAGTTCCGCTTTCGCTCCTATGCTCTTTGCTGACGCTCCTTTCGCGACTGTGCTTCGACTTTCCACTTCTTTCAGATGCCAGCCTTTCCATAACCTTCTGAGTCACCAGGCGCTCTCTACTCAAGCTACGGCTCCTCCTTCGGTTTCCATCCGCCTTCTCGTTGCGTTCCATGCTGCGACTCCGGTGCCGAGAGGGGGGACTAAGGATGACGGGAGGGGCCCCGAGCAAGCTATCCGGAGGCATAGAAGAAATGTCCGAGGGAGCAGCGATGTAGTTGTCTCGGGAGACCTCGGACCTAGAAAGATCGCTGCCGTGCATGACTTCGACTTCGACCGGAGGTCTTCCGCTGAGGTTAGATTCCCCGGAATAAGATACTTCGCTGGTTTCTACCGATTTGCCCTCCGAGCCCTTGGAAGTGGGCAAGGAAATCCTCCTCGTGTACGAAGGTTTTCTGTCCTTTCCAGTTTGTGAGATTTCTACGTGGTCGCTCGCGGTCCTGGATCGCCTGTGTTTGGATGGCGTTACTCTAACGCGGACGCTGGGGCGCGAATGGATTTTCCCCTCGCCAGGTTTTCCGGCTTCGAAATATTCGATGAGAAGGGACGTCTGTGATTGGTGGCGGCCGTGGACAAGGCCTCTGTCCTTGTGCTTCGTGGGTATCGTAACGGGGCTGCCGTCCTCGGGAATCGAATAGTGTGAGCGGTCGGTTCGCCGGGAGAGATCCGTGGCCAGGTCGTCGGGCTGAAAGCTGCTAATGTCGTCGTCTACGCTGAGAATCGAAGGTTCGGTCGGGGCAGGTAGAGGCGGTCGTTGAGTATCGACACCCATTGTGATGTTGGGCGCACTTGGGCCGTTTGTTAATTCATGGGCGGCAGCGGGCGTGGACGACGGCGGCGAGAGTGGAAGGGTGGGATGGCGGCTGAGGGACGAGATACGAAGTCGGCTGCGGGAAATGCAAAAAGGAGCCGGTGGGATGTTTCAACGGCGGTGGTCGACGGCGCGGATGCAAGATGCAGGCAACTTGCGAGCTGGACCAATGGTTCCGACACGGCCCCGATGTTTCGCGGCAGGCCTGACAGAGCGAGCGGGCTGAGTCGACGAGCGGAGCTCTGGAGCGAGGAGCAGATCAAACGAGCAGAAGTCGCAAGAGGCGTGATTCTCGACCGCGGGCGAGTGCGGAGGGCAGCCGCCGGGAGCTGAGGGCGGGCTGGTGTAACTGACGGGCAGGGCGGCAGGGCAGGGCGGCGGGCAGGACAGACGAAGGTGGAGAGAGGGATGCAGTGAAGAAGGCGAGCGAGTGCGGCTCGGTGTAGCCAAACAGACGGCCGGTCACCTACCTTGTTAGTTACCAGCCTGTCTACTCGTCGCGCGCGCGCTGGGCGTGGTGGCTGGCAACTCACACGGCAGCCAGGCTGCGAGAGGCTGGGCACGCACTGTCCAGCGATGCGCACATTACCCGCCGCTTGGGCCGCCATCCCGAGCGGCGACGTCCAACCTTTCGTACCCTTTTGATGCCAGCGCACCCTCTCGCCCCCAATTGGGCCGGCAATATACAACCCCTCGGGCTGTCGTGCGCGCGCGTCAGGCGCCGACCCCGACCCCGTCTATTGGACGCGTCGTCTCCGGCACTCTCGTCGCTTCTGCCGTGCCCGCGTCCGCGCGAGCGTCGACATCCAAGTCATGTTTTACCAGTACACCTCCTTTTTTTTTTTTTTTTTTTAAACGCTCAATCCATTCGCGCTGGACTGACGTGTGTGTGTCACCCGTCCACCCCTAAAACCGTCTTTGTCAGTACCACGGTTCGTCTTATACGCACTGTGGTAGTAGTCTCCATCACAACATACACAACACTCTCTTCCACTTCCCCGTCTATGTTTCCTGCCCTTCCACCCGCAATGTTGGTGAACGGCTATTCAAGAAAAGTCACCCCCCAGTTTCGCCACCGTCCATCTTTATGTGACAACCGACATGGTCCGTAATCAATATACCGAGGTTTGACGGAGGCACTCGACGATCGATTCCATTGGACTTTGTACAGACAACATACCTTGCTCTATCCTTGCCAGTGCACCCGCGGTTGAACATTGCGACGCTGCGGATTACCCAAACTGGAATCTATGCCTACGATGGCGCTGATCCATCTCATACCCCGCATAATCCCCCTCACGGAGGTTTTGGAGAGGTTCCCGTATTGATACTATAAATTGCACTCGAATGCGTGCTCTGTCCCTCTCGCCATTCCAACAGTCGACCCGTCTTTTCCAATCTTTTACCCGTTCGTAGCGCAAGAAACCATGACCAAAGGCGAGCTGCAGGACCTAGATAAGCATGGCAACACGCATGTCGAAAACGTGGTCGACCCCGCCTTAAACGACGAGCTAGCCCAGCTCAGCCCCGAGCAATATGCGGCTGCAGAGAGAAAGTTGATCTGGAAACTTGATCTGAGGATCATGCCCTGTCTTTGGCTCATGATTGTACTCAAGCAAGTACATACTTTCACCGTCTCCTAGCGAGGTACACTAATAGGTTGAGCCAGCTACCTTGACCGCAATGCACTTGCCAATGCCAGGATTCAAGGCATAGAAGAGTCTTTGAACCTCAAAGGATCTCAGTTCAATACTGCGATTTCAGTCCTCTTTGCAGGATATATAGCTCTGCAAATTCCATCTAACCTTATTCTTACACGAGTGAGGCCAAGCTTGTATCTGGTAAGTTTAAACTACGCAGTCAAAATACGAAGGAATGGAAGCTAACAGAGGCTAGCCCGGCTGTATGGCTGCCTGGGGCGTAGTTTCGGGTTTAAGCGCCGCAGTGCATAACTTCGAAGGCCTGGTGATTGTGAGGTTCTTCCTTGGAATGGTTGAAGCGTAAGATAACAGCTCCTTTTTGTTCTGGTGACCTACTAATTGTCTTGCAGCCCATACTTTCCTGGGGCATTACTGTTACTCTCCAGCTGGTATACCAAGCGAGAATTGGCACTGAGAACCTCAGTACTTTACTCGGGGAGCCTGCTTGCAGGCGGTTTCGGAGGCCTTGTTGGCGCAGGTGTACAATCGGGACTTGATGGATCAAGAGGCCTTGACTCCTGGAGATGGCTGTTTATAATCGAGGCCAGCCTCACTGTCTTTGTAGCTCTATGTTCTATGTAGGTACATGACCTCAACATGTTTGGTGCTCCCTACTGACGACTGTAGGCTGATTCTCCCGGACTATCCCCATTCAACCAAATCACTTAGCCCTTTGGAACGTGCCATTGCTGTCCGTCGGATCCAAGTAATGGCATCAATATCCGACGAGAAGAAAGGATCCGTGCTCTATGGTCTGCGTCTCGCCATCACCGACTACAAAGTATGGCTGCTCTCCCTGATGATGATTGCTAAAACATCTGCGGGTGCCGTGATGTCTTTCATTCCGACTCTAGCAGAAACCTTCGGGTATGGCAAGGTAGAGACTCTACTCCTTGTGGCACCTCCGTACGTCTTCGCAACCATCGTCGCTCTCGCAGTGTCGTACAGCAGCGACAGATTCTCGGAGCGCGCATACCATGTCGTCATTCCTATGGTGTTTGCTATGGCTGGCTACATTATGGCGGCATCCACGTTGGCGCTGCCAGCACGTTACTTGTCACTTTTCCTCATGCTAGCGGGGCAATATGGTAAGAGTGGCGCCCTCTCTAGAGTTGGTTACAACATACGTTAACCGTTAGGATAGGTCCGTACAACGTGGCACTCGCTTGGATCTCTAGCACTATTCCGCAGCCACTTGAGAAGCGCTCGGCAGCCATCGCGATCATCAACACGATCGGGAACATTGCGCAGATCTATTCGCCCTACTTCTACTTCGACGGGCCGCGATATTACCAAGCCATGATAGCCAACGCGTGCTTCTGCCTCGCCTGCCTGTGTGCCACGCTGATATTGCGGTGGTGCCTGTTGTGGGAGAACCGGAAGCTTGCGTCTGCCGAAGCCAACGAAGTGCAGGAGCCCGACAACGGGCGGATAGACGAGAAAGGCTTCAGGTATCTCTTGTGATGACACGATTCGGGGGGTTTCCTAGGCCTGTTTCTATGGCACGACGTAGTCACTCATTTTATGGCGGAGTCTGTACAACGGGGTGGGAGGACAAGAGGGGCAGTGATTACGTGCCCCTCGTGAGCAACTCATGCAACCACGAGCACAGCCTCTGGATCCAGCTACCGAGCCATCTGTAGGGAGCGACTTCAAGGCACTGCGTACATAGCTAGATGCTCCTATAAGCGAGACAGTAGTTCAATTCGGCGCCATTTGGCATGGTTTTGCTTCCACCGAAGACGGCTCACCGTGGAACGTGAATAGCAATATAAGCCGCGCAGGAACGTGGAAGCATCCAGGCATTGTTTAGCGAAGCCGTGCCTCGATCCCAGCTTTTGTGCGACCAAGATCCCCCATGTAGGGATAATGAATGTGATCTTCACGGATCTTCGAAACGGCTTGACGTAAAAGGGACCGTGCGATGGGCAAAAGTGCACTCCAGCTCGCTCATGAAGGGCTCGGGCGTCGAGCAGGTATTCGGTGGTGGGAATTGCTGGTTATGCATGCAAGTGGACTCGAGCCACCACCCCAGACTGGTCTCCATATGACCCCGCGGCACCGACCCTAGTCCATCCATTTCCAACCACCCGCCGCCCGCTCCCGCTCCTTCACCTTTCACCTGCTGCTCCCTCTCCTCGTCCGACTGCGCTCCATTTCCGGCAGATAGCGCGCCAGGCCTAGCGCGACACGGCGTAACCACCTGCGCAGCGCTCACGGCAACGAAGCCCAACGTCATCGCCCTATGCGCCCTTCATTGCGAATCTTCCGCACCCAACAGATCTCGCCTACGCTTCTCGTGCCCTGAAGACGACCCTCATCTCTCCACGCCTCGTCCTCCCTCCCGCCCGCCATCCCCTTGCCGCCGATACATCGTGCGACACGCTTACCACGCACTGCATTGCGCCCTGTCAGACGTCCGACTCCTAGCAGCAACATACTCCGAACGCCTGTCTCGCCCAGTCCACTCACAAACCCGCGACGCAGCCCCGAGAAGCTCTTGGTTTGCACCCCACAATAGCCCCGGAACTTCCCCGGAGTCGTCTCGAGCTGACCGAGACATCGGACAGATATCCCCATCGACTGTCACGCCTCGCGCCTGCCCTCTACCCGCCGCGCCGGAACCTTCCTCAGCACGGGGTTTAAGCTCAACCTTGGGCCCGAACCACTCCACCCTCTACCCACCGCTTCGTCATGAGCTCTGCATTCGAAGACGAGGACCTCTCCTTGTCCATATCCAACTCGAATCCGCGTCGCAGTTCGAACAATGGCGGCCCCAGCAATGGGCCGCTTCCCCAGAGGTCGCGTCAAGGCCAGGCTTCACAAAACAAGCAAGATACGGCTTCGGTTGCTCGGGTAAACCAGCGACTCGGGCAGTATCACGTCGTAAAGACGCTCGGAGAAGGCTCGTTTGGTAAGGTTAAGCTGGCTGTGCACCAAGTCAGTGGACAGAAAGTAGCGTTGAAGATCATTGCGCGCAAAAAGTTGGTTACGCGGGACATGGCCGGGAGAATCGAACGGGAAATTCAGTACCTACAATTGCTGAGACATCCCCATATCATCAAGCTGTAAGTTCTAAGTGGATGACGCGGCTGAGCAGTCTGCCCTGTTGACGCCTGACTTCAGTTATACCGTGATTACCACGCCTAACGAGATCATAATGGTCCTCGAATATGCGGGTATCGAGCTGTTCGACCATATTGTCGCCAACGGGAAAATGAGCGAGGACAAAGCTCGCAAATTCTTTCAGCAAATTGTTTGTGCTGTGGAGTACTGTCACCGACACAAGATCGTTCATCGTGATCTGAAGCCAGAGAACCTTCTTCTGGATGAGAATCTTAACGTCAAGATTGCCGACTTTGGTCTGAGCAACATTATGACGGACGGAAACTTCTTGAAGACCAGCTGTGGCAGCCCCAATTATGCGGCGCCTGAGGTTATTTCAGGAAAATTGTATGCCGGCCCAGAGGTAGACGTTTGGAGTTGTGGTGTCATCCTCTATGTCCTGCTCGTCGGTAGACTGCCCTTCGACGATGAGTATATTCCGGCTTTGTTCAAGAAGATTGCCCAAGGCAGCTACACAATACCGAACTACCTTTCATCCGGAGCAGGGCGCCTTATCAAAAAGATGCTAGTCGTCAATCCCGTGCATCGTATCACTATCGCTGAGATCAGGATGGACCCATGGTTCAACAAGGACCTTGCGCCTTATCTGCAGCTCCCGGCCGAGGAATTTTTCGATACAGGTGTTGACCCGAACAAAGCTATTGATCCACACAATCTGGGCCCGGCAAGGCCTGCCCCCGTGGTGCAGCAACTTCACGACACTGTCGTCAGCAAGCTCGGCAAGACGATGGGTTACGCGAAGGATGACGTGCAAGAAGCCCTGGCAAGAGATGAGCCGAGCGCCATCAAAGACGCATATCTCATCGTTCGAGAAAATCAGATAATGAAGACAAACCGTGAGTGTGTAGTTGTTCCGTTTAAAGTATAAGCGCTAACGATCATTAGCTCTGTTGTCTCAAGAGAGTTGTCTGCAGCCATTCCTGGCCACGTCCCCGCCAAACTACGATGCAAGGTCTCCCATGTCACCAATCACGCAGCATATGGCACCACCACAACCACCGACATCCGCGGTTCAGAGCAGCAACGAAAGGCCTAGGCACGGTTCCACTTCGAGCAATCAAACCAACGTCACCGACTACCGTACTCCCGTCAGTACCATTGCTATTTTACCGAGCAGCCTCCCTGACTTCCACCGTGCCTACATGGCCGGGCATCCAAAGCCGAGGTCCTCGCCCGAACCATCTTCACAGGGAGACATCGCCGTGGCGGACACATCAATCGCGCAAACCCCCCAACAGCAGGCTGCGACTGCTCGACGCCTGAAGCCTCACACTCGTTCCCGCGCAGAGCTGGAGAAATCGGGTATGAAGCCCGAGGCTATGACGCCCATCCCAGCGAAGAAGCCGCGGCCAACCAAATGGCAATTCGGTATCCGGAGCAGAAATCAGCCAGCGGAAGCCATGTTAGCAATTTACAAAGCATTGCGAGCAATGGGTGCTGATTGGGAGGTGCCAACCTCAAGAAAACCCGGTGGCGGCAGTAATAGCGCAGATGCATCTCCTGCTATCTCAAGAAGCGCATCGCGTTCAAGGAGCTCTTCTACGGGATCATTGGGGGAGCGTGGGCATCATGATGGCAGCTCCTCTGAGTCTGAATCTGACTTGAATGGAGACTCTGGCGATGGTGAGAGCGGCCTCCGTGTGCGCAATGACGCGGACTCTGGCTCTAGATCAAGAGGCCGGGCACGAAAGGCCTATGGTCTTTGGAACGACTGGGGGTACCAAATACCGGAAGATCCTTGGGTTATCAATGCGCGTTTCCGCAAGGAGGGCATGTTCCCACCAGGCATTGCCCACCCCTCTTCCAGTCACTCCTCGCGTGTCGACTTGCACCACGAATATCAATCTCGCAGTCGTTCGTCTAGCCTTGCTGGGGGCGTTCTGATCCACCATGACGACTCTGGTAGCAACAGCTATGCAGGTCCCGGTTCGACATCTTACCCGCAAAGCAAAGGCTCCAGCGCGGCAGCATCCATGGCGGGCGAGGCTCTGAACCAAACAGAGGCAGATCAGGCTTGCTACGTCTATCTGACCATTCAGCTGTATGGCATCGAGCCCGGCTTTTTCCTGGTCGATTTCAAATGCGCTGGTTATGAGCGACTAATCCCAACGTTGATTCGTGAGATAAAAGTGAACAGCAGAGATGGGCGCGAGGAGTGGCGACGTCTGGGCGATGGCGAGGAAGTGCCACCTACTTCCGAGGATGGAACCGAGACCGAGACGAGACAGAGGGTCGAGTCTCTCGGAGCTGGGCGGGCGAGTGATGAGAAGAGGGCTACGAGTTCCTTCCCATTCTTGGATGTCGCTGGCAGGCTTATCATACAGCTTGCTGAAGCAGATTAACGCGATTAGATGGGGATGTGGCTAGTATTGACCTACTGTGTTTATAGGCGTCCTGCCTGTAGTCAAGGACGAGACTGTCGTAACGGGCCTGCTACCCGTGTATTTTTGCCTCAGAATAAATTGGCTCTGATGAAGATATGATTTTGACTTGTATTTTTGTCCATCTAATGGGAGTTTGATATGTTGAAATCATTGTCAGTGCTAGAACCGTTACCCACCAGTGTCATTTTACATCAGCTATGCTACGCGAAACACAACTATGCCGAACATGGGTATCATCGATGTATATTTTACTTTTTGGGGTGGAGAGGAGAGGTGTTTTGAGCCATTGGTGGCAGTGGCGGCTGAAGGTGATAGAATCGATCAACTCCTTTCCTTTTCCTCGAGCTCTTTCAAGCGCTCGACAAGACGCTCCCTCAGGTAGGGGCTCAGTCCGAGACTAGAGTCACAAGTCAGCACATCCATTCCCAAAGCATTTGGACCCTCGGGGTCCTCAGTCACTCACATTCCCTCGCGCGTGCAGATGCGATATGTGCCGGCATCTTGGTAGTTGCCATTCAAGCCGACAAACTGGCCAGCGCCATCCACCTCAACGCTACCAAAGATATCCTCTGGCCAGGCAATGCGGCCATAATCAGGTGGGTTCCTCAGGTCGCTAACATGAACCCAGCCGCCCCTTCCGGCACCACCGGCACCGCCCTGGGCGCTCGCGCCGCCGGCACCATCTCCACCCGCGCCTCCACCGCCGCCGCTGCTGGAGCCGCCGCCGACGCGGTTGCTGGGGCGCGCGCGCTTCGCCTGCTGTGACGGGTGGTTGGGGGGGAAGAAGGCGCCGCCGGTGCCGAGGGAGGAGCCGGCCGTGGAGGCGTAGGCGGCGGCTTGGGCTTGGACGTTGGGGTCGCGGGTCGCGTGGACGTGCAGCACGGACTGCAGGATGCCGAGGAAGGTGGGGTTTTCTTTGAAGGTGGTGGGGGTGGGTGGGAGTTGGGTTGTGGTGCCGATGGCGAGGGAAGGTGTGGGCGGGCTCGTGGGCAGCAGCGATAGGATGTGATGCGTGTTGGTGGAGGAAGGGAAGACATACTGGTACAGTGGCGGTGGGTTAGCATAGTGCTCGCTTGATAGGTACTGTGGTAATGTAGGTATTGGAGATGGAGCTTACAATGTCCGGGTTGCTTGAGAGGGTCGACACGCTGCGGAGACAAGTCAATGCGCGGGGGGCTGCGCGGTGGGCGAGAGAGCGTGATGAGCGGAGCAGCAGCATGGCGGGCGGTTCAATTGTGGTTGTGTATGTATGTAGTAAGGTGATGGAGTAGAATTTTGGTGATATCATTGATGGAACATTAGGTCTCGGGCCTCGTCAGGACCAAACCACGTCTTCCATTCTCTTCCTTCGACGCGCGCACCATCCATCACTTCTCACCTCTGCGGCGCAATCTAGACCATCATGACACTCACGTCCTCCGATGCACGGAGATTAACCCATACGAGTCGCCGGCTCAACAATTGCCTATCCGTCGGTCAGTGCATCAGCTGAATTTTCCGACTTCGGCGTAGCGCCGATCACCGTTTTTGCTGTAGCTGAGATAGAGTCACACTGAGAGAATTCATCCGCCTTTTTTTTGCTTTTCTTGACCCCGAATTCGTGCTGCCATGGCCGGTACTGATGCCCAGTCATCGCGTTACTACCCCCGGGATCCCGTCGATGTTGACAAGCACGGCCAAGTGACTGGTGAGGACCGAGAGCTCGGCCGGGCCGCCGTCGATGTAGACCGCATCGAAAAGGTCTACAAGTGAGTCTCACAGCCTACCTCCCGGAACTTTGTCTGACCTGGAATTAGAAAGCTGGACCGGCGTATCATTCCTGGTTGGTACCTGCTTCATTCTTTCCTTGCCCCGTCAAACTGACAATAAATCCAGCCTTCTGGGTCCTCTATTTCCTTTGCTCTGCCATTCGTTCCAATGTCGGCCTTGCACAGACCATGAACAGTGCGTCTGGCCATGACCTTGGTACCGTACTGCACATGACATCCAAGCAGACATCGACCGGCCTGGCGTTGTTCTACGTCTGCTATGTCATTTTTGATTGTCCCTCCAACTTGATCATGTCGAGGCTCAGCCCGCATGTATGGATGAGCAGAATCGTCATTGGGGTTGGCATCATTGGCGCCTGTATGACTGCAATGAAGGCAGAGTGGAGCTTCTAGTGAGTCTTGCCATGGACCCATCAGCTGTCATGGTCTGACATAAGCACAGTCTGCTTCGATTGCTCCTTGGTATCGTCATTGCAGGCATGTGGCCGGGCATGTCTTACTACCTCACGCTGTTTTACCCGCCGTCTAGAACCGGCAAGCGAATCGGGCAGTACTTTACCGCCTCTCAAGTTTCCGCTGCCGTAGTTGGTCTCGTATCAGCTGGTTTCCAGGAAATGGACGGAGACCGCGGACTTGTAGGCTTCCAGTGGATGTTCCTGGTCTATGGTATCATCACCATTGTCATGGGAATTTCTCTGCTTTGGTGGCTGCCTGATAGACCAGTTGCTCCTGGACAGACTAGAGACAGGTCTGGATGGAGGAAGTACATCCCTGAAAGCAAACCGGCTCTTACGGGCGAGGATGCTAGGATCCATTACGAGGACTTGACTAGAGTGTATAACCACAAGCCGTGGACTCTCAAGGATCTCTGGCGCGTCCTAATCGACTGGCGTTTATGGCCACTGACCATCATGTACTTTGGGGTGGTGGGCGTGGGCATTGGCGTCCAGTTGTATGCCACCATCATCATCAAGGGCATCAACGAGGACCTGACAGGCGTGCAGCTGTCACTGCTAACCGCACCAATCTGGATCGTAAGTGGCTTACACAAGCTCACTTACCACGGGCCATGCTGACAAAACCCCGCGCTAGATGGACCTCATAGCCATCCTTATAGTGACGCCCATATCCGACCGCTTCCACCACCACCGCGCGCTTTTCTTCTCCCTCGCAACGCTGATCCAAATCGCCGGACTGCTCGTGACGACATTCGCGCCCCCGCATCCCTACCCCTGGGCGCGCTATGGCGGACTCCTAATGGTCGGCTTCGGGCTCGGGCCGACAGTCCCTCTAACCATGGCGTGGACGAATGAAATCTTCCAGCCACGGCACGGCGAGGTCGGCGTAGCAGCCGCGTCGGCCCTGGTCTCCGGCCTAGGCAACCTAGGCTCCGTCCTCACGACATACGCGCTTTATAGCGGGTGGCCGGCGGATGCGCTGGGCAAACACAAGTACCGCAAGAGCAACTTGGTCATGATAGGGATCCTGGGCGCGAGTATTATTGCGGCGGGAGTCATGTTTGTGGCGCTTAGACTTACGGGAGGCATTAGAGGGAAGAAGGTCAGTGCTGGAAGTTCAGTGAGCGAGGGCGAAACTGTCATTGCTGATGGCGCGGCGAGGAGGGAGGTCCAGCAGAGGGGCTTGGGGAGGTTGTGGTGGTTTACGAGAAGGTAGTGACGCGTGGCAGTGACGCGCGGCGGAGGGCTGGGTTGTTTGTTCCCTTCCCATTGCCTAGCAGCCTTCACAATCTCTAGATAATCTCTGGTTTTCAATAAGAAAAACGAATATTCCTGTATCTCAAGGGGTTGTTAACAGGCGATTGATCGTTTTCGAGCATCCATGTCGTCACACCCATATAGGCCTGCTAGAAAAACTAACTTACGAAAACCAAAAGTGGTCTGATTCTTCCTTATCGCTCGCCCCAGCTACAAGCTTCAACTGCCTGCGTCTGCTTTTCCCCCTCTTCTATGCTCTAGTTCGGCAACTACTTCCAACAAGCATCTAATAGCACACGCACAGCTGCAGCACACAGGGTAGCATGACTATAATAAAGCAGCAGCCGCGCCAACCCTGCCGCACTTGCACGAGAGAAATTAAAGCGTAGGCCCAGCACGCACACCCAAAACACCAACGTCGCACAGCCGCCTCACCAACAAAAATTTCCGCCACGGCACCGGCTTCGCCGTATAACAGGTCTCGTGTGCGAGCGTCGTGCCGCATATACCGTATGACAGACACATGTTCGAGCCCGGAAACTGGGTTGCCCTGCCGTGCCCAGCGGCCGGGGTTCGTGTGGGGCCCAGAGTGCCGTCCCATGGTGCTGGGAGCATGGGTGCTGGGCCCGGGGGCTCGACTCGCCTCCACTTGCCCGAGGCTCGCGGTAATTGTTCGCTAGGAAATTGGGTATGCATGTTGTGTTGGTTCTTGTGGTTTTCGGTAATTTGATGTGGCGGAAACCATGCGTGCCACGTGCATTAGATGCAGGTACGTTGAAGGCATGTATAACGGATCCTAGTCTTTCATTAAATTGGTATCTTTGTTTCGAAACCATACACCGACATTTCTAGCCGCATATCGGAGATGTGCGTGAACAAAGTCTCAGTGTTCAAGCGTTAACCACCACTCAAGGCGGAGGCCACTGAACTCAGACCTACGACCACTTAAATCATAATCAACCATGATCTCGTGATGCTGACGGTCTTCCAAAACATCATAAACTCCAGATCTTTCAACAAGGAAAGCACACTGTAATAGCGACAGACAATCCCGCGTCTAATCCCACTCAGCCAACACTTTCTCTTTCACCAAAGTATTAACAATTTTTCTCCAAGCATTTAATCTACTTCGAGATGCCCTTCTCAGGGTCTGCACTGATGTTCTCCACGTTCTTTGTATGTCTCTTCTCACCGATGTTCGACATCATGCGTGGGTCAGCGCTCGAGTTGCGCCTGCTCTCATCATGCATGTGGTGCTCCTCTGTCTCCTCGTAGTTGATGAGGAGCTCGCCGTTCTTTCCGTAGCGGCGAGGCTCGTTGCGTGCGACGCTTACGACGTTGAAGACGGACGTCGTCTTGTGGAAAATGGTGTCCATCTCCTCGAGCGAGCGGTAGGCCGTCTCCGGGTAGAAGAAATACGTCACGGGGACAATAAAGGCGTTGCTGAGGTGCATTAGCAGATGTGACTTGAGGGAGTGGAGTGAGGGTCGTGCTTACATGACGGCGAAGATAATGTAGGTCTGGTATCCAATAGAGGAGAAGGCGACGGGGGTGATCATGACAACCATGAAGTTAAACGCCCAGTTTGCGCTCGTTGACAGTGCGTTGGCGGGTGCACGAATGCGCAGTGGCACAACTTCTGCGGGATAAAGCTAGTTCTGTCAGTACGATCACGTACGAAATAATGGCGGTAGTTCTCATGTGGTTGCTCACCCAAGTCATACCAAGCCAGCCGACTGCGAAGAAGCTGTTGAACACAAACAAGAAGGTGGCGGACACGATACCTGCCGCGGTGTTGCGTTCGTCTGCCGTCTTACCCTCATTGATGGAGTTACTGATGGCCAGAACAACCATAGACAAGCTCATGCCCACGGCGCCAAAGAGCATCAGACTGCGGCGGCCGACTTTCTCGATGAGGAAGACAGGGACCCAGGAAACGAGGAAGTACTCGGTGCCATTGCAGGCAGCCAGAATGCGTGAAATGAAGGGGCTGAGGCCAACATAGTTCTCATAGATATTGGCGGCGTAGTACCTGATAAGTTGGTCAGTGTTTCCTTTCTTGCACAAAATAAACCATTTACCGGCGCTAGGAAACGTACGTAATCAAGTTGATGCCCGATATTTGCTGAAACATCTGGTTAACGTAGGCAAGAACAGTACGGTGTAGATGCCGGTCTTTGCCCATCGTAAATAGATCACGGAAGCTGCCCTGTTCCATTTCGAGGACGGTATCCTTGATCGCTGTGAACTCGCTCTTGATGTAAGCATCGCCACTGAAATTCTATTAGCCTAGCCCTGAGAAATACCGGGGGAGTTCTTTTTGCTTACGGTTCACACTCGTTTAGAGCGCAAAGAACCTCCAAGGCCTCGTCTTCCTTGCCCTTGAGGATCAACCAACGCGGTGACTCAGGCAGATCCAAGATGAAGATCAGAATTATGAGCGCAAACACAATTTGAAAAGCAATTGGAAACCTCCAGGAAACAGTACTAGGTTCCAGGTAGGAGAACCCAAAATCGATCCAGTAAGAAAGGCAGACACCGCCTGTGATGAGAGCGCCCTCGATCATCACAAGAACTCCACGGCGATGCGATTTACTACATTCTGACTGCCAGGTAGGGACGGTGGATGTGTTTAATCCGTTGCCCATGCCAGTGATAATACGCCCGACAATAAAGTGAGGGAGGCTGAAAGCGGAAGTCTGCAGAGCCGCGCCGACAATCATGATGGCTGAGCCGACGAAGATGGTCTTTCTTCTTCCAAGCATGTTGCCGACCCAGATACAAGCGATTGCGCCGCAGAAACAGCCGACATTGTATGATGCCACGGAAATACCTGAATGTGTATATTCAGTAAAATCCTTTGCTTACTCTGTGTGTCCAGTCTTTTGGTATGGGTAATTACCCTGAATAACTGATACGTGGTCATGTTCTGGGCCCTTTGGTGCTGCTTCCACGTCGAGTTCTGGAAAGACATTCAGAAATGATCGGAGGGTCAACAGCCCTCCCATCACCCCCTGGTCGTAGCCAAAAAGCCTAATTGTCTATAAGGGACTGTTGAGTGGTGGAGATTACAGGTGACTAACAAAAAATCCAAGCCTGCAATGATGCCGATCGCAACGTTGAGCTTCGTGCCACGCAAGCCGAAGTATCTGGAGCCGAACATGGTGCAGCCAGCGTGTCGACAGGGGTTCTCCTCTAAAGATCTGAGGGATGTTGGTTACTCAACGACGAACGCTCCAACATGGGCCGATCATTTTATATAGCGATGTTCAGTGACCAGTAAGACGGCTCTCGTACCGCAAATGTTATGGCAGCCCGAGGTGCTGAATGCGCGGCTCCACAAGAAACCCCCGCGGGGAGAGGAGTCGGAAGTGTGAATGACGTCGCGTGGGACATGGTGATGTGCAAAAAGTGGGAATGCGGACGGTCAATCCTGGGGAAAAGCTACGCTACTTGCCCGGCTTGCCGGATGTAGTAGGCCGACGGTCGTGTGCCTTCCGAGTTTTAGCGATGCCCGCTCGGCTTTCGACCACCAAGCCTCGTGATGTTTTCTTGCCCAACGCCCAGCTGACAGCTCAGGGGCGATCAAACGGCACGCTTCCTTCGGCTCCCAGGCAAACAGCCACTACTCCTAGTGCGCATGGACATTCCAGACTCCAGAGGTGCTTTTCGCTCTGCGCCGGATCTGCAGAGGCTCCCCCTCCCTTGGCCAATCCTCATCAGCCAAAAAAGCAACCAGCCAGAAAAACCCGTTACCTCGGAAATGACTCGCCGCAGACTCGTCGGATCCTGAGCCGTACCCGTACCCCGCTGCGAGAAAGACCCCCAAGGACCCTGTTGGCGCGGAAATTGCCTAGCGGTGTGGCAGCCCACCCAAGTCTAGGCTCCTTCCCAGGCCAACGGTATCGAGCCAAGATGTAACCCAGTCGCTCCACTTGCGCCTTGGTCTCGAGACTTGGTACGTACGCGCAGCCTGGCAGATGCGCAAGAGCCAAAGTGGAGTGCTTTGTTCCCCATGGAGGCCCCAGCCGCCCCACGACTAAGTCAGCCGGGGCAAATGGCGGTACCGGCTCAGCGTCATAGAGGCGCGTGCGGCTTTGATCTGGCTGGCCCAAGGGACGGTCGAGCGGCTGGCGCTGTCATCAGGCTTCCCGTCTCTCTGATAAATTCGCCCACCACCTCCGCGATTCAGCGGGTGAAGCGTCTTAACTCGCATCCCAAACCCTCACCCACACGTTCTGCTGGCATGTCGAAACAAAACGCAATCCACATAGAGTCGGTGGTGCCCATTGGGAAGATGGACGTTGTCAGGCGGTTTCAACTGTTCCGTCTGAGGTTTTTCGTCAAGCGGAAGCGGTCGTCCTTCTACTCGGTAAGTCCACTCACTGTGCTTTGCGGCACCCTCTTCCCTCGAATCCCAGCGAGCCATGTGCTTTCACGCTATGCGGATTATCGCGCATCGCTCGACCATTCTTGCTGATCATGTGGTCAGGCCCGTCAAATAGTCTGATCGTCACCGCCTGATCGGACGCATCGCACTTTACTGCCGAAATTCAAGGCCTTCAGCGCAGCGACCCTTTGCCTTCGGATCTTTAGCGTCTTTGACGCCCGCAAGGCCAGGCTGGGCTTATAGAACGCCTCGTGCCACGACTTAATCCCTTTCGGGGACCCCTTAGTATCATGCCGATACGTCTATAGCACCACAGGAATGGTGACTAGAAATGTTTAATATGGATATATGACCCAAGATGTCACTCCGCTGGGCGTCGCCTTCGGGGATATGGGAACTCGACGTATGCTCCTTGGCGTGCTGCGTCTTGCGGACATGGTGTATTTGATACCCCTAAACTCCAAGCAATCCACACCGGGAACGATGGTGGAGCTTCAACCGCTTCGTCTTAAACGTCAAGAGACGGGAACATCGAGACAACTCTTAATCGACTTTCAGAAATTTCTCGGAGCTCGGGGAACAATTTCACTAGAATCATATCTTTCCGGCTCTTTTAAGTTGAAAACGTCTGCCGTTTTGACCTTGCAGTGCGTCGAACTATCCGATCGAAAATAAACCTAGTCACTTTCAGCATTGACAAGCCCCACCGTCCTCTTTTATCATCGCCTTCCGATATATTTCAACTGCACCCTTGGCTGGCATCAACGGTCCTATTATTGAATCACTGGGAATATCACTTACCTGTTACTTCTTATCCACAGTATGTATGACCTGCACTTCGCATTATATGCCTGTTTGGATACCACGAAAGGCTAAGGTTTAAACTGGGCTTCTGCATTTTTTATGACGAGGTACGCTACCACAGAAGCTTGAGGCATCGATGCCTATGCTCGCTGCTGACTACATCGCAAACCAGAAGACCGAAGAAACCACCTTGAAATGAAGCCAAAGCAATCTATCGCTTTGGTCTACCCCTGAAGAACCGTAAACCATGAATGCCGCAAGAGAATCGACATGTCCATGATGGACACTCTTGAGTCGTGAGTGATCCAGGCAAACTCCTAGGAGCAAGCAGAGAAAGATCCATCTACCAGCCACCGGCGGTCACCTCAGCGGCACCAGCACCAGCATCCCAACCACCAGAAGCAGCACCGTTAGTATCGCCATTGCCCCAGTCTCCAGTAGCACCGGCGTCAGCACCACCAAAGCCAGCAGAGTCGCCAAAACCACCGCTGCCATCACCGTCTTCCACAATCTTCTTGCAGCGCTTAACGGTGTGGCCCATCTCGCCGCAGTTCTTGCACTGGACCTTCGACCAATCCGTGGGCTTGGGGCAGTCACGGGAGAAGTGGCCCTTCTCCTCGCAGTTGCGGCAGGTGGCGTTGTCCGGATTACGAGGCTTGTCACACTCCTTCGACATGTGGCCTTCCTCACCGCAGTTACGGCAAGTCATGACCGGGGCGTTGGGACAATCGCTGGAGAAATGGCCCACTAGACAGACTGTTAGCAAGAGCTTGGGCGTAAATACGGAAACATGAAGGCTTACTCTCATGGCACTTGCGGCACTCGACTCCCTCAGCTGAGCGGGGGTCCGGGCAGTCCCTCGAGTTATGACCGCGCTTCTTGCAGTTACGGCAAGCATAGGGGTCCTTGCGCTCCTGTTGACAGTCGCGAGCACGGTGGCCAACCTCCTCGCAGATGGCACACTTAACCTCGGCGCGGTCGATGGGCTCCTCCTTCTCCTCTTTACAAAACTTCCCGACGTGTCCCAACTGACCGCAGTTGGCGCACTTCGGAACCATGCGATCCTGGATGAAGCCAGCATCACCAAGACGCTCAATGTTCTCCTCGGGGGTTTCAGGCCAACCAGGAACGGAGTTCTTGCGCTTGGGCTTTCCTGAGAAGTAGAACCCCAGGACGTACTTGCAGTCGATCTTGCCGGTGAAGTTGACAATGGTCATGACATCAGAGACCTCTCTCTCAAGAGCGATGAGGTGCACATTCATCTTGTCATCACGAAGGGTCTTCTCAAGCATGGCCAAGTCGACAGAAGCCTTGTTGGCAATCAGCGCCTTCGCGTAAGCCTTCAGCGCCTGAGCCAAAAGTTAGTGGAGTCACCGGTAAACAGTGGTGATGCCTTACCTCTCTGAAGTCGTCGAGATCCTTGTTCTCATCCGCCTTCTTCAGATCCTCCCAAGCTTCCTCATCGGTCTTGTCAGGAATACTGCTATAGTCCATCGCACGGTTCTCCTTGCACTCGGTTGCCTGGTGACCTTCCTGCTTGCAGTTCTTGCAAACGACGGGCGGCTTCTGAGGACACTCGGCGGCAGGGTGGCCAGTCTCCTTACAGATGCGACACTCGCCAGTGAAGGGGCGATCAACCTTGGGGTTGGTACAATCGGCCTTGTTGTGGCTGTTCGACAAGTTAGTTTGTGGACGAGCAACAGTGGCTTGAGTTACGTACCCGACTTCGCCACAGTTGAAGCACTCGCCGGTCATCTTCTTGGGCTCCGGGCAATCGCGAGCGAAGTGGCCTTCCTCGCCACAGCTATGGATTGTTAGCTGAGAATCAAAGGCCACGGTTTCGGAACACTTACTTGCGACAAGCACCACCGTCGCCGCCATCCTGACCTCCACCAAAGCCAGCGTCACCCCCGAAGCCGTCGGCATCACCCCCGAAGCCAGCATCGCCTCCGGAGCCGGCATTGCCGTTGCCCCAGCCGTCATCTCCACCACCAACAGAAACGCCGCCGGCGTCGGCCTGCCAGGCGTCGGCTCCAGCTGTATGCGCGATAGCAAGTTAGCTTGACGTTACCGACGGCGAACCAAAGTCAATGAAAGGGTGACTTACAATCGTTCCAGCTCATGGTGGATGACTTGTTCGTGTGAAGTTGAAGTCTGTTCGAGAAGCTGTCTATTGGAGGGAGGTCTTGTCAGTGGCCGTGAGCTTCCAACGGTTGTCAGACAAGCAGGCAAACGAGCTGCCTTCTAGTTCAAACAAAGAGGAACAAGGGATGGCAACTTGGCTCGTTGCTTTGTTAAGGCAAGCGAAAGACAAGTGATTGGAGTTGTTGTGTGGTGGAGCGGGACCTGAGTGTGCGGGAGGGCGGGGTTTTAAGGACGCCGCGAGCTATGACGGCACTTACGAAAAGAGAAGGCGCGAGCGACCGGACTGAACGCAGCTCGAGCTTTTGGACTGAGCGACGTGAGCGGGTTTCACTAGGAGCTCCCTAGCGAAGAGAGGAAGATTGGTCGCGTGGGTTGAAGGGTGTAGAGAGAAAGAGGTCAAGCAGCTGGGGGGAGGGGGTGGGGGAGAAAGGGGAAGTCGACGAAGATACCTAATAAGAAGCCGGCACGCCAGCAGATTGGAAAGGGAAGGAACGTCTATGCGGCAACGTCACTGCCACTTCCAACAACGCCGGCCGCTTACGACAATGCAGCCTGCGAATGCACCTTCCCGAACGCACCAAACCTTCGTTTGCATTCCATACTCTACCATCCCTACCCTTCCTCAGAGCCACTCCTACCTCGTAAACTCAATCAATGCACCAGCACCCTCGCGCCCTTTGAATCTAGCCTCGCGCTCGGGTTGAAAAAGTCATGTTTCACGTCGACGTCGCTTCTGTCCGTCTCCAACAACTCCAACTCAAACCTTCCTCCAAACAGCGCCGCCAACGTCAAAAAGATTTCTGCTCGCGCCAAGTTCATCCCCAAACATGCCCTAGTCCCCTTGCTGAAGTTCACAAGGTATTTCTCCAGCCGTTGCGCTCCAGGCTCCAGCCAACGTTCTGGCTTGAAGACCTTGGGTTCTGGAAACAGTCTCGGGTTTTCGTGAGTCAGGATAGAGGTCATGCCGACAGGAGTGCCGGCTGGGATAATATAATTGTTGAATACCAGGTCCTCGTTTGGGGCAATGCGGGTAAGGCGGGAGGTGATGCCATAGCTGATGCGAAACCCCTCCTTGACTACGGCATTAAGGTAGGGCATGTGTTCGAGGTCTCGAAGCGACGGTAGCTCTGCAGGGTTGGACGCAATGCCTTGAAGCTCTGCACGGAGCTTTGTCAGGATTGGCGGGTTGGCGAGTACATGAAAGGAGGTTGTTTTGAGGAATTGCGCTGTGGTATTGGAACCGGCCGCAACGATGGTAAGCGCTTCATCGATGAGACGTGGCACTGTCTTTTCCGAGGCTGGCAAATCGCTGTCAAGCAGCTCGTGGAATATGGAGTGACGCGTAGCAGTTTTGTTGTTTTCTCTCCGCCCATTCACAACAGGCATGATGTGGGCCACAATATTCTGCAATGAAAGCTGTCAGCGCACCTGCTTGGGATGCCTAACAAGATAATGACGCTTATACGGGGTAGAGGAAGAGATCCAGTTAAGGTGTTTATAGTATGTGTGTATGCTTTTAAGAACTTTCACTCATCCAGGACTTAGGCCTGTCGCTAAACAAGGAGTAGTGTGGACGGGGACAGACGTCGTTGGACTGTTGTAGAATGTTTGCACAACAGGTTCTCAAACAAGCAATAGAAACTTCGACTGAGCATGAACTGAACAGCAGAAACTGAAAGAAACTTGGGCACAGCCGGACCGCTACCTACTTTTCGGTAGTTCACCATCTGCAACATGTTCGAATCCAACCTTTTGAATTTCATCAACCACAACGACAGCCTCTTTTTAATCGGAAACAGATACGGCAACTGTTTGTTCAGCAGTGTAAACTCCGACATCTGTAGCTGTAATCTTAACCACTCAGGGGCAAACCCCGGACGATCCAGGAAGCCATAGCTTTTCCCAAAGCTATAATCCGTAATGATATCGGTCGTAAGGGACACGAATGCAGCCTCCAGGTTCACAGGCTCCTTACTCTCCCGAAATCCTTCGAGGCGGTGGCACATTTTCTCGATAGCTGGTATGATGGTGGCGGGTGCGAGCTTGGTGATAGACTGCTTGGAAAAGTAGGGATTCAACGCGGTACGACGCATGCGATGCAGTTCATGGGTGACGGTTGAGAAGACGCTGCTGCTGTTTGGAAACATTTTAGTCGACCACGCATACTTGTCGCGCTTCTTGCTGGGGCCGCTGTAGAGCACATCGTAGAAATCCGGGTCATCGATATGGAGCTCATACGGGTTGATGCGGATGATAGGCCCTGGAAGGCCTTCATTTAGGCTTTTCTTCCTGCTTCGATCGGGATTTCGAGACAAAGACTCCTTACCGTATTTTTGATGTAGCTCTCTGATATGAAATGTAAATTGCCCACGCTTGACGACGTCGAAATAGAATTCATAAAAAAGCGTAAGGGCAGCGAGCTTTGGTCCCGGAAAGCTCGCAAGTGGACTGAAATACAGACGATAAACGGCGCCCCCAAGAAGGTATAGCAAGACAAATGTTATACCAACGCATAGCGCTCGGGTAGGTTCAAGAAGCTCCGCCAAAGATGCCATTATGGTTCTGATGTTTACGTAGGCGGAGAAGGATGCAAGATGCAAGTGCCATCAAGCGAAGTGAGGGTCTATAGATAAAACAAACGAGGAGAATAGTTTGGTTCATTAATTCATTTCAGCTGAGTGGCGCGTGAGATGCAGAGTGGGGTCCAGAAACAAGCAGATCCAGCAGAGTCGACCAAAAGTATCAGGCTGATATGACATGCATTCAACTTGCAGGACCAGGCAAGGCCAACAAAAATGTTTTCTCAACCAATATGGTTGAAGCTGACTGCACTGATACGGATAGTTCTGCATATGAACATAAATAGCCGGCGCCAGGGAGTCAGCAACGTTGCAACCTTGACTGTTCTGAACTCGTGAGCTGAGTGCAGATACGAGAAACGCTAGGCTCTCTTCGTGGAGGTCTGACATTGGGAGGCCCGTTGTATGTGGCACTAGGAGCGTCATTCTGTCAGACTTGCCAAAAGTTCGTGCAGAAAGCCATCGTTTGCTCATACAGTTACTGGCCACGGCATTTAAGCTGCCCAGAAACTTCCGACTGGTAAAAGATGACTATTGGTATATCCGGACAAATTCTGCATAACCGCTTGTACTCTTTCACCTAATAAAAAGAGAAATATGATAAACAGTGAACACTGTAAGGAAATCAGTCTGTAGACGTCTCTTGAGTTGTACCAAGAAAATTCAAGGTTCATGGGATGTTTGTGTTTGGTTTCTTGCCGTAACAAATGGACCTGGTATCTTGTTAAGTCATTGCAAGACACCAAGCTAAATGAACTTACACGCTCGTGTATGCATGTACTTTTCGGTCTTTAAGACCTGTTCTTGCACGTGCGAGGAATACTTGGACCTCTTCAGGGGACCACTGCAATGAGTCAGTAAGCCCATCTTGCTACATCTTTACCATGACTTAGTTTACTTACTCCCATGACTCTGGTCAACAAGGCCATTGCCCAACCCTCGAGGCCCTGGAAACATTCTATTAAATGCCACTTGCCTACCTCTTTCAATTTTGGATCACTTGACCACGGGCCTACCGGCATTTTCATCCTATGCTCTGTAACTTCCTCGAAGCCAGCGTCAAGCATGTACTGTTTCTGAAGAGCCCAGATGCGGAAAGTTTTCCCATTCTTCTCACCAGCTTCCTCGAAGATGTTGCCCCATTCCTTGAAGATGTGGCCATCTGGAACTGTACCGTCGTCTGAAATCCAGGTGACGGAATACTCAACTTGTTCATACCATGCTCCGGGCTTAAGGTGCGCCATAACTTGGCTATAGAAAACTGGCCAGTCTGCAATGCACCCCAAGAGGCCGCGCGCATGGATGAAATCGAAAGAGTCTTTCTGGAATGTCCATTCATCGGAAGCATCATCAACTTCAAATCGTAGATTCGGGGGGACTGGATCAATGATTAGTTTCGCCTTGGCTGAACAGATTCAACTACTCACCCCAATTGGGCTGGATGGCAGAAAGGTCAGTTCCAACTACCTCTGCGCTAGGGTATTGATCCGCAAAGTCACTGCTAGATGAGTTCCCATCTGTTCTTTCATAATTACAACGACCTGTCGGCAAAACTCACATTGCCCATATCCCTGGGTAGGCAGTTAGCAGGATAGACTCTCTCCGCGGAGCAAGTATATGGCATACCTGTACCCGTCCCAACATCCAATACTCTCTGACAGCTATCAGCCCTCATAGCTACGCTATGGACAGTAACATAATTCACCTGTGGATGATCTGATATCGGCGCCCGGAAGAGTTTACCGTCCAGTAAAATCAAAAAGGTTTGGTGTGATAGGTCCAGTTGATCATTTTGTTGGTCATCATTGGGCCCCCTGAAGAGCTCACTTAGCACATTGAAGATTAAAACTCGGAAATAACTTGCCAATACGAGCCCTCTTTGTATTTGTGATATCTTCTGCCTGTATACCTTTGTTGGCCCAATCCTTGATGCAATATAATACTGGCTTACCATTCTCCACCGGATATCGGTATATGGTCGAAGCCAGAGAAGTCGTCTCAGTTGCGCTGCATCGTAAATAATCAGGCACTGCCCATCATACAATGACGGCATATACGACTCACAGGTCGTTGCCGTAGTTTGATTCGTATTCATCGATATTTTCATCCTGTAACCATTAATTAGTAAAAGCTGCTACTGGTTTGAATGGTTGTCTCACAATCGGAATATCGCTGACTTCTTGCGAGGACGGTAAACTCATGCTTGCAATGTATGCACTCAAGGACGCGGAATAGACAAAAGCAAGGGGTTAGATTGAGAGTAAAGGCGATCGAAAGCAACAGGTCCAACGGTAAATATAAGGTGCTCCAACAACCAAGTATTGCCTTGGACTGACTGCGCCGTCTGTGCCGTTGCGGCGTCTGGATTGAGGAAGAATGAAGTCGCATTCGCGCTGCAAATGCGGGGTGCCCAGCCTCAATATAAGTCCGCAAATGGGAAAACGATTGGTTCGTTGCTATGCCATTTTTCATCCAAGCGGATTGAAGAATATTGCCGATTTCCAAGTATGCATGTGGCACGGGGATGAGCACTGCATGTGTGCTGGATCACCAAGAATGGTTGCACTTCTGATCATGCGATTGACGGACCAATCTCTTGGGAATATGCTGGGGTGGGTTTGTACATCTTTGAACCTATGCGAAATTCTTCACGGAGCGGAGTCGCTCGTCGGGACCATCGGACGTTGCAACGTCACACAGCTTGAGCTGTGGTGACAGCTAGATCGAGGAGTTGAAGAATAGTGAGAGTGTGTTTGGGCCGTCTAAGAGTCTGGGTTAGCGGTATCGGACAGGCGCCGAATTTTGTGTTTTCGGGAGGAAAATTGTGCGCAGTGGGCGAATAAGCATGCGAGGATACAGCGTAAGGATGAGCATGGTCTGCGACACCCCAGGGTCCGGCAGTTGGGCAAAGGGCTCGGGGCAGTGGCATAGGCAAAAAATTAGGTACACGTATTGTAGGTAGAGTCATGCCGATGTGTTCATTTAGGAACGACGTCGTCGCTCCAGGTCTTCATCCCAAAGCTTTGTTTTCAGCCGTTCAACACGCTGGTCCTCTTTTGTCCCTAGGCATCCTCCCACGATGCCGATCCGTCCCATGAGTAGAGCTCCTCTCCGCCGAGCGCTGCCATTGCTGCAGCCGCGGGGCACGCCAACATTTTCCCTCCGGCCCACTACGCCGCAGCGATATGCCACCCTGCTAAGCAGCACTTCATCCTCGCCCACCATCCCCGGCACCCGTCTCTTCTCCAGCACTTCCGTCGCCATGGTTGCGGCAAAGATTGATGGCACTGCCATTGCCAAAAGCATCCGCGAGCGCCTCAATGCCGAGATCAAGCAGAAGCAAGAGAGCAACGAGCGCTACAGGCCCTCGCTGACCATCATCCAAGGTGCGCTCGTCGTTCCTTTCCCTGCTCCAGCTTGCACATGCTAATAGCCGTCCTTTCGCAGTCGGCGACCGCTCTGATTCCTGTGAGTAACAATGTGCATGCCCTGCGATGACTCAATTGACCATTGCCAGCCACCTATGTGCGCATGAAGCTCAAGGCCGCCGAAGAGGTATGCGCGCACCGATTATGGCCCCCAAAGCATCCGCGCTGTTCCGCGCTGACTTTTGCAGGCCGGAATCACTTGCAAGCTGGAGAAGTACGGTGACGACATCACCGAGACGGAGCTCCTCGACAAGATCACTCAGTTCAACAATGACCCCTCCATCCACGGCATCCTCGTTCAATTGCCCGTCCCCAAGCATATCTCCGAATACAATATCACTTCCGCCGTTGCTGACGAGAAGGACGTCGACGGATTCGGTGTCGCAAACATTGGTGAGCTCGCGAAGCGGGGCGGTCGCCCTCTCTTCACGCCATGCACGCCCAAGGGTGTCATGGTTCTGCTGGAGAGAACCGGCGTGGACATCAAGGGAAAGAACGCCGTCGTCATTGGCCGCAGCGACATTGTTGGCAGCCCGGTGAGCTATCTGCTGAAAAACGCAGATGCCACCGTTACCGTTTGCCACTCTAGGACTCAGAACCTGCCGGAGTTTGTCAAGCAAGCTGACATTGTTGTCGCGGCTATTGGCAAGGCTGGCTTCGTCAAGGGCGAATGGATCAAGCCTGGCGCTGTCGTCGTTGATGTTGGCACCAACTACATTCCTGACTCGACCAAGAAGTCTGGCCAGAAACTGGTTGGCGACGTGGTTTACGAGGAGGCCGTCGAGGTCGCCTCTCACATTACGCCTGTTCCCGGTGGTGTCGGGCCTATGACTGTCGCTATGTTGCTTCAGAACGTGGTGGATTCTGCCGACAACTATTTCGACAAGCAGAAAGCGCGCCGCGTTGCGCCTCTGCCCCTCAAGCTCCAAGACCCCGTGCCCTCCGATATCGCTATCTCTAGGGCACAGCACCCCAAGCTGATCAGCAAGATTGCGGAAGAAGTTGGCATTGGCGCTCACGAACTTGAGCAATATGGTGCTTACAAGGCCAAGGTTGATTTGGCTTTGTTAAAGCGCCTTGAGCACCGCCGCAATGGACGGTATGTCGTGGTTACGGGTATCACTCCCACTCCGCTCGGTGAGGGCAAGTCCACCACCACTATGGGTTTGACTCAGGCTCTGGCTGGCCATGTTGGCCGTGTCTCTTTCGCCAATGTCCGTCAGCCTTCCCAGGGCCCGACCTTCGGTATTAAGGGCGGTGCGGCGGGCGGCGGATACTCCCAGGTCATCCCTATGGATGAGTTCAACTTGCACCTCACTGGCGACATCCACGCCATTACTGCTGCGAATAACCTTCTTGCTGCTGCTATCGAGACCAGGATATTCCACGAAAACACGCAGAAGGACGCCGCCCTGTACAGGCGTCTGGTACCGGCCAAGAAGGGTAAGAGGGAGTTTGCGCCTGTCATGTTCCGCCGTCTCAAGAAGCTCGGCATTGACAAGACCAACCCTGACGACCTCACCGAGGAGGAGATCAGCCGTTTTGCTAGACTCGACATTGACCCCGAGACTATTACTTGGAGGCGAGTCCTTGACGTCAACGACAGGCACCTACGCGGCATCACCATTGGTCAGGCTGCCACGGAGAAGGGCCAGACCCGCGACACTGGCTTTGACATCTCCGTCGCTTCTGAGTGCATGGCTGTCCTCGCTCTGAGCAGTGACCTTGCCGACATGCGCGAGCGCCTTGGCAGGATGGTGGTTGCCAGTTCCCGCAGCGGCGAGCCCATCACCTGCGACGACATTGGTGCAGGAGGTGCTCTTACTGCTCTCATGAAGGATGCCATCAAGCCCAACATGATGCAGACCCTCGAGGGCACTCCCGTTTTCGTGCACGCTGGCCCCTTCGCCAACATCTCCATCGGTGCTTCCTCTGTCATTGCCGACAAGCTTGCACTCAAGCTTGCCGGTACCGAGCTCGACGAGGACCACAACGCTAAGACTGGTTTCGTTGTCACTGAGGCCGGCTTCGACTTTACCATGGGCGGTGAGCGCTTCTTCAACATCAAGTGCCGCGCCTCGGGTCTTGTCCCCGATGTGGTAGTTGTCGTCGCCACTGTCCGCGCCCTCAAGGTCCATGGCGGTGGTCCCGAGATCACTCCTGGTGCCCAGCTTCCCGAGGTTTACCGCACTGAGAATGTCGACATTCTTCGCAAGGGTTGTGTGAACCTCAAGAAGCACATCTCAAACGCCAAGCAGTTTGGTGTCCCCGTCGTTGTTGCCATCAACAAGTTCGAGACCGACACCGACGCAGAGGTCGCCGTCATCCGCGAGGAAGCTCTGGCTGCCGGTGCTGAGGACGCCATTCCCGCCAATCACTGGGCGAAGGGTGGTGCCGGTGCTGTCGATCTTGCTAAGGGCGTTATTGCCGCTTCCGAGAAGCCCAAGGACTTCAAGCTCCTCTATGACCTCGAGGGCACTGTCCAGGAGCGTATCGAGAAGATCGGCAAGATCATGTACGGTGCTTCTGCCGTTGAGTTTAGCGAACTTGCGCAGAAGAAGGTCGATACCTATGTTAAGCAGGGCTTCGGCAACCTTCCGATCTGCATTGCCAAGACGCAATACTCCCTCTCCCACGACCCGGCGCTCAAGGGCGCGCCAGAGGGCTTCACTATTCCCATTAGGGACGTCCGCATGGCGGCTGGTGCAGGTTACCTGTAAGTTTTGCCTTTGAAAATGGTGTTTGAATTGCGACTAATCAATCTTCAAGTTATGCCCTTGCCGCCGACATCCAGACCATTCCCGGTCTTCCTACCGCTCCTGGCTACCTGAACGTGGACGTTGACACGGAGACTGGTGAGATCGACGGCCTCTTCTAGACGTGGGTGTCTCGAGGTACCAGATCTCACCAGAGACTTCTCGTACATCATCTCACGGCATTTGCACTCTTAACAGTGCAAGCCACGGTTACGGATTCCTTTTTGTAGCAACGACCGATTTAACATGAACCCCTTTCTAAACCCCGAACACGAGCGATTTGAGCGCGCGTTTGGATGAATCTTCAACGAGCATGGGTGTATGGAGTCATGAGCATGGCTTAACGCCACCATTTGTTTTATAGTCGAGGAAAGAAAAAATGGACAAGCAGCGAAGGACTGCTGCATGAGACGGTAAGAGCAGGTAGATCGCTTCATCAGCGATGATTGCACAGTATACAAAACACATGATTTGAAAACCGCTGAAGAGCTGGTCTCGGTTCATATTGTCGGTCGGCCAGCTGAGACACAAAGGCGAAGCATGTACCGTCGTGAGACAAGCAGCACGCGATCTTCCCAAACGTCCTTGCAATCCTGCGGTTGTGTCTGACTCGAGAGTGCCTGCGCAGGTTCTTCAACAACCGAGGTCTTATCCACATCATGAGATGTGGCTCCTCATCTGCGCAGGTAGCACGGATTTGCCCATGACGAAAATCCTCCGCCGTGCGCCCATTGTGCACAGTGACGATGGGGCTCATTTCGACGTCTTGCATCAAGCCACCGAGTGGAGTTACGGGAGGAAGGCTTTTCAAAGGACGATTAAGTCCGGGCTTCTGGAGCTAATGGACGGCACGGCACGCACTATTGACAGCGAGCATCAAGCGACGGGCTCTGGCGAGGCAAGCGGATCTGCGGAATGCGAGTTTAGCGTGAGGAAGGCAGTGGGCGAGCGAGATGGACCCTGCCGGGCTGCACGGCTGCACCCAGGGTCCATGGAGACATGAAGATTTGCGATGGCGAAGGTCAAAGGGAGAGGGCAGGGCTCGCCTTTACCGCGGTCAATAAAAGCCGCGAAGCCCTGCGGTTAAAAGAGGCTGGCGAGGGCGGGAGTTATTGGCTCATCAAACAAAGGGAATGGATTCGGCAACAAGACCGAGGCGCGAGGCGGGTCAGGAGAAGAGACAAGGCAGAAGCTGGAGCGACGATGAAACGGGTGGGTGGCCTGTGGGGGGCGAACTTGCAATTTCACTGGCCCCAACCACGGCGAGAGAAGCGGCGCTTGAGCTGCTTCAGGTCTCGCAGGGCGGCTGGCGGCAGAGGTGAAGCAGATGCAAAAAAGACAAAGGGCTACCGGCGACCTTGTTGCTTTGAGTTGGGCGGGACTTGCAAAAATAGCATTGACAAGGCGCTGCCGGAAGAGCCCGTCGATCGGCGCCTGTTCGCGTGGCCTAGACCTAGAACCCGCCCACCTGCGCGTCCCCGTCTGCCCACCCACACACACGCACACGCACACTCCACTCCCTCCTCCATCATCTCCTCCTCCACCTCTGCCACTTCCATTCTCTCTCACCGCTGTCCCTGTGCAACTTTACACAGATAGCCGCTCGTTACAACGTCCTCCTCTTTTTTATTTTTTATTTTTGTTTTTTCCTTCAACAGGACGTTGTGCCTAGGCGCTTTGCCCCTTCGCTGCCGCCCGCCCTGAGTTAGGCTGGCGATAACCTCCTGCACGCTCCTGCACAAACTCACCCACTCATATTCCCGCTTCTCCCCGACTGCTGCTCGCTGGCCGACATCCACCCTTCCCTCCTGGCCCGCAAAGTGGCGTCCCCATCCCATCCCACCCACCGCAACCATGCCCTTATCCAATCAAGGTACGTCACTGGCCCCCATCCAACCTTCGCTCTCGCACCGTCCATTGACCCCCGCTGCCTAGCCGTCGAGCACACGCTGCGCACCATTTTCCGTCGCTGCGTCCAGTGCCCCAACGAAACACCCTCGTGCCCATCATGCGACGACGGCGAGTACTGCTCGCAGGTGCTGCCCTCGTGCACCCAGTGTGCCTCGGCAGTATGCGTCAAGATGGACGGCAGCCCCGGTAAATCTTCCTCGTCCGACGACGGCCCCAATGTAGGCGCGATAGCAGGAGGAGTTGTGGGAGGCGTTGCCGTCATTTGCATTATAACTTTCCTTATCTGGTGGTTCTACGTGAGGCGCCGTCGCGAGGACGACAACGAACGCCTGCCCGACATAGACGTGCAGCAAGAGAAGCAGAACGACTTCACGATGAGACGAGACGCAAGAGCATCGACCCACACCGTCGCCTCGATGGCCTCGACCGTCCTGACCCGAGCTTCGAACATCATCCAAATCGCCTACATTCCCGGTGTCACCAACCGCTCTGGTGCCCCTTCTCCCGGCATGCTGGCTCCTCCGGTCCCACCGATTCCGAGCGTGCACCAACCTGGCAGCCCTTACTCGACCGAGGAGCAGCACTTCTTCGTTCCTGGGGATCTCCGCGACTCGACGTACTCTGGTCTGGGCGACAACCACAGCTTCGGTCGCTCAAGCATCTCGCCCAGTCTGGCTCGCAGCAGTGTCGCCACCACCATTTACCGCAACAACGCCGTCATCTCTCCTCTCCCCGCGCAAACAATTGTCCGTGGCAAGGCTGCTGTCGTCAGCGTCAAGTCGGGTAGCAGCGGAAGCCCCGCTGAAACGCCTTCTTCCGAAACCCCGCCTGTGCCCGCGATCAACTACGACAGGCTGGACAGGGATGGAAGCGTCAAATCGCCGTTCAGGGTGCAGATGCCGTCTTCGTCGGACGGAGGATCGTTGAAGCCAGGAATGAGCCCGCAAGGATCCATCAGGAGTGTCCAGACGGTTGGAAAGGCCAAGCCATTGAACATCGTAAAGAAGAACAGCACCAAGGGAAAGAGCACCGCAACTTCGTCGTTGGCCAATTCCGTTAGCGCTGCCGCCAGTGAAGAAGGATCGCCGAAATCATCACCGAAATCAACCAAGTCCAGAGAATCTGCCGACAGGATACCGATTACGCTGCGACCGCTCACAGAAATCTCCGCTACCGATTCCGCGGACGAGGCGCCGAAAACCGTGGGGCCGATCTCGCTGAACATGAGCCACATGGACGACCCTTCGAACGATGAGGAGCCCGCGCAACAGCGGAAATCGCTCAAGCGGACCAGTGGACGGGATAGCCAGGTGACAGAGATCCAGGACACGCCAGGCGTGATCCAGAGTCCGTTTGGCGACAAGAACGCCGAAAACCTGCCCGCAGCCATCGAGAATGCGACGAAGCAGGCAAGCAAGCCGGCCGAGGGCGGACTGGGGATACCCAGGGAAGGAAGCCCGTTCGGTGACGAACACGCCTTGAAGAACTAAAAGAAGATTCATCGAGCGCCTTTTTTTTTTTATTTTATTTTATTTTTTTTTTTATTATCTGTTGATGACGTACGCGGTTTGCCGGGAAACACAGAAGGCTTTTCATACACAGGGATTTTTCTATTTCATACCCCCCACAGTTTTTCTCCATCGGATCATTAGCCGGACGACGAGGGCTTTCTTTTTTTGTGCTCCCCGCATTCCTGCTTCTGAGCGGGGGGATCCGACGGGTGCTGGCTCGCTTGACGTCCCTCGAACTGAAATATTTCCTTTTTGTGGCGTTTCAGATTCACGGATGGATGGGCGATAGCTGGAATATCCTGGATTCCCATCATCATCATCATCATCGTCTTCTCTTCCTCTTCTCTCCATCCTTAGCACCTAACTAACCACTTTTTTCCTCTTTTTCTTTACTGTTCTTTACGATCTACAACACAACCTGGCGGGCGGACGGGAGGCCATCTCATTCATCTACTACCTCGGGAACCAAGGTACCCTGTTATGTTTTACCACCACCATTTACGGGCCAAGGCGTGCGCAAGCGAAAAGATTGGCTTTTTAACTGGTTTTTGATTTTTTTGACTCTGTTTCTTATATCCTTTCATTTACTATTCCTACTTTTTTTGTTTGGTTTGGATGCGGAAGGCTTGTATGTAAAGAGCACGCTCGCGTGGCAGGAGGCCCGTCTGGTTTTTTCGTCTTTGCCATTTTTCTTTTCTCCCATAGGGGTTCGATTTTTGGGGGTCGCTTCCTCCTGCTTACCTACCTACCTACCTACCTACTACTCTTCCTGATTGAGATGATTTCCCTCTGATTGATCTAGCGGAAAGCAGCCGCGGCAGAAGCAGCAGCACGGGTCAAGGCGGCGGCGGCGGCGGTGGTGGGTTGCTGATCCCCATGCCACGCCACGCTACGCTACGTACCCTACCTACCTACCTATCGATTGAATTGCAAGACTCCTGAATGACATCCATCCTCTCTTTACGCTTCCGTTGCCTGCTTGCTTGGGACGAAATGATGTGCACGCCTAAACGGCTGTACCTAGTAGGACGGGACATGCGGACGTGCGCCTAGCCAATAGCTAATTGTGATGTGACGACGATCGCACGTGCGAGGGCGGATGGATATAGGAGGACCACGTACATGGAGGCACTAGCGTCCAGGGCTACTATTTGTATTGTACTATTGTAGGTACTCCGGTGTGCCCTACCTATGTACCTATTGTTATTGCGTCTGCCCTACTTGCCTGCCCTATTTCCTGCGTGCGTGCGTGTGTGCGTTTTTTTTTTTTTTTTTTTTTTTTTTTTTTTTTTTTTTTCCGTTTTTGTTTTTTGCCACCATTGCCCCTATTGTGTATTCTTGCAGTGGAAAGACCTACTTGCGTACTTGCTTACCACGTACTGTCTAGTAGGTAGGTAGGTCTCTATATAGGTGCTCACTGCTCAGATACGTAGTACCTAGCGCGCACCTCGCTCGACGCCCACGCCACGGCCTCACGCGAACGAGGCGCGGGAGAGAGCCGTTTTTCATTCATCTAGCAGCGGACGGCAATAGCGGTTGGCGGCGGGAGGCGCGCGTGATGGCAGCACCTAGGGCACGGAGGACGGAGCACGGAGGACGGAGCACGGAGGACGGAGGACGGAGCGGAAGGAGTCAGGGTCATGGAGAGTCAGAGGCAGAGTCAACGCTTTGGCATTGCTGAGCAGCGCGCTGAGCTGATGCGCCCATACTACCTACGTGGTAGGTATGTCCCATGACCTCTGGCTATGGTAAGCACATAGGCCGTAGGGTACGTACGAAGCGGCGCGCACAGCACAGCGGGCGCGCTGTGGAGGAGGGGGATGCAACTTGCGCGTGCGTGGGGGAGAGGTTTACCGTTTGTTTGGTTTCGCAGGAAAGTCACGAGGGGGGGAAATGGTGGCTCGAACTCGGTGAGTCGATTCGGGGCGAGGCCGTTGCAGGGTGGAGGCCAATATTGGCTAAGGCTTCGTCGTCCCGGAGCGGGTACTAGAGGACGGGGGATTGGGATCGGGCCCACTGTAGTCTCTCTGTACAATAACTAGTAGCGGCTTCGGTGTCTTGGGGTCGGCTGATTTGATGGGTTTTCTCTCTCTCTCTCTTTTTTTTTTTTTTTTTTCTTTTTTTCTTTTTTTAGGGAGGCGAGTGGGGTTGTTGTTGTTGCCATGTGTTTGTTGTTGCGGGTTCCCGCGTGTTGGAGGAGAAACGAACGAACGAGAGTGGGAACGGGGCCGCGAGTCTGGAATATTGGAAGGTGTGGGTACCTGCCTGCCTGCGAGCGCGTGGGTGGGTTGGTTTGGCAACTTTGGCTTTGCCCTGTTTTGCGGATGACTGACTGATGACTGAGCCGGTTTTCGTATCTCGTTCGTTCGTTCGGCCATCGCTCGTTTGCTCGCAGCCAGCCAGCCAGTGGGGTCCACTGTTGTTGGATATGCCTCGCCAGTCGCCATCCATCCATCCATCCTTCGTGCCTTTGTTCCTTTCTGCCTCGGTCTCTTTCGCACGCTCGCACGCACGCACACGCACACACACAATACAAAAACGGCGGGGCCGCGCACGCAAATCTCGACGCGGCGCCAGAAGGACGAACGAACGAACTTGGAACGAAGGCGGCGCAGTCGATCCACGATTCAATCATGATTCGGGCGGAACAGGCAACACGGAGAGTGGCCAGCAGCGCACACGTAACGCCGCGGTCCCCACCTCGCGCACATCGCTGCCGGATTGCGCGGCGCATGGAGCACGGGGGCGCCCTCGCAGCGTGAGGGGGAAGAGGGGGTGATGGATGGGGGCGTGTGAGCGTGGCGTGGCGTGGTGTGTGTGAGGGCGCGAAGTGTGCGTGCGTTGGTGGGTGTGTTCGGACGGATTGTTTGGGAATGAATGGAGGTCACTCATGATGGGTGGTGACGCGACGCGAGGGTTGTTAGGGCGTTGTTGTGGTCTCGTGAGTATGATGTTGCTTTGATTGTCTGTCCACTCGACCCCGCGAACGGGCGGGACGTGGCGAGCGGGCGACGCGGCTGCTCGCGGTCCATGGTGGATGCCGGGGCCGGGGGCCGGGGGCCGGGAGCCGGGTCCCGACGCGCGCCGAGATAGCTGCAAACTGCGCGATACTATCTGTAGGTGATTGAGAGAGGTGGTGACAAGTGCAAGAGGTCACGCAGAAAAAGGCAGAATCACTGGGCAGCAACACCCAACAGCCACGCAACTCAGCCCACGACCACGTTGCTCAAAGAACAACAAGATCCGGCACGTCGGCGGCTTCTTCGCGCGCACGAGTGGGTAGCGTGCTAACTCTCAGCGCGCGAGCCGGCCAGTCGGCAAGCAGCCGTGCGCTGCAGAAGTGGGGGCCCTCTGCGACCGAAGAAGAGGGGGGAAAAACGAAGCACGAGGGAAAAAAAAAAAAAGAGGAGAACTTGAGAATGGTCTCTTCCTAATGTAGGTGCCGGCAGCGGCGCTTACCTGTGAGGATGAGACGTGCTGCTGCCCATTGTGGAGAGGCTATATAGCCGCCCGCTGCCCACCCCCCGGCTCAGCGAAGAAGAGAATACTACATGAAAAGAACAAGAACAAGAACAACGCTTCCAGTTGGGTTAGCTCCATACGTCGATCCATATAGGGAGCTGCGACGCTACTACCCTACCCATATACCCTTAGCCTCACCCTACTTCTCCCTTTTTTTTTTACTCTCTCTCGCCTCACTCTCCGCGCCACTTTCATCTCCGATCTAAAATCGAAAACACAAAACAAAAAGAGAAGGAATCCACTCGACCACACCTACATACCATCTACCTACCTGCTGCTGGTCCACACCTCACCGACACTTCCGCCCAACGTCACCAAGGGGAAGGAAGAAGAACACCACCATCACCACCATGATGTTCGCCACGTCGTCCTCGCGGCCACGCTCGCGCACCGACGGCCCAACCGACGCCCCCGTCCCCTCCATCTCGCTCTCCACCCCCACGCCCACAACGCCACAATACAGGAACCCGTTCCCACCACCGAGGTCGGCAACGACGTCGCCACCGCCCATCGACCCCCTCGCCGCCACCGCGCGCAGCAGCCAGAACGTGCGCGGCGTCATCCCCGAGCTGGACGAAGACCTCGACGACGTCGTCGACCTGGACCCGCTGGACCCGCTGTCCACGACCACCTCGTCCGGCGCCTCGCACCCCCCGTACGCACCGTCGCGCTCCCTCTCCGACGCCCTCAACGCCGAACCCCCTGCTCCCCCGACCTCCGCTATGCAAATGCCCATGACGGCGCCCCAGCAGCTCGCGCAGCAGGAGCGCCGCCGCTCCCGCTCCCGCTCCCTGCTGCAGACGATGCGGTCGTCGCTGCAGCTGCGCTCGTCGTCCAACAGCAACAGCAGCCATGAGGGCGGCGTCGGCAGCTCAGCCCCCCGCTCCGGCCGCCGCTCCTCGCTCGCGTCCATTTCGTCGTTCGGCTCCTCGCGCAACCGCAGCCCCGGTGGCTGCCGTAGCCGTAGCGGCAGCATCAGTGCTGCTAGCGGCTACGTGCCCCGCCGCAAGGGCAGCGTCCAGATTGGCGAGGGCGGGCAGGTCGTCCCGGATACGGTGGGCGCGGCCGCCGTGCTGCCTGCTGTGCTGTTGCTGGGCGCGGAGCTGTTTACCCCGGGGCGCTGATTGAGGGGTTGGGGCTGGTTGGGGCGCAGGAGGCTGCGTCTCGCTTTCTTTTTTGCTACTGCTGCTATTGCTGCTACTGCTGCTACTGTTTTTGGGGGGTTTGGCCGGGCAGGGGCGTTGCGTTGCGCACGGCGTTCTCTCGCAGTTGGGACGAACGAGGCCTTTTTCTGGATACGCGTTCGCTACTCCACCGTTCCGGTTCCGTTTCCAGGCCTGGGATTTCCTTGCCGGATGAGCCTTGTATCGGGCGATGCTAGACGGCGCGCCAGACGAGGCCAGCCACACCGTGGCCACGCACACGTTCGCTGGTACATGGACACAGCGGATGAGACGGACGAGATGAGATGACGGCATTTCAAATGGCGAAGAATCGTCAACGTCGACGTCGACACCATCCCTCATCCGTATCCTGATCTGATCGGATATGCCCAGCAGGCAGGCAGATTCCGCCACCCGCCTACCTACCCGCCTACAATTCAGTTCAGTCGACATTCATCATCCTCAGAAGACCGAGTCCATGGAGCTTGCTCCGAGAGACCAGGGCAGGCCAGCGATGGCTAGAACAGCCAAGAGGCGTGTCCTGATTGGTGTAGATGCCTAGCGACTTTGACTGCATGAGGAAGAACAACGGAAGCATGGCTAGGCATGGCTAGACTAGGCCCGTAAAACGGGAGACCGAAAAGCCGAGGCTTGAGAAGGAGGACTTCTTTTGAGAAGGGGGAAGGGGGTTGTTAGATACGATACGTATGTATGTAGGTGCAGAGGGACGGACACACGGACGGACCTACCTGCTCCTGCTAGAACTAGATTAGATTAGAACCGAGTTTGCCTTTTTGCTTTCTACCTATCTGCGTACTTTTAGATGTCTGCTGCGTGTGTGGGGTGGTGACTCGCTCTCCTTATACTGGGCACGCTACGCTACGGCACCTACAGTGTCAGCTTAGAGTAGCCGAAGCAAGCGACTAAGTAACTGGACTAAGTGACTCCGTCGACTATTTACCTACCTACCCCCTCACCCAACCTACCACCGCCACCATCCACCCAAGCTCACGCCATACCTAGAGAGCCCAAAGCCAAGCCAAGTCAAGACAACACAGCGCAACGCAGCGCAACCTACAGTCCAGTCCACGTCTTAGCAATCCGCCCTAACGTTATCCCTCTACTACATATAGTAAAGTAGCGTTGTCTCTTTGCTCTCGTTACTCACTAACTCACTTACTAACTTCACTGACTCACGCACTTTACTAGCTTCACTGACTGGCTGTTTAGACGAATCAAGCAAGGAAGTGAGCATGAAAAACAGGGAAGGGGATAGTAGTGGTGGTAGTGGTGGTGGTGGTGGTGGTAGTAATTGCTGACTCACTACGCCTTGCGTCTAGACTTGTTTGTTTTGCATAGCGCAGGGAAGGAGGAGAGGGAGGAGGAGCAGGAGAAGAAGAAGAAGGAGAAGGAGAAGGAGAAGGAGAAGAGAAAGATGACGGTGAATTAGCTGCTATCTTAAACAAGCGGGTGCGTGCTTTGCTTAGCTGCTGCAGGGTCGATTTTAGATCTGTGTGGTTGTATGTTTGACTGTGGAGGCGTTCATGGATCCTCGTGTACCCGTAGGTACTCATCCTGCTAAGAGTACCTATACGTGTGTATGTGTGTACCTACCTACACTTGCAGTAAGAGAACCCCTTCATGGGCATGGTCCGATATGCATACATGCATGCAAGCACGTATACCAGACCCGCTGACAACGAAGCATACGTAGACAGCTAGCAGCTCAGTAGAATTGGAAACGACCTACAGCACAATAAATGGTACTCGTATGTGCCCAAACCAAAACGCCGCTAACACGCATGCATGCACCCCAACCAACGCCGTGATATTTTTCCGCCCGCTTCCATCCCTCCCTTTCATCCCGCCACTCACACCTCCTCGCCGTCCGCCATCGTCAGGTCCTCCATCTCGTCCAGCAGCTGGTCCATCGGAATCTGCAGGCCCTGGTCCTCGTCGCCGGCCTCGCTCTCGTCCTCGTCCATCTCCTCCGCGTCGCCCCGCTGCGGCGCGTGCTGGCTCTTGTACAGCGCCACGCCCGCGCGGTAATCGGCGTCCTCCTCAACGTCGCGCAAGAACATTTCAAAGTCGCGCTCGAGGCGCTCCTGGTCCTGCTTGCGCGGCAGCATCTCGCTCTCCTCCTTGGCCATGCGCTTGACCTTCCAGTTGCGCTTGTTCTTCTTCTTGCGCTCGTAGTGCTTCTTGACCAGCACCACGTCCGGGATCGTCGACTTGTACTTGCTGTTCTCGAGCTCGTCGTACAGCGTGTTGTTGAAGTTGGTGCCCTCGAGGTGGTAGCCCAGCACCGAGTCGCCTGGGTGCAGCAGCCCACCCAGGTGCGTCCGGCAGAAGTACGTTTTGTCGTTGACGCCCATGTCCGAGGCGCGAGCTACCTCGGCCTCGGCGAGGAGATAGCGTCCCTTGGTCTGCCCGAGAGGCTGGATGTCCAGAACGATGAATTCGGCCAGCTCCGTCACGTCGGCGAGGGGCGTAAAGGGCACGCGCCAATAGACGTCCGGGCTGATATCGGCCGTCTGCAGCGTCTGCACGTCCATCACCTGGATAGCCGTGCCCACGCGGTTGCAAAGGGTCAGGGGGGCGATGTTGCCGAGCTGCTTGGCCATCTTGATCGGCAAGACGACCAGGTCATCCTTGCAGATGGGGACAATCTCGACGGAGAAGGAGAACTTGTATGACTTGACTGACGTGTGGACGTCCATAGAGATGAGCTCCTGCGACTTCTTGGAGTTGACGGGAACGACCGACTTGAGGAAGTCGACGAACTTCTCGGCCGAGTTCCGGGCAGCGAAGAAGAAGTCGATACCCTCATGCGTCTCCTTGATGTTGATCGTGTCGCGGTGGGCCGAGTGCTTGAGAATAAGCTGCTCGAGGTAGAGGAAAGTGCGCTTGTGCGGGACCTTCTGGCGCACCTGGACACATGCGCGCCAGGTGTTATGCGTGTAGCTCTTGGCACAGTCGGGGCACTGCTGGTTGGCCACAACATATTCGACCTCGAATGTCTGCTGCAGGATGGTGCCTTGGAAGGCCTCCTGCTGGATTGTAATCTTGACCTTCACTCGGCGGGAGTGCGGCTCGGTCCAGATGAAGCTGGCGTCGATAATGCGGACCTTGTTCAAGCCGCGCAGCTTGCGCAGGCACAGGGCCAGTAGCTCACGCGACTCTGGTGCGGCAACGAGCCACTGGTTGGGCGGCGACATCCATCTGTAGTCATAGTCAGTCATTTTTGCCCGTAACTGCCTGAGCCGGCGCTCCCAACACACCTGTCGCAGTCTCTGCATACGTGCAGAGTCGCCTCGCGCTGAATGCCACCGCTGATGTCAACGGTGAGCTTGATACAGTCGTAGCAAAGGGCGCCGGCAGCCGAGGTGCCGTCTATGGGCGCGCCACAGTTGCAGCAGAGAATGGTGGCAGCGCTCTGCGCGCCGGGCTGGAAAGAGACGGCGCCGTCCAGATCCATCGACATGGCGAAAAAACAAAGGGTATCTCGGGGTAGGGAGTAGGGAGGGGAGAGGAGAGGCGTGAAGTGCCTTGAGGCCGGAGAGCAATTGGTCAGCGCGAGAAAATCATTTGTTATCGATAAGCAGTGTGGCGGGCGTTGTCGTCCCTGTCGTCAACCATGGAGGCGACAGGGCGGCCTCTTCCCCGGCGGCCCCCCATCTCATCTCAGCACCCCAACTTTTTTTGTAAGCCCTACCTTATGAACTGCTTACCCGAACATAAACGGCGCTGAAAGTCTAGATATAGCTATCAACGTGAAGCAGGATGCCTGCTGATGATGGCCGGCCTGAGGCATCCCTTGCGCCTTGTTCATGCGCATTGATCGGGTCTCTATTGCAACCAGTCACTGCCAGTGCCACTGGACTAACGGAGGCGCCTCAAGACTCCGTCAACATCGTGAGATTTCTGGTCTCAGTTTCGGCGTCTTTAACAGAGGACCCGTGACTGCTGCGTACCACCTCATGGCACAATGGCTTCTTATCACGCGCTGGACTCGAGTGGGACATTGGGCAAAAAAACGAAGCACAACGTCTACGTAACACATCGTGAAGGCACAGTGGACATGGAGGGTATGCAGTTTTTTGTAGCACAGGGTATGGAATTCAGGAGCAACGATAAGTGCCTGCTGACGCCGACTGGGGGGCCCAGCAGCTGTTCTCTAGCGGCTGAGAGACACGCGAAGCTGGCATGCATGGTCACACCGCTGTGGGTGAGACGAGACGCGGCAGTCAGGCACGAGGCGGCACCCCGATCGGGGTCCGAAAACTCAACAGTAGTACACGTAGTTAGAGGTGGTGGACAGCGTGGAATGGGAAGGGCGAGTATTGTGTCGGTTTTCAGCGATGACGTTGATGCGGACCCTGCGAGCTACGTCGTCATTGGCGAGAGGATGAGGTATGATGAAAGGCTTGACCTCTGCGGCGGCGCGCGGTGAAGCGGAGGAACAATTAAATGAAGGAAGGGATGTGTACTGGTAGTAGATAGAGAGAACCGGGTGGCGACATTGGAACGGCGGTGGCAGAGACAGAGAGAGACTGACTGTACTGTACGTGGTATGGCAGGTGTGAGTTACAGGTACGGAGCTAGCTTGAAGCTCAAGAGCTAAAGCACGCCCGCTCGCCGCAACAAAGGACGGGCGCCACTGCCAACCTACCGTCTATCGTGAATAATCGCAATTGCCCGTTGCCCACTGCCCGTTGCCCGCTGGCCATTGCCCCATCGTTCGTGTCGCCCCTCCCGTCCGTCCCTGGCCCTTAGTGTCTCCTCATCTCTTCTTCTTCCATCTTCTTCTCCGCCTCCCGTCCTCTCTCCTCCACCATCTGACCTAACGCTCTCTCACTCACTGCATACCACTAGAATACCCCTAGCTCATCCTTTAGCGTCTCCCGATCCTCCCCGCCTTTGCGTGACCGACAATTCCCACAATCCAGTTTGTACCACTTCGGCAACCCCACGCTGTCCACAGCTACACAAAGTCAAGGCTCGCGCGCCTCAGTCCATCTCCCCCCAACCGCTCTCACCCTCCTCGTCCGCAATCCACACCCTGCGTAAATGAGCTCGCAATCTTCCAACGCCGTCCACCGAGCCTCCATCAACGAACGCGACCCGCTGTCTGCCGCTCACATCTACTATGGAGACTCGCACAAGAAGACCAACAAGACTCGCACATACTCCAACGTACGTCGGTCCAGGGAACGCATTGACGGACTTCTGCTGACCGTCGTAGGTTGTTGATTCGGCGGGACGGCGCGAAGCTGCCCTGGCCGCTGGGTTGAAGCAGCCCGGCCGGAGGTCCAGTCATGGTACGCTCGTCTTCCGATTCGCTGGGACATGCGCATCGTCGCTGACAGAATTTTGTATCCAGATGAGCACTCTTCGCAACCTCGCAAATTCCTGATCCCAGTCGACGAGACACTCAAGACTCTCCTGGCCAGAGAAGATACCGATCAGAACTACCAGATTACTATTGAAGACTCTGGGCCGAAGGTACGTCACTGCTCGCTACATTGCGTGCTGCGAGTCTGACATCTTTCCCAGGTTCTTTCTGTAGGCACCGCAGGCTCCAATGGCCTCAACCGTTTCGACGTCCGAGGCACCTACATGCTGTCGAATCTGCTCCAGGAACTCACCTTGGCACAAGACTATGGACGGAAGAGCATTGTGTTGGACGAGGCCCGCCTGAACGAGAACCCAGTCAATCGTCTGTCTCGTTTGATCAAGGATTCTTTCTGGAACAATCTCACGCGCCGAACCGACGCCTCCAACATTGCTCGCATCGCGCGAGACCCAAAGGACTGGACAGACAATCCTCATCCAAGAGTCTACATTCCCAGAGGAGCCCCGGAACAATATGAGTATTACCAGAAGCATGCCGAAGCGCATCCTGAGGAGAAACTGGAAGTCATATACCTATCATACGACTGTAACAACGAGGAGTATGTGAGGGACCTAAACGACGCTCCGGGACTTCTTGCTCTCGACATGGAGGAGTATTTTAACCCAGAAACTGGAGAGAACGATTGGCGCGGTAGGCCTTTCGTGGTGCCTGGTGGCAGGTTCAATGAGCTCTACGGATGGGATAGTTACATGGAGTCAATGGGCTTGCTTGTCAACGACCGCGTCGACCTCGTCCAGTCGATGGTCCAGAACTTCTGCTTCTGCATCAAACACTACGGAAAGATCCTCAACGGCAACCGCACATACTACCTCTGCCGCTCGCAGCCACCCTTCTTGACCGATATGTCCTTGCGTGTCTACGAGCGCATCAAGCACGAACCCGGTGCGCAGGAATTCCTGAGAACTTCCATCATGGCAGCAATCAAGGAGTACTACAGTGTCTGGATGGCCGAGCCTCGGTATGACAAGGAGAGCGGCTTGTCCAAATACCGTCCAGGCGGTATCGGTGTTCCGCCAGAAACCGAGGCCTCGCATTTCGTCCACGTGCTTGAACCTTACTGCAAGAAGAACAATATGGGCTTCGCAGAATTTGTCAAGGCCTACAACGAGAGGAAGGTGAGCGAGCCAGAACTCGATGCGTACTTCACGCACGATCGTGCTGTCAGAGAGTCTGGTCACGACACGTCCTACCGATTGGAAGGTGTTGCGGCGGATCTGGCTACCGTCGATCTCAACTCGCTGCTCTACAAGTATGAGACCGACATTGCTCGGACGATCCGCGGCTACTTTGGTGACCGTCTTACTATCCCTGCCGAATTCTGCGTTGCGGGCCAGGAGCCCAATCACATTGAGACGTCGGCCATCTGGGATCGCCGTGCGAAGCGCAGAAAGGCGCTCATGGAGAAGCTCATGTGGAACGAAGAAGAAGGTATGTTCTTCGACTACAACACCGTCAAGAAGGAGCAGACCGGCTACGAGAGTGCCACGACTTTCTGGCCAATGTGGGCTGGCGTGGCAACGCCTCGCCAGGCTGTTGCGCTCGTCAGCAAAGCATTGCCTAAGTTCGAGGAGATTGGTGGTCTTGTCTCAGGAACAGAGAAGTCGCGTGGCAAGGTTGGTCTCGAGAGGCCTAACCGACAATGGGACTATCCATTCGGATGGGCTCCGCAGCAGATTCTTGCTTGGGTCGGTCTCCAGCGATATGGCTACGAAAATGAGGCTCAGCGTCTCGCGTACAAGTGGTGCTACATGGTCACCAAGGCTTTCGTCGACTTCAATGGCGTCGTGGTCGAAAAGTACGACGTCACAAGGCCCATTGACCCGCACAGGGTCGAGGCGGAATATGGCAACCAGGGCAGCGACTTCAAGGGTGTTCCTCGCGAGGGGTAAGTGGAACGATTGGAGAATGAGCGCGAAATGAGGCTAACTCGATGGCAGATTTGGCTGGGTCAATGCAAGCTACGTCTACGGATTGCAGCTGCTAAATGCACACATGAGGCGCGCACTGGGAGCTTTGACGACGTACGACACGTTTGTGAAGGCGACGGAGGCCCTGGGCTTTTAGGAGCAGTGCAAGGACGACGGAAAATCACTATACATGACGCTACGATGACAAGACTGAAGTAGACGTGGCATATTCAATTGTTCGAAGGGTAGTACGGCAGGGGGTTAGTTAGATAGATACAATGATGAAGTTTGCCACGCGGCTCAGGCCGAAGTGCTGGAAACCGATGGAAGCTCGCAAAGGCAACCTCACGTGACGTCGCCGCTCGGGCCGCGATGACTCTGATGGCCCCTCGCAGACGTCAGTCAGTTATATGCCACTTTTCTCTTCCTCTCCCGCTTCTCTTCTCTACTCTACATTCCCACTCTTCACATTTCACTCACACATCTTTGCGCCCACTTATCCCAACCACCTCTACCACCACACAACACCACCTTACCCACTCGCCACAATGTCTGACTGGGACCAAGTCACCAAGATTGGCAGCCGCGCCCGTGGTGGCGCCGCCGGCCCCCGTGAGACGGTCATCCGCGGAACCAGCGCTCTGAATGCTGCCCAGAGGAGCGGTGCTTCCATCTCGACGGAGAAGAAGTACGGCACCACCAATGCTGTAAGTGACGCCCGCGGTTTTTCGTTGCCACCTGGCTCTCCGCTGACATCAGCCACCACTCGCAGCGCCCGGCGGTCGAAGGCCAGCACCTGACGAAGGTGGACCGTAGCGACGACATTGTGAAGCCGAAGACGGTGGGAACCAAGGTGGGCGACGCGATCAAGAAGGCGCGCGCCGAGGCCAAGAACGACAAGGGCAACACGATGACACAAAAGGACCTGGCAACCAAGTGCAACACCACGCCAACGATCGTGGCCGACTTCGAGCGCGGCACGGCGGCACCCGACCAGAAGCTGCTCGGCAACATGGAGCGCGTCCTCAACGTCATCCTGCGCGGGGACAAGATGGGCCAGCCGAAGTTCCCCAACAAGAAGAAATAAGCAAGAGCTTGGACACGACTGGATGGGTTCCTAATTATAACCTCCTCTCCCTACATCATGGTAGCGACGGAGATGGAGCCCTGACCGCCCTTTTCTCTTCTTTACTTGTTTACCCGTCCGCGGGACGGCCGTGGAGAGGATGGAGGGGGCAGATACCCGCCACTGCTGCAGGTTGTTGCTTCTGCACGCATGCATGTGGCCTTCGCAATACCTTTCCGACGGAGAGAAACGGCGAGGTTGACGGAGGGAGCTTCGGGATTAGCGGGCGTTTGAACACACGGGCATGCTTTCACTGACGACTGGATGAATTACAACCGGGACCATGATCATCACTATGATGAATCCCGTCTTTTTTTCTGTTCTGGTCGGCACGGCAGGCATGCTTTTTCTTCCTCTTACGATGGTCATGGCGAGATTCTTTTTTGGGATTCTGGTTTTGCGCGCTTTTTCGGGCATCAGAACTCAGGGATAAAAAGTTCCATCATAGACATCAATAGAGCTTGCGTTGGCTGGCATACCTATTGCCCGAATGGGCCCTCATCCATCTGTATTTCTTGAACTCTGGTTATCGCCACTGCTAACAAGCTAGCCAGACGTGCCAGGGTACAGTCAACCCCGCAAGCATCCTGAGTATCTACCTAGTAGCCTTATGGTACTCATCTATTTACTTTTCAAAAAGTGACACCCATGTTCACGTCCTCACCATTCTCCTAGCTAAGACTGCACCTCCCTGCTTATCTCCCATCCCACCCTACGCCCTCCCTAGCTACACGCTACAAAACCGAAGCACTCCTTACCCGCTACTCTCTCCAGCGTCAACATAGAGCACAACAATAGAAACAAGACCAGAACCGCAATTGTCCATCATCAGCAGCCGCCTTCCACTCTTCCCTCACTCCTCTCTTCGTTTAAGGACCAACCAACACCTCCATCCAGTAAGAAACAAAAGGCCAATACTCCCAGTTCAACACCATTACCATTGATAGAGCGTATATCCACTCACAGTACGCGTTTACTATAAACACAGCAGGTTTTGCCTCTTTGCGAACCCCTTCACATACACCTCCATTCCACCACCAACCCAACCCTGCCTTCCTAACATCTTTCACATAACACAGTTCACACGCCACGCCATATACCCGCGGGCCGAGCGTGTGAACACAAAAAGCGAACAAGTGCGTGAACAACTCAAAAAACAAAGTTCAGGAAACCACAAAAACAGCAACCACAACAGCCAGTGCCGCCCGCACGCAACAACCACGAATCTCTTCCCTAACCACTCCCCCCCTCCCCTTCGCTCGCTCTGCCCGTTCACAACCGACCGCGTATACACACCTCCCTCCCGATCCACGCTGTCAAGACGCCAGCAGAGCCCTTACCGTAACACGCGCACGCCCACGCTGCTGTTAGCATGGAAGCAGCACCTACGTCAATCAAGCGTCAATGACCACCTATTCCGCCCGTAAGCCGGGCCGCACAAAGCTCCGCCTGCGTCCTTCTTGCTTTTGTAACTCTACACTTTGCCTTACACTCTACACTACACTTCCGCGTCGTTGAACTCAACACCACACCCTCCTCTCCATCCTTCCCCTACTGCGCGCCGCGCACCGCACTCGTTAGGAGTAGGTAGGTAGGTCAAGCTTACGTGTACGGCAGGCAGGCAGGCTGACGCGTCTCACGTCGCGTTTCAACAGCTTCCCGACCAAGCTCCAATATAACTACACTATACGCTCTACATCCTCCTCCTCCACCACCACCGCGCGCCGCACTCGTCAGGATCAGGACTAGGTAGGTAGATCAAGCTCACATGCAGACAAGCAGGCAGGACGCGCCTCGCGTCTTGTTTCAACAGCCACGCTCGCAAGCTCCAGCTCCAGCTCTAGCTCCCGCCCAAACCGTCACTCACGTCCCGTCGCCGTATACAATACGTATCCATTCGCATAGCTCCGTCACCTATCTATTCCACGAACGAGCAAGCACGTCCGCAACCAATTTATCTGTTCGAGGATGCGCCGCGGCGCAAAGCAAAGCAAAGCAAAGCGAACAAATCGTTCATACCTACCTACCCTACCTACCTATCGGCGGCATTGACTCGTGTATATCGAAGAGAAGAAGTAGAAGTGCAAAAGCAGTAGTGTAGGCTGACAGTGTGTACGCGTGTGTGCTGGAGGTGTGTTGTTGTACGCAAGTATATGCACCCTCCTTCAGTCCGTCTCGTTTCCAACCCCATCCGCCTTTCGCTTTCCCTTTCCCTGCCCCGTCGCCCGCTGGCTGGATGGCTGGCTGGCTCCATGCATAAAAAGTTCCCCGTCCGTCGTCTAAACATAGTTTCTGTAGTGAAAGTAACGTGAACTGAACTGAACAGGGCAGAGCAGTAACGGAAATAGCACAACGGTGTGCGGTCCTGACTCCGAGCAGCCTTTTGTCTGCGGCTTTTCCAACGCTCTCCAGTTATCGTCCTTACAGGCACCAGATACCACGGCCACCTGGGTCAACACATCCGCTCCACGCTACCTGTGCTGCCCACACAACAGCTCGTGCTTGCCCGCACCTCGCCCGCATCCACACCACCGCCATTAACGCCAGCTATCCGAGTCTGCCAACTTCAGCCGCCGCTACGCACGTACGCTCCACCGCCACGGCAACCGCGTCATCCAGGCCAAAAAAAGCCCAGAGCCACACGTTAAACCGTCAGCGATGGAGCAACAGCGTTGTCCAGGACGCAGGTACGCTCCTCCACCACGGCAACTGCGTCATCCAGACCAAAAGGCTCGGAGATGCATGTTAAACCGTCGGCGATGGAAGCAACAGCGTCAACCAGGGTGTCAGTGGAGCATCGGTTACGCGTCGACCGGACGGATCCAGAACGCAGGTACGCCGATCACAGCCACTGACGTCTGGCGTGTGGAAGTTGGCCTCAGACGGTGGATGTAGGTGAGAGAGAGGAAAAAGAGCAGTGTGTCGACGACCATGGGGGGTTTGGGTAAGGAGGGGAAAAACAAACTATTGGAACAGACAGAGCCAAGAGAAGGCGCGAAAGAGTCGGTTGAGATGCGCAGGACGAGAACGCCACGAAAAGCTGTGAAGAAGAACGGAGGACGACTGGGCGCATGGTGCGAAAGCGGAAGCCTCCCCCGGGACCCGCGGCGACGTGTGAAAGGAAAACACAAGAACAAGAATTATCCTTCAACTTTTGTGTGAAAGGAAGAGTAACAAAGACCTCGGCAGATCTCCACTTTATACGAAAAGGGAGAGCAAAGGAACAAAAACATCGGCAGATCTCCAACCGTTTGGGATAAAAACAGAAACCAACCCCAAGCGGAGATCCGCTGCAGGGTATCGACGCCAAAAACACCTGATCCAGACAAAAATCAAAACACCGCCGCTATGCCGTGAAAGAATCAGCGCACGATTCCAAATTCGATATCGAGAAGTAGTCGAATGATGACGACCATGGTCGGATCGCCAGAGATTTTCAATCTAGACAGACGTGCTCATGGCACTGAATCTCATAAACTCATTCTCGACTTCGCGCTCCGCCTGTTCGATCTCCTCGAGACTCTCAGTGTTCAGCTGCGCTCCAAACGCCTTTCGCGTCTCCATGGAAATGGCAAAGGAGTCGAACATAGTCTGGTTGTCGTTTTTGGACCACGCTGCCCAGGCATTCTCGATGTTCCGGTCTTCTTCCTCCTCGAGCTGCTCGAGTTGTTTCAAGTCAAGAGGGTCCTTGATATTGCGGCAGCTGGCGGGAAACCAGGACGGGAGGTGGTCGTGCGTCTCCGGAACAGGCTGCTGACCATCGCCAGCAGGTGCAGGCTGAGGCTGAGGCGTACCGCCGACAGGAGGAACAAGTCCTTGAGTGATTAGGCTAGAAGCCATGTCGTTGGCTTCCTTGCTCTGAGCAGCTTGGGCCTTGGAAGCAGATTGCTTATCCTCCGGAGACTTCTGGTTCTGAGGAGATGACGACATGCGCGTAGAATACTGGAGACGAGAGGCTGTCTTGGGCTTGTGCTTCTCGGCAATCTCCCGTGCGCGTGCAAGACTTGCGGGCCCAATGGCCCCAAACGGAGTCTTTGCAGCACTAGCCGGCGTAGTTGATTGAGCTTGCGGCTGAGTCTGAGCCGGCGTTGAGGCCGGTGCTGGTGCTGGTGCGGCAGCCTTGGTGGGGGTAGTTGGGTTCGCAGGAGCCGTGCCGGGCAGCTGAGCATGGGCTGGAGTTGGCGGCGGGGGAGGCTTCTGGATCACGCTAACGCTAGGCGTATCCGCGAAGGTGACCTTCTTACCGCTTGGGGCGGTGCCGTTGACGGAATCGTTCTTGGGCGCAGCACCCTTGAGGGAAAAGCTGGGGAAGCCGGAGCTCTTGGAAGGTGTCTTTGGTTCCTCGTCCTCATCGGAGTCGTCCAGCATAGTGCTATCCTCATCGCTGCTGTATTCTGGAGCGCTGAAACTGCCAGTTCCCGCGATGTGACCAAGCTTGCGCTGGCCTTCTTCCAGAATCCTCTGTTCTTCTTCAGTGCGGTCTTCTTCGTCTTTCCTGGCAACCGCCTCAGCTGCGCGCCTCAACGCATCGAGATCGGTCTTGGGGCGCGATCTCTTCTCGCTAAGCTGCTCCTGCGATTGCTTAAATACGTTGGGAGGCTTCCATCCTACGTCACCAGGCATAGCGGCGACGGAACCAGTGTAAACGTTAGACGGAGAGGGTTTGTTGGGGGTGGGCAGTCGGTTTGACTTGGAGAAGTCGTCCTGGAGAGGCTCTTGGGGGTCACGGAAACTATTCACGTGAAGAGCCCGCTTGTCCTGCTTGAATATGTTCATCGGATCCTCATGACCTTGCTTCATCATCATACGACGGAAACCGTTGCGAGGGCGCTTCAATGTAGTCGGAGGCTGAGGAGTGAAGGATTCGTCGGATTCTTCGTCTTCGTATGTGGAAGAGCCAAGCCTGCGTCTCTTCGCAGTGTGCTTTGCAGACTCTGGAGTGCGGGGTGAGCTGTGATGACTCTGATTGCCAGGTGCCGTATTCTCCGAAGCTTCGAGTTCGTCGAAGTATTCGTCAACCATTCCGTAGCCGCGCTCGCCAGGACGATGTGCAGGGATTTTTTCAACGCTGGTGCGGCGACGCTTCTGACCGGGTTCCTGTTTCGCAACTTCCCGTTCAATCTGCTGCCTGCGATCGGCATGTGCTTTGGCTGCTTCGTGCATCGCATGTCGCTTGTCGGCGTCGGTCACGCGTGGCTTCGGAGTCGCACCCTTGTTCCTAGCCTTGCGCTCGTGAGCTGCCTTGGCTGGTGATGTGATAGTCGAGTGTTCCGTTGGCTCCGTGGGCTGTTGCGGGGATCGCAGAGGGCTGCGGAAGATTCGGGTAAAAGCTGAACCGACAGAGGACAAGAGGCCCAGGCCGAACTTGCGTGCACTGGTGGTTGGCTCTTTCTCTTCAGAGCGACTGGCGCTCTGAGGAGTGTGGGGGGACCTCGGTGAAGAAGCTTCAGGCGTGAATTCCTCGATGTGCGCGTCCTCGGAAGCGGCATCATCCATGCCTTCATCCTCGTCTTCAGTAGCATGATCTCTGTCATCATTACCTTCATCATTCGTTAATTCTTCCTCGGATTCTACATCATTATCTTCAACGGCGGGGTCCGACGATGGGGCAATAATGGGGTCAGACGATGGGGCAACGTCAACTTCGTTGCCCGACTCTTCCTCCTGGTCAACTTCCCGGCTAGTGGCTGTGTGCTCTGGCTCTGCAACTTCGGGAAGCTCCTCATCCTCCTCAGTCGTTGAGCCCTCTGCCTCAAGATCGTCAGTAATTCCAGGGAACTCGGCGGGCGCTTCGGCGGTCATTTCATCGGCAGTCGGCTCGTCGGCGGGTTCTGCGTTTACGGCGCCATTCCGAGGCTCGTTGCCCTCGAGAGGTTGGTGTGTGGACGAACGGCGCGATTGCGAAACGGACGAGCGGCGGGATTGTGCCAGAGACGAGCGACGGGATTGCGCACGTTCGGATTCTAAGCCTGCAGTTAGCCGTGTGTTTTCGATGATACCGTTGGCTAAGACGACAGCGGCATGGCAAACTTCGTCATGGGACTTGTGTTGCCCCAGCCAATCAACTATGTCGGTAAATGACTGTCCATCATAAACTCTAGCCATGATTTCAACTGCCAGTTGAGATATGAGATCTGTCTTACTGTTTGTATATAGAGTTGATGCGCGCGGGAGATTCGGGAACCAGTCGTCAGGATCGGTCGTGGTAGTATTGTTGTTGTCATCAGGCACGACCACATCAAGCGGAGTCATATCCTTCCTAGGAGTACCCGCATTCTTGGGAGTGTTTGGGTTGGATGCGATTGGTGACGCAACACCGGCCTTCGTCGCGGCTCTTGTGCGGCGCGAGGCGGGAGCTCCCTTAGCGCGCGCAGGAGTGCTTTGCGACGCAGGTTGAGACGACGGCCCCTCCACAGGCTCTGAGCTGTCGGTCGTGGTATTGTTCTCGATGGCAGCAGCCGTGCGCTTAGTCGCAGCGCCTGATGCTTTCTTTGAGGCGGGTCGACCGCGGGTCGCAGGCTTCTTGATGCGGTTGGTAGTGGGTTCGGTGCGCTCGGTGCGGGTCTGACGGGCGGCGCGCTTCTTGGGAGCGGCCTTGGGAGGCTCGACTGTGTTATCGGGTTCGGTAGATTGTGACTGTGTGTTAGTAGTAGCTTTGCGCGAACGCGTTCGTGTCGCGGGCGGGCTATAAGCCGCTGGCACAACGGCTTTGTTGGGCTTGGCCCGCGCCATTGTGCACGATAGGGTGTGTAGTGTTGCTGGGTCGGAGAGCAGTGAAAGGGAAAGATGAAGGTGTGGGTATGAAGGGTTGAAACAGCGCGGGGTGAGATGATGCGCGGTGTGGTGGTAAGAGTGAACGTCAACACGGATTCGAAAAGTCAAGTCACCGGGGCGGCCGGGGGTCTCGCTTGTCAACCCGCCCCACTAGCAGGGGGTACCTAGCCCCAATCAAGTCACGCGTTTCACGCGTCTTTCACTACTACGTGACTGGAGTTGTAGGTAGTATCGTCTGCAGCTGGCGGCACTTTACAAACCCATGGTCTTGTGGCTTCGACTGTTGTCTCTTTATAGTCGTCAAGGTGTGGGAAAGGCCACGTAAACGCTACTTAAGCCTTATAACGTAGCCCTAAACACGATTTCAGTTCACACGTCGTTAACACTCTTGATCGCGTCACCGTCGTCGCCAAAAGAATTCATTCATGAGACACTTCACTCGAGCCTCGGCCGAGCACACGTAGATCACAGCCCCCGCCAAACTCCTCGGGTCATGCATAACAGAATTGGTACAGCCTAAGCCCCGTCTATCCAACGCTCCTCGTGACATTCCCCTGCATTTAGTCGTAGTTGAAGAGCACACTGATGCTCTCGCCATGGTGCACGCGACGAATCGCCTCGGCGAAGACACTGCGCTCAAAGTCAGCTCGACACTCTGTTAACTCTTCCTACGTGGGGTGCAACTCACTTTCCAATTTCGAGGACTTCCAGCTTGGGGCAGCGCTGAAGGTGCTCGGTTTGGTCGACACTGTTGGTAACGACGACCTGGTGCAGTCAGCATATCAATGCTCCAAGAAACAATTAAAGCAGTAGCCGTTACCTTGTCAATCGCGCTCGCGTTGATGCGATCAATGGCATCGCCACTCAGGATGCCGTGTGTTACCAGGGCATAGACCTTGGTGGCGCCTTCCTTCTTCACCAGTTTGGCGGCCCTGGTGATGGTGTTACAGGTGTCCGCAAGGTCGTCAACAAGGATCGCCACGCGATCATTAACATCACCGACAAGCATCATGGTGGCGTTTTGGCGGTCCGTGATTTGAGTGGGGCGTCTCTCTGGACTAGTGTTAACAGAAAGTTCGCCGCGGGGGCAATGCAGGTCAAACAAACCCTTGTGAATCAATGCGAAGGGCATGCCGAGGGCGTCAGCAATAGCAGTCGCCCGCTTGGCACCTCCGGCATCAGGACTAACGACGACAGCCTCCCTGTAATTGGGGATCTGGTACTGGATGTACTTGCGGACAAGGTGGCGTCCGTACAGGTTGTCCACAGGAATGTCGAAGAAGCCCTGGTACTGAGGATCGTGCAAATCCATGGTGATAACATGATCCGCGCCCGCGCAAGTCAGGAGGTCGGCGACTGGTAAAGGTCAGCGCGTGCAAGGTGGCGCTTATACAAGCTTGCAGCCATACCTAGCGTGCCCGCCTGTGCAACCCACTGCTTGTAGCCACGCTGCGGCTCAAACTTCGGAGGCTTGACAAGCGGCTCCTCGCCGTTGACACCGTCCACCGACGCATTGGAAATGCCGCGTTCGCGGTTGGCCGCAAAGTAGTCTTGACTCGTCAGATATCACGGCATCAAAAGAGTCACGATAACGCTTACTCTCCTGCTTGGTAGGGCTGGTGTCAGGCCCACCAGTGCGCTTCTCGTCAATCTGCAGGCGCGTGAGCTGCTTGTTCAGGCCATCGCCGTTGACCAGGCCAACGCTCTCTGGCCGACCAGGCGCGGGAGTCGCTGGTACACTGTCAAAGCTGTAGCTGTCCTGGCGCCTGGGGTAACCCGGGGCCTTCCTGAGCGGCGCGCCGCGCTTCTCGTATGGAATGTCACTCTGGCGCGAGTAGGGGAACAGCGGCAAGACAGCAGTGACCCTTCGAGCTGAGGCCGTCTTGCAAGCGGAAATGGTGATGAGAAGCTGCGGGACGGCGTAAGCTACTAAGCATTGGCCGAAGAGCGCAGTGTGCATGGTACCTCCATCAGATGGTCGTTGACCTTTCCTCCACCCGACTGGATGATGAAGACATCCTTTCCTCTGACCGACTCTATGATCTCAACTCGAGTTTCGCCGACAGCAAATTTGCTGAGCAAGACCTTGGAGGGGGGTATGCCGAGGTGGTTGCAGATGGTCTCGGTGAGCTGAGGGTGGCTGTTACCGCCGAGGACGACTATGTTGCGCACCATTTTCGCACGAAAGCAGGCGGCGCTGTCTGGCGGAGGCGAGAGTCGGCGACGACGTTCAGGCAGCGGTGGGAGAAAGGCCGGCGGAGAGGTACCGTCAAAGCTGAGCGTACCCAGGATGAAGAGAGACAGCGACGGCGCGAAGGTGGTGGCCGACAGCGGTAGAGCGATCAGGGACTAGAGATGCAGGAGGGGAGCAGCAGAGCGGGCGGCTTCTGGGCGGCTTTCATGGTGACGGAAGAGGTAGTAGGAAATCTTAAAAAATCGCGAAAGCGCGGGGATTGGGTCGAGCGCCCCGTTTGGCCGTCCCAAGGTCCTTCGAAGAGCCTCCAGCTTGCGCCATCTCCATTCACCACGCCCAACTCTGCTCTGCCACCTACCCATTCACCCCCCAATCACACTCGAAGCGCGCGTCCTTGTCCTCTATTCGCATGCACCTACATGCCGTCGTCCCGCCATCTCGTTGTCACCGCCATCTGCCCATCGCTTTTTGCTCTCCCCAGTCTTGGGCCCTAGCTCCAGCCTATGCTTGGATCGCCATTACTAAAGAGTGCGGTCCGCATTCAGGCGCCCTTCCCAAAAACTGGTTTTCGGTCTGCTGCAATTGATCAGAGAGCTCTATCCAAAACCTCCCAGTCCGACATCGCGCTTTGCACCCATGTGGACTAGCCTGCAGCGCAGGTACAGCTGCAACTGCTCCTCGCCCACCGAGGACAACCGATACGTCAAATGCTGAGATCCGCGCAGAAGGAGCCGTGATACTTGCTGTACTGACATGGGCTAGAAGCACGGCAGCTTTCGAGGACGGGGCTATCCAAGACAACGCGCACTACGGAGTAGCCCCACCTGTACTGTACATACCCGTCTACCACGTGGTAAGATCTATAGTTATAAATTATAAGAATCGTCACATCAAAAGCGGCTACCGTGACGATATTCTGCATCTCCAAAATCTCAAACAGCCGGGGTATTATAGCCAACCATCCCGCCATGCCATGTACGATAGGCTTCCACTACCCGAAGCCCACTGTGACACGCATACGCACAACGATTCGGTCCACGTCAACCCCAGATCCCCAGACCCGATTGGCCGGTGATACATTGGTCACGAGGGGAAATAGCCAGGAGGAGGAATTCCGGCGCTGGTAGATCGACCTGGCGACACGAGTAAGTTCGCTGAATGACAGCTTGGTTTCCCCGCATTCTGCATACGGTGAGCCAACCAGTGTGACATGGGGGCGTTTAAAGGGCCAGGCGTAGCCAGTCAACTGGGCATACAGTAGCAGCATTCTGCAGCTGGGCCGATTCAAGAGCGCGTCAACCGTGGTAGAAGCATGGCTCAAAGCGGCAACATCGAGGCACAAACGCGCCCTGCTCTCAGCATACCCAAGTCGTCCGCCACAGTCTCCGTCTCCCCGATAAACACGACAACAGACATTGTCGTCCCAGCCAGCGGCTTTGTTGGCCCGGTCCTCAAAGGACATGAATACCTCAATCTTCCAACATTCGCTTTCCATATCCGGCATTCCTCTGGCAAAGAGGTCCTCTTCGACCTTGGCGTCCGGAAGGATTGGTGGAATTTGAGTCCACACACTGTAGCCACAGTGAAAAAATTAATCCCAGCCCTGACGGTCGACAAAGGCATCACCGAGATTTTAAAAGACGGAGGTGTTGACTTAAACCGGATTAGTTCCGTTGTAATCAGCCACTGGCATTTCGATCATACGGGCGACACTTCTTTGTTTCCAAAGTCCACGGAACTCGTATTCGGGCCTGGCTTTATCAAGCAGTTCATGCCAGGCTGGCCAACGAATCCGGATGCATTAATGCTCGACGCCGACTTCGAAGGTCGCAATGTCCGCGAGCCTCCATTCACCTCAGACTTCAAGATTGGCGACTTTGAGGCCTATGATTTCTTCGGCGACGGCTCTTTCTATATCCTCAATGTGCCGGGACATGCCGTAGGACATATTTCTGCGCTCGCACGAACCACCGAAGATACGTTCGTCTTCATGGGCGGTGATGTCTGCCATTTTGGTGGAAGCTTCCGGCCAACCATATATAATCCGATGCCCGAAATCATTCCGGCGGAGGCCCCGCTGGACAAGTCAAGGTTCAGTGTGCCATGCCCTTGCTCGGCGTTCACCGCATGTCACCCGAACCCAGAGAAGGCGCGGACGGAGCCTTTCTACCATGTTACCAAGGAGGACGGAGGTTGGTACGTGGAACCGGAAAAGGCCCAACAGTCAATAGGCAAGCTGGAGGCATTTGATGCAGATCCGAACGTTTTTGTGTGCATTGCGCATGACGTTGGGTTGCTGAGAGTGGTCGATTGGTTTCCCAATGGGACTTTGAATGAATGGAAAGAAAAGGGTTGGAGAGAGAAGAGCAGATGGGGCTTCTTTAACGATTTGCCAATTGGGGGGAAACCAGCTAGGGATTGGTATGCGCCTGGGCTGATGAGGGACGGCAAGGTGGTCAGAGATTGAGGAGCAAGAGGCTTTCGTATAGTCCAATTGCTCTTACAACGGCCTATAACGTCCGTCACCGTGAAGCGAGAGTCACCGTGAAGCGAGATGGCAATGCTTGTACGGAGTAGAAGAAGATACCTAGTTAAGGCATATAGAAGCTCTATACGCTCTTAAGACCTTTTCACCCATGCCCAGCACTCGGGCTGGGAGTTAGGCAAGGAGTACTCTGTAGGGACTGCTTGCATCGCCCTCTATCTTGCTATACAGTAGATCTCGGTTCGCGGTGACGGATGTTAGAATATATAAGAATAAACCGTTTGTAAAATCGCGAAGTCTGCTTCGTATTGAATAAGCTCTCCCCGCAATTCCCCGCAGCCGTCGAAATCGCTTATCGCCATCTCATCTCATGACAACACACGTCGGACACGCAGCAGGCGCCGTCTCTCCGCAAGCAACATGACGACGACGACCGACGTGCCGACAGTGACGATCCTGCTCCTCGGCGACGCAGAAGTCGGTAAGTCGACCTTCCTCTCGTACGTCCCACACGACCCTATCGCAGCACGCAACTAACAGGGCACACGCACAGGCGCCTAACACTCGGGCGGCAGGCGCACGAGGGAGAAGACAGCAGCGCGCCGCCGCCGCCATACTCGCTGCCGATGCTGCACGACCTGGACCAGCCGTTCGTGTTCGACATCCGGCTCTACAACCGGCCCTACCGCTTCGAGATCTTCGACACCGCCTCCCCGACCAACTACACGCTGCTGGCGCCGCAGTTCGTCATCCTGGCGTACGATGTCTCGCGGCGGGAGACGCTGCGCTCGCTGCGCTCGCACTGGGCGCCGCTCGTCAACGCCTCGTTCAACCTCTCCGAGCAGGTCCCCGTCATGGTGCTGGGGCTGAAGCGGGACCTGCGGCGCGAGTGGACGGAGGATGAGAAGGCCGCTGATGGTGGCCGCGGCCGTGGGCCCAGCGTTATGCCGCAGGAGGGTTTGGCTCTTGCTCAGGCTTTGCGCGTCGATCGCTATGCGGAGTGCTCGGCGCTGACGGGCGAGCTTTGTCGCCAGGTTTTGGAGGATGTGGCCAGGACTGCGGCGAAGACTACGACCGAGAAGGGCGGCTTAACGCCTGGTGGCTGCACGGTCATGTAGGCTGCTGTGTCGGTGGCGTGGGCTGCTGGTTTGGAGTACTGTTGGAATGGGCCGTGGAGAGCGTTGAGTATATGTCTTTTTATTGTTTGGACTCCGTTCCATGTACAAACTGCAAATCACATACTAACTTCTACAAGTTTCATTGTCAATCTATACCCTATGAATCATTCGCACCAAGACAAAGCCCAAACATAAACGCGCCATCAACACAGCACCGACGGCCTATCGTTTGGGAACTAGGGCCAAGTAGCAGCCTGTTATAATCCGTACGGCTACTTGCATGGTACATATCAACCTAAACAAATTCGCCTCCAGCAAGCGAACATGCAAACACCCAGGCCAACCGCACACACCAGGCCAGAAGTTCATTCAAACCCCCAGAGGCGATCCCTGACCCCGGTCCACAAAGCCTTGATACAATGACGAAACGGCATCTTCGCCTACGCGTGGAGCCATTCATGCAACCAACTGCCGATGTTGATACGCGCGCATATCAACTTTCTCCTGTCGGTGCAGCCTGTCGGTGCAGGTCCGAGTCTGTTTCAGGAAAACGCGCCGGAAAGGCTTGCCGACGGGGCGGACGCCGTTAATACCCATGTTTTGAGGGACGAGGATGTCTTTCCGTGTCGTTGTCATCAGTGTGCACTTGCCGGAGGAGAGCGTTGAGCACGAAGTCTGTCAAAACAAAAACACGAAGAAAAGCAGGCATCTTATTGGAATCCGGGACCATCAGCTCATATACCTATATCCAACCAACAACCCATCCAGACATAAAAAGAAAAACTCCAATAAGCCAACCCAGTCATCAATTCCCCCGGCACTCATGCCACGCACTCCCAACTCGCTGGATCCTTCACATCGCCCTTTCCAGAATACTGGTTCCTCTTCGGAAACCTGCAATGAGCGCGCGTAAATTCGACGCCCTTCTCAGGGTCATCGTCCACCCACTTCGTCCCCGTCACCGTCTCGGGCGGCACGCCCTCCTCAACCCAGCGCACTATAGCCATAAGCACGTTCTTCTCGGGGTCCAGCGAAGCCTGCGCCGAAACCCTCTGGCCTACCGCCCACGCGCCATCCCCGCCCTCGCAGTGGTTCATGCCCGAGATGCGGAAGAAGCGGTAGAAGGCGTCGAGCTGGTCGGCCTGCAGGCCCATCGTGTCGGCGACATGGCGCCAGTAGCGCGGGCTATTCTCAGACGAGATAATCCCGTCCATCTGTCCATGATAATGCAGGATCTTGGCGCCGCGGGCGCGGAACGGCTCCAGGTCCCCATTCCAGGTCTCGATGTCGCCGGGGTTCTTGGCGGCCGCGGCGGCGTAGTCGGACGCGTTCAGCTGCGCGGGATCCCACGCCGGGTCGTTGTAGATGGCGTAGCGGAACCAGTCATTGGTGTAGGGGAAGGACTGGCCGGCGTACAGGGCACTGGCGTCCGTGGCCTCGCTGCCGGGCTGCATGCGCGGGTACACGAGCGAGCCGTCCGGGCTGGTCAGGTTGCTGAAGACGCCTTGCACCGTTGTGACTTGGGCGGGGGTTAGGCACGCCGACGCGTTCACCCCTGCCCCGCCGCATGCCAGTGCCGTCGCGTCGTACTCGCAGCGCAGCGGGTCCTCGATGATGCCGTCTTTGGCACCGTCGAGGTCGTCGCACTGCGCGAGAATCGACTCGTGGATCGTCGTCCACATGTCCAGGGGCACGAAAGACTCGCTGTCCTGCGAGCCCGTCAGAGTGTAAAAGTGGCCGCTCCAGCTGCTGAGGTTATTGAACGCAATGGCCGGCGCGCCCGCAACCACGCCATCAAAGTCATCCGGAAAGCTCTGGGCGCTCTTGAAGCCCTGGCGCCCGCCCGTCGAGCAGCCCAGATAATAGCTCTTGTCATGTTTGCGGCCATAAAACGCATTGGCGATGCGCTTGCCCAGCACGACGCCGGTGTGGACGCTGCGCCAGGCAAAGTCCTCGACGACGTCGGCGTTGTTGTAGAAGGCGCCACCCGAGGTGCCGTTGTGGCCGTTGTTGGCGCCCACGGCCGCAAAGCCCAACCCCGCGGCGTAGGCGAGGTCGTCGTACGCCACGCAGCCGCCGACGCCGCCGTTGCCGGTGCTCAAGAAGCGGCCGGTCCAGTTCGCGGGCAGCCAGGCTTCCATGCTGATTTCGGAGCGGTTGCTGGTCGGCACGCGCAGCGCGACGCGGCACATGTCTGCCGTCACGGCTTGCGAGGGCTGCGTGCAGCTGCGGAATTGGTTAGCTGGGTTTTGCTCCTGTCTGTGCTAGTCCTAGGTGGTGGACGAGTTGAAGTCGTGGGCTTGGAGAGAGGATGGATAGGTAAACTTACGTGGCATTGTTGTCCGCAAGACTGAGATTCGTGCCCCCAGCCACAAACGAAGAGAACCACACCGTCGCATTCGGAACCACAGCCCCCAGCGCCCCAGGCAGCTGCCCGCACGCCTGCTCAAACGTAGCCTTCTGTTGCTGCCCCGCCGCCGCGCCCAGCAGCAGCAGCAGCAGTGACGCAGGCGCAGAGGCAGAAGCAGTCGTAGTGAAGAGCGACGAAAACCGCATAATGTCAGGCTCAATTGCTCTAGAGCCAAAAAACAGCAACAAGAGCAACAGCGAATCCAAGATCAGAAAAACAAGAAGAATAGGGACAAGAACAGCCACGCCAACAAGCCGCCGGCGCGGCAGCCAGGCTTTTAAACTCCACAGCAGCATGACTTGACTTCCCCGTTCCTCCTCTTCCAAACCAGACCAAACCAAACCAGATCAGACCAGGACAGACCAGGGCCACCCCCGGACGGCCACCGCTGCTCGTCGCAATAACCAACTAACTCCCACGCATTATAACTAGCGCCTAACACGGGCGGGCAATCAAACGCTCGCGGTGCGCCGATCCCCAACTGACTGACCGCACCTGCCTGGTAGGTGCCCAGTGCCCACTACCGTACTCGTACCTACCTACAATAATCCGTAACCTACAATACAAGACAAGACAATATACCTGCCGGCCAGAGAGCCGTTTCCGGGCGCCCAAGCCGAGCCGTGGAGACTGCGGGCGGGGGGCCAGCTGGGGACTAGCGGTAGCGGGGTCTCCGCAAAATGCGGGATGCGGATGTGGGTGCGGGACTTGCAAGCTTGGGGACGGGGACAGGGTTCGGCAAGTGTGTACTGTACGTGGTACGGTGTGGCTGCAACTGCCGGTGCCGGGCCAGGGCGAGACGGGCGAGACGGGATGACGTTTCCGTGCAGCTGATGAGAGCTGTCTGTCGTTTGCTTATGCCCTTGGCGTGCCGATGTGGAGTAAGTTGCGTTCCATGCAAGACGCGGCACCTCGGGCTGAGCTCGGTTATGCCCTGGCTCTTGCTCTCTGACTCTCGCCTGCCGTTACGGAGTCAAGTACAGAGACGGTTGATCCTCCCCTTGACTCGGCCCATCGCTGATCAACCGGCCTCCAAAACACTCGGCTTCCACAATACCAAACACATCCCCCTGGCCGAGCTGTTTGTACGTGATGTTCCATTTTTGCTATGCTAGTCCTTAATACAGACGCCTGTTTTCATGCTTCGTTCGCCGTCCTGCCCCTTTTTGGGGGGACCGTCCGTCATCTTCTTGTTTCCGCCATGTCTAGTGCCACTACTACGCGCCCGCTGTCTTCGCCGCCAGACTGCCCGTGCCTCTGCTGCTGAAAATGCCCATGATACCGAAGCCCACGTAGAACAGTCCAAGGGGGTACGCGACTAGACCCCTCATTCCCGTCATTCTACCAACAGCACAGAACATGGCGCTGCTGCTGTATGTGCACCACAGAATGGCCCCCGTCGTAAGTATGTATCCGAACAGGCCGTCCATGGGCACGGCGATGCCAATCATGCTGGTCAGGACCAGCGGCAGGAGGCAGTAGCCCAACACGGAAGCGGAACGCGGGAACGTCAGCGTCGAGCTGAAGTGCGAGACGTGCGTGCCGGGAACTGAAGGATGCGGGGCGCTGGTGGTGGAATCGAGCGGCGGAGACATGAGGGCGAGGATCCAGTGGAGCGAGGTGCTTCCCAGAAGCGCAAGGCCGTAGATGTAGCCGAAGTGGACCTTGCCGGACTACAAGGAACTGTCAGCAAATGGTCTCGCCTACACATACGGCGGGCAAGAGAGCTTACAAAGAGCAGAAATGTACCGAACAACAAGAAGAACAGTATCGGACCGGCCAAGTCGGAGTCGTCCATGATGTGCTGGTCTATCCTCGCGAGTGGATTCAGGACCGTAAGAGTCTAATGGTTCGAAGCTGTTAGCAACCCCTCTTCATCATGCGCTTGATCCCGCAAACTTACCTTCATCTTAATGTGCCCAAAGTTGACACCTAGCTCCTCCAGCAATGGCGGCTCGCCATCATAGCCCTCAGTGCCGAACGCCGCCAGCCAACCTGTCCTGAGTCCTCCCTGCTCGCCCATACGGCCACTCACGCCCGCGGGTCCGCCAAATCCCATGTTGCCGCCATATCCAGCCGCCGGGTAGGCAGCTGCTTGCGCGCCGCCACTGTATGCCTGGAAGGGAGTCGAATGGCCGGAGACGGGTTGCGCCGAATATGAGGACTGGTAGAAGTTGAGATTCTGCGCGGCTGGGGCGCCGTAGCCTGCGGGAGGCTGCTGGTAGTAGTTGGCCATGGCGACCACGTAGTGAGTTGGCTGCGGAATGGGAGATCGTTTGTCGCGGGTCGTCATCGGGTTGCCAAAGGTCGAAGCTGTCATTTCGGGAACGTCACGTGCACCAGGCTGCACTGTGCTCATCTTGCCTCCGCAGCACCAGCAACTCTCCCTTGACCCTTTACGGCACAATCGTTCAACATTCTTGAAGGTGTTCTCTTGAGGGAATACGCATTCCCGAATTTCCTTGTTTGCCAGACTGAGCTTGAACAAGTCTGTGTAATGAAGATGCTGGAGAACCGTCAAGAGTACTGTTTCCTGTTTCAGGAGCTCAGGAAATTCAATTTGTCTAACCGTCAAGTCTTGTAGAGGAACTGATAAGGATATTAGCAGGCAAAATACAACAGGGGTTGGATTCGCAAGTTAGTAACAATGAACGTACTGCTCTCTGGCTCCTCGGACGGCCCTTGTGGCTCGACACCAACACCAACCCGACTCCCATGCACAAAGTAGCGCTTCCAAATCTTTTGAACGTATCCCCTATTGATCATCCGAGAGGTGAAGATGGGATTGACGGTCTTCCAAACAGCGAGGAAGGGCTCGACAATGCGCTCCCCAAGCGATTTCAGACTCTTCCAAACGATCTGGGCCAACAGTATCATTCCATGCTTCGTTATGTCCCATCGCTCGGTGGCGATAAGAAATATCTGTCCGTAAATCGCCGCTATCACCAGCATCCACATATAGCGACGCTCGGCGCAGCTTTCCTGCGGAGTCTTCTTGTCCGTATTGGCGATCAGAACCCAGAGAGACCCACGGCTATCATCCACGTCGAGGCAATCGGCGGGGACGTTCATCATGATGAACAAGAACGCAAGTAGGAAGCCACATGATCCCAGCGAGTGTATGATGGTGAAAACGGTGATATGCTCCACTGTCTTCCTTCCGGTAAGGAAGCGAGTTGCTCGACAGAAGGTCCAGATAGTCAAAGCTCCAGCCTGTTCAAAAGGTTAGAGAGATGGAGAAACTCGTCGTAGTTGACTCACAGTGGTCCCGATTAGCCACACGCCTGCGAGGAACGACCTGAACCGTGCAGTCGTTATCCCGGGCGTCTGGTCGATCGTGTCTCTAAACTTGTCGACGCCCAAAGTGAGACTGAAGTTCACGATCCAGGCAGCAAGGTGCAGGAAGAACAGGGTCATGAGGTAGCGGTCGCGCACGCGCTGCTGGATATTGCGTAGCATCTTGGTGGTGGTTGAGGGTTGGGTTCATGAACTGGTGGCATTGCTTTATAGTGGTGTTATAGGTCACTCTTTCTCAGTTTGGCTGCTGCTGGCATGTCCGCCACAGTTGTACTTCTCACGTCGCCCTTTCTCTCACTCATTCATGCAGCACCAGTCAGGCAACGCCAGGTGTGAAACAACCCATGGTAAGAAGCAGCGGCTCACTGTACGACACGTAAACGTGCAAACGAGGCAAAACACAAACTTGAGTTGGTTGGGTAGGTCACTGTATTAAAATGAAAATGGAAATCAAGGCAAGACCATTAACTCCAGACAGATGCAACAAATATAGACAATCCACCAATAAAATAAATCAACCCATCACCCTCCCCTACTACAGTCTCATTGGTTGCCAACAATCCTCTCCATTCCTCCAACAAACCAATCAACTTAATATGGCGGTTCTGCAACAGCCTGCACATACACCTGCTCACAACTCTCATCGGTACCACGATACTTAATCTATCCCACAGTCAGCAAAGCCATCCCACAGCAGCACACACACAGCAAGTAGAGCACTCACGACACGCTGGCCCAACGCGCCATCACACAGCATCCATGCGTTAGCAAAGCTCGCCGTAGCAAGCAAATACCCACCCTGAAAGTTCAGGTCTCCACCCGCACCGCCCGTCGCGCTCTCCTGCTGCGGGTAAAACGTAAGCTCCTTGCCCGCGCCCGCGCTGTACGCGATGTAAGACTGGCTCGGGGGGAAGTTGTGCGGCCCGGCTTGCACGGTCTGCAGGTAGCCGTTCGTGTACGTGAAGCTGGGCAGCGAGTTGTACCCTGGCTGCGACTGCCGGAGGTAGTAGTTCGGCTGGTAGTAGGGGTCGAACAGGCTGATGGCTGAGACGTTGGCTAGGGCTGAGGAGTTGCCGTTGGGGGCGGGTGCGCGCGAGCTCGTCGTTACGAGGTAGAAGGAGCTGGGGGGATTGGCGCGTTTGGGGGCTGCGGGTGAGGCGGAGACGGCGGAGACGATACTTAGGAGGAGGGTGCTGAGGGCGAGAAGGGAGAGCATTTTCGCTGGCTTTGGGGATTGTTGGATAACTGGGGATATGATGGGATATTGGAATTGTAGAAGAGTGATGTTTTGTTTCAATTGTTGGATTCAATATGGTCTACCTCGAGCTACCAGCATGTCTTTATACCGTGCAACTCGTCTGATACGACCTTGAATCGCAACGCAACATGCTCTTGGTAACTCTATACGAGCTCGCCCTCCATCATTATCACCATGTTGACAGCAGCGGAAGCGCCATGGCGTGAAACTGGGGCGGTGACAATGAGGGCGTCCGCTGCATTGCCCTATGCAGGAACAAGGATTGTGCTTGCAACATCGTACGAGCGCCACAGCGGACCTAGAACACGTTCGACAGAAGGAAGCAATTCTGAGCACGCCAGGAACCATAGCAGCGCCACGCTATACAGGTCCAGAAGTGTAGTGACTGCGCCAGTATGCCGTAGCCTGATTGGGTAAGTGGTGAAGCTTGAAGAAACTATTTTTGTGCTCTCGGTCTAGCGGCGATTGGCTTCTCCGCATAGTGTCCGTCGCATAAGCCATGCTACGGATTAGCAATTTAGAGTACGAGCTGCTCTGAAACTGTGGTCGCGAGATGCTGGATTACAAACGTTCATGCGGCTGAGCAGGCGCTGAGCTGAGCCGGACCGTGGTGGCAGTGGACATGAGACCAAAGCTTGGCTGAGCTTCGCTGCGACTTCGTAGTGTATGGCCAGCACCTTTGAAACCAGCATGCCAATTCCTCGAGAGCCACGAAATAGAGTAGTCCATTGAGAGGCAATGAAGAGGAAGTCCGAGATATTGTCAGGCATCTCTCACCTCTAAGCCATGCCGAAGAAATGCCGACCCCAGGCGGGCATGATCGCCCAAAATTTCGGACGAGCTCCGCCGCAGCACGCTCGCAAATGCAGCGGACCCTCGCCGGCATCCCACGCCTCAACGCAGTACCCTTCGCACGCCTAGGACCGCGCCGCCGCTTTTCGCACAGAACCCCCCTCGCGCGCAATCACACCGCCAAGCTGGCGTTGAAGCGCCGCATCGAAGAAGACCACTACCGGAGCAAAGCGCTCAGGATGACCGACTTCGCCGGCCTAACCGACGACGAGTTCGTCGCGCGCCGCGCCGAGATCGAGCAGCGCCTGGCGCGCGTCAGCGAGCTGGAAGCCAAGCTCGCGCTGCAGAACGCCAGCGCCACGGCGGCTGCGGTCGCGACGACGACAACTGCGGCAGAGCCCGCGAAGACGGGCTTCAAGAAGCAGCGCGGCCCGCCGAAGGCGTTTGATCCCTCGAAATACACGACGCGCTTGATCGCGCTCAAGTTCGCGTACCTGGGCGGCCGCTACAACGGCTTCGAGCACCATGCCAACAACACGACGCCGCTGCCGACGATCGAGGAGGAGCTCTGGAAGGCGCTCAAGAAGACGAGGCTCATTATCCCGACGCCGAAGCCTGGCTTGGGCGAGGACGATATCAATTGGGAGGGCTGTGACTACAGCAAGTGCGGGCGGACGGACCGTGGCGTCAGTGCCTTCGGCCAGGTCATTGGCATAAGGGTGCGCAGTAATAGGCCAAAGCCGAAGGCCCGGCCTACGAGGGAGGATGTCGATTCGGCCGAGGTGGGAGCCGTGGCCAGTGAGGCCGCTGAGGCGCGAGCGGACGGGTTGGAAGGAGAGGACGTAGAGATGGGCGGCGCAGATGCGCCCGAGGAAGTCTCGTTTGACGACATCAAGGATGAGATGCCCTACGTGAGCATTCTGAACCGCGTTCTACCAGAGGATATCCGCGTTTATGCGTGGTGCCCCAACCCTGGCCCCGACTTTTCTGCTCGCTTCAATTGTAGGGAGCGCAGATACAAGTACTTCTTCACCCAGCCTGCCTTCGCTCCGATGCCGGGCGCAAGCGGTTGTTATGCCGGATTGAATGGCAAGACTATGCGCGAGGGGTGGCTCGATATCGAGGCCATGCGCGAAGCGGCCAGTTACCTTGTTGGACTGAATGATTTCAGGAACTTCTGCAAGGTCGACCCGGCTAAGCAGATCACAAACTTCCAGCGCCGCATCACGCACACGTCGATTGATCGGTGGAACACCGGGTCTGGCTTCGCGTCTTACACGAAGGACGAGATGTTCCAAATTCCGGAGCTTGAAGGTAGTGCTGACAAGGAGCGCATCGTTGGAGCGCCTGAGCTCAGCGGGCCCGGCCTGTTCACCTTCTGCCTCCACGGCTCCGCTTTCCTTTGGCACCAGGTGCGGCACATAGTCGCGATCCTGTTCCTAGTTGGCCAGGGGCTGGAGCCGCCGACCATCGTCAGAGATCTGCTTGATATAGAGAAGAACCCGACAAAGCCCAAGTACGAAATGGCCACGGACACGCCGCTGGTGCTTTGGGACTGCATTTTCCCCAAAGAGGGCGATGAGAGCAAAGAGGTGATGGAAGATGCTCTGGACTGGGTTTGGGTCGGTGACGAGCGGGGCCTTCCCGGTAGCAAGGCGGCTGGTTTGGAGGAGAAATTCGGCCATAACAGTGTCATGGCTGACCTTTGGACGGTGTGGCACAAGAGGCGAATTGACGAGGCGCTTTCTGGCAGTCTGCTTGATCTCGTTGCCAGTCAGGGTCTCAAGTTTTCTGAAGAGCAGCTGAAAGGTCCCCCGTCCACCAAGGGCCAAAGGTGAGTTTTATTTGCCCCTTTGTCGAACGTTGATATTAACGGATTTTAGGAGTGCTAGGCTCTACGACGGCGCCGATGCGCCTAAGCTCCAGGGTAAATATATGCCTGTGCTGAAGAAGGAACGGATGGAGCCGGTGGATGTCATAAACGCCAGATATCTGGCCAGGAAAGGCCTTGATAAAAAGCAACTTCCCAAGCGGGGAGACGATGCGAACGAATAGAGAACCATGGCTGTGGAGCGGGTTGCGCAGCATTTGGGTATCTGAAAACAGCAGAACTGTGCTCGACGCACGCTTCTCAGCTCTTGGGCTCATATAGACAGGCCCTCGCGCCGCGCCAGACTTCCTCGAGGATGGGGCGCCTCGGCAACAGCTTCTAGAAGCCGGCAGTCAGCACATGTAGTGGTGCATCAAGGGGCGAAGCAGGAGAAAGCACTTACGGGGAAGACCACCACAGCATCTTCCTCCCCTTCCACCACAATAGCCAAATAAAACCTAACTTCAAACCCCTTGAACGCCTCGTGTATGAAGATGTCCTGTATAGACGCCGTAGGAATAAAGCGCGTCGTCGCCGTCGAAAGATACGTAGGCGACGAGCTCGACGTCTGAATACCCAACCCACGCAGCACGAGCAACGACTCCTCTGCACGCAGCATCAGCACAAGCGCCCCACCTTACCCAGCAGCAGCAGAAGGAGAGGAAGATGGAAAAAAGCAAACAAACAAACAAACATACCAGTATACCCCCGTCTCAAAACGCCCCAAAGCCCACCCACACCCCCAACCAGTAAGCCGCGCCAATCGCAGCGTTCCACACACCACATCAGCGCCGTGCCCACAGCGCTACTGAGGACGCGCCGTTGCAGCGCATGCTCGAACGCGGCTTCCTGCTCCGCGCCCACCATCTCTTCCAAGGGGAAAAAGGCGCGCCATTTGGCCCAGAACAGCGCGAGGATGAGCAGGCCGACCGCGGCGCGCACGCCATGCGAGAGGTGCAAGAGCGTGCGCGCTGTCAGTGTGCGCGCTGGTGGCCGCGTCGTCGCGGTGAAGGAGACGGTGCTGCGTGTTGGGCGCGAGACGTGTAGGGCGGGCGGGGAGGTTGCTGCGAGGAGGCGCATTGCTACTGTGCGGTGGGAGATGCTGTTGTCGGGACTGTGAGGAGCGGAGAGGAGAGGCGCGGCCTACGGCGTTATTCGTGGCAAGTGGCCATGTTGTGCGTCTAGGTAGATACGTGAAGGTGAAGGTAGACGTGATCGCGAACCTTACCCATCCACCACCACGCGCGCGAAACTACCTAACCTCCCTCGGCAACGTCATAGCTTCACAGCACTCCCGCCCAACCTATCTTCCACCCATCCACCTCCACCCCAACCAACACAACCCACTTACAACCCAAAAGATGCCGCGATCGCGCTCCCGCTCGCGCTCCCGCTCGCGCTCCCCGCGCCGAGACACCGACCGGCCACGCAAGACCGGCGGCGGCGGAGGCGGAGGCTTCCGCTGGAAAGAAAAGCCCACACACAACAGCAGCGGCGCCGAGCCCGACGCCCGCGACAGCAATGACGGCGGCTACAAGCGCGGGTACCGGGCGAACCGGAGCCCGGCGCGGCGGCGGCGCGACGACAAAGACAACGATAACAACGAGCGGCGTGAGCGCAGCCGCAGCCGCGACCGCGAGAGGCGCAGAGAGCGCCGCCGCGAGGAAGAGGACGACGACCGCCTTGGCGTCGCGGACAAGTTTGGTGGGCCCAGGAGGGGTGGTGGTGGTGAGCGCAGAGAGAGGACGGATAAGCCGCGCTCCAAGCCCAAGGCTGCGGCGGCGCCCGCACCCGCGAACCAGGAGCCTATGATTATTGTGACGGTGAATGACCGCTTGGGCACCAAGGCGCAGATTCCGTGCCTGGCGAGCGATCCCGTTAGTGCGTATACCCCCGAGTCCTTCCTCTGCTGTTTGGTGGTGGTGTTATTGTCGCTGAGTATAGCTGACGGTTATATTAGAACTCTTCAAAGCTCAGGTCGCTGCTCGTATCGGTCGCCAGACGCATGAGATCATGTTGAAGCGACAGGGCGAGCGTCCGTTCAAGGACCAGTTGACCTTGGAGGACTATGGTGTTAGCAACGGTGTGCAACTCGACTTGTAAGTCACTTTTTCAGATTACTGACATGCCAATTACTGATGACGGGACAGGGAGCTTGACACGGGTGATTGAGAGCCTACACTTATGCACAGAGCGCGGGAGAGTGAGATAATCGACTGCATTGCTTTAGCTGGATCGAGGAGGATGATCCTATGGGGATACCCAGAAAACATTCTACAAAGTGTGTGAAGAGAAGAAAAGCAGAAGTGGGCTTTATGTAGTAGCGTCAAACTCCCTCCAAAATCCTTAGGGGAACGGGGGGGAAGTCAAGACGCTACTCAAAAAGTAAAAACATGACTTTAGAGAACATGAAGGGCAGCAGCGTAGCGGTAGCGACCTAAGGCCCATAGGAGCCCGGTGAGTCCTCCAGCAAGGTCTAAAATCAGTAGAGAAATTGAGCAACCCTTGCCATACTCATCTTTGACGCCCCGTGAACGAGTGCTGCTGACATGAGCTAAAACAAACAAACTTTCCCATAGTACCTTCGACCATGTACTTTCTCCAACGCCCTTCAGACGTACTGCTTGTACAGCCGCAGAACATCAACTCGCTTGCCAACAGCCTCGTTTTCAGCCTGCTTCTTGCGTGTGAACTGCGATAGAATCTCCGCCTTGGCCGCTCTCGACATGGTCTTTTCGTGACTTCCGAGCTGGCAGAGTGTCTGGACCATCTGGCGCTCGGTTTTACGACGCGAGTTGAGGATAGCTTGGCGTTGTCCTTGATCCAGGCTCGGTGTCTGAGCCGCTAGGACCTCGTTCCTGATCAAGGATTCAAGCATGTTCTTGTACCGACGAAGTTTACTACGGAAGACGCCAGAGGTGGCTCTCGTGCCACCAAAAGAGAGATCATGCGCCGGAGTAGATGGAACCGAAGAGAGCGGCTCCTGCTTGATGGTGGTCATGTTGGAACCCAGACCTTGTCCGCCACCGAAGATAAAGGTGCCACCACTGTTGGTGGTCACAGTGAAACCTGCAGTACCACCGGTACCGGTAGGAATCGGGCGGACGATCCTATGTTCGACATCGGCCATGCCCATGACCATGCTGACAATGTCGTGGCCGACAGGATCGTCGCGCTCACGATCGATGGCGTCCTTGGCTTCGCGCTTTCTCTTTTCAATGTAATCACGACGATGACCCTTCTTAGCAAGCTCGGCGGTAAACTCATTAAGGAGAACGTCGAGAACGTCGACTCCTTCGTCAGCGGCCCTGGCCATCCTCAATCTTACCATATAGTGGCCACGATGACCCTCGTCCTCTCCTGTCTGCCGTGGGTTGGGGAGTGAGTAGCCATCCTGGCGTGGAATGTCATCGAGGACGATGTGTTCGGAGAGATAGCGGTGCTTCAACCACTTCGTCTGATAGTTATACTCAAAGTACTTGTAGGCATCCACAGGATTGCCCCAGATAGCGTAGACGACGAGCGTACGATCAGCCCTCTTCAGAAGATGACCTCTCTGGAGGTCTGCCACAAAGTAAGCCACCTGGCAGTCAATCTCCTCGAGAATGTCGTAGCGGTAGTCATGACCCTCAAAGAAGCCGATGAGTTCCTCGTCGACAGCATTGACAAGGCGCTCGTACTTGAAGCCCACAGGCAGAACAAAGTTGCCTTCAGGCAAATGATCCTTGATGTATCTCGCAGGCCTCGTGTAACCCTTCAGGAAGTACCGATAAGCATCGAAGGGTGTGAGACTGTTGAAGTCCTGGACAAATCGAGGTGCATAGTCAGCAATCTCGGGGTGGTTGGCCAGGAACTTGTCAATCTCGTTCAAGAAGTTGGGAGTAATGTGACGCCTCTGAAGATAACTGAGCAGAGTCGGATCACGGCTGTTGGCAAGCTTCTGGAACAGAGAACCAGCCTGCATAAAGATTAGCTCAAGAAATGCTAGCTGTGCACAAGTCATATTATATCATACACGGATCCTCTGGTCAATGGCCCTTAAGTGAGCTTGACGAACACCTTCTGCCTTAAGTGGCGGCAAAACCATGCCGCTACCAAAGTCAAAAGGTGGAGGAGTGAGGCGGCCATTCTTGTCATTCTCTGGTGTGATGGCGGCATCAGGTTCCTGTCCACACAACGTGGCGGACGGGCTTCGACGCCTTCCAAGGGGCTCATTGTTGCTTCCAGTGATAGCTTTGACAGGCGGAGGCACCTCACCTTCCTCAGGCGTGCCATAGTCCAGCAGCTCGTTGTAGTGACGGGAATCGTCGGGGTGATGGCCGTTCTGGATCATGTTCAGTCTGTCTGGATGAAAAGACATCCTGGTGAAGGATACGAAGCGGTTTGGGGCTACAAAGATACGTGAAAGCGATGTGGGTTGAGCGAAGGTGGAAGACTCGGAGGAAGAGTGAAGGTTGAAAGGGCACGACACGACGCGACTTGGGGGAAGGGTGGTGAAGGAAAGCACGCAGGTGGATAGGTTGTCGGTCAGGAAGGTGCCCCGCCACTCACCCTCTCCACTGACGTGCCTGCCTAAATGGATGAGAAAACACAGGACATCAACGACAGCACCGCCCAGCGCTTGAAGAGAAGACCCAAGACGCCAATGTAGACTACCTACGATCCTCTCATTCTGCAGCTATACAGGTGGAGTTGCGCCTTTCCTGCGTTATTGTTGGCACCAAGTCTTCTCCACTACACATACCAGACTACCATCCAGGTAACTACATAACAGATGACCCCATCTGACGGGCAAGGACAAGCCCACTTGCATGAAAGAGTACCTGAACTGACTGTCAAGAGCTAGCTTGGAAATCTCCATCTCTTTCTATAACTCCGTAAAGATAGGCCTTTCAGAGACCTGCCCTCGCCACCAGAGCAATTAGTTGCTCCGTTTGTTGTCGACGTCAAACCTACCACTAGTCTGACAGAAGAACGCTCTGTAATCCGGATTGTTGTCGACTGTCATCCTCCTACCTTCAACGCGTGCGCATTGAGTCCCAACAATGCTCGCATGAGAGCTGATCCAGTTACCGGAGTTCTCCAACGACATGTTATAGGGTTTATTTTGGATAACTTCAACACCTAATTTACTCGCCCAGATCCTAGTGCCACCGTGAGCAGACAAGAACTAGGGCTTAACATCTGTCGAGGGTTAAGCAGGCACCAACAGCCTATCTAGCTGACCTCGAACAGCATCAGTGTACGAGGCACACACACACCATCGGCAGTCTCGCAGTAGGTCCAGTGCCGTACATATGGCTAACCAATAGCCAGTTACGGTGATCGCGAACGACGCCTTCGATGTAGCCGTCGCCACTATGTAAAAAGGCCCCCCGTGTTGCTCGGTTTACTCAGGTTACGAGAGCCTTCGTGCGGCTAGTAAAATTGACAAGCAAATAGTCGCGGACACGGAGCTCTCGTACGAAGTACACGAACATACGTGGTACGAATGAGGAGTGGCTGTTCAGTCGCCATTACGGAAAAGGCCGGATGTCGGAAAGCTGGACGAGGAGTCGCCGCCGATACGGCTCTTGGGCGCAATCAATTTCGGAGCGCGGTCGATTCCATCGCGCGCCGCTGTCCGATCCAATGGCTTTTCGGCGATAACCGTGGCCAGGCGCGATCGAGAAGAACTTACTACATACGGATTGCGGCATTGGCGTTGGACTCGGGTTGGATGGATTTGCGAGGTAAGAGTATGACTGGTGTGTTGAGGTCGAGGTGGGAGCTCGATGGCGGGCACCGCGCCACCAACGTGTCAACGCAGAACCAACCCGGAAACACAACAAATTTCCATTATTTCTATCTCAGCTCAATACGCCTCCTCAGCTTCATCATTCCATTAATCTTCCTCGGACTCGTTCGGCTCTAAATCCAATTCAAAATCAGACACTTCTTCCTCTTTCGCAGCTATGAGTTTCTCCTTCTCTACTTCATTCTGAACCCCTTGTTTTTCATCATCCTCCCGTTTATTATCAATAACCTCCTCTTCCTCTGAATATAGCTGAGGATCCCACTCCAAACCTTCATCATACCCTTCCTCTTCACCTACTCCCACCTCTCCGCCTACTCCTACTTCTTCACTTACTACTACTTCTTCAACTCCCTCTGCTTCCTTGACACCCTCTTTTTCCTTAATACCGTCTTTCACCTTAATAACCTCTCCTTCCTCAACCCCCTCTGCATTCTCATACCCTTCATCCTCATGCTCATCCCCGAATACCTTATCAACCTGATCCAACAACTCGTCCGTCCCAACCAAACGCTCCCACTCCTCCTCCCCAAAGTCACAAACCTTCCTCACCCACCTACAAAAGCCCTCCAACCATTCTCCCTCCTCCTGCACCTCCTTCCTCTCCTCCTCAAATACGACCCGTTCCCCGCTCTGCATCAACAAACCCTGCGCCACAGCCCACTGTCTCAGCATCCCCAGCATCAGCAGGACCTGCCGGCGCCACTCCTCGCGCTGCCGCACCAGCACCTCGCTGTCGTACCCCTCGCGCGCAAAAACGTGCATGCTCGCTACATGCCAGATGTCGAGGCGCTGCAGCGTCGCGTAGATAGAAGGCAAGTACGCATGCGCAGCCAGCGGCGTCGGCGCAGCCCCAATCTGCGCGTGCAGGGTGTCGAGCCGCTGCGTCAACGTCTGCAGCGCGTGCTGCATAGGGAGGAGGACGGCAGCGCGGGAGGGCGCGGCCGGCTGTTCTGGCGGCGCCGACTCCAGGCCTGGCATATCTAGGCGCTCGGGGGCTTTGCCAATGCCCTCGTCGTGGGGGATGGGCTCTGCGTCTGGAGTTTCGTTGTCGGCTACTTCGGGTGCCGTGCTGTTGTCGTCGTCGTCGTCGTCGTCGTCGTCGTGTAAGGGGTCATTGCGGCGCGAGAGGCTGGCGCCTGCGTGTGCGTATCCGCGTACGCGCTCTTTGGCTCTTCTAGCTAGGTATTTCCTGCGCGGCTGGCTCTGGTGGTGGGACTTGCGGGGCGGCATAGTTGCTAAGAGCTTATTATAGAGCTTCAGTTACTTAGTGTGCTTGTTGACAGTTGTAGATCAATATCTGATAAGTAAGTAGGGGGGTTTCAATGAAGCAGTGAAGATTTGCAACAGTGTGAAATATTGGCTGGAAAAGAGAAAGGCTGTTGGATTGTGGGCAGATATAGCTTCCGGCACTGGCATCAGCGTATGCGGGTGGGTTGCGAAGAATGGCGCTTTGTCTTTGTCTAGGAGCCGTGGCTTTGTCTTTGTTGTCTCGAGGCCGGATTGGGCGGCTTGGGTGCAGGGCGCGACAAAGGATGTGCCGTGTGTGGTGCTGCTTCTGTCGCTGGGGACTGCGGCTTTGTTGCTTTGGGTGCTATGGGCGTGTACGGCTTGATGCTTTCTGTGGAGAGGATGGAGTTCTGTTGTGGTGGTGCAGTGGTGCAGCGTGCTGCCAGTCACTGACACTGCTCCGCTCCTATATCACTCCGAACCCCAAGCCCAAGCATGGAATCGTGCCGTCAAGCCTCATCGCGCAAACTCGAGTAACGCGCGCTCTGGTCTAGACGTACACGCCATACTATGCTGTCCGGCTGTAAGACAAGTGAGCGAGAGTTCAGAGCAAGGAGCACACGGCCAAGGAGGCATATTCTCTTCCCATTTGAGCACCCGCCTTTTAACAACGTTTTCATTTGCAGCCTGTCATGAAGAAGTGAACAAAGGGGGTTCAGGGAACAACAGGCATGATGAAGATGCTGCTTCTCCGACATGCATTTGGGAAAGATCTCTACACACGCGCCACGCACTACTTTTGCTCGCTCCGTGCTTTTTCGTATTAATAGTATACTCGTGATGATCAGCCGGCAATCATTGTCGATCGGCCCTCGTTGATGAAAAGCTTCTTTCCCGTCTGAAAATGAGTCTCACGGTGCGTAGGCGTAGCTGTTCTTTTCTTGGACATAGCTTGATTTGCTCGTGCTCTACATATCGGATTTATATTGGTCGCCATTTAGATGTACCTAACTACAGCCATGAAAGAAAAGATTCGCAAGGTATCAAAAAAACTCATAATACGTTGAAATATGTTGATCTTCACACACACGCACACACACAGAACCCCGGGCCATACGTGGCTCCCTTTATCGTTCAACGGTCGTTGGACCGTGAGCCCCCTCAATGGAATTGCGTTTCGGTAACTCCCTTGCCCATCGCTGATGTCGAGCTGACACCGCCCGACACCATTTTGAGGAGGTTGTCGACGTAGTTGGCTCCGCTCCACTTCTGGTGCGTCACCACGTCCACCTTGTTTTCCATCTCCGGCTCCTGGATCTGCTCGCCGTAGGCCGCCATGCCGCGCTTGGCGAAGGCTTTGCTGAACGTGTCGCTGATCAGCGCCGTCTGGTGCAGGCCCGCCAGCGTGATGAACTGCCAGCAGTAGCCGAGCGCCGCCAGGCGCTGGATGTACGTCTCCTGCTCGTCGCGCGGCATAGCCGCCTTCCAGTTGAACGACGGCGACAGGTTGTATGCGAGCTTCTGCTCGGGCCAGACGGCGTGGACGCCTTCAGCGAACTCCTTGGCCTGTGCGTAGTCCGGAAGCTTGCTCTCCATCCAGATCAGGTCAGCGTAAGGGGCGTAGGCGATGGCGCGGTTGATGGCGCACTGGCAGCCTCCCTTGTAGCGGTAGTAGCCCTCTCGGGTACGTGCCGCGTCCCAGTCAAAGTAGATGTCGACACCGGTGATGCCCTTGGCGATGGCGCGCGCTTCCTGGTTGCTCTTGCCCTTGGACTGCTCGTTGAACTGCGCAATGAGGTCCTTCTTGTTGACGTGAACGCCGGCATTAATGGTGTCCGCTACAGCCTCGTGGAAAAGCTTAAGGCCGGCCTGCTCAGTCCAGCTATCCTCGATGGCCTGGAGTTGGTCACCATTCTTGCCAGCCTCCTCGGCAGCACGCATGAGATCGTTTAGGGGCTGAATAGCGGGGTTGGTGGCGCCAACAATGAATCCGTGGTCGCGAGGGTCGATGGTCGAAGTGATGAGAGTAGCGGCCTCGGAGTCGGTACGGGCAATGGCAAGGAGATCGGTACCCATGATATCGGCCTGCGCTCTGATGGCGACGAGACGGTTGATGTGCTCGCTGATGGGCACAAGCACCTTTCCAGCCATGTGGCCGCACTTCTTCGTGCCCGGAGCCTGGTCCTCAATGTGAATACCAGCAGCGCCCTTCTCGATGAAAAGCTTTGTGAGCTTCATGATGGCAGTCAGACCGCCGTGACCAGTATCAGCATCGGCGACGATGGGACGAAGGTAGTCGGTGTTCTGAACATTTCCGCGGTTGGCCTTGGGCGTGCTGAGGCGCTCTTCCCTCTGCTTCCGGTCGTGGAAAAGTTGTGCGTACCACAGGTGCTGGACCTTGTTGGGGACAGTGGTCATAGGGTAGTCGGCAAGATCGGGACCAGGTTCGTCGGTGCTCGAGGCGGTGGACGAGCACTGCCAGCCGGAGACGTAGACAGTATCAATGTACTTGGCCATCTGAGTGACCATCACGGGGTCCAAGCAGCCATAGGTGAAGCTCGCGTCCTTGTCCTGTTGCATGTGTCAGTCACCCTTGCATGCATGGACATCAGATGCATGTGAAAGTACCTTGAACCTCTTCTCGACCGTCCTCCACAGCTTCTTGGACATTTCACCACCAGGGTACTGGATCTTCAGGTTTCCCCTCTTGGTGACAATCTGCTCGGCGGTGAATGGGCGCTTGGTGTATCTCCATCGTGAGTCAGACCACCACTGCTTCACCTGGTTGACTTCGTCCTGGAAGGCCTTCTCCTCGGCATCGAGGGAGGGCAGCTGAGGCTGCATAGTGCTGTTGGCCATGATGTGTGTATGTCTGAAATAGAGTTTTGCTGCGGGGTGAATTCGATCTGGGGATGAGGCGGGGGGCAGCGAAGGGAATTATGACAACAGACGTAATGACAGAGGGGGGAATCAAGCTGTCATATAAACCATCGAGCTCCTTATGAGCCATAGCCTGGTCGGAATGAGTCGGCTCGTCGCCCCATTAGTCGATGGACCATTGGACCGAGGCGGGTGGGAACAAAGTGTGGTGCTGTGGGTGTGAGAACGCCTTTGGCCCGAGGCCTGGGCGGGCGACGATCCTTGCATGTGGAGTCTGGGGCCGATGTGGATGAAGTTGACTGTTGACAGAGGTGTATGGGACATGCACGTGCCTATTTGACGACGTGGTTGCCCCTGAGCCGGACAGGCGACAGTTGCAACGCTTTTTTCGACGGTCTGGCGTTTGAAGTCGAGGACAGACAGCTTGACAGGTCTATTTTGGCGGGCACGCTGCCAGAGGGAGACGTCAGAAGCGATTGACGCGCTTCAGCGGAAGCTAAAACCTCGGCTATCCGGAACTTGCGCTAGGCCGAGTGCGGCCATACGGACCCTCACGCGCCTCCGTGTCCTTCCAGCCTTTCGCCGGGTGCCGAGACCATCCATTTGTCATGATGCACCACAGTACCGCTTTCGCTCACTAAAAGAGGCTCTTGACAAGGCTCCAGGCATGGATCGAGCTGGCCGCCACCGTCTTCGTCAGCAGGCTAGTAGAATTCGTCGTGGCAAAGCCTCCGGCGACGAGACAGACACGAAAGGCGAGCTCTAGCAATTCGACTAGCTCCGTGAACCCGCCCGTAAACCGTTGAGCAAGAAAACTCTTGATCAGGCACTGCCTGTAGCTCTTCGAATCGCCGCATCTTTGCTGGACATGCTCGTCGAGCGGTGCAAGAGGCTTTGCCCGAATGTCTTCGCATTGATCAATACGTGCCGCAGAATCAGCTGGTGGACAGCGAAGTCTCCTTAGCACTTCCCACCCCAAACGATTCGTGAAGCTCATAGCTCGGCTATTCTCTGTCTCTTCATGCCAGTGGCCCAGAGGAAGGCCGCTGAAGAACTGTGGGTTCGAGATGCGGACAGTCTTTTTTCTCTCATCGGTAAAGATGCCTTCGCGATCCAAGGCTTCTGACGTGTGTGTATAACGTATGAACCGACTGTAGAACACTGGGTTGAGAACAGTGATCTCAAGGATATCGGTAGCATTCCCTTTGGCTGCATCCCAATACTCAAACTCTTGAGCTTGTCCAACACTTGGCGGTGGCCTATAGATGACTTTGACAGGCTTACGCGCATGGTGCACCACATGTTGGAGATAGCGACGGAAGAATGTTTCGAGAAGCCTTTGGACAAGTCAGCGAATGAGCTCACGTGCCTCCAATCATCGTCGATACTAACTGTTCAGTTGCTGTGGCGTCTCTAGGGACGCCATCGGGCGCTACTTCTAGTCGGAGGAAATCCTTCAACTTCCGCTTTATAAATAATTCACACGCTTCTTTCAAGATCCGTAAAAAGGTGACAATCCCAACCGACCACCACCTCATTATGAAATTCAGACCATCCAGGGCCGTTGCCGCGGAAGGCTCATTGAGCGTAAATTCGGAAAAAACTCTTGTCACCAGTTTGGTGTGCCCTTGGAGAGACTTGAGTATGATGATGTTATCGACCTGCGAGAACGCCTCAGATCGGAAAGGATCAACAACCATCAGAGAATATGAATCTTCATGAGAACTGAAGGGTGAGATGTGAAGGTCTTTCTGCCAGTCATCTGTGAACAGAATAGTTGGCTTTCCGTCTTCAAACCCGCCTTGCTCATCCATGTCTGGTTTCAATAGATGGATCCCTCCCTCGCCAAAAGTATTGTTGATCTCCAAGATCATCATTTTGAGTTCGCAATCTGCAGTATAAATGTACCAAAAAGAGACTGGATTGAAAGAGTAGCCCAAGAACCTTGGTGCTGTGACAAGGTAGGCATGGTGCCATGCATCATCTAACACCCCCTGTCAAGGTTAGTATAAATCTTGAGCTAGTCAATCAACTTGCACCAAACCTGGGATTGGAGATATTGAGACAACCTCGTCTTGCGGTCTGTTTGTGCAGTGCTCCGTTCGAGATAATCAGAGCTTTGCACGAAAGAGCATCCGCTCCCTCTCAAGCCTGAAGGTTGCAATAGAGTTCCAATGGACAGAAAAGAGCCATGATACCAGTGGTTATCTTTTAGACCGACAACTACCCCTGGGAGCAGATAGGAAGACGGTAAAGAACGTCTCTTAGGAAAGAATTGAGAATGAGTAGTGTGACATGGGAACAGAGCGGGTCTGAGATTTCCCTCATGTTGGCCAAGCGGCGCTGTGATTTCAAACGGCTTTGTTTCCAAGCTCCTTCTGAGTTGCTGCTTCATACAGATTGCCTCGAATACCCACAGGGAAGGCAGAATGAGCAGAAGCAAAATTGAGCAGGCCAGGACTAGTTTGACAAGTCCCGTGACCGTGACAGAGCTCGGGTCTTTACATATAGTGAAAGCTCCGACAACCATGAGGTCGAGCGCAATTGCAGAATCACCTCTGAACACCCGCAGCCACAGCAGCAGGTGCCATGTCGAGATGGATAAGGCTGTGCTGAGGTCCGATGGAACGTGGAGAGATGCGCCGGAGAAGAAGAGAGCCAACAGGACTGCTCCACGGGTAGGAAGCAGTCGCTTGGTCGGGGCCATCTGGATCATACTCGAGTATTGATTGCCAAAGTGCTGTCCATATATGAAACACAAAGAAAAGGGTCGTCGGCATCATAGGCATGGAAAATGTACTCAAGTACAGGGATCATTGACGTTGACTAGCGACGGATCAGGCTAGTGTGCTGACGGGCGCCGCACCTCCAAGCCGCCCGAAACCGCCGACCGATCCGACACCCCAAGAGCACGAAGCGCGTACGGGATATGTGGGGACCAAAAGGTAGCTAGCTTTGAGGCATGGAGGATGGAGATAGGTAGACTCGTAGCTTATCGTGGTAAATACGAATGGTTGTAGCGAGCCATACGGTATACCCTCGTACGATGCAAGGTCGTTGATATAGCTTCTGCTAAGGGTCAGAGCATGCAAGCTGTCCTCCAGATGAGCCGCGCGCCGCCTACTTGCACGCTCGGCAAGGCTCCAATAGATCTATGTGCATCGCATCGTGCAAGTGGAGATCAGTGAAGATTCACGTTCTAGACTTTGGACTTTCCCCAGGCTGGAGGCTCAGCAACGTCGCGCGACGAAGGCTGCGCCAGACTAGCATCGCATCGCATCGCATCACATCCACGGAACGCGGAACACGAACACGTAGTTTAGGTAGCAGATACGCGCGCAGCGACGAGACAACGAGTACGCCCAAGGCGGACAGACACAGTGCGCATTTCGACTTGAGAGGAGAGTGGGTGATTTCGCTTCCCGCGGGCTCCGATTCTGCCTCGCGCATATTATTTATATAGCTTGAATGCGCGGGTTCCAATGAGATTATGCCGGGCAAATATCACGCAGCTGGCCGTGCGAGGGGAAATGCGTACTCGTATTTGAGGGAGTGTAGGAAGATGGGAGACGTTGGGGCAGCAGCACGCGACCAACGATTGTATGATGTAGTCAGCAGCAGCAGACAGCCTGATCAGCCGGGGCTTGCGCGGCAGTTGACATCAGAGGGATTCGAGAAGGTGAGGATTTTTAGGACAGCCACACGCCATGGGGCGCCGATCATTGCGGGATGATCTTACAAAGGGACTTGCGATAGGCTTAGGGGAAGAGGGAAATGTTACAAGGCGATGCACGGATGGGGGGGCCGATGGGGGCTCTGTAGGGCGGATAAACCGTAAGTGGGCGGGAAAAGGCAACAAGAGAGGTTGGAAGGGCTTGTTGGCGTTGGCTGCAGAGACGCAGCGCGAGGGAAGTCCGGCTGGCGGGGAGCGGGGAGCAGCTGTGGGCGTGTGCAGGCTGGGTGAGGCAGTGCCGGGCGGGCGATGGCAATTTCCAAAGTCGTGTCGTGTCGAGATTTAGCACGGCCGTTAAGCCTCCCCACACGATCGCTCGTCCGCGTGTCGGCCTCCCTCTCCAGCCAATTTCATCTTGTCGCCCTCCCCCTGATTGTCTTGGGTGTGTCTTGTCTTGGTCTTGGGCGACCGACGAGTCCTCCCGTAGAGCCTTTCAAACTCAGCCCCGTTTGTGTCAGGAGGGGGCCACGCACTCTCGTTACTTTCCCTCACACCCCATTACATCTCCTACCACCACGCACCCACCCACTGCAGCCTCTCTTTTCCTCCCCCCCCTCCCCGAATCCTGTTTTCCTGCCTTTTCCCTTCTTCGCCGCGCGCAGATTCGTCCGTCGCGCTAGCCCGCTGGTTGACTGCCGCCTCCTTCCTTGCCGGTTTTGGCCAAGTCGTTGCAACCAGCGCGTCGCATTCCATCACATCACTGCTCACCCAGCCACCGCTCGTTCGCTCTCCATTCCACCACCTTTCGATTCACGACTTGGCACGCCTGCTCTGAGTGTACTCGCCCGAGTACCTACCTAGCAGGAGGCGCCTTCGCCTCCTTCCACCCCCCTCCTTCTCCCACCAACCACCTTTAATCGACGACACCTTTTTTAACACAATGCTACTACGCTCGCTACTGGGGCCCGCGCCCTTCGCCTTCTTCCTCGCCGCGCTTTCCGTTCTTCTTCCCTTCGCCGACGCCGAGCGCCTAATCCAATCCAAGTCGCTCAACCCGTGCCTGGCCAACTCCAGCTTCTCGGCCACCCTCTTCAACGTCCTCTTCACCCCGGACAATGAAACCTTGACCTTCGACTTCGTCGGTGTTTCCGACATCTCTGGAAATGTGACCCTGGAACTGCAGCTGTTCGTCTACGGCTACCGCGCCTACCGCAAGTCCTTGATCCCCTGCGAGAACGCCGATCTCAAGAAGGGTCTTTGCCCCATGAACACCGGTCAAATCAAGCTCAAGTCCAACATTCCGCTGGACGCCGACATCATCAAGAACATTCCTAGTGAGTATTGGCTGCGCGCGCTCGCTGCGTCCGTCGAATACTCCCTGGCTGACTCGTTTCTCCTTAGACATCGCTTACAATGTTCCCGACCTTGACGGCATTGTCCAAATCTACATCAATGACACCAACACCAACCAGCCGTTGGCTTGCGTCGAGGCCGAGCTGTCCAACGGGAAGACTGTGTACCAGAAAGGTGTCGGATGGGCCACCGCGGCCATTGCAGGCCTCGGTTTGGCCGCTTCGGCCATCACCTCCGGGCTTGGGCATTCCAACACCGCCGCTCACGTTGCCGCCAACGCGCTCTCCCTATTCGGTTATTTCCAGGCCCAGGCCTTTATCGGTATGACTGCAGTGGAATTACCGCCCATTGTAATGTCGTGGACCCAGAACTTCCAATGGAGCATGGGTATCATCAAGGTTACCTTCTTGCAAGAAATGGCCACTTGGTACCAGCGTGCCACCGGAGGAACTCCGTCAACTGTTTTGTCGGATCTTAGCACGGAGTCCGTTCAGGTTCAAAAGAGATCGTTGGCCATGGCAGCCAAACTCGTCAGGCGCACTGCCGCAGTCGCGGCTAGAGGCGCCAACGCTCTCGCAAAGAGAAGCGCCAGCGATGAGACGAGCACTGTGACGGTCCGTGGTATCGAAAGAGTCGGTTTCCGTGCCAACATCGAGCTCACCAATATCTTCCTCACTGGATACGCGTTCTTTTTGATCTTCGTCCTTTTCGTCATATTGGGCGTATGCTTGTTCAAGGGTCTTCTCGAGGGTCTGGCCAAGGGTGGACAACTGAGTGGTAACAAGTTCCAAGAATTCCGCAACGGCTGGTTGACAGTCTTGAAGGGAATCATGTTCCGCATTGTAAGCCCCCTGTAAACACAGCGTAACGTGCGACGAATACTGACTGCGACAGGTTCTGATTGGCTTTCCTCAAATGGTTGTGCTTTGCTTCTGGGAGCTCACCAAGAGGGATTCGGCCGCTGAAATCGTTCTGGCCATCTTCACGATTGTCACGATGGTGTGCATTCTCGGATGGGCGTCGTCCAAGGTCATTCGCATCGCTCAACGCTCCATTACAATGCACAAGAACCCGGCTTACATCCTTTACTCGGACCCCGTCTCCCTGAACAAGTGGGGCTTCCTTTACGTGCAGTTCAAGGCGACGGCCTACTACTTCATTGTTCCGGTCCTGGGTTACACCTTGGTCAAGGGCATGTTTATCGCTCTGGGCCAAAACAGCGGTACCACGCAAGCGATTGCATTGCTCCTGCTCGAGGCGGCTAGTCTCATCGCCGTCAGCATCTTGCGCCCATATATGGACAAGAAGACGAACGTCTTCAACATTGCTATTGCGGCGATCAACTTCATCAGCGCCATCTTCCTTCTCATTTTCACCGGCGTTTTCAACCAGCCGGTAAGCAATTCTCTTTTAAAAACGAAACACAACAGGTAACTAACGTTGAACTAGGGTCTCGTGACCGGTGTCATGGGTGTCATCTTCTTCATCTACAACGCAGTTTTTGCACTCGTGCTCCTCTTCATGGTTCTCGGGGCCTCATACCTTGCCCTGACCTCCAAGAACCCCGATACCCGGTACCAGCCCATGCGTGACGATCGTGGCTCTTTCATCAAGTCCGAGGCGCAGCTCACGACCGAGCTTGACGCGCTGGGCGCGACTGCTCGTGGCGATGGCAAGAACGGCTACAAGCCTCGTACCGGAATTGACGACGATGACGACTCGTTCTCGTCGGGCTCGCTCGAACGCGCTGCTGCGCAACCAAAGGGTGCGGAAGCAGGCTACTACGGTGGACCCCGCACCCCAGTCGATTCTTCCGTGCCCATGTTCCCTGCGAATGGGGCGGACAACCGCACCGCACCACCAACCTACTCATCACCCCGTGGTAACACGGCGCCGTATGGCCCCGGTACCTACACCCGGACGAATAGTCAGAGGAGCGATGGTGGCTTCAGGCAGCAGAACAACGCAAGTCCGTGGCAGAGGGGCGCTGGCTATGACCACTGATTTGGAGGAGATCAAATCATCGACTCTTACAGCCAGACACGCGAAGAGGAGTCTTCGGCCGGTGTCTAGCGAGGTTGATGGAGCGATAGATAATGATCACGGGACGTGTGGATTTCTTTTGCTTTTCCTTTTATGGCTTGTTTTGTTCCGTACCAATGCGATACTCACCCACGCGTCTAAGGCCGTGTCACCTTTTTTTACTTTTCTATTGTTACCTTTTTTTTTTTTCCTTTTGCTGTTTCCACCGCTGCGCGCGACCGAACCGATTTTTCCTTGGTCGTTCCTCAAAGAGGGCGCGCGGGTGTTGGCGCCCTCCCCCCCCCCCCCCCCCCCCCCCTGCTCCGGGTTAATCTCCGGGTTTGATTACCTTCTCTGCATTCATCGGACCCGCGCATCCTCTTATTATTTATATTCCGCGCCGTCTAGGATGGGCGCCTGGCTTTTGAGGCTTTCTTGGGGGCCCGTTATACCCTTGTTGCAATAGTCTCGCAGCAGGCGTCTCGACACAAAATAGGGATTAGGCAGAAAATGCCAGAAAAACGAACAGATTGGCAAAAGGCGCGAGCGCGCATGACAGTGACTGAGTGCTTTTGAATGGGCCCATGCATGGGCAGCCCCATATCACAGACGTCACGGCGGGCGGAGGGCGTGGGCCGGGAGACGCTATTTTCGCGGATCGTGAGGAGCAGCAGTGGACAGTGGCAGCGCACATGACTGGGCTCGGCCCAACGTGGCTCTCACGATTGGCTGCGACTTGAAAACGCAAGGGCAACACAGGCAACGCAGGCATCGACTCGCCCGGCCACGTTCGCAGCTTACAGGCCCAGGGCTGCGTGTGCTGCGGGTACTAATCGTCATCCTTACCTTGGGGGGGGAAAACCGTTTATCTACCTCGGCGCCCACCCGCTGCTGGGTATCAATCAATAAATTATTTCTCTATTGCTGCACCCTCACTCACCCTTACTTTACGTCGACGGTAACTTGTATCCACGGTTGACGCGCTTCGGTCCGCGACCCAGAACCACCAATCTATCGAACGGACCAGGTTATTTTTATTCTGGGTTTGGCTGGCTTTGTACCTGTTTTTTTTTTTTTTT